TCAGATCCTGGCGTGCAAACACCGGGGCATGTGCAGAACATCATTGTATTGACGAATTTGAAGCCGAAAAGCTCCCAGTATTTTATAGCCCCTAATAAAGGTCCTTTCACACCAGGAGCATATTTTTTGTGCGATTATTTCGGACATTTTCCCGTCCTGCGATATTGCGGCATTTATTTTTTCGGATCACGGTCGATTTTTCTAAAGTTTCGCATACTGTGTGTCCACTTCTGACCAATCAGATTGCGTGTTGTTGCGACACCAGACTCACCAGTATATCCAACATGGCCGACTGGATGATTGTTTACGTGTCGGAGAACAGAGTGCTTTTTGATAAAAGACACAAACATTACAAAGATAACGACCTGGGGGACAATTTGTTGAGAGTCATAGCGTCGGATTTCTCATATGACGATGGTTTGTGTGCTTTAACAGTTTGCTAAACGTCTTTGTTTTAACTTTCATCTGTGCTAAGTAACTTTAGCGTGTAAGCTAACCTGTTCAGATACAACATACCATATGTATTTTCACTGTCTCAAACTCAATGGCGTTAATGTCACAGCACCATTAGGTCTCGGTTGTTACCGTATGTTTATGGATTATAGTTTAATGTGCTTATCTAGTACTGGCCCCGACTCAGTACATGCTATCATGACAGACAGCCATCTCAACACTAGTGTCTAATCAGAACTGAAAAACAGTCTGTCTGCTGTTGTGTCAGTCTTCTCGCTTCCACCCGGGACGCGTCTTTTTTCCCCCCGGAAAGTCGCAAAATCGCATCGGGTTTGATATGTATAGTCAGGCGCGTCAAAATTCGCCTCAGAATATTGTGTAATTTTGCGTCTAGTTTTTGCATCGTCCCAGTGTGTAAGGACTTTTACTTTTAAAAAATGGAGCTGCACAGAAGAAAAAAGAAAAACTTGAGCCATACTAGTTTAACAATAACTACATGTCACTTCGAGAAATTCAATTTCAATACGATTTCAGTCAGACAAATGTGTTTACGTGTGATTTAAAAGTCCAGTTTAAGTCAAACTTTTGCTATTCTTTAAGTGTAAATGTACTGAATTATGTGTGTTAAACAAATTAGACCATACATGACAAGATTGAGAATTCTTTGTTGTTGTTTTCAATGTCTGTATTTGCTGTGAGGGGGTTGGAAGAAACTAGAAAACTATTATGGTTATTTCCCCCACAGCAAATATCCACAGTGAGTGAGAAATTTCACAGTAAAAAGACAACAGGAGTAGATGTTTAAGTCAATTAACCCCACTTTCACAAGGACAAAACATAATCAGCAACAATAAAAGGGTTACCACTTTGTCCACAGGGGGGTGCCAACATCAATATGGAAAGAAAGTTCCTCACTGGAGCTTTAATGTCTGCTTGGAAATGTTTTTATTTCATGTTTGCAAGGAAACCTTGTTGTTTATCGCAGTGGAGGGATGTTTAAATATATCACACCCAATTTTTGCTTTATGTTCTTCAGGTGTTTGTTCACTGGTCTAGCTTATGTGAGTGTTTTCAACCATTTTTGCTACGTTGCGCTGAAGGAATACTGAAAAACACCTCGGGTATAAACAAGATTTTCATTTTCTAAAACATCTGTATTTGAGTGAATGTAGCTAAAGACTAAATCTAAGCTGCCAAAATTAATGCTGTCTCCTCATCACCTTGTGTTTGGTATGTTTTATTGAACCTGTGTGAACACTCTTGTTGTCTCCCCAGATCAACAAGTTAGTCCTCCATTTCTGATGCGAAATCCTTGTTCCCTTATCCGTACATTATTCCCACTTCATCCTCCATCCTTGATCCTCCATCTCCTAAATCCCACCCTTTCTCCTATGCCCAACCTTCCTTTTCCATCCCCCATCCTTCATTTTTATCCTGTATCATGCAACTTATTGCTTATCCCTCCTCTTTTTTCTCGGCTCATCTGTCCTTATCACAGTTCAGACTCACTTCAAGTGTTCGGCTTCATCAGTATCCCTCACCTGATGATGTTAATATGAAGTCAGAGAGATATTCCTGAAAAATACGTAACAACCTCAGAGAGAGAGATTGATCCAAACATCTCTACATTTAATTTAAAAAAAAAACTGGTGCTCACAGTGTTTTCAAAGATATTATTAAATAGCATTATTAATATCATTAAATTGTTGACTTTTAAATGTAATCACACCATTGCATTTGTTGGCTTATTATCACAGCAAATCTGCTGAGGGGTTTAAGTTTTCTTTTAAGCATCATCAGTACATGGTCAGAGAGTAGGACTCGTTTTTCATTTATTTATTTATTTATTTATGTGAGTTTGAGTGCAGACCCTGTGCAAAAAATATATTATTATTATTATTATTATTATTATTATTATTATTATTATTATTATTATTATTATTATTATTATTATCATGTTTGACATGGAGAAAATTTATAAACAAGGTATGCATCCTAATTCTTTTTTATTATTTTTTCCAACATTAGACTCATACAGGAGTATTGCAGGAGCTATAATTATTTTTTGTCATTACGATAACATGATATTATTTTATGTTTGAGGCCTTTCTGTAATAAAACACTCAGTGTGGGTTTGCAGCGTTTGAAGTCCTAATAATCCTGCATTCATAATCTCAGGCTGTAGATTTTATTAATGAGGCTTCTTTTCTGCATGCTAAAGCAGTATCAGCTCCTGTTTTTGTTGTGGTGGAGAGGTGGTGTTATTAAAGCCGAGTTTCGAGCATCATGTGATGCGGGTTTCTGCGGAGCTCTGACCCACATTTCACGCAGACACGCGCGTGTTTCCGGCACCTTTCAGAACGCATTTATCTTCTGCAGAGAGCAGAGAGAGAGAGAGAGAGTCTGCAGAGAGAAACAGAGGAACACACACTGCTGTTTTTTAACCTTCTCTGTACATTTACACATCGTGTTTTACTCTCTCTTCCTACGTTTTAATGTGAGTTTATCAGAATCAGTGTTGTTGGCCTCCTCTGTGGGTCTCACAGCTTCTAACAGAGGAATTAAATTGATCCTCGCTGTCTTTTTATTTTCTTTTTCTGCAGGTTTCTTTTGTGCAGAGGTTTATTCTGCGTTTTATTCCAGAGAAATACTCATGAGTAGTAGAATAAAAAGCGCCATTTTGTAGGGGTAACGAAGCCGGTTCAGACATTCAGGGTTTATTTTTATTTTTATTGGAGCATTAAAGGGTTAAATAAAGAAGGAATAGTCCACAGATTAGATTGATAACAAATATAGATGTTCAATGTTTTTGTTGCCTACATTATAATTTCATTTTTTTTTTCTTTCGTTTCTTTACATCATGATCAAATTTAGGAGCTGAAAGGAAAACGAAAGAGTGCTTTATCTAGGGAAAATAATAAAGAACAAAATATTGTTAAAAAATGTAGCCTACATATGACCGGATTTTTTTTAATAAGCCAGAATTAAAAAAAAAAAAAAAGTTAGAACGTGAGGGGTTACATCATAAATCTTTTACCAAAATCTCCTTTCAGATTAAATAGAGTTTGATAATAACAACAATAATTTAAAAGTAAAGAATGATATAACGAATTTAAATTAATAACTAAAATTTTAAAAAAGAAGTAAAACTGGTCTATAGGTTATCTCACTTCTTTTACAAATCATAGAGGCACATTAAAGAGATAATGTCTCCGTATCACAGCGTAAAAAATGAAATAAATCGGACTAAATGTTAAAATATGGATATTGTTTGAATTCAGGTCGCGTGCAGCTGTGGAGGTCGATGGATCGTTACCGGCTGACAGAGACAAACGAGACCCTGTGTTTATGTATTTATGTATTTATTCACTCATTTCTGTTTTCTTGGTTTGTGTTTGTTTTTTCTTTTGATGTGAAAGTGAAGAAATCAGCGAGTTTCATTTGAAAAACAAGAAATTATTCGTTTTGTAAAAAGATAAAATACTGACATTTCAGTAGGCCTTACACTCTCTCTCTCTCTCTCTCTCTCTCTCTCTCTTACACACACACACACACACGGGCTTTATAGAAACATTTAGTGAAAGCGGCGCGCGCGGGTCATCCATCACCTGCTGTCACATCAATCCAACAGCACGAGACACTGAAATTCCGCCTTGTATTGAGCCACGCGAGCACGTGACCTGCGGCGATTTACCACACACAAAACACACACGTCGTTTAATCTGTGTGTGTGTGTGTGTGTGTGTGTGTGTGTGTGTTCTTGAGACGAGTCCAGCACGTTCTTGTCGTCACATACCGACACTGTGCGTGTGTGTGCGTGTGTGCATGGTTATGTATGAGAGGGTTGTAATGAAGGAGCGTCAGGGTGCGAGGCGTTTTTGGCCCCCCGATACTCTTCCTGCAAAGCTGGAGGCTGCAGTTTCCAACAGCAATTCTGAGACCACATGTACGGTGGCCTTCAATGCAAAGCTGTTTTATTAATCCGAAAAAAAGTAAATGTAAAAACTATTTCTTCAAACTCAAAAAAATAATACAACACAATAAAATCTAAGGTAAAGAAAAAAAAATGTTGTCAAACACATACTCCTTTTATGAAAAAATTTCACATGATGAAAAAATATTTTACTGAATGCAAAAAATTCACAAAATGCAAAACAGAGCAATGATTCACCACAGAACATATTCTACTAAAAGAATACTGGTTTCACATTTTGTGAGGTGGTTAATTTTTTTTTGCATTCATTCAGTTTTTTTTTTCTTTTTGATAAATGTTGCTGAGATTCATGATGTATTTTTGCTATCCCTGAATCATTTTTCAGTTTTGTGAAGTAGTTCTGGCATTAAGTGAAACTGCAGCCAGCAGGTCAAGTTGTTCTCATAGACTGTATTTTAACTTGATGTTAGTAAGTTTTGGAGCCCATCAGCAGCAGTCCTCATACCTAAGTGTTAGTGAACCTTCCAGAGGCGGGCCTGTAGCCTCTTCGCAAATAGCTATAGTGTGCCCATCTATCAGTCATGGATCTTCTAACCATGGCTGTGTCCAAAATGGATCCCTAACCCCTATATAGGTGACTATATGGGAGGTTGGCGCCATTTTGAAGGGTGTCCGAAACCTGAGTGATCAATTCCAATGCCCTATGTAGGCGACTCAAAATTTCCCATAAAGCATTGCAAAATGTGGTGACCATCCGCATTGGGCTGGAGAGTTGCTGTGATGACGCTCGGCTCAAACAGCATATCACCCGGGTGAGCTGCGCAATCTTTGTACGCCTATAGGCTGTATCAAGTGTCAATCATAGAAAACATGAACCCCCTAATAACTCTTAAAAATGGAGCTGCACAGAAGAAAGATGACTTGAGCACAAACCAGTCTTACAGTAACTACATGTCAACATTGCAACCAGGGGGGAAAAAATGTGTAATAAATTTCTAAAGTTTGTCCACATCTCCATAAGCTTTGCTGGTGGAGGCGGGATTTATGACCTATACTGCAGCCTGTCACCAGAGGGTGCTGTTCTCGGAGTGGCTTCACCCAGCGAGGAGGCAGACCCTGTCCGTTCTATATACTGTCGATGGTGGTTTCTGACGCTTCTGCAGCCAGCCTCTAGTGGACACTCAGGGAACTGCAGTATTTAGCACTTTGCTTCGGCTTCACTTCTCAAGCCCAAAGGTCACCACCCGATCACTCCATCCTTGGATGAGAATCTGCTCAAGGCTGCAGGAAGTAACCCGTAACCCCCTTCACAATCAAACACCGCACTGCTCCTCAGAGAATGTTTATTCGGTGTGAGTGCAGACCCTGTGCTAAAAAAAACAGTTCAAAGTCGGTCCTGTTTATAAGAAGTGATGAACACAAACATTTACATAGTGTTTTGTACAAATCTGCTTTAGAAAACGTGTCAGTGTCAAAGGTCAAAGGTCACTCTAACATCACACATAAACGTTTATACAACACCACAACACAGCTGACAGAGGCTCTTATTTTGTTAAACCAATCCCACAGTGTTCCTGTCCTACAAAGGGAGAGTCTCCTTACAGGGACTGGGGGGGGGTAAAACTTGACCAAAAGAAGAAGAAGACCAAATTCAGAGCAGGATCCCCCAAACCCCAACCCTCCAGTAAAAAAATAAATAAATAATTTAAGGTAAATGTAGAAGAGTGAGTCGTCCTCTCACTATCTCTGCCCAGTCTGTTTTAAGTGTGCAGGGAGGGGAGGGGGTTTCCATGGTGATTCTGCAGCACCTGGTTGGATGTGGGTCCACTTGATTAGACAGGGGTTCAGTGGGACGATCAGGTGAGAGTGGGTGTTGTTTGGGGTCCGTTTGATAAGGTGTGGATCAGTTGAAGGGGGGCGGAGGTGCTGGTTCTGAGCCCACAGCTTGATGGAAGAAGATCCCTGAGTCACCATGGAGACCTGCAGACACAGACAGAGGCAGAGGGTAGTGGTGTGGAGAAGTGTCATTTATTTGAACTGCAAAGTGGACCAGAGGTATTTACACTTCCTCTCAACAGTTATCACAAAATATGAGAACAGACTTAAAGGTGGAGTAGACAGGATTCTCTTAAAGAAGCATCTTTTTTTGTGGTGTATAAACAAAAAAGCTTTTTAATATTAGTCAATATCTATTAGTTATTGATGACATTTGGTAATATAACGACATCACTGTGTTTTGTTATGTCTGTGTAGTCAACATTTTAAATTTTTTGAGCGGTCCGCTCTTTCTGACTGTAAACAAAGCCATTCAGACACTGCTCCCTCTTGTTGTTCACAAGCCCAAACAAAGTTAGCATGTTACAACATCGGACAGTAGAAACCTACCAGAAAGTACAGAAAATTGTCTGAATCCTCCTTTGGCCATGACTGCCAACACAAGCAAGAAAACGAAGAAAATACCGAAGACTCTGGTGGAATAACGGACGTTTAAAAAAGAGGTAGACCGGACAAGAGCTAAAAAGCCGGGTCAACATCAACATAAATGATTGGGGACGCTTCGGGATCTCTACTTTTTTTCATGAAGGTGAGTGGCACATCTAGCTGAAATAACATATCCATGGCTTTATTTTGATGTGACGTTTGAGGAATATGAAGCCACAGCCTCAGCTAGTGAATCAAGCAGAAAGGGGAGGAAAATAATGACTGAAACTGCAGGCTTAAGGCGGTCAACGAGGCACAAAAGGTAAAAATATATTTTTCTATAATCAGATAATTACCAGCAGATTGAGACGTGTAAGAATCTACTTCCATCGCATTATCAGTGCCAAATTTTTATTCTGATGAAGCAGCTCTTGGCCCTCTCCTCTCCTCTCTGGACAAACTATGTTGTAAAACGTGTAATAATAAACATATGCTGTAATAGTGTATATTCACTCATGTATTTAAATGTTATGACTCTGGATTTATTGTGCGTGGAAGCTAATGATGTGACTTTAAACATGGCCGCTGTCCTGCAGAGATTTACATTCAGAACGACGGTGTCACACTTCTACAAAAATAACAGCTGCACTGAGATTTTACTGTTTAATGATCCAGCGGAGAAATTATCACATCAAATTCAATACCAAGGCAGATTTTACACATTTCTTTATGTGTCTAGGGAGGCATCAGGATCTATATCATTAGCATTTGGAAGGGGGTTTATCAGACATGGGGGGGTATCAGACAGGGTGGGGGTCTGTGCGGAGATACATGTGTGTCTTATTTCCATATAAAGAGCTCTATTAATCACTCAGAGTGTCATTACAGCGAGGCTCATTGAGCTCAGCGGCTCTTAAATAAAACTCAGAGAGCTGCACGCCTCCGGCTCACCATACGTCTTCATTTACACCTGTCAGAGACGGGGGGTGCGGTTCTTAATCAGACTGTGGGGGTTTAGAGGAAGACGAGTATCATGAGGCAGAGAGGAAAATGTCCATGAAGGGTTTTTATACAGAGGGAAGAGTTGTTGTATCTTCATTTTTTACGTTAGAAACAACAGATTCATGATTTAAGAACCAGTTGGGTTTTAGTGGACTAAAAGAACACATCCCACTGAGACACTAAAAGTCACCTGTAAGAGGAAACTATGAGTAAAATGTGAACATAATCAATATCAGAGTGAGGAAGAAGAAACATTATACGCAACAGTGAATGAGAAGAGTTTGACTTACTTTCCCCTGTGAGAGATTCAAGCCTCAGTGTGCTGGTCTACATGTAGTGCCACTGTCCATCCATCCCCATGTTCATCCCCATCCCTCCCATCGGACCTGAGAAAGAAAGGGGATAACATAAGCGAGGAAACTGAACAAGGTCAGTGACTAAAATTCAGACATGAAACCATAAGAGACCCCAAAAAAAGAAAAACTTGTTTATATTTTAATAGGAAGCGACAAAAAAGGACATGAAGGACAAAATAGAATCAGGATGGATGACCATACAGACAAAGAAAAAACAAAGGACAGAAAACAGTGTAAGGACGGAGGAATGATGCAGAAAAAAAAAGATGCAAGATACCTTAAAGATGAGGACCATCACAGCGACAAAGAAACATGAGAATATGGAAAAGCTATGAGGACGAAATAACAATGGAGAGAGAAGAGGAATGAAAGAGCAGAAAAAATGAGAAAAGGAAACACTGCAGGGATGGAAACAAGACGAAACTGTAATAGAAACAACATGAGGGAATAAAAGACGGGTACAAAGTAAAATTAGGACAAGAATTAGGAAAAAGACAAATACAACATGAAAACAGAGGAAAATGAAGAAGAGAGAACATGATTTGGACATGATGATAGTCTCAACAGTAAGGAGTAAAAATATAAGGACAAGGAACATAAAATACATAAAAAGGGCAACAGAAATAAAGACAGACAACAACAGAGGGACAGGAAACCACATGAGGACAGAAAAGACATGACACAACAGAGGATATCAACATGACAGGGAGGGAACAAGATGAGGACCAAAACATGAGAACAGGGAAAAGTATGAGGACAAAGGGCCTGTTGAGAACACAAGTATGGGGAGGAAAATCAGTTTAAAAAAATAAAAGGACACTAAACAACATAGAGGTGAATAAAAACATGAGTATAGACATCATGAGGACCAAAAACAACGTGGACAGAGAAAATTAGGGTGAGAAAAAAACATCATGTATAGAAAATAGCTTTAGACAGAGGGATAGAATGAACATGAGGATACAACACAACATTGAAAACACTGAAAAAGCCTTCAAAAAAAGACTCTTTCTAGCTAATGGACAGTAAAGTGCAAGTTCAACCCCTGAAACCAGAATCTGGGCTGAAGCAAAAGACAGAGTTTTGGCAAATGTTCTCTGTGAGTCTCACCTCCTCTGAGGCCCATGTGCTGCTGTCCATCCAGAATAAAGCCTCCCATTGGCTGACCGTCTGGGCTGTAGGCGTTACCCTGACTCACTAAGAGAAAGAAAGAGGGGCACATTCAGTACGTTTGCACGCACAATAAAGTCAAGCACCAGTTGAAGTGCATGCCAGACTTAATCCAGGTGAGCTGTAATTTGAACACTGATATCTGGATCTTCTCCCTTTGAGTTGACTTTCCTCTGCAGCCTCCCCGTGTGTGCCAAAAGCATTCCCAAATCACAACATTAGGGGCTGAATGTCTGGAAATTATCCCAAAATCTCACATATTGACACCAGCCTCTTTCACAAATACACTTCTGGTAATTTGTTCGAGTTCTTGATCACACACATCCCTCACAGCAGGAAGTTTTCTCTGTCAGACATGAGCGGGAACAGGGGCTGCGTCTCAGGAGGCAGAATATGACATCAAAAGCCATGAAAGCCTCTAGACCGACTCTTTGATGACGATTTTTACTTCAGTATCAATACTACAAGTGAATGAACATCTGTGTGGATCTCTTTGTTGTTCTCATCTTGAAAATAATTCTTCTTCCTCATCCTTAGGACTTTTCATTGACCTTGTTACATGCCGTTCAGCACAAACCCACCACATGATATCCCTATCCATTCATTAGCAGTTATTTTGCCTGTATATTTCCTGCTGTAGAAGTTTTAATAGGAAGCTGCAGAAAAAGTCAGAGTCATGTCTGGATGGTATTTCAGGTGTTTGCGTTCACACATGCAGCTCACCTGGACAAGTTTAAGGTTTTCAGATCATATGAATATGACTATGCACACATCCTAAGAGGAGGAACACTATAAGACATTTAGTCAAGTACTAATATCCTTTAGATAGAGGCACATCTCTTCATTCAGACACATTTATAACACGATAATCTAATTATACTGATATTTCTGAGGACCTGCAGACTATTTATCTGTTACCAGAATACTTCAGATTTACCTGCTCTGTTGGACTGATCAATCATCGGCTGGACTATTCTCCTCCTCGCATTAATGAACCTGAGGAATCAAAAAGAAAATAATTAAACCTACGCAGTAAAACCTGTTATTTATTCCACTCTTAAAGCATGATGGGAAAGATCATGCAATAAACCAAAAATCACTTTTTATTTATGTTCTAATCATAAAACTTTCCATAGGATTGTTCAGAGTTTCATAACCTACCCATATAGGGCTGAGCGATAAACCGAAAATTTACAGATACTGAAATTTACAACAATAACTGATGTCATTTTGCCCATGTCAATATATTCCTTGTCAAAAAAATTAATAAAGAAAAGTTAGTTTTGGATGTGTGTAGGTAGGCTATGGTCTCATGTCCCTTTAAGACGCTGTCCTACTTCAGAGAGGTGACTCCACCTCATCCAGTCTGTGACAAAGAAGGAAAGACAGGTGAGGAGGTGGAGGACGGTTCAAAAGTTGTAGTGGCTGAAGTCGACGAAGTTAATGTGGGAGGGGGGTGAGCAGCTTGTGGAGTAGTTATCGTCCATTTATCATTATTGAGGTGAACTGCTTAATCTATCGTGATATTGATTTGAGGCCATATCGCCCAGCCCTATGCACAGATGTGAGGGTGCAGAAAGACAAAGACCAAAGGCAGCTCAGTTAAAGAAATTCATCTTTAAAATACAAAATCTTTCGTTTGCATAGAAATGGAAGATCAAAATCTTCTGAAACATTTCAAAGGGAAAAAATATTTTATTACTTTTTTTAACCACATGACTGCACAAGGAAAGCCTCGCCCCCTATCATGTCAATCACTGTTTATACAGTCAGTCTCTTCGCTTTGTGTGTGAGATCAATACGATATGAGGGCCAGTTTAAAAAGTATTGATTAGAGTTCAGAGTGGCCTGAGGCGATCAGAGGGTTGATCCATCAGCTAGTCTTCACTCAGGTATGTTTAATCAGATGAGACAAAAACATGAGACAGGTACAAACTGTTAAATATCAGGGCAATAAAGCTGTGATCTGGATCATTGATCATTTGAGCCGACCCCAGATTAAATCATGAGGCATTTAGAAGTGAGGTGATGTAGGTGTCACCTCACATCCCACGTAATCCACACATGGATCTCTCAGACAGAATAAGGTGTGTGCTTTAAATATTTATGTAATGTATAGATTTGTTTATAGTATCAACACATCCAGCACAGTTAAAACAGTGCTATTCAGCGATATCCTGTTGATTTTGACAAAGCTGTGGGTGTGCACAGATAAACTGATCAGCAATGTGACCCAACAGTTCAATACGGATAAATACCTAATTTTTATGCTTAATAAAACATAGAAACTTTGTGTTTAAAAAAGATTTAAATGGTGTAATATAAATATTGTAATATGATATTCCAAAGTTCGTCTAAAACAGTGAATACTGACTTTAATCTATACAAATAATTTAGCTTTTATACACTTTTTGTTGACAAATGGAGATTCATACTTTTTATGAGTCACAGCAGCTTTTTGTCCTTAAAGGCCACTGTCAAATTACTGATAGGAGGGGTGAGCAAGTGAACATTTAAACATTCCCCTCTGTAAGTGTTGTACTCTTAGTAGTGTAACAACAACAAAAAGACTCCCACATTGAGTAAAACCACTAAAATGTATTAATCCAGATTCCTTTTTAGACTTTTCTGATCTGGTGAAAAAAAAGAAAAATCAGTGTGGTTGTGTGTGTGTGTGTGTCTCACCAGTTGTTGACCTGCAGGATGGTGAGGCCCGTGTCCTGTGCAAGCTGCTTTTTCTGTTCCTCTGACGGGTATGGATGCTAGGAGGGACAAAAACAGTCAGAATTCACTTGGTCAGGAATACCAAAAGCTTTAGTTCAAATATGACTGACACTGTTAAATGAAAAAAAAAATACAAACAGTTGAAAAGATTTTAAAGAAAATAACCCCATTGTCCACAAACTTGCAGTGAGACACCTGAGCATGACTTTCAAACTTATTTCTCCTATATGGGCAAAACTCTTTTTGTGACTGTAATTTATGTTCAATAATAAAAAGTCTTCAGGAATAATCACAGATCATTTCTTCAGTTTTTAAGAAAAGGACCTAACCACTCATCAAATTTGTGACTGAATTTGTCTTCTACAAGTCCAAAAGTTGATCAAAAATATGTTGTCTGCTCCACCTTCACTGTTGCTATGGACAACAGCGAGGGGGAACACCCTTCATTTTTTAACAAGGAAAAGACCCCCTGGATATTCAGAGGTTTAAACTCAATCTGTTATGACTGGGACTTTTTGTCGAGATGGAACAGGATTGATGCTTTCATTAAGCTTATTACAAAAGATGATACAGACAATTCACATCACAGATAGACAGGTATTTGAATAATCAGGTTTCAGTGACTCTGACATGGGTGCTCTCTGTGTTGAGGTGTTATCCTTTGACTCAGACTTAGATTTGGTGTTTGAAGAAGAGGAATGCGGGACGGCATCGAAACCAAGGAGCTTATTATGAAGGATATAATGAACCTTGAACCTTTCACAGCTACTTCCTCAGAGGAGATCTGTGGGACTCTTCAAAAAGGACCATAAAAGAAGAACATCCCCTCCCCCTGACACACACACACAAACACTGCAGCGTCTCACAAAATATAACTCTTCTCCTTTCACACCCGTGAATGCTGCATCACTTTGGTGTTGCAGAGAACCTTTCAGAGTCCCCCCTCATCGTTCAGACACATCCTGCCCCAAAAAACACTTCTGCTTCACAAATTAGCCCTGAAAGAGGAGCACAGAGGGGATAATTCAATTATCCTGCTTTTTGATCTGAAAACCTGAGGGTGGCCTTTGGAAAAAAAAAAGGATCATTGCGACATCTGGACCTGTATGGGCCTTAAATAAAGTGAAAGCATCTAAGGACTGAGAACACTGCAGCGGCAGTATCTTCAGACCAAGGATAAAAGCTAAAGCTCTGCTCCTCGGGACCGGCCTACAAAGCTCTGAGCGCTGCTACTGCTGCTAATGGTGTTCTCAGTCAAACAGTATACAAAGCCTGAGAGAGCATTGTACAAACACCAAATACCGTTACAAACCCTAAAAACGCGATTTACATATCCTCAACAAACACTTGAAATGTACTGCCCTCACATTATACACACTGTGATTAACCCCTGACAGCACTGGGATAAAATATATATAATACTGAACAAACTCTGCTTCAGCTTTGTACAAACATGGGCAAAAAATACGAAACCTTAAAAATTTCATGACACACCCTGGACTATTTAGTCAGTAATCAAAAAACGATTGCATTAACACCAAACAAACCTTGGAAAATCAAATAAAATCTCAAATTAAATAGAAAAACACTGGACAAAACTAAGACTGCAAAATATTGGAAAAACAAGCATTGCAATTTTTTTCAACCCTGCGATATATATTGGGATATGCTGACAGACCATGTGTTTGGTCGACATCATCCTTCTAGTAACTGAAATAATTCCAGATAACTGACATTGCTTTTCTTTTTGGCAATAAGTCTTAATTTCAGTGGTTTTCTCTTGTTCGATGCTCATTTTTAAATTGTTGTTGTTGTTACTGGTGTTGTGCTGAGAAACGCATGCTTGCCGAGAATTGCATGCACCTCGCAGAAACGCGCACTGCTTATAGTAGAGTGGTCCACAGAAATGTACATTTTAAAATCCATACAATTATTATTTGTGGGGCTAAACAGTGATGAGTAATGCTCCGAAAGTAATTCCCAGCGGGTACGCGTTTCTTGGCTCAACACCGGCAGCGCCACGACTCAATCCAAGTGCAGGGGCGTGGTTTCCTCCTCTCTGATTTTGATTGACGGCTGGCAGGGTAGTCTGATTGGCAACTGAGTAAAGAATGAGTGGATTGCTGCACAGGACATGCAGAGTCACATGCAGTGTATCTCAGTCAGCTACCCTTGAAATTAGATGAGTTCATTCGCCTCCTACATCGCAGGCTCTGCAATGTGACTACCGCACACATGTACATTGCGATGACGATGCTCAAACAATATATCGTGCAGGCCTAGACAAAACCTAAACAAATACAGGACTAATCCTGGTCAAAGACTGCTGGACTACTACATGACTACCTCTGAAGAACTGCTGGACAAAATCTAGACCATAGCAGAAAAAACTTTCAACACTGGACTAACTCCAAGAAAACACCAGACCAACCATTGACAGGTAGAGGAAAAACTTTGGAAGACTACTGGAAAAACTACAATTGTAGGTGGGAACTACTGCAGAAAGAAAAAAAAATAGAAAGGAAAAATCTTTGATGAATACAAGAAAAACTCTGGACAACTACTGGACAAATTCAGAGAAAACTGGAAATAAAAAGTTTGAATACACGACATACTGAACAAATTCAGGACAAACCATATGAAAAGATTCACCAAATCAGATTTGCAAGATCAGGGTAATAAGACAGGATTATAACCAAATCCAGTTGGTCTTAGGTTCAGCCAACAGGATCGAACCAATACAATAAGACTAATATATCAAATGAAAATTATTAGACCAACAGGATTAGAGTTACAAATTCAGACTAAGAGGCTGTGATCAGCTACACTGGATTGGACTCCAAGGATCAGTCTATCAGTACCTGGTCATTTTACAATAGGACTAATATGATCTTGTTAATTTTGGGATCAGACAAACTGGATCTAATCGGCTCTCAGGATCAGTGTGACATGATCTGGTGTTTCTCTTACTGTGAGGTGCTGGAACAGCCACGCTCTCATGATGTTCGTGGCCACTTTAGGAAAGATCCCCCTCTTCTTCTGCCTCTTCTTGTCCTGGTCATCCTCGTCTCCCGTCCCCGGCGATGCCAGGCTGTGGTCAAGGCCATCTCCTGCGATCAGAGAAAGGAAGAGTCATGAGATGAGGGAGATCTAACCTCCATCATCCTCTCACCTCCCTCCTTGCTGCGGTCCCTGCAGAACCGCGACGAGTCTGAAACCGCAGCTATTAACTCAATGTGAGCCGAGCGTTTGACATGAGGTAATGAGAGCGTTAGGGGCTGACAGGAAGTAATGAGCGCTCAGACCGACGATTCTTTCTGTGTGACCTCAAACTCACCACTTACTCCGAAGAGGAAGAAGACAAACAAAAACAAGAAAGAAGAAGAAGAGGAAGAAAACGGCAATAACAAACAATAACAGGGAAGGGGACGATCACAGTAAACACAGAGATGTCTGAGGTTCATTTAGGGAGATGACCCAGAACCCAGAATGAGGGGTGGGGGGTGTCCTCCTCCACTCTGAACAGGAAAAGAGAGGAAGAGGAGAGAGTCAAAGGAGCAGAGTGGTGAAAGTGAGGAAGATTCTCCTCCTCCTCTTCCTCTCTGCATTAATTGTGCATCAGCAGAGATGATTTTCTGTTACGTGCTGGTTGTTTCGGGGCCCTCAGGGCAGAGCAGCCTTGAAAGCCTGCCTGCAGGGCGTGTGAATAATGCATCTGAGAGACTCCTCCCCCGAGGCGGGACAGAGACTCGACTTTTCTTAAGACTGGCCCGAGCATGTCTTTTTGTTTTTGGAGAAGCATCAATCAAACGAGCCTATATGAGCCATATTCATGCATAAATATTTCAGCTGATGAATATTGACTTTAAAGAGGAAGTGTTGTGAGCTCGAGGGCTCGGGGGGCGGTGGGAGTTCAGACGGATGGCGTCCAGATCAGAGTCATGGTCCAGGTTCACTCTAAGTCTGTCCTCTAACAGGGACATGTTTGTCCTCTGGCTGTCTTACTGCCACAACATGCTTCAATAAACTCTTCATCCAAAACAAATGTTCATTTCTAGTTTAGCTGTCTGTTTCCATTTGAATCCGATACTAGTCTATCTCAGCAGTAAATTTAAGGCTGTGTCTGAAATGAATCACTCAATCCCTAACCCCTAACCCCCATATGGGGTTTCACCACATAGCTGACTATGTATTGAGCTCAATTACCGGAGGGTTTCGGACACTACCGTTGTGATGTTGCTGCTGGAGATGCAATGCATTCCCACCACCATCGGATGGTCACTACATTTTGCAATGCCTTATGGGAAATTTTGACTCACCTATATGGGGCATTAGAATTGATCACTCAGGTTTCGGACACCCCTCAAAATGGCGCTAACCCCCATATAGTCGCCTGTATAGGGGTTAGGGATCCATTTCGGACACAGCCTAAAACTTGTAGTCTGAGCAGAGTTGGCTGGTCCAGCTGGACTCACAACGTCAATACAATCGGATATACAGAATTTGACTCTTTAAAAGTCTTTAAAGACCCCTTGAAACCCCCTAGAAAAATACACAACCAACCATTGATAACTATCAAAGGACATTTAGAAAAGTATTGGACACACCTTAGAAAAAATCCAGGACAGTCATAGACAAATACGGGACAAACCATGAAAAAATTATAAAACAGGATAAACCCTGGACAACTTCACATATAGTTGTAGAAAACAGAGCAAACCCCTGACAAATACCGCAAAAAGGATATGCAAAACTACCAGGCAAATACAGGTAAAAGTCTGGGCAACTGCATTTGAGTTTCCCTCTGGAATTAATAAAGTATCTATCTATCTATCTATCTATCCATCTATCCATCTATCCATCCATCCATCCATCTTGACAAACATAAGACAAACCCAGGCAACGTACCAGAGAAAGCTTCAACAAAAACAGGACCAACTCTGGACATCCAATTGAGGAATGGGAGATAAGTCCTTGACTTTAAAATGTGCTTTTATTTTGAAAAAAGCTTCACTCTATTTCCATACAATTTTTAATTTATGGAATTGAATGAAAGCAGCTTCAGTGTAAATAAAAAGTATAAATCAGCCACCCAAAGAGGCTTTTTTTTTTTTTTTATCCCAATAAATTTTTGAACATTAATTTTTCTGAGGGCTGCTGGCTACAAGTAGCTAGCTAGCAGGTTGCATCACCACTGCTGCTTCCTCTTTGTCCTACCTCTCAGCATAACATTTTTTGTCCTTTTTTTGTCACCCCTAAAATACATGATTCATTAATATATCTATAAATACAAAAGAGTTTCCAACATGTTGATGTTATAACTGTGCATGGCTGGTGATGAACTGGTTAAACTAGTTTAAATTGAGTGTTTGTTTTAGTCTTAACAGAATTGACTGGCTCAGTTACAGACTTAAACTGTAATGCCATCATAAAATATTCAGTTACTGAAATGCAGTGAACAATACAAACAAACTTCAAATAACATCCTGAACTCAAAGACCAGCATGATCTCAGCGTGATGATCAGAGTTCAGTTCACTCAGAGTTGAAATGGAAAGTGACGATCAGGTCAATCTTATTGATTATTGTTTAAAGGGTGCTGATGTAACTGATGAGCAGGTGTGAGCTCATCTTTTAGAAAACTCTAACCGTGGACTCAACAATGAAGTTTAAGTTTCATTATTGATATAGGATTTGGAACATACAGTTTAGCTTGGATGTGAAAACAGAAATAAACCAAAAGAAAGAAGAACAAACACAGTCTCTCGTCCTAATTATATCTGAGGAGGACATGCTGCCCCCCCCCCACCCCAATCCTGTAGTGATGGGGGGGTTGAGGGGAGGGGGTTAGAGCCGCAGGGCAGATCTTCAGAAACACTAATCTGTTCTGACTGTTCTCTGCAGCTCCACCGTCTAACAGAGATGCTCAGAGTCCAGCACTGCTCGGCGCGCGCGCACACACACACACACACACACACACTCTGCATGCTGTGTCTGCACGCGTCACCCTATAGCGAGGGGGGTTGGGGGGTGTATTACCCGGGGGGTTGCTGGAGTGATGCCCTGGGGGTGGAAAAGAAAAAACATCACCCCGAGGTATGAAGAGACTCTTCCTCTCTGCACAGGATGACTCTGTTTGATACATTTCATTTCAACCTGATCTGTTTCATTTTATTCTTTTACAAAAAAATTTTTTTACGGTAACTTTTTTTTTTTCGGAACTCTTAAAACGTCTCTTATTTTCAGATTTTTTAACAGGTAAACCTTCACAGTGTGCATTTTTTCATCAAATTAAGACAACTATAACCACCATTGAAAAGCTGATTTAAAAGCTGAAAAAACTGATTTAAAATTAACAGGTTTTTGCTGACTTTTTTAAAAATAAATTAAAAGTTAATGTTTAGACCAGACTTCACTGTTCATATTTAATGGAGATTCTCAAACAGTATCTCACAGACACAGCAACTAAAATTATGGTACCAGTGAGACAGAGTCAACTCAGACCTAAAAAGGCTTAGTCGACCATCCCATCATTCCTGACGTGCTTTCACCCTAAAAACCTTTTTAGCCTATAGGTCCCTGTTTCAAAATCAATGTCAGCATTACATCCTTGTTAGTGTTCCTGGTTGAGGTTTTACTCTTTTTAGAAGTATTTAATACTGAACACATGAATTGTTTCAACCTTTGATTCCGTCTTAAAAGTTTTAAACTGAGATGTAACACTCTTTTGTTCAGTTTATAGCTGTTTCATACTCAACTGTTCCTCCATTTTTATTTAAAAAAAATCTATATTGAACATGTTTTATGTCCAAAGTTGAATCCTCTATGAGAAATTAGGAATAGGATTTTTTATTTTTTATTTTGGTGGTAATTTTCAAGTGCTGCTCAAACTGCATGATTAAAATAATGCAATTATGTTTATGTGCTCAGCCTTTTGTTGCTGCTGTCAGTACAGATCTTTATTCAATTTAAAAAGACTATTATTTTGTGATGGACAGTATGAAGTGTCCCTCTATGTTATGCATTTTAGAAATGGTTGTAAATATAAATCTTTAATATTTTGTTTATAAAAAAGAATAGCTGTCTGTTGAAATTGATTTCAAGATATGTTCAATAAAACAGCTGTTTTATTCTGATATAAATGATAAATACAATCTGTGGAGACACAGTGATGTTTGGAAAGAAAAATTCAATAATATAGGGACACAGTTTGACTATGACTTTATTTTTTGTCAGCCAGGTTACAGCTCTAGTTCAGATATTTTTGTAATTCTCTAAGTGTGGTTATACATTTCCCCTGCTCCTGATCTTTGTGTTTGCATGCCTCACTATAGTCTCACAGCTCTCTCAGAAGACAGGTGTTTGTGTCTTTAAGAGGAATTTCTAACAGTCTATTTTGTCTGATTGTACACATTTGAACTGTATTTTTGTTTCAGATTTCATTTCGTCCTGTCTTCAGAGAATATCTGGTTCCTATAATCTGGTATTGTTGCGATATATGTTGTTTATTTTTCAGATATGGTGATATATCCTCTCTTTATGTCTCTCAGAGTTGTTCTGTAGGTATCTGCTGTGTGCTCTCAGTCTGCTCTCTCTCTGATAGATATTACCTCGTGTCTGCAGTATAAGACGGATGGCGTAGCGGCTAGCTGAACTGATTGCGGCGCTCTCGACTGTATCGGTGATGTAAAACTAACACGGCTCGTCTAATGAGCTCAGCAGGGCACAAATCCATCATGATGACATCTGCGGGCCCCTCCCCTTATTACCCACGATGCACAGCTCTGAGTGGATGTTTCTGCTCTGAGCGAGGAGGTGAATATTAAAGACGCTGAATGGGAGGTGTGAAGACAAACAATCCAAAGAACAGAGAGCATAAAACAGTTTTGACATTTAATCTCTCGTTGCACAGAGGTGAGGAGTTCCAGCATTTAAACAGATGAAAAAAATGTGAAAAACCACCCTGTCTGACCATGATGACTTTGAACTAAGTCATCAGCTCACTGACTATTTCTGAATGAGTGTCATACATACAATCCATAAATTTGAATTAAACTGAATAGATCCAATAATCTGTAACCATCCCTGTGCTCAGATTAAATCAGGAATCATCGTCAGCTAGAGCAGCTTGATACTGGTCAAAAAACAGAATGATGATTATTTTGATTTGATGTTGATATTACAATTACTAAAATCACTAACCTATGGATTGTCAGCTACATCACACATTAAAGAAACTTAAAACCTTTTTAAACCTAAAAGTTCTTCATTCTTTGAAAAACACAATATGTGGTAAACAAAACAGTTTTGCCCATCTGTCTATCTGTCTGTCTGTTTGTCTGTCTAACTAGATGATGTACATTTTCTAAAACTTACTTCTACTGAAAGAGACCTTGCACCAATTCTTCACTTTAGAAATTTGGACTTAATTCTGGCACTAAATTTTTAAACTATGTCAAAAGCAGGTCTAACAAATCATTCAGTCCTTTTTTTAAGCTTTTATAGAGTATCATTTATAACCTTTGTTATGATCCTGAAAGATGTCTCTCACTTTAGCCCAGCAGTAGTTAGCTTATTGGTGCTCATTCATCATATAATACATAATATATGCAGATGCCTTGTTACGTGCTGGAAGCAATTTTTTTTTTTTTTGTAGGATGGTAGGAGAAAGTCCCGCCTCCTTCGTCTCTGATTGGCTAGAAAAGCTGGAAACGTCATCAGATGCTAAAGCCAAACGCGGTCTGTCGGCTCTGTACATCGAACAGAACATTATAGAACATTATCGCACTTCTGAATCTCCTAACCCTAATCCTAATCCTTACCATAACCCTGAATTGCGTGCTGGAGCGTAATCCAGCATCTCTGCCATATTGGATGGGTCTCCTCATTCTAGGCTCACATTAGAGCCAAACAGAATCACCGAAGAATGCACAATTATGGCCGTTTTTTTTGCACCCTACAGTCGAAAAAAACCTAAGCAGTATAAAAACCAGATCACATAGAATTACATTTCACAAGTAAAATTTGAAACTAATTTAGATTACTTTTAATGTGTGACAGCATCCTGCATCATAACTACATCTCTGTCGTTTTTAACAAACTTTCGGGAAGTTATGATTAATGTAGTTGGGAATTCCTACCTTCCTCAATAGAGATAAATGGACTGGGGGCACACATCCAAGATGGCGGCCACACTGATACATGAGCTCAAATAGGCAGCATCAGTCTATAATGTGTCTATGTATATTATGTCTATGCTCGTCCACGCTCATGATTGCTAGAGCCTCTCTTTCCTCATGCTAATTCTGTCCCTCTGTTTTTCAGACAGTTACAAACACCAGCCACCAGTGGTCCACCATTACTCTTGACTGGAGCTACAAAAACCAAGTGCTCCCAGACTTTGTTTTACATCAATCTGAGCTGCTTATGAGGAAGTAAGAGTGAGAGTTGTTTGAGGGGAGGGGCTGCACTCTGCTTTCAAAGGAGAGAGAGGGTGTGCCTCATTCAATGGAAAGGACGTCTAAACAACACAACAGGTGGCGCAGTAATTGCTCAGTCTCACTTGTCATATTTTTATGATTGTGGCAAGGCATAATCGTAAGCATTGATCATAATCAATCCTAATTAAAACATGATTAATTGCCTGGTTCTATCACCAGCCTCTGTTTACACACACACAAACACACAGAGATCCACAGCATCACTTCCTCTTCATTCTCAAAGCAACTGCAGATCTTTTGTCTCCTCAGGTCTTTGTGACCACATTTAACATTCAAACATTCCTTTGAGTCCTGAGACCACCAAGATGCCCACACAACCCCCCACAACCCCTTGGTTAAATACCAAAGAGCAACATCTCTGAACCAGAACACATAGAGGAGCCCAACAACATGACCCAATCCTGATCTCTGGACTGTCAGGACTCAAACCTGTGGTCAGCTGGTCTCCTCTGTGTTCCCACAAGTTGCTGGATATAAAGGTTTGGTGAAACCACAGGGAGTGGTGTCATCATGCTGTGACCACCGTCTGTAGCCTTTCATTAAAGTTTAATGATTCCAGCTGAGAGGATTAAGATCTGTCTGTGAAGATCATTTCATTAATGATATACACAGTGTCACATTTACAGCTAATCACCCCCAGTGTCTGCAGGTTCAAAAGATTCACTTGAGAAAATGTGATAGAAGATGTTAACTGTCTTTAAAAGAGAAAAATACACAAAATACAAAAAACTCTCTTTCAATATAACTACAACCAAATCCAATAAAGCTTTAGTCCAGGTGAATCTTGAATCAAACACCAACAAGACAGAAAAAATCAAAAAAGCACAAATTTACAGCACATCTTAACCTGAATTACAAAAGCAAACGTTCAACAGTCAATCATCAAACAACCAAACAGACAAACCAATCAATCAATCGATTAACCAACCAACAGGACGCCCCTGGAGTGGCTCAGGTTTGATTTAAGTCAAGGTTTCTTTCCAGCACTGACCTCCTCAATCTCTCAGCACATTTCCTGATCCATCTGCTGTCCTGTTTTTCTTAAATAAAAGGTGAAAAGCTCCAAAATATCTTAAGAAACAAACAAGCAACCAACCAATAGAGAAACTAATCTATTAATCTATCAAACCACTGAAAAATACAACAAACAGCAAACCAATCAACCAAATCAAACCAATTAACGAACAAACATTCATCAATACCTCAGCTAACACACAACTTAGCAAGTCATCCGTCATTCAATCAACCAACCAACAAACCAATTAACCAAACAATCAACTAACTCACCAACCAGCTTTCAAATTAGTCCACCATTGTACAAAATCAGTCTATTTACCAACCAAACAATTAATCATTAGCCAACTAATCCACAAAATTATGACCCAACCAATAATGAAACCACCCTACCAACCAATTTGTTGATCAATCAATTAAATATACAGTGAATCAGTTTCTCAATTAGCCATTCAATCAACCAACACACCAAACACTTAATCAACCAATTAGTCAAGAAATAAACGAGCCAACCAATCCATTATTTCATCAGCGTATAAACCTACTAACCAACAATTAATCAATTAATGAGAAAACCAACCAGTCAATCAATCAATCAATTAATTTGTCAGAAAGTTCTTTGTTTAGTTGAGCTTCAATAAATATTCAAGAAAAAGTTATCATTACTAGTCAGCTGTCGCGATCATTATAATCAGACTCATGATCAATTATAACAGGATATTCATTGATCAGATGGTCTCAGCAGTTGATTATTGATCTTCTGTATCAGTCAGCTATAACATGAATAATACTTTTTTCTTACCCAGGTCGCTGCTGTTGTCTCCACTCTGAGAGACGTGTCCCCCACTGGACGGCCCCGGGGTCCCCACAGATGGCGTGGAGTGGGCATCGTCCAGGTCTCTCCAGGATGCCGTGTTCTGAGGGAAGGACAGAGGGTGAGGAAGAGTGTTAGAGACCAGCAGGTCCAGGATCAGACTCAGTTACAGTACAATAGATAGTACAAAGAAAATGTTAGCTTAGCATTAGCTACATTACCATTCTGTCCATCATACAGGTTTCAGAGTTTAGAGGACAGGGAGCAACTTGTGGACCTTCAGAGTCCAGCTTAGAGACTGAGCAGGGTCACAGTGAGTCCTGTCTTATAAGGGTGACACCCCCTTGTGTATTCTTACCCCCACCCTCACCCAAAGGACATTATCTCAAAGCAAACCTCTTCAGATTTGAATGTGTGTGTGTGTGTGTGTGTGTGCGTGTGTGTGTGTGTCAGCTGTTTGCCGGATGGTTCTCCGATGAAGAGTCCACAGATGACGAGGAGACAAAGACTCAGCAAGAAGCAGACACACTCTTTATTCTACAGCTGTGAGTGAGTGTGTGCCTGTGTGTCTGTGTTGAGGGTAACGAGAAGTGTTGGTGTGTGTGTTTCAGATTTAGTCAGCTGGTGATAAACTCAGATAATCCATGTTTTTAATGTTGTGAATAAAGAGAGCAGAAGTTTGCAAAGACGCAGGTTTGGCCAATGACGGATCAAAACTTCAGACTTAAGCGTTTTAATCCAGTTCAGTTGAAACAGGTGTGAAATTCATAGATCAGTCAGATCAAGAAACCTTTGTTGGAAAAAAAAAATCTTTTTTTCATTTAAAGACAAAAACAGTATAGTTGAGCCAATAGCCAACTCTGGGCCAAAAACCATACTCCAAACATTCCTGATTGTGAAACAGTGACAGAAAGCATCTGAAAGCACCAAGGCAACATGTGATGTTGACAGAAAAATATGACAGCCAGGTTGGCCAAGCTGTGGCATCAAGAGCTAGATGTTGTTTTCTCCTCATTCTCGCAAATAATCCACTCAATACATTTTTCAATATCCAACCTATCACTTGTCTCATCACACAGCTGTTCTAACAAGTGACAGGCCTTTAAGCTGTGAAGTACTTCAGTATTCAGTTTCAATTTAAGTCAATATCGGTACAAATATTAAAAAACAAGACATTAAAGGTTTTTTGATGCTAGCTTAGTTATTCAACCAGACAGCTCGATAAAATAGTCTCATTCAGACTAAGTGGTCTGTCCAAGCCTCAGAGGCTGAGTCCTTGCAGGGGTCCTTCAAAGGAAACTATCCCTGAACTGGGACACTACGAACAACTTCAACTTTCTCCCTCTATGACTTTAACATAAGTCTGTGGGAGTTTCAAAGGAAACTTTCTTGGCAATCGTTCACAGTCTGTCCTGATTTAACATGTACAGAGAGAGGAGCGATCCACCATGGTATGAAGTGTCTGCATGGACTTATACACCAACTACGACTGATCAGGACAAACAATTCAATGAAGCCAATCATTGAGTAAGCAAGCTTTTCATCATCTGACCTCACTTCTGGTCAGTTTTTATGCCAAGACACAAAATAAAATGAACGAGAGTCGATAAATTTCCATTAAATGCTTATTTTTCACTGTGTATGTCCAATCAAATTCTACAATCGTGATCTTAGAAGCTCCTCTGTTATCAAAAGAATACAATAAAAAGCAGAATGATTACTGTCTCACTGTAGAAACACTCTTCAGTATCAACAGTGGCTCACTTATATCTATAAGGGACTCTGATTGGTTAATCGACTCTTTAGGAGGGAATTTCAGCCATGGAAATATAGAGAAATAGTCATAGAAATCTCTTTCATGTCTATAAAACAACCCAGAACTAAAGCAAATAAAAAGGGAAGGGGGGCTGAAACAAAGACACCCCTTCATTTTCCTCACTCCCTCACCCCCTGACCAGCTGTATTAATCCTGTTTACAGAAACACACATGAAGTACATTAGCAAACACAGCTGTGCCATCTTCAATCTTCATTGTCACCATCATCACAAGAGATCTTTCCTCATATCAACATACTGAGACTTTTTTTTAATGATTCTTAAAACATGTTTTCATTTATCCAATCCTGTAGGCCTGACTAAGCTGAAGTCAACCTAGTCAAGTTATCTCTGAGTTATCTTTAACACAATAAATAAGATATAGGATTCACCTCCCCATCTGACAGGGAGAAGCACACCTATATGGAAAATTCAAAAAGCACAGTTTCTGAAACAAATAACCCAGACTTCAAAAAAATTCTGTGCCATGAGAGTCTGGCTCTGTTCGAGGTTTCTGCTTGTCTGAGTTTTTCTTGTTCATGGTAAAGCCATGCTGGATCTTCAGAAACAAAACCAAGAATTTACTCTTGACCTGCTTTTTTGAACAGTGTAATATAACTTTATCAGGATTTGATGCTATACAAAGAAAAATGGGTTGATTCTCTCAAACTGTCTTTTACTCCTTTACCAGCATGCTGTATTAAACCACTGCAGCATCTTCTTGCTTTCTGCTGCCACCTTGTTGGAAAACAACACCACCATTGCACTTTTGAATTTCATATTTCACTTTAAAAAAACTCACACACTGCTCAGTTGGCAATTTAAAAGTAATATGCACTTTGTACATTAAAACATCACCAAAGTACTTTGAGTTTGAGTTACCAGCTACTAACTCAACAGGTGCAATTGTAAACAGCATGATACAAGAGTGAAAGAAGTGCCATGTCAAAGACTACTGAGTGTAGTGTTGTGTCGTTCGTGAACGATTCGTTCAAAAGAACTGAATCTTTTAAGTACACGTACTGAACTGAATCACTTCCTCGAGTCATTCGTTGAACTGAAGTGAGAAACAGCACTGCCAGTCCAGCAGCCAGCAGTGAGGGACCACATGCACCACTGCCTGAATCACTTAGTGAACGAATCACGCATTGAACTACACTCTCTGGAATCATTTTTGACAGACTGAACTAGCTTTATTTTTACTGCTAAATTGCCACCACAACAACTTGCATACAATAGGACACAGCATGTAACAAGTAGTGCATTAAACCTGCAGCATCCTATCGTTGCAGCAGTTTGCGAGGGAACGGTTCATGTTCAGTGTGAATCCTCCTAAACGTTCAGTGAACGAATCACTCACTAAGCCCAATTTACGAAGCAAACCTGATAAATAGCATACCATAGGACAGTACACTTAAAACATCATGACTTATAAACAAAAAACAGGGTTTCCCTGTTAATGTGGATCTATAAACTGATTTGGTTTAAACACAGGAATCAAAATTAGATCATTGCAATTAGCTGAAATTGAAATTCAGCTGTTTATCATGATTGATGTTTACAATCAAGATAATAATCCTTTAAGAGACCTAATTTATAGAGAAAACTGCCCACAAACCCTGAAATAGTATAACTGCATGTTTTTCTCATTTTGATCTCATGACTCAAAGACAGATGCTGCAACAGGCCTCTGTTACAGAAAGTGAACATTTAGGATACTTTTAAATTTCTGCATAAATTAAGACACAATATAACACTCCAGACAAACAACTGCGGTAAAAATTATCGAAAATATCAACTAAGATTCCTCTGTGTATTGTTGACTACTGATCCTGTAACACTCCTCTCAAAAACGATTCTACATAGAGAATAAAGCCGAGCCAAAAAGCTATCGCCTAATTTTCAAAATAAGGATGACATGGACTCACATGGTCTGCTAGGTGTGTGGAGGATCCGGATAGGTCGTCGAAGTCGGCCTTGCAGACGTCCCTGTCTTCGATGACCAGGTCTATGGGCATCTTCCCCTTCAAACAGCTGATGTACCGGTGACAGAAGTTATCACACAGCTCATGCACCTGCGGATTAACAATCACAGTTTAGTAACAGGAATACACACAAATCACGTGTTTGACACGACATTGTTTTATTGTACCTTCTCGAGCTCTAGCAGGTGGAAGCGGAGCACCTGGATTGCCTGAATCATCTGGGGATAAAGAAATGATTTTTATTTATTTCTCTGAGCACAGCCATGATAAAAGTCTTGTATATTTATTAAAACCATATAGAAAAATAAAACTAGGGTAGCTTTATATCATCAAATAAAATATAGAAACTCACCAGGTTGTCGAGCTCCGGGTTTGAGGAGAACAGAGGTTTCTCTGCGCGGATCTGAATTCATAAAAAAGAAAGAAGAAATAATTGTTATTGTTTCAGTTTTCAAAAAAGAATTAATTATTCACCACGATCACACAGGTATTCAAAGAAAATTATCTACATTGCAACACAGGAAATATTGTTATTTAAAGACCGAGGAGGAGAAACGTGTCTGCTAGTTTCGTTGCTGCCCAGCGAGCTGAAACATTTGCGCATGCGCGTACCTGTTTGGCGAACACGGCGATGTCCTCGTTGAAGGAGTCCGAGGAGCAGACGTCACCTCCAGCCACACCTGGCTCTCTCGGCGTGCAGGTCGCGAGCTCACATTTTTCAAAGACAAGCGCGAGGAGTGGGAACAGAGGATGCCTAAAAAAGAACACGGAGACCGGGTCAGACCATGGACCAGGACCAGAACCAGGACCATATAAAGCTCATATAAACTGAACGTGGAGAAACTTCTGGGTCATTACGGTCCACATTATCTTTTATCTCATTTCACTATTTCTTTTCACCAATTTGAAAAAAAAAAAAGATTAAAGACTAAAGAATTAAAGACTACTTTAGACTAAAACTTGATTTATCAGAATAGCCTTCATAAAAATATAAAAGACACTCAAACATTTGGCATTAAAATACTTCATATGCTTAAACATGACTATGCCTGCTAAAAAAAATTTCATTTGCAAAGGGAAAAAAATACAACCTAATCAGTTCACTTCAATCTCATAAATATACAGGCCCAGTTCTATGTGTAAAATAATGACGTTTATTGTGTGAAATTAACGTGTAAAATAGAATGATGCAAATAAATTTTATTTTAATAATTCTAATTAATTAATTTAGGCCAAAAAGTTCATGAAACCTTTTCCCGTTCTTCCCTAAAGACAGAAAAAAAAGCCTGCACAGACAGAGCTGCACAGAATAAATATATGGTTTTAATCATTAAAATAAAAGGCTATACATGTTGAATAAATTGGTAATTAATTTAAAATAGTATTGTTAATAACATGCATGATGTTTATGTGGTCTGAAAGCTATACAGAAAAGAACTGAATAAAACGCAAATAATAGTAATTTTAATAATAGTTATTTTTATTGTTATTATTGAACCGACCCGTAGACTTGGTCCTTGTCCCGTTTTAGCGCATCGTTCACCACTCCCCCTACACTCGCGGGCAGGATGTTGTGCGGCGCGTGCGCCCCGTAGTGCTGCGGGGGATGCGGGGGTGGCCCGTGGTTCAGGTGGTGGACCTGCGGCAGCGGCCGGGGCGCGTGCGGGTCTCCGTACATAGAAGAAGGGACCCCAACCCCGTCCATGGCCCCCCCGAAATGAGACAGGTCATCGTACTGGAGGGTTAGATTGTAAAAATATCAGAGACAGGAGGACAGAAATCAGTTTTAATTTTGTAAATTATTTGAACTATCAGTTTTTGTTTGGGTCTGACCTACTGACTGGACTATTTTACTCGTTTAGAGAAAGGCCCAGAGTTAATGTTTTAACGTGTATTAGGATATTATCGATGTAAAACTTATCAAACAATTATTAGCTTCTTAATGAAAGACTGTGACATTTCTGCTAAAAAGATAACCCACAATAACAAACAAAAAATCAGATCATCTTTTTTCCAGGTCCCTCAGATTAATATCCATTCACGACTTCTCTCAGATTTTCATCTGAAGATGGAAAAAAATCCTTTTTAAAAATTGTATTACATTTAGTATTGGGCATCATAATCCGATATTTACCCAGGATATTAATAAATAAATTTATATCAAATTCTCACGCACACCTTTCACAGATTATTCAATAATCAATCAGATCGGTCCTACCCTCTGCGTCATGTCTGCGCGCTGCTCCTCACGTGCAGTGTTAATTCGAAACAGAGTTTAATCCGGGTTATAATCCTGATCATCAATAATCACACAGATCGATCAGCTGATCACAGGCAGCAGCATGTGTCCGCGCGCTCTGACTCTTCCCACAATGAAGGACCGTCACCCGCGCTCCTCCTCACTCGGTCTGGGAACCCATCTCTATCTGCGCGCGCCTCCACGCTCACTGACCGCGAGCCTGCCCTGCCGCACAGCATCTTATAGTGACACACATACATAGGATACCCCCCCCCCCCCCCCCCACACACACACACACACACACACACACACACACACACACACACACACACACACACACACACACACACACACACACAAATGTCAAGGTAACGCTTGTTTGGTGTTTTCCGGTTGGATCTTTCAAAATAAAGCTGCTGCTGATAGTGGTTCACAGTTCACAAGTTTTTTCTTTTTGTATTTTTTCTCTAATCTTTTCTTCGTGACCCATCCAGAACGTGTCCACGACCCATTTTGAGTCGGGACCCACCAGTTTGGCCAGAAAATCAACTCATTCATTCCCTTCTATCCCTACATGGCCAGGAACAAAAATGAAGCAAACTGTCAAACCCCTCCTATGCATTCTATGATGTATTTTATGTACTTTATAAACGAGTTCTTGCCTACATGACTTCATGGTTTTGGTACTTGTAAGAGCTGCCCAACTGTCTCATGCTACTAGTGTATTGTTATGATTGTTTGCTTCTATCCACTCCAAACCTACAACGATAGCTACTAGCTTAACTGTATATACTGATAAATGGTCTGTGGTTCTTTTCTTGATATGCGGCTACTTGGGCTCAAGCAGCCCCGGATATTTTTGCTAAAGCCCCGGATGTTTACAGTTGGGGTAAAAAAGCTTAACGCAGTTTTTGTCAGTTTCCCTCCACTGACCTCACCAGAGTCTGAAGTGTAGCCTTCCTGCAGTACCGGAGTCCAACAGAGAGGTAGCAGCAGCAGGAAAGTAACCTGCGTCCATAGCCTGCCCTGTCGAGAAGTTTGTCCTCCTCTTGGATTCTGTTTCCTGTGTTGATTCCGCGAGTTCAAATCGAGATCTGTCAGATGGACGTAGCAACACATAGAAGTGAATCGTGGACATAACGATTCGGCGGCGGCGCAACGACCCACCAGGAACGCCAACGCCGGAACAGATGATTCAGGTCTGTGAATTTTTAGATTAAAGGTCCTCAAACACCGGGGCCGACGCGAATATAGAACGGGAAATTACGTAATATTCGGAGGAGAATTTTGACGCGCCTGACTATACACATCAGGCCCGATGCGATTTTGCGACTTTCCGGGGGAAAAAAAACGCATCCAGGGAAGACTTTTCCCGGGGAAAGTCCCGCCTTCTTCGCCTCTGATTGGCTAAAAAAGCCGGAAACGTCATTACACGCGCAAGCCAAACGGTCAGCACTTATAGCCAATCAAGATAAGATTGATTGAGCCGATAAGATAAGCACATGAAACTATGGTAACAACCGTTAGCATACGTTAGCACAGATGAAAGTTAAAACAAAGACGTTTAGCAAACTGTTAAGGCACGCAAACTATTGTCATATGAGAGATCCAACGCTATGACTCTCCACAAGTTGTCCTTCAGGTCAGTGTCTTTGTAATGTTTGTGTCTTTTATCAAAGAGCACTCTTTTCTCTGACATGTAAAGAATCAGCCAGTCGGCCATGTTGGATATACCGGTTAATCTAAAGTCGCAACGACATGCAATCTGATTGGTCAGAAGTGGACACAAAGTATGCAAAACTGTGAAAAATTGACCATGATCGGAAAAAATAAATGCCACAATATCGCAGAATGGGAAAACGTTGCTGTTGTGAACGCTTGTATTGACAGGAAACGGGTTTTGAGAGAAAAAATATTGACGTCCGAAATAATCGCACGACAAAAACGGTCCCGGTGTGAGAGGACCTTGACACCCTTTACTTATGGCCGTAGCGCCGGCGCCATGTTTTGTACACCCTGAGAGTTATTACTGTAACTCCGCCAAAGTTCATCTGCTCAGAAAAATTTCAACTGTTGGAAAGCTGAGAGTTGTGGGCATGTGCACATATATGATTTACTAGGGTAGTCATTGCAAAATGCAGAAAGTATTAGCAGAGCGTCAAACAGCTTCTTGTTACCGTAACTCGTTAAAAGTTTGCTCAATCTGAAAAACTCCAACGCTGACAGACAGCTGAGAATCTGTGCTTTCTGTCAGTATATGATGTATGGTGTATATTACGGTAATCATGAATGGTACCACCAAAACTGCAATTTTGACAGGGGCAAGGGAGAAAAGGAGAGTGGAGAAAGAGATAAGTAAGACAGAGCTCTATCTTATTTCGGCTTTACTGTCTTTTTAGCTTTTGTTATACTTGTACTCTTCTTAATTAACCTTGTAGGCCTTTTATTGTTTTACTTTTTGCTCATTTCTGTTGCTCTATTTTATCATTGCTATTATTATCAGTATTACCTGTTATTATTTTATTATCATTGTTGATATTGCCTTTTATATTTATTATCATGTTTCCGCTTTCGACCCCCCTTTTAAATGCATTTTCTTTTTTCTGAACTATTTTATGTTTCTATTTTGGTCCTAATGGTCTCATTTTATGTTGCATGGTTCTTGAAAATGGCCTTCAATTCCGTTTTAACTGAGCTTTTTTTTATCTGTCTTTTTCCATGTGCTCTACGACTACATGTCAAAGCACTTTGTAAACTTCTGTTTTTAAAAGTGCTATACAAATAAAGGTATTGTTATTTTTTTTTATTATGAGAGCAAGCAGAATAGTGTTTTTTTTTTGTTTGTTTTAGAAATAGTAATAAAAATTAGTAAATAGTAGTACATATATAGTAATATATGAAATGGTCCCTACGTTACGTAGAGGAGAATGAGGAAAGCTATTTAGAGGAGAGTGATTTGGAGGAGAGCTATTTGGAGGATGCTTCTTCTGAACTTGAGGTGTGTTCAGATGAAGCAAACTGTGCATCATTTGCACACCCAGAGTCCTAGACTCGAAAAAATGACTTTTTCTGATTCTGAAAATGTATAGGTTGACTTTCAAACGTGAAATCAAAACTTTACCTTTGTCTAGATATGAATTTTCTGTATCAGCAATAAATATGCAGGCTAATAAATGCAGGCTACTGTTACTCCTGAGTGACCATAAGGAGAAACATATCAGGACTTCAGTATTCTGCATAAATAAGAATATTATGTCAATAATACATTATTTTCTTATCTGTGTTTCATTTCTCTTTGATATAGAGTTATTTACTATCAGAACCATGTTTCTTTGAAAATATGCTCAGTGAATTATTAAAATCTCATATTTGAATTATAAATACAGAAACTATAAGAAAACATGCAGCAGCCTCAGGCTACAACTCTGCTCATCGCATATCATTTCCTCCTCCACTGCTCCTTCTGAAACACACACACACACACACACACACACACACACACGCACACACACACACACACACACACACACACACACACACACACACACACCCTGTGATCTGATTGGAGACTGATTCAGGGTGTCAGCTCTGCGTTACATGTGATAAATTACCATCAGACGACATCAGCAGATCACCAGCACTCTGACCTCCTTTATACACGCGCATACACACACACACACAATTATATACACACTCATATGCACACTCACACACATACACTTACACATCACTCACACATAAACACACATACATGCCTGTCACCTCCTGTTTCAGCAAAAATCACTTGCTCTATTGGAACCACTGAGAAAAGAGGACAACTGAGACCTGTGTGTCTGAACACAAGTACATCCTTAATGATCCATTATATTCCACAATGATGTGGACCTCCAATGATCCCAAAGAATCCAAACTAGCAAATACGTATTCCCGATAATCAGCTTCAGGATGATCAGTTTGGATGGAGTTTGGAAGGGCTGCATGATATTATAAACAATTAGTGTTCTTATTCTTTCTGTTCTAAAACATTTATTTCTGTATGAAAAATACAGAAATTAAATACCAGATGAATGCAGTAGATTTTAAGTGCTTGAAAGTCATTCTGTCAGACTGAAACTGATCCAAGAGCTCTGTGCTTGATCAAGATTTTGTATGCTGGGCTTTGGTCAGAAAGTAGAATAACTTATATGCATCTCTAGGTAGTAACAGGACCTTGGGAGATGCAGAAAGGAAGTAAAAAAGGATGAAAGTTTCATGTTGTTACAAGGCTGTAAAAGTGAAAGTTTTTAATCCAATAAGACACTTGCTAATGCATTTGTCAATGGTTTTGGTATGTAGAAGGTCAACTGGAAGAGAACACAGTAGTAACAAGCTCAAAGGGTGATGTCACTCACCACCTACTGTAGTGAAGGCGACATGCTTTTTCAGAAAAGAGGTGATTTTAGATTGACATTTACTGCAGATTAACCTTGATCAATGAGGAAGTGGTCAGCATGACGTGTTTCAGGTCAGGTGACGAACATGTCGTTTGCAACTATTGTGCATGAAACGACGTTGCAATTGTGATGTTCAAATGATGTGCCATTCAGCTCGATATACAACAATCCAAAATGACCCAAAATGACCAACACTTATCAACAATAGTTATCAGTGACCTCATGGAACATTGTCTCTGGTTATGGTTGCAACCAGACATCTCATGTTCTCTCTCTCTCTCTCTGTTTGTGTGTGTGCGTGCATGTGTGTGTGTGTCAGTATTAATGAGCTCAGACTTCATTCCTGATGAGCGATGATTTGACTTCATTTGTCTGAGATTTATGATGGGCTCTGTATCTGCAGCCTGCAGCTCTTCTCCTCCCTTTAATAATGTGATGAACACATTAATCACCCAGCAGCGCACACGCAAACACACACACAGAGCTGGGAGCTCCATCCAATCAGAGAGCAGCGCTTCATTTTCATTCTCAGGTCTTATCTGCTGCTCGCTGTAATTACCTGTCTGATTGAGTTTGATTTAACATCCTTAAAACTCACTCACACTCTTGTGTTTATCGGCACTACGCACACTCAGGGTTTACCTACCATGGAACAGGGTTTACCCAGCATGCCGCAGGGCATCTAAGACAGTGCTCCATCTGTCCCTGACTGCACCTGTGGCTGATCTGGAGCTTTGCTTTTTAAAATATCACTGGCAGCACTCACACAGGTCAGCTCAGAAAACCAGGTTACAGCAGTAAGAAAACATCTCCCTTGATTGCTCTTTTTGTACCCTGTCATGTCACTATGTTATGAATTTTGAGTTTGTCCAAGTAATTTGCTAATATTTATCAAATACACAAGTCTCCTCTTGACACACTTGCACAGTAACAGGCACCGGCATCTTTCTCATGCTCCTATTAACTTTAAGCGGAGGAGAAAATGTGCAGGGGAAAGCCAGTGGGAGCTTGTTGACAAAATGACTTTACTAAAATTAATGATAGAAAGATTTTACCAGCTGAGGTTAAGGGATGAGTGGGCTGTGGGCAGGAAAATCAGCTGTTTGGCTGATGATCAGGATGCAATGCGAGCCCAGCATCAAGGCAGTGCATTAAATACAGATAGGAGCACTGTTTGTTTTTTAATTATCATTCATTCATGTCACAGCACCAAAAATACCACTTCTCAGTACCTGGAGGGATTGTTGTCATCAGAAAAGGGGCAGGGCTGCACATTAAGAGCAGAATCCCTGGATAGGTCTCACCAATATTGGCCCTTATGGATTGCTTCTTGTCCAATCAGATCATCCAATCTCATTTTCCTTTAAAGTGCTGATAAAGGAGGCACAGTGTAGCATGATCAAAACTGTGTGTATCAAAAATGTGATTATAGATTCATGAAAAAAAGACAGATTAATAAAAATGTAAAAACTCATTTCTGCTGCTTATCTGCAAAATTTTAATTTTACAGATTAATCCATTCAGAAAATATACCTTATAGTGCACATATACAGATCTGCGCTCTCATTAGCCAGTCAAAGTTTGTGTGTGTGAGAGAGAGAGTGTGTATGTGTGTTTTTTCAGTCCCTGGGGCTTTGTAGACAGAAGCTCATTATGTTTCCTCCAGAGGATTTTAATTGTTTATTCAGAACAAAGACTTTGCTCAGTGTCTGCCTCCCACACACACGCGCGTGTGCACACACACACGCACGCACGCACGCACGCAAACATGCGCCAGGAAAAGAATTCTCCTGGATTTACCTGGAATTTCAGACTTTCAGATGAGAGAGATGATCTGTGAATCATAGCTGTACATAGAAACATATTTTGAGTTACGTCCTTTAACGTCACAGTGAAGTTAAGAGTATTTCAGGACATCTGCATACTCACTTACTGATAGTATCCTAATATAATCAATACAGATACAATATCACCTCTGTACAGGTTTACCCATCATATCACCGTGCATACTGAACTAAAATGCAGTCTAGTCATTTTAGTGCAGTATAGGTGTGTAGAGAGTGTATTGTGTGTGTTCTGTGTATATTTGTATTCTCTATATTCATAATATCTCTTTCATTTATTGATTAAATTATAAATGATATATGTAAATCCTGCATTTCAGTTTCATTCATTTTCTGTAACACAAGTTTATGAGAGGTACCAAATAAACAGGTCTGACTACATAAAACATTTACTGTATTTAATTGTAACTGCGCTCAACTCCAAACTAATACAGCTGCTTATATTCAAAACTTTGACATAATATGTTTATGCATAAGTTGAAGTATCTATTGCTCTGATTGTGACCTTGTGCATCTGTGAAAGCTTACAGCAACATTATCTTTTTTTATTGAGTTAGTGGTTAACCTGACAGCAGGGGAGAAGGAGATGTCAGGAGGTGAGCTGTATATTGTAAATAATGAAGTCATTGGCTGTGTAGTTGATCTCTAATTGATCAGCTTCTCTCAGAGCACTGTTTGTTTAGTTAAAGCTCATAATGGTCTACAGCCTCTGGCACATAGCTGAGCAAAAGTCATATATCACAGCCTTCATCTGAGTGGAAAGATGGATTAGAGGCTGAATACGCCCCCTGTTGGCTCAACTGGGAACCAGCATCTTCCATCACATGATTTAACACTGCCATCTGCTGGAAGATGACAGAACTAGGACGTGTGTGGAGGGGAGGAAAAAACTCCTGTTGAACTGAGACTCAGTAAATGGTTTACACAGGCTTTGCTGAATGATATTTGATTCTAGTCATTATTAGGCTGATATAAGAACTGCTAAAAGTGAGTTTAGGTAAAAAGTTTAATTCCTCTAGCACAGGAAACAGTAATGTAGATTTCTTTATTTGGATCAATGATGCTTCCAGATTAGGAATAATGGAATTAAAAATACTTTTAACATCGGAAGCAGCAGGTTTGACTTATTGTTTCAACTAGAAGTGACTATAGGTTAAGAAATATTGGAAAGGCTTTTGGATTAGGCAGCAGTAGGATAGACTTCTCAAAAAGAGGCAGAGGACTGCAAGGCCTTCAATATTCAGAAGCAATGGAATAAAAGAGCCTTCCAAGGAAATCAACTTTGACTGTTAGTTGGTAGGTTTAACACATTTCTACACAAAAAGTACCAAGGACTAAGCTAATAACTGGACTAAGCAGCTGTCAGAGTGAGACAATTTATAGATTATGGAGGCATGAAATCATCACTCCTCTGAACAATACAGCAGCAGGACTGAAAATAGCTCTAGATCGGTCTCTGGAGATGTGAAGTGTGTTTGAAGTTGTTCATAGCTTAAAAGAAAAAACAGAAAACATGACTAACTCTTGTGCTGGAAAAAAAAAAACAGCAACAACATCATAAGAGCTTGATTGTTTTTTAATCTGTATATATTCAGAAACAGTTATGAATATATCAATCATTAATATGACATTGTGAATATTAATTGAGAATTCAAGTGATCAGTGATTACAAGACATCCAAAAGTGTCTAATGTTCTCTTTGATTTCACAAGGATGACAAATTTCTGAGGATTAATGAATAACACTTTTCTTTGTGGTAAATTAACTGTCATTCAACATATCCACAATAAAAATGTATAATAGTATACAAAAAAAGTAAAATTATTACATTTTGAGTAGTTTAATTCATTTCAGCCTCCAGTTATATATAACAACTAGTTATAACTTTATAAATGCAACAGCTCTGTATAGTTGAAAGTTTTTGAAAAGTCTCTGGATATTAGCTAACCCTTTCATAATGACTGACAGAGTGATTTAATGTATGACTTTAGGAAATGATTAAAACAAAAACGAAACAATCACGTTGGGTAAATTTCATAAAGTGGTTCATAAAAATGTGATTTCAGAATTAAACACATGAAACTTAAAAAGAAAAAGACATTAATGTCACTAAAGTAAGGTTGAAAATCAAAAACAATAGGATCATCATTATATAAATTATCTCATATAATTCATGGATAATTTTTCTAAATCATTTAAGATTCATATTTTAGTTTAATTCTTTTTGTGATACTACAGTAAGAATTGAAAAATGACTACTAATACATTCAGAAAAGCAAACATAAAAAAAATAGTCTTATGTACAACACAAGTCTGTCATAGAAACAGTGTTCACATCAGGCCTCCATTGTTTCTTAAGATATCATGACCTTGTTTGAACCAGCATTGACAGCTGTTTTCATGATTTGTACCCACACTGACACTCTGTCACTTGCAATGCGTGAGCTGTCCAGGCACATTCTTCACCTTTTCCTGTTTTGCAGAGGAAAAACAATTTGTTAAACTGCTTGGCATAACACAAAGACAACACCAAAAGAGACACATTTTCCATTTTCAGGTGATAGAAAAATAATGTCTCAAGAGAAAGTTGCTACATGTTGTATCTCTGTGACATGAAGAAAGTGAAACTTTTTCTTCTACTCCTTTGTGGCTGTCCGGCCTTTTAAAAACATTTATTCAGATACTGTGTGTCTTGCACAATGGTAGGAACAAAAAAAACTATCAATTATAACTATTACTGTAAACGTGTGTTTGTTTTGTATTAAATGTGGTGGTACCTTTTCATTGTAGGAGTCTGAAGATCTTGTCCCTGTCTGGATCATTTTGATCATTGTAGCCCTTCTTATCAATCCACTTAGTGATGGTGTCGAGATCATTCTTCGTCATGACCCCCTTGCCGCCTAGCAGGTTAAACCAGGTATGGACCATCATTTTACTGTGCTGCTGAAAACTGCCTTCAAAAACAGCAAGCCTTGTTTTACTCCATGGGGTGTCCTGAAAGGAGTTGTAGTTTCCAGTGCTGTTCAAGTTAGATCTCACCATTGAGCCGAGAATCGTCAGTTTAAAGGTGGACACGACGTCATCATCTCTTATGGATTTAGTCAAGTGCTCTCTGAAGTCAGGTGATTTTGTACTGGGAAACTCACGATGTACATCTTTAGGCACATAAACGGTTGGAAGTTCAAGGCCATGGTAATTTTTCACATTGTCAATCAGGTTGGGATTCAGAGGAGACGATTTTGTTGCCACTTCTAACATGGCTGTGGCTAATTTGCTGTTTTGGTCCAATTTGTTTGCATTCACTATACAGCTCACTGGTGGTTGGTGATCTGCGTTAATGAACTGTCCAATTCCTGGATTTTGAATTGAGTATTTTTTCCAGGCCTTGTACTGTTTCATTTTTCCCACCTCTTGCTTCAGAAACATTTTGGTTTCTTTTACTTTTTGTCTTGCTGGCCCAGCTCCCTCTGCCATAAACCAGTCCCCTCCTCTGATGGATTCAGTCCACTCTTTCTGCTTGATGAAAGGCTCCCAATGGTCTGGGTTTTGGAGGACAGCATCTGCCGCTATACCACGGAATCTGTCTGCTGTCTTTGAGATCTCTGCCTCACTGGCATCTGGATTCATGCCTCGTGCCAGAGCATGAAACAGACAATTCTTGTCTTTGCTCTCTACGCTGACTATCCGGTTATTGATGAACACATCGTAATGGCCGTTTGGGTATTTTTCACTTTTTGGTTTGTAGATCAGCGTCACATTTTGATTGGCTTTGTTTGGACTGAGCTCCTGCATTTTAGTGAGTTTTCCACGTTTGTCCTCAGTGAGGATGGTGACTTTAGTTTTGGTGATTTCTGATACGAATTTGCCTTCAAGGATAGTTCCTGCAGTTGTGGAGTCCTTGATCTTCTCAGCATATTTCCTTGACCGTTCAATCGCCTCTCTTGTATGATGCTGTTTAGAAGTTAGGTTCACTGGCATGTGTGCAATGTAGTTGCTGCTCTGTCCAGCTTCAAGCAATTTCTCTGTTCTTTCACTCTTTAAGCCAGTCGTTGCAAGTCCAGAAATGGAGCCATGTGCTTCACTTTGAGCAACAGAAACCAAGTGACTGGAGAACTTCTGGTGGAACACTTCGACCAAAGCAGCAGCCAATGAACTGGTGATCATGTCAGTTAACTCTTGCTTGAATCCTTTCAGCAACTCTGTGTCTGAAGTAGAAAGATTCTTCTTCTCCTCCTCAGGAGAAGCTTTTCTCTTCCTGAATGAACTCAGCTGCTCCTGAAAGTTGGTGAAAAACTTGCTGGAGAGGCTTAGCACTGCAGCAATGGCGTCTCCTGCCAGTGCCCCCATGTGGGCAGTTTGGATGGCTATCAGAATTCTTCGTGCTTTTCCTTTGGCTTTTGCTTTGGCTTCCTCAATAACACTGTAAAAGGATGAGTTCAGCTTGTTTTGCAAGCTGAGGTCTGCATAGAACGGCTGCATTGCAGTGTCGCTCAGCTCTTTGAATATGTCCAGTAGTTTGGTCTTTCTCTGGGTGTCCTGAAGGAGATCCTGAAGTTGCTCTTTATCGTCAACATGTAAGAGGATAACAGAGTCAACTAATGAACCCAACTCTTCTTTTTCTATCTTTGATTTTACATCATCAGCAATTCCCCTCTTCACCTCATTTTCAATGCCAAGTAATATCTGTTTGAGTATTTCTTCTTCTCCTTTCTGCAAACCATACGTAATGATTTCCTCTGCCATCTTTTTTGCAGTGACTTTTACTGCATTCTTCATGTTTGTTTTTGCAACAACATTCAAGCCATCTTTTGCCTGATTTGAGAGAAACTTTGGCAAAGATTTAAGCTGTTTACCAAACCTTTTCAATAGTGCTTTAGAAGCAGTGAAGCCCTTTGCAATCAGCTTTCCAATTCCAAACCCAAGGAGAGATAGACCAATAGAGACAGCCTTTTCTATAGCCCATGATTTCCAGCTAAATTCCCCTGTCACCATGGACTCAATGGCATAGATGCAGTCTGATATTCCTTCAGTGATCAGTCCCATGCCGACTTGAGCTAATGTGCCAAATGTGAATGCAGTCAGCAAAGCACCTCCAATGATCTGTAAGGCTCCAAGGAAGAACACCAGCAGAGCTTGCCATGGGAAACGAGGCTCCTTTTCAACAGAGAAAACATATTGCAGACCACGTCTGAAGAGGTTGTCTGCTTCCACCTGGAACTCTTCACCAGCATTTGACACCAGGGAGGAAACTGGTGACTTGTTGGCTCTTGCATTCCGCTTCTCTCTCTGTATTTCATCCAGCTTTTTAATAGCCTCAGTAATGTTGTCGTCAAAGCAAATGAGCATCTTGTGCTTGGTTAATAACTGTTTTTCAAGGCTGGTTTCACCACTTTTGTCTGAAGAGGACATGTTGACCAACTGCAGAGAGACTATAGGCTCTTCAATGAGATACTTCAGTAACTCTTGTGCCTTCTTCAGATCATCACTGGCCTTAGTGAGGTAATCATCACCTTTCTTATTTATAGTGCAGTATGCACGACTGTAAAAAGCGATGGCTGCCCAACTTTCATCTTGGTCTATCGCTCTTTCAAAAAGTCTGCTGCTGACATCCCATCGCTTTTTACCCAGGGCAATATTCCCAAACTTGATGTAATGATAAATGCTTGAACATGGTGAAGTCTGGCTCTGAGACTGTCTTTTTGCCCATTCCAAATCAGCTTTCAAACTCTCTCGCAATTCACTTGCTTTCAGCTGATCAATTTCTTCCGATTTGATTTGCAGCCATATCCCCCAGAACTCGTTCATGATGGCAACAGCTGCTTTTTTCTCATGTCCGTCTGTGTTTGCATGGATCTCTCGAAGAGTTTTGCAGTACGCTGAAAATAGCTCCTCTCGCAGTCTCAACTCAGTGATTTCTTTCCTCATGAGATTTGTCTTCTCTGCTGCTAGTTGATCTCTTGTGCTCTTAGCTTCCTCCAAACAGGATGCTTTCCTGAAAGATGGCTGCAAGTGTTCAGTGGACATGATTATCTGAGCAGATCCAGGTTTACCTTTGCGTGCAGTTCGACCAAAAGCTTGAAGTTCCACTCTTGTGTTGTCAGAGAGGAAAGAAAGTACCACAAACAAGCCTCCGTTGTTGTTCACTGTTTTGGACACTTTTATGTTTGTGCCACGCCCAGCAAGGTTTGTGGCTACAATGACATCACCGGGGAGCAGTTGCTTTTCTATTTTGCACAAAGCGTCCCCATCACTGCGGCAGTACAGAATGATTTCACCTGGTATGCTACCCTTCAGCTCTTCATAGATCTCTTTGGCTTTGTTGATAGTTTCACAGATCACCAGGGAAGCTCTTCCTTCTCTGTATGAATTAGTGGAAATCTGTTCCATGACCACATGTTTTATTTCAGATTTCCACTCTTCAGCTGAGGTTGTCAGCGTTCCTCTGACTTCATATAACTTCTTTCTGTTGAACGCTGGCATTTTGCAGGCAGAGAGAGTTGAATATAGAGTCTGCAAAAACTGAATGTCTGCTTTGGATCCAAGAGTCCCTGTTGTTCCATATATTTTTCCACCATACATCTCAAAGAAGGAAATGTTGGAAAGGTAGTTTGTCACGACTGAAATTGTGCTTAGTTTGATTTTGTGTTTTATCTCGACAAACTGCTGCAGACCATCACCCCATTTCTTGTTCAGTTCTACAATCCCTGTGGATCTGAAATCAACTGGACAGACATTGTCATTTTGAACAACATATTCCCGTCCTTCTCTCAGTTGCATTGCCAAAAAGGCATTCTGAACCCACACAGGCAGTTTCTTCTCCACAAGATTCTTCAAGAACCCAGGAATGCTGATTTTGTTGGGATTATTTGGACACGGGGTGTACTGAACCTTCTGTGAGATTAAGTCTGCAATGGGCTTGTTGAGATTGACCTCTGAATCATACAGAGTGCAACACAAACCTTCACCCAATACAAGAAATTTGAGCTCTGGAATTTCCTGGTCGTTATACGGGGTGTGCTTTTGAAGACAGAGCATTCCCCGGCTGTCCAAAGTATAAACAGTGAAGCCATAGGGAACATAGCCCTCAAGTTCTTGGAAAAAATCCACTACAGCATCCTGAGTCACAGTTTTCAGTTTCTCAAGAAGTTCATCCTTTGTACTTTTCAAGATTTCCTCTGTAAATCCTTGCTTCACTGTGTTAGTTTCTTCAGCAATTCGTAGGATGTCCATCGGGTGCTTGATTTCACTTCCTTCTGTGTCTATTGAGTCAAAAATGGCCTTGAAGAAGGAAGCAGGAGGACTCCGTACAAATGTTTGGTGTTCTGCTGACAAGAAGCCATATTGGCTGACATGGCCCCAGATCATGGCCAGGATGTTGTTAAGGTGCTCCATGATTGCACTCCCTGATCCAGAAGCAGTGAGTCTACTTCATCAATTATGATGCACTCATATCTGCGGTCAGGCCTGACTTCTTTCATTTCAAATACCTGACGAAGATGATCTGCAGCAAAGGCTTCGATCGTTCCATAGACCACATCTTTTTGGTAGCACTCTTTTCTCTCATCATCGTCAGTTTTATTGGTGTTTGTGTCAGCTGTCATGCCAAAAAACTGGTAGAAGTTCTTCCATTCTTCTGCATCTCTTTGACACAACACAGGAGAGCTGGAAACCACATCTACCTTTTCACCCCGAAGCACACGCAACGCTGCAAACATCGTTATCACACAAGACTTCCCTTCTCCAGTGCCCATCTCCAACAGCCTCCCAGTTTCAGACAAAGCCAACAGGCACCAGCTGATCATCTGAGTGTCTCTGGGCCACCACCCTTCACTTTTCTTGTATGGTGGGCCATTTGTGTAATGTACAGCATTGCACAAAACTGCCAGAACCTCCTGAAGGTCTTGTGTTTCTCTGCTGTGACTCAGAGTCTTTGCTAGCTGTACATCTGTGTGCTTTTCAATTTCCCCAATGTTGATCAAGTTTCTGACATGACACACTGCTGTGTAAGCTTTCTCTAGTGTCTCTTCATCAATGTCCCTCATCTGTCGCAGTTCATCAAAGATATCATCGATGCTTTTTGCTTTCTCACCTCTGAGGTTCTTTTCTAAATGCTGGATCAGATCCTTGGTCCCACATGTGTCCAAGAGCTCTCGGAGAGACTGATTGTTCTCATCAGTCCAATGCAAAGATACCTGGTATGTTGTTATCAAAAGCAGAATCTTCATGATGCTTATACAGTCTTTATCATGATGGCGCTCAGTTAAGACTACAAGGAGGTGTAAAAGTTCAGCTGGAGACCAAAGTCTTTGAACCTCAAGGTTTGAAACTATCTGCAGTAGGTCTTTTATAGTTGTTGAAGGACTAAGTCTGAGCACATAGTCAGATAAACTTTCCAAACACCATTTTCCCATTGGGGAGTTTTTGTTCCATTGGGGAAGATCTGTTTCTTTGGAGACCTCCTGTAAAAGACTCTCAAGAAGGGTCAAAATGAAGACATCTGTGGAAGACAGCTGTTTCCCTGTAATCTTCTCAAAGACAGCGGTGATTCTAATGTCTGAGGTTGTGTCTTTGTTAAGCTTGGTGTGGAGCACCTGGAAAAGAGTCGTCATAGATGTGTGTCTCAGCTCCTTATCATCAATGTGAAATTTACCCATGAGGCTTTGCAAGAACTTTGCAGGAAATGCTGAGGCATCATTGTCCTTAATTTCAGGGAGTTCAAAATTTATGGAAGTATCAAGACTCCTTCCTTCAAAGACAAGTCCACGACTTTGCTGAGGATTTCCTGTTTCCAGCATCTTCAGGCCGTGTTGAATGTACTCATTGACTGTTCTGTACACAACATTGGCCTCAAAGGCGTCTGTATGTGATGCTTCAGTTTTCTTCATGTTTATGTTGACAGACATCCCCAGGTAACTGTAAAAGTTAGACCACTCCTCAGCCCTTTCCTCTGGCTGTCCATCAGAGCTCAGCACGATGTCCATCTTGTTTCCCATGAGCACTTGCACTGCTGCAAACATGGCGGTGACACACGGATCTGGCTCCAAACCAACTGGCTCAAATGCTGCACTCTCCTCAGCCAGTACCAACGCACACCAGCGCAGCATTATCCTCACTGTAGGCCACCAGCCTTTCGTGTCAAAAACTGCTTTGCAGAGCTGAAAGAGGGAGTTCTGTTTTTCTCCTGCATCAAAGATTAGACCTTTAATCAGATCTTCTTTCAACAGAGCATCTTTTGATGCATTTTCAGAGGAGCGCAACACACTCATGGTAATATCTTTGATCTGATCCAAAACAGAATCCTCTAAATTCCATAGTATTTTCAATTCTGCCAAAGCTACATCTAAACTGCTCTCATCTTTCCTTCTGAGGGTGTTCTGGAGGTCTTCAAGGAATCTCTCAGGGTCAGCAGAGTCCAGGGCCTGAATAAGGGAGTTTCCAGACTCATCTGTCCACTCTGGAGATAAGTCATGTACTTGAACCAACATCAGGACTTTACATATTGAATCGTCCTTTTTGTATTTCTGTAACAATGCTGTGAACAGAGTCATCGCCTCCATCGGGGTCCACTTGTTCTTTTGCACCAGTTTGAGGAGCATCTTGGTGGACTCTGAGTGTGTTTCTTCCACATTGTTGTTTGTGAGTGAAGATAAAAGCAGCTTCAAGCTCTGGATTTCCATATTTAAGACGAACACAGAGGCTCTTCCTACTGCTGTCTGCATTGATGAAATAAGGGAGCTCAGGAACTCAATGATGAAGACCTGTTCATCGGAAAGCTCGTCTTCAGCCCACTGTTTGGCTATGAGGACTGCACCAGTATCAGAGCTGCGATTCTCAGTAAAAAAGTTCATCAGGGTCAGGTACAGGGCCTGGCTCAGAAGAAAACTCTCAAACGTATTAGAAGCTGATTGGCTGATGGAGCTTACCAGGTACTGCGCCTGTGTGGAGATATTCTGTAAAGAAACTTCCTCAGATATCTCAAGAGAGAGCGCACACAGCTCTGTGATGAACACCTGAGTGTGCTGCAAAGTGCTGAGGGAGGGGGGAGCGCTGATCCATTCATCAAAAAGGAGTCTGTCCAAAACCAATATGATGCTTCTCAGATTATCTGCAGTGAGCTGACTGAGGCTCAGATTCTGAAGTGGAATGCCACATTTGGAGGAGAGGATTTCTATAAGTTTGTCATCCTCGCTGCCTGATTCATCGTTCATTTCAAACTCATCCATATCAGTTTTGAGAACCTTTCTCTTTGACTTGAGTTCCTCTGAATGGATGTTGCTCAGTTGTTCCTCCCGCTGCTCTTTGGCTTGTTGGAGTGAGTCCTGTAATCTTTGATTCAGTTCTTCTCTCCTCTTTTCTTCAGCCTCTCTCCTTCGCCTCTCTTCTTCTTTTCTCCTCTCCTCTTCTTGCCTCCTCCTTTCTTCTTCTCTTCTCCTCTCCTCTTCCTGCCTCCTCCTCTCTTCTTCTCTTCTCCTCTCCTCTTCCTGCCTCCTTCTCTCTTCTTCTCTTCTCCTCTCCTCTTCTCTGCTCTTCTGCTCTTGATCTCTGATTGGCTGATAAAAGCAATTGGCGCATTGGTACATATAATCTTGGCCTACTTCTCTGAAGTATTGACCTCCATTGAACACGTGTACATAGATTCCATGAATAGTGGCTTGTTTCAGGTTGTAAAAGGTTGTACACGGAGGCAGGACACAGTTACATTTGTAACATCTTAGCCTGTCTCCCATGTTAGCCTCTGATGGTATGGATGGTTTATTCCCCATTTTTCTGATTTATTCAGCAGTTTAGTCTGTGATGATTTTTCTGTTTTCTCCTGTAAGAGACAAACATAATTCAATCAAGACCACTTCAGTCAAAAGAATCACTATTTGCATGCAATAAGTTTAACTTGGTGGTTGCAGCAGGCAGAGTGGGCAGGAGAAGCAGTTTAAATAGGGCGCCATTTTGACATTTGCCAATAGGATGTTTGGGGGCGATCAGCTGAGCTGTCAGCTGACTGAGGGCTGGCTTAAGATCAGCCGACTGTAGCCTTTAGCTTGACTTCGTGTCCTGCCTGAACTATCGCTATGCTTTATTTCACATCAATGGATAGCTGAGGCAGGAAGAGCAACAGCAAGGACATCTTAGACATGACAGGCTAACCTCTCTGTCCTCCAGGTACTCACATAAAAGCACTAGTGGGAAAGTAGCTACAAAGTTGAAACTAGAAGCTATTTGGCATAATATTTGTTGTATTAGCCAGCAATGTAGGGCACCCATTGCTGTTGAGAATCAGGTTCAGTTCATGGGTGACTACAGGAGTCAGGATACTATAACTGGGTAAAGTACATACGTCACCAAGAACCAAAACCCAAAACCAACAGAGGGCGCTGCATCTGTATAGTTTTAAGGCTTGTTAGTAAGCTAGTTTTACTCAGTTAATGCACTTCTTTTTACAACAATGCTCCTCCACATGCTGTTGTAAACACAGAAGTGCTGGCTAAAATTATCCAAAATGTGAGTTTTACATTTGGGAAATCTTAATTAAAACACCCAACTGTTAACGTGAGCAGCGCTGAGTTGGATCTGTTTCTTTTTTCGTTTGGGGAGAGCATGTGTTTGAAATAATGTCTAATCAAGATTTCTAAAATAAAAGCTTTTTTTATTTCCAAATTAACAATAGTTAGCTCCGGGGCTCTACACTGGGGCAAGAGGGGGCAACGCCCCCTCAAACAAATGGCCTGTCCCCTCAAATAAAATTTTTAATTGTGGAAAATCCGCAGAAAAAGCACAAGTTAATTATCAGACCCCGCTCATCTCTCATCCCTTCATCTCCGTGCAGCGTGTGTCTTCACACACCCTGCAGTCAGAGATCACCTCCCCCGCCCCTCCCTCCCCATCAGTAAACATCCAATCACTGTTCAGTATGCAAATGAGCCAAGATGCACTGCTGCAGCCTGAGACTGTAGTGTCAGGTTTCAAGACAGAGCATTAGACTTTGAGGAAGCAGCAAAATTCCACCCAACTCGTCGTAGCAACCTGTGAGATAACTAATAATTAGCAGCAACTAAAACAAAACTTAATATAACATCCAAACATATTGTGCACTCAACTGGGAAATAGTCTGCAGTTACCCAGTGGGTGCATTTCTCAAGTCACAAGCACAGAGTAGAGTAGTGGAACTGCAGTGTGGAGAGAAAGAGGAGTGGAATGGAGAGGAAAAATGGTAAGGTGGAGAGAAAGTCGGAGATTTTAGTGATTAAGTTGCTAATAAATAAATAAACAAAACCCAAAAGAGAAGGAAAAAAAATAAAAATGTTATGTGTGTTATAGCCTATATCTGCTCTGAATCTGTTGTGTTAGACAAATTAGATTCATAACTTTGAGAAAATGCTTGGTGTTTGTGTATAGTGTATGGTGGAGAGAGTGGAGAGAGAGAATAGTGTATAGTGGAGAGAAGGAATATTTTTGAGTTATTAGCTAATAAAGAACAGAGTTGTAAAATGTTCTGCCCTTTATTGTGTTTTACAAATAAGTCTGAGAACTTGTGATGCTTGGTGATTTCTTTTCATTTGTTTACTGTTCAGTTTTGAAAATATCGATTATAGTGAAACATGTCACTAACCCCAAAATGACTGAGACATGTTGCCCCAAACTGCCATGTTTGCTAACTCTAGCTCTAGATTAAAGTTATCTTAAAACAGAAAAGTGACTGAGGTATGACAGGATGTCTTAATCTCTCCTCTAACAAGTCCACATGTATCACGGCTTGGATTTTTATCTGGAAGAAGCTTATTTTAAAATATATTAAGTTATCTTTTTTTACTTTGGGTTGTGTGAAATGGTTAATTGGCGCTCATCTCAGCTCATAATGTGCGCTTCTCTTCTCAGAAAGAACACAACCCCTGATCATGTAATGGAAGAAAACTAGTATTCCACTTTTTAGTTGTGCCCTCTGGTGGCAAAGATAATTGCAATATGGCAACTTACCTGTGTGACAGCAAGCCCTGGTCCCCCCTATTTGAGAATTAGGCCATCCAGTTAAGAAAAATGTTATGTTGTTGGTTGTTAAAATCTGGATGAAAGATATATATATGTATTTTATTTTAATTTTTATTTCTCAGTTTTCCCCCTGAGGTATTGCCACCTTATTGTAGTCTGGGGGTTTGTGTGCCTCAGCGACCCTGAGAGCTATACCAGCAGGAGCTATAGTCTTCAGGTGGGACACCCAAGTTTGACAGGTCTTAAGGTAAAGGCCTGACAGAATGCAATCCACTTCTCCAAGTTGAGAGCTGGACACACAGCTAACGACCCATGCCTTGAAGAAAACACTAACGGTGTTAAAAATGTGTAAAAAAAATTAATTAATTAAAAAAAAGCCCCCTTAACATTTCTGACTGCCCCCTCATATGATCATTCCTGGAACCGGCCCTTGTGAACTCTTTTTGTGAAATGCTAATTGTATTTGCTTAGATGTTGATACTGCTGGCTAATGTTATTCATACAGTACATACACTTAAATTAGTGTATGTACATTAGTTAGATAGTAGTTTTAATTAATGCAAAAGGAGTCACACATTTAATAATAAATGTTTTATACAAAGCATTGTAAAGTGTTATCAAAACAATGAGTTGAGGTTTATCATGATTGACAGCACCTGATGTGAAAAATTTTATCATGACATTTTTTTGCCATACCGCCCAGCTCTATTGACATAAACAGAGCAGAGAGCTGTCACCTGTACTGATTCTACAAGAGAGAACTGTATGTACTGATAACACAAAAGTGTGCTTGTTTGCTTGTGTGTGTGTGTGTGTGTGTGTGTGTGTGTGTGTGTGTGTGTGTGTGTGTGTGTGTGTGTGTGTGTGTGTGTGTGTGTGTGTGTGTGTGTGTGTGTGTGTGTGTGTGTGTGTAGTAAAGACAACAGAGGGAGAGCTGTGTGAGCTTATGAACAGGTTGGTTAGGTTGAGAATGAGACAGATGAAAAAACATCTTGAGCCGAGGACAAAATACTTTCTCCAAGTAGGTTATCTTTCATACCTCTTACATTTTTTTAACAGTCTAAACATAAAGATAACTCATGAAATAAAAATAAAATTGTCATAGTGTGTTAATGTGACGGTGTGACAGAGGCATGATGGCACAATGAAAGACAAGAATCTTTTGCAATAAACATTCATTTTGTGAAGAAACCATTACATGTTCTAATCATTGAAGCAGTAATTTAATGGATATTTGTTGTAAAACTTTTATCATCCTCAGAGTTGTACATCTTTTGTACTGTTATTAAAATGAATGTTGTGATTATTATTTATCAGTATTAATAGATTGCACCATAATCATCTGTTATGGACCTTATAAACATGTTAAATTGTCTCTGTAGAGCACAGGTGTCAAACTCAAGGCTCTATAATTTAGATTCCAATTTCAAATTTTAAGTAATATTTTTACCTTTTAACCTGATTTTAATGTTCTTCTCATGTATTTGCTCTTTAAATGAATTATTTTTCTGTTTTTAATATCATGCTCTGATCTTTTGAACTAATAAACAAAAATAGAATAAAAAAATAACATTTTTCTATCTCAGATTGCCTTTAAACTTTATTTATTTATTTATTTTTTGAATTTCCAAATGATTTATAATCATTGCTATTTTTGTTACATATTTTTTTAAAAAGGAGGTTGACAGTTTTCGTGAAATGTTGACCCTGTTTGGCCCTCAGGTTAGACCTAAATCCAGATTTTGGCCCTTGCTATGGTTGAGTTTGACACCCCTGCTGTAGAGCATATAGGTCATATACAGTCATTCTTTAAATGTGTTCATATTTTGCACTTCTGGTCAGACTACAGACAGTACACCAGACCCACGCACCCATAAGGATATAATCTAAGTCTACTGATCTGTACACTGGACTTGCAATCATATACAAATACAATGTTATGAACCACAATAACATCAATCTATTAAAAATAAAACCACAAGAAAACAATGCAACACTAAAACCATGCTTTGAATTCATGCCTCAGATTCAAACTATTTGATAACGTTACAATTTTACTATTTACAATTGATCTAGATAGATAGATAGATACTTTTTTAATCCCTGAGGGAAAGTCAAAAATCTAAGGATTTAAAAATCTAGGGATAAATAATAAAAAAATATGTATTAAAAATGAGAAGAATATATACTGTATGTTTAATTCATGGACATTAATTAACAAAGGAATAATATTTGCAGATATTTTTCGGCCAACAAAAACATGATAAATGTAAAACTCAAGAGTTTGTTACCTGCAGGAGAAAAGAGATGCGTCCACTCATCTAGACTCTGACTGAAGTGAGCCCTAGTGGCCCCTTTCCAGACTTTTTATACTGAGCGGATCATTTTTTACTTTCAGTTTCACAGAGGTGGTTGGGTTTTTTCCCATAGACTGTATAAAGAAAAGACAGAGTCTGCCTCCTTGCTGGGTGAAGCCACTTCGAGAACAGCACCCTCTGTTGGCAGGCTGCAGTATAGGTTATAAATCTTTCCTCCTCCAGCAAAGCTTATGGAGCTGTGGACAAACTTTAGAAATTTATTACACAGAACATACATTTTTCTCCCCCCTGGTTGTGATGTTGACATGTAGTTACAGTAAGACTGTAGCTCCATTTTTAAAAGTTATTAGGGGATTCATGTTTTCTTGCCTGGCCTGGGAGCGCCTGGGAATCCCCCTGGAGGAGCTGGGAGAAGTGGCTGGGGTGAGGGCTGTCTGGGCTTCCCTCCTGATGCTGCTGCCTCCGCGACCCGGACCCGGATGAAGCGGAAGAAAACAACGACGACATAGTGATGATAAGGCGAAAATCTGGTTAGAGAGACAACCCAATTTTTAATGTAAAGACCACCTACTCTTCCTATATCAACAGCAAAGATAACTAGGAGCCCTTCACAGACCGAGCCCTTAAAAAGTTTCAATTTGCGGTTGAAGTGATCTTTTATATTAATGTAGTAGTTTTTTTTTTTCAATAGTTTTTCTAGGTTGTAACCATGCAATAGTATTGTTTTAGTATATTTTTTGACCCATGGTAATCGTGAGGTGAAAATCTTGTTGGCATGCCAACCCCAGTTTGAATGTAAGGACCACCTACTCTTCCTGTATCAACAGCAAAGATAACTAGGAGCCCTTCACAGACTGAGCCTTTAAAAAGTGCTACTTTGCATTTGAAGTGATCTTTTATATTAATGTAGCAGTTTTTTTCAATAGTTTTTCTAGGTTGTAACCATGCAATAGTATTGTTTTAGAACATTTTTCGATCCATGGTAATCGTAAGGTGAAAATCTTGTACCTCGGCTCAATACTGCAAAACATTCACCCCAGCTGAAATACAGAGTTGGACAGCTTTCCAAACTCCAGAGCGTGTTGCATAATATCTTATGTAAATGTTTGTTCAACGACTTTTTCTAGCTCAATGATAAACATTTATTATGCCTGACTTTGGTGTTCACTTTCATGTAAAAAAATGAGAACAACAAAAATTTTGTCCTTGTTTTATTAGCTGCAAAATCCACTGTGACATCTTACCCCATGTAGTGAGACAACTTACCCGATGATGGGGCAACATGTCACATGTTCACACTCTCTTTGATTGCTTATAACTCTGCACTGACACAAGATATAAAAATGACATGAATACGAAATGTATACCTGAGACTTTGGTCTCTTATCTGGTACAGATTTTATTTTTATATGATGTATCGATTCCAAGAAAAGAGTGTAAAAAGTGTGACAACGAGCCCCGGTCTCCCTTATCCCTCTTTGTCAGTCCATCACAGTCTATACAGTCCATATACAGCCAGGTGAAAAAAAAAACGTTTGTTGAACATAAATATATACACACAAATATTATTTTCTTTCAACTGAGGCTCTTTTTTGTCACTTCCACTCTCTTTTTCTTTTGGTTATCCATCCTTAGTCAGTTGAGTGTCTTAGGTAAAGAACATTGCAGTGCACATATTTGCAGATGTCACATAAACATAGATGAATAACTTGTAGGTCTTTGTGATCCTTGAAAGCTGTAGTTGTAAACTTTACCTTGTTCTTGTGGCTTTTATGACAGGTCAGGATCTGTTTCACTTTTACGCAATCAATTTGCCTTGAGCCCTGCAGGCCTCAACAGTTAGGGTTTAGACTGAGCCAGGCAGGTACCAGGAGGATTGCTTTTGTGGTATTTCTCTGTGGAGAAATTTGTGAAATTTCTCTTTTAGTGGTATATATGCTTTTGTTTCTTGCTATCATTGCATTTGAGCTAGACAGGTCTGTAAACGAACCTGACGCAAAGCAACTCCTAAAGTTATAAGAAGACAGATCTTTGCTCAGTTGCAGCTCATTATAGTTTAACTATTCAAGTCAACCTCAGAGAGTTGGCTCCGAAATCTTTAATAGGTTTGTTGATAAGAGCATCTCATGTGAGAAAGTCAAAATGCTAACAAAGGCAGCAGAAGTTACTGTAGCTTCAAGTTTGAAAGAGCTTGAGTTGAGGCTGCAGTTAAAGAGAATTGAGTTAGAGATTAATGCCATGGAAAAGTACAGGCAAGAATGCATGAGCCTGAGGGTGAAAAATGTGTCGTGAGAATTTAATGAGAAAGAGACAGGGTATTTAAGAAATTTGGCGACCCTTGTTCAAACAAGTTTGATGTTGGCAGGCATATTGTATCATATCGTGAGAACATAAACTTTCGGTGAGACATCTTTCCAGCACTATGGCCCCCGTCTTTGGAATAGCCTGCTGGAGGACCTTAGGGCCGCAGAGAATGTTCATATTTTTAAAAGCAGGCTCAAGACCCACCTATTTAATTTGGCTTTTAACTAATGTCTTAAATCTAATCTATATTTTTATCCTATTTTTATCTTATTTTATTTCATTTATATATTTTAGTCCTCATTTTACATGTTACATTTATTCTATTTATTCACTTATTTTTAAATGGTATTTTAGCTATTTATCATTATTTTATAATTTTATCTAGTTTGATGTTTTTAGCTGGTTTAGTTGATGTTTTTATTGCATTTCTCCAGTGTTTCCTCAGTAGGGGGGCCACCTGCACTGGAGGCTGTGACTGGCTCTGTCTAGGGTTTCTCTGCCTCGTGGTGTGCACTCAGCTCGGAGAGGAGAGGGTGCAGAGAAAGCAGGAGGAGGAAGCAAAAGGGATCCCAGAAAGTTTAGCTTTTCTCCAAGAGGCTGCCTTGGATCAATCATGCGTCTCCAGAGGTCATTTATGAAAACTGGACTGTGTTTTTACCCTTTTTGCATAAAAAAAAAAACCTCTATTTGAAAGACCGACTTGAATCATGATAGTTTTAACAACCCATGCATCAAAAGGTACAACTTAACAACCATTTACACAGTGATTTAGATTTAGAGATGTCAAAATATCAAGATACATTTGCAGCCTTTTGCGAAACAGCATGAAAATATTGTAATAGCCTGTTATATTTGTAATTTTGCGACTGTGTATGCCAACTTAGTCTTAAAACTCAAATTTTCATTATCAGTCCTTCTAAATATAATTCTTTATGTTAATCCTTGTCAATCTGTTGGTATCTAACATACCTTGACAGTCTTTGTGATAAACCTTTTTTATCTGTTCTTCCATGTTCACCTATCTCTCCCTGTAGGGGAGACCAGGGCTTGTTGTCACATGGGTAAGTTGTCACGTTGCAATTATCTTTGCCACCAGAGGGCGCAACTAAAAAGTGGAATAGTAGTTTTCTTCCTTTACATGGTCAGGGGTCGTGTTCTTTCTGAGAAGAGAAGCGCACATTGTGAGCTGAGATGAGCGCCGATTAACCATTTTCCACAACCCAAAGTGAAAAAAAATTAACTTAATATATTTTACAATAAGCTTCTTCCAGATAGAAATCCTAGCAGTGATACATGTGGACTTGTTAGAGGAGAGATTAAGACATCCTGTCATACCTCAGTCATTGTTCTGTTTTAAGATAACTGTAAGCTAAATCTAGAGTTAGCAAACATGGTCATTTGGGGCAACATGTCTCAGTCATTTTGGGGTCAGTTGTCACATGTTTAAAAGGGATCAAAATTAACATTGTGACTGCTCATCAGCAGTTGTCATAATGGAATTTTGACTGTATTTATACAGAGAAAAGAGTGGTTTGAAGGAGAGGAGAAAACAAGAAGACATGGTCAGGAATTACAAAAGAAAAACAGAACATGGCATCACCTGATGTGATGCTGAGGGCAGAGGTCAGTCAGATGACCCTAGCTAGGACAATAAAGGACTTTGTCAACTACCATACCTCGGCTCAGTACTGCAAAACATTCACCCCAGCCGAAATACAGAGTCAGACAGCTCTCCAAACTCCAGAGCATGTTGCATAATATTTTATGTTAACGTTTGTTCAACGACTTTTTCTAGCTCAATGATAAACATTTATTATGCCTGACTTTGGTGTTCACTTTCATGTAAAAAAAATGAGAACAGCAATAATTTTGTCCGTGTTTTATTAGCTGCAAAATCCACTGTGACATCTTACCCCATGTATTGAGACAACTTACCCGATGTTGGGGCAACATATCACATGTTCACACTCTCTTTGATTGCTTATAACTCTGCACTGACACAAGATATGAAAATGACATGAATATGAAATGTATACCTGAGACTTTGGTCTCTTATCTAGAACACATTTTGTTTATATATGATGTATTGATTCCAAGAAGAATATGAGTGTAAAAAGTGTAACAAAAAGCCCCGGTCTCCCTTATCCCTCTCTGTCAGTCCATCACAGTCTATACAGTCCATATACAGCCAGGTGAAAAAAAATCGTTTGTCAGTGAGCTACTTGGCCCATATTTATTAAACATAGATATATACACACATATATTATTTTCTGTCAACTGAGGCTCATTTTTTGTCACTTCCACTTTCTTTTTCTTTAGGCTATCAATCCTTAGACAGTTTAGTGTCTTAGGTAAAGCACATTGCAGTGCACATTTTTGCAGATGTCACATAAACATAGATGAATAACTTGTAGATCTTTGTGATCCTTGAAAGCTATAGTTGTAAGCTTTTCCTTGTTCTTGTGGCTTTTATGACAGGTGTTCTGTTTCACTTTTACGCAATCAATTTGCCTTGAGCCCTGCAGGCCTCAACAGTTAGGGTTTAGACTCAGCCAGGCAGGTACCAGGAGGATTGCTTTTGTGGTATTTCTCTGTGGAGAAATTTGTGAAATTTCTCTTTTAGTGGCATTTACGCTTTTGTGTCTTGCTATCATTGCATTTGAGCTAGACAGGTCTGTAAACGAACCTGACGCAAAGCAACTCCTAAAGTTATAAGAAGACAGATCTTTGCTCAGTTGCAGCTCATTATAGTTTAACTATTCAAGTCAACCTCAGAGAGTTGGCTCCAAAATCTTTAATAGGTTCGTTGATAAGAGCATCTCATGTGAGAAAGTCAAAATGCTAACAAAGGCAGCAGAAGTTACTGTAGCTTCAAGTTTGAAAGGGCTTGAGTTGAGGCTGCAGTTAAAGAGAATTGAGTTAGAGATTGATGCCATGGAAAAGTACAGGCAAGAATGCATGAGCCTTAGGGTGAAAAATGTGTCCTGAGAATTTAAGGAGCAAGAGACAGGGTATTTAAGTAAGAAATTTGGCGTCCCTTGTTCAAACAAGTTTGATGTTGGCAGGCATATTGTATCATACCGTGAGAACATGAACTTTTGGTGAGGCATGTTTCCAGCACTATGGCCCCCGTCTTTGGAATAGCCTGCCAGAGGATTTATTTATTTCGGTATAATATGACCAAAAGGGTGTAGGCAGAAGCACTGCTTATAAAGACCTACCCCTTATACCAGCGGCTGAACCCGCTGTTCGCGATGCTCCGAGCCCTTGTTTCAAGCCCCTGAAGTCTCTATAGCCTGCTACGGGGTTCTAGTAACTATATGTGATTCAGATTTCCTCCTTTCCCCTGACAGATTAGCTACATGTCACAGGAAACCACTGTTAAAGTGGGAGGTTTTTGTCTGACTGAATTAAGACAAAATTCTTGTTCACAAGTCGCCGTATTTGTGATTTTCAAGTCTACGATTGCATCTGCTGTTGAGGGACTTGTCCCTTTGATTCTTATTTCTGTGAATGATTTTATTGAACTAATCCATCATGAGCAGGTGGTGTAAAGTTCTGTTCGTTTGAGGATGCAGATGCAGCCTGCTGTAAACTGTTAACCCTTTGTTGTCAGTGGGGAGACTGACTCATTTGGCCCTTAGCAGATAAGGCCCTTCAAGGAGGCGGAGCCAAAAGGCCCTTCTCGTCCTGCTTCCTGTGACTCCACCAGCAACAAGTGGCTAATTTGATGACTGTTTTCTTCTTCCTCTTCTTCCTCTTTTCTGCTGAGTTTGTGCAGTTATCCCGACTTCACACTGCCCCACATTGCTTTTGGTATTGAGCTAACACTGTTATGATCTGCCTGCAGTATCAGCCAGCTGTACTGCCGCTCTATAGTCAGTGTGTAACACTCTACAGACGTAACTCCAGTGGTCAACTTGGTTGAAAGAGTTTGATGTGCTTATTCTAAATCATTGATCATTGATTTTCATCTTTGATATAAGAGCCTCCATAATGTATTGATAAAGTAACTCCTTGAATCAATCACCTGATCTTGTTGTTACTTATCACACCATTGAGCAGTTTTGCTGTCCTCTATAATACATGAATGTAGTAACCCTCCTCATGAGATTAATTAATTAATGAACAAATTAATTAAAATTTCAAATTTATTTGATCATTCCAGATTGGGTAGTTGAACCTTTGGCTTTATTGCAATTTGTGAATTAACTTATGGGCTAATTCCTTAAATTGACAATTTATTCAGGCAGTTTATTTAAGCTTTGCTGATCACTGCAACATAGAAACTGATTAATCACTTTACTCAATAGTTCCATTTCTGATGTTGAATTCAATTTAACATGATTTCACCTTGGGGTGGCACAGTGGTGTCGTGGTTAGCACTGTCGCCTCACGGCAAGAAGGTCCTGGGTTCAGATCTGGTTCAGGGCGCTTCTGTGTGGAGTTTGCATGTTCTCCCTGTGTCTGTGTGGGTTTACTCCGGTTACTCCGGTTTCCTCCCACTTCCCAAAAACATGCAGAAGTGGGGTTAGGTTAATTGGCCACTTTTAAATTGCCTGTAGGTGTGAATGTGAGCATGGACGGTTGTTCTTCTCTACATGTCAGCCCTGCGATGAACTGGCAACTTGTCCAGGGTGTCCCCTGCCTTCGCCGGAGAGATGCTGAGACTGGCTCCAGCCCCCCCGGTACCCTGTGAATGGCAATAAGCGGTCGAAAATAGATAGATGGATGGATGGATTATTTCACCTTGTTTTATTTTCATTGAAATTAATTTTACTTTCTTTCATTTTTCTCTCCATTAGATATCTACCCAGATAGGCTCTCCCTCTTTATCAGGCACTGATAAATTAAGTTGATTAACTCACTTCATTTGATATTTTGCTTCTTCCTCTCAATTTTAAGTCAACTCAAACTCATGAACCAATCACCTGCACCTCTTTACCAAAACCAAACATGCCTAGTGCAAAAGAGTCCAGCCAGGGAGACTCCTTAAGGACATACACACAGTGTTGGCAAGCTTGACTAGTCAGCTGACCTTCGGTACCTGCTCCATCTTCTCCAAGGACCAGTCTCACGTAAGTATCCAAACCTCCAGAGCTCCAAACAGGGCTGATGCTGTCTCATGCATCATGATTTAAATAACTTTTTTTATAATCCTAAATTCATCCAAATCCACATCCAAATTTATCTTGACACCAAAGTTAGTGTAGGTTAATATGTTATCACATATTCACTCACTATCATTAACTTTAGTGCTCCTAGCCGGACTCAGAATCTTTTATTATTCACCTATTATTATTTATCCTCATTATCTTATCATTTATTGCATGTAGGTTGGACCATCATTTATCCTGTAATAAACAGATCATTTATTTCTCTAAGGTCTCTTCTGTTAGTGTTCTTCCAGAAGTGGAGTCCCTGAAATGAGAATCTCAGCTTGAGATATGAGATTGGTAGAATAGAATAGAACAAAATAGAAGAAGTTTATTGTCTGACACAAAAAAGTGACAGAAGTTCATCTTTCGACAGGACTCAGTTGCATCAAAAGACATACATTCTTCATCATGCTTGTACACACATACAAAACAAGAACTTTAAAAGACCTGAGTAATTTAAGATTGACTTAATTTTTGATTTCTAAATTGAACTTTTTTTTCTCTTTATTTTCCCACCAGAAAGGGTGGGTGATGCCCCTTTCAACAAGTGCATAAATGTCATAATTTAAGATTATTAATCTGAAGACATTTATTATAAATTCAAATCACTACATGTTTATACTTGTATTCTCTATATTTTCAGTGTTAAGTGGAATATTCATAATTTCTCCTTCATATATTTATTAAATTATAAATAAATCCTGCATTTCAGTTTCATTCACTTTCTGTAACACAAGTTTATGAGAGGTACCAAATAAACAGGTCTGACTACATAAAACATTTACTGTATTTAATTGTAACTGCGCTTAACTTCAACCTAATACAGCTGCTAATATTCAAAACTTTGACATAATATGTTTATGCATAAGTTGAAGTATCTATAACTCTGATTGTGACTTTATGCATCTGTGAAAGCTTATCATTTACAGCAACATTACCTTTTTTTATTGAGTTCGTGGTTAACCTGACAGCAGGGGATAAGGAGATGTCATGAAGTGAGCTGTATAAACATTGTAAATAATGAAGTCATTGGCTGTGTAGTTGATCTCTAATTGATCAGCTTCTCTCAGAGCACTGGTTGTTTAGTAAAAGCTCATAATGGTCTACAGCCTCTGGCACATAGCTGAGCAAAAGTCATAAATCACAGCCTTCATCTGAGTGGAAAGATGAACTGGAGGCTGAATACGCCCCCTGTTGGCTTAAGTGGGAACCAGCGTCTTTCATCACGTGATTTAACACTGCCATCTGCTGGAAAATGACAGCACTAGGACATGTGTGGAGAGGAGGAAGAAACTCATGTTCAACTGAGACTCAGTAAATGGTTTACACAGGCTTTGCTGAATGATATTTGATTTTAGTCATTATTAGGCTGATATAAGAACTGTGTTTTTTAAAGAGTGAAAGGAATTAGGCTTTGGATGTAGGAGTGCGACAGATAACACTAAATGTGTGATTATGAAATCTTGAAAATGTGACTTGCTCACTGTTATCTTAGAGTTATCTAACATTGAATTTAGATAAAAAGTTTGATTATTCCAGCACAGGAGACAGTAAGTAATTCATTTCAGCCTCCATTCATATATAACAACTAGTTATAACTTTATAAATGCAACAGTTCTGTATAGTTGAAAGTTTTTGAAAAGTCTCTGGATATTAACTATCCCTTTCATAATGACTGACAGAGTGATTTAATGTATGACTTTAAAAAATGATTAAAACAAAAACAAAACAATCACGTTGAGTAAATTTCATAAAGTGGTTCATAAAAATGTGATTTCAGAATTAAACACATGAAACTTGAAAAAAAAAAAGACAATGTCACTAAAGTAAGGTTGAAAATCAAAAACAATAGGATCATCATTATATAAATTATCTCATATAATTCATGGATAATTTTTCTAAATCATTTAAGATTCATATTTTAGTTTAATTCTTTTTGTGATACTACAGTAAGAATTAAAAAATGACTACTAATACATTCAGAAAAGCAAACATAAAAAAAATAGTCTTATATACAACACAAGTCTGTCATAGATACAGTGTTCACATCAGGCCTCCATTGTTTGAACCAGCATTGACAGCTGTTTTCATGATTTATACCCACACTGATCTCTATATGATCATCAAAGCACTGGATGATCTCTGTCACTTGCAATGCATGAGCTGTCCAGGCACATTCTTCACCTTTCCCTGTTTTGCAGAGGAAAAACAATTTGTTAAACTGCTTGGCATAACACAAAGGCAACACCAAAAGAGTCACATTTTCCATTTTCAGGTGATAGAAAAATAATGTCTCAAGAGAAAGTTGCTACATGTTGTATCTCTGTGACATGAAGAAAGTGTGAAACTTTTTCTTCTACTCCTTTGTGGCTGTCCTGCCTTTTAAAAACATTTATTCAGATACTGTGAACTGCGTGTCTTGCACAATGGTAGGAACAAAAAAAACTATCAATTATAACTATTACTGTAAACGTGTGTTTGTTTTGTATTAAATGTGGTGGTACCTTTTCACTGTAGGAGTCTGAAGATCTTGTCCCTGTCTGGATCATTTTGATCGTTGTAGCCCTTCTTATCAATCCACTTAGTGATGGTGTCGAGATCATTCTTCGTCATGACCCCCTTGCCGTCCAGCAGGTTATACCAGGTATGGACCATCGTTTTACTGTGCTGCTGAAAACTGTCTTCAAAAACAGCAAGCCTTGTTTTACTCCATGGGGTGTCTTGAAAAGAGTTGTAGTTTCCAGTGCTGTTCAAGTTAGATCTCACCATTGAGCCGAGAATCGTCAGTTTAAAGGTGGACACGACGTCATCATCTTTTATGGATTTAGTCAAGTGCTCTCTGAAGTCAGGTGATTTTGTACTGAGAAACTCACGATGTACATCTTTAGGCACATACACGGTTGGAAGTTCAAGGCCATGATAATTTTTCACATTGTCAATCAGGTTGGGATTCAGAGGAGATGATTTTGTTGCCACTTCTAACATGGCTGTGGCTAATTTGCTGTTTTGGTTCAATTTGTTTGCATTCACTATACAGCTCACCGGTGGTTGGTGATCTGCATTGATGAACTGTCCAATTCCTGGATTTTGAATTGAGTATTTTTTCCAGTCCCTGTAAAATTCAACTTTTCCGACCTCTTGCTCCAGTAACGTTTTGGTTTCGTTTACTTTTTGTATTGCTGGCTGGGCTCCCTCTGCCATAAACCAGTCCCCTCCTCTGATGGATTCAGCCAACTCTTTCTGCTTGATGAAAGGCTCCCAATGGCCTGGGTTTTGGAGGACAGCATCTGCCGCCATACCACGGAATCCGTCTGCTGTCTTTGAGATCTCTGCCTCACTGGCATCTGGATTCATGCCTCGTGCCAAAGCATGAAACAGACAGTTCTTGTCTTTGCTCTCTACGCTGACTATCCAGTTATTGATGAACACATCGTAATGGCCGTTTGGGTATTTTTCACTTTTTGGTCTGTAGATCAGCGTCACATTTTGATTGGCTTTGTTTGGACTGAGCTCCTGCATTTTAGTGAGTTTTCCACGTTTGTCCTCAGTGAGGATGGTGACTTTAGTTTTGGTGATTTCTGATACGAATTTGCCGTCAAGGATAGTTCCTGCAGTTGTGGAGTCCTTGATCTTCTCAGCATATTTCCTTGACCGTTCAATCGCCTTTCTTGTATGATGCTGTTTGGAAGTTGGGTTTACTGGCATGTGTGCAATGTAGTTGCTGCTCTGTCCAGCTTCAAGCAATTTCTCTGTTCGTTCACTCTTTAAGCCAGTCCTTACAAGTCCAGAAATGACGCCATGTGCTTGAATTTGAGCAACAGAAACCAAGTGACTGGAGAACTTCTGGTGGAACACTTCTACCAAAGCAGCAGCCAATGAATTGCTGATCATGTCAGTCAACTCTTGCTTGAATCCTTTCAGCAACTCTTCATCTGAAGTAGAGAGATTCTTCTTCTCCTCCACAGGAGAAGGTATTCTTTTTCTGAATGCACTCAGCTGCTCCTGAAAGCTGGTGAAAAACTTGCTGGAGAGGCTTAGCACTGCAGCAATGGCGTCTCCTGCCAGTGCCCCCATGTGGGCAGTTTGGATGGCTATCAGAATTCCTTGTGCTTTTCCTTTGACTTCTGTTTTGGCTCTCTCAATAACTCTGTAAAAGGATGAGTTCAGCTTGTTTTGCAAGCCGAGGTCTGCATAGAACGGCTGCATTGCAGTGTCGCTCAGCTCTTTGAATATGTCCAGTAGTTTGGTCTTTCTCTGGGTGTCCTGAAGGAGATCCTGAAGTTGCTCTTTATCGTCAACATGTGAGAGGATAACAGAGTCAACTAATGAACCCAGCTCTTCTTTTTCTAGCTTTGATTTTACATCATCAGCAATTCCCCTTCTCACACCATTTTCAATGCCAAGTAATATCTGTTTGAGTATTTCTTCTTCTCCTTTCTGCAAACCATACGTAATGATTTCCTCTGCCATCTTTTTTGCAGTGACTGTTACTGCATTCTTCATGTTTGTTTTTGCAACAGCATTCAAGCCATCTTTTGCCTGATTGGAAAGAAACTTTGGCAAACATTTCAGGTCTCTGCCAAACTTTTTCAAAAGTGCTTTAGAAGCAGTGAAGCCCTTTGCAATCAGCTTTCCAATTCCAAACCCAAGGAGAGATACACCAATAGAGACAGCCTTTTCTATAGCCCACGATTTCCAGCTAAATTCCCCTGTCACCATGGATTCAATGGCATAGATGCAGTCTGATATTCCTTCAGTGATCAGTCCCATGCCGACTTGAGCTAATGTGCCAAATGTGAATGCAGTCAGCAAAGCACCTCCAATGATCTGTAAGGCTCCAAGGAAGAACACCAGCAGAGCTTGCCATGGGAAACGAGGCTCCTTTTCAACAGAGAAAACATATTGCAGACCACGTCTGAAGAGGTTGTCTGCTTCCACCTGGAAGTCTTCACCAGCATTTGACACCAGGGAGGAAATTGGTGACTTTTTGGCTCTTGCATTCCACTCCTCTCTCTGTATTTCATCCAGCTTTTTGATAGCCTCAGTAATGTTGTCGTCAAAGCAAATGAGCATCTTGTGCTTGGTTAATAACTGCTTTCCAAGGCTGGTTTCACCACTTTTGTCTGAAGAGGACATGTTGACCAACTGCAGAGAGACTATAGGCTCTTCAATGAGATACTTCAGTAACTCTTGTGCCTTCTTCAGATCATCACTGGCCTTAGTGAGGTAATCATCACCCTTCTTCATTATGGTGCAGTATGCACGACTGTAGAAAGCGATGGCTGCCCAACTCTCGTCTTGTTGTATCGCTCTTTCAAAAAGCCTGCTGCTGACATCCCATCGCTTTTTACCCAGGGCAATATTCCCAAACTTAATGTAATGATAAATGCTTGAACATGGTGAAGTCTGGCTCTGAGACTGGCTTTTTGCCCATTCCAAATCAGCTTTCAAACTCTCTCGCAATTCACTTGCTTTCAGCTGGTCAATTTCTTCTGATTTGATTTGCAGCCATATCCCCCAAAACTCGTTCATGATGGCAACAACTGCTTTTTTCTCATGTCCGTCTGTGTTTGCATGGATCTCTCGAAGAGTTTTGCAGTACTCTGAAAATAGCTCCTCTCGCAGTCTCAACTCAGTGATTTCTTTCCTCATGAGATTTGTCTTCTCTGCTGCTAGTTGATCCCTTGTGCTCTTAGCTTCCTCCAGACAGGATGCTTTCCTGAAAGATGGCTGCAAGTGTTCAGTGGACATGATTATCTGAGCAGATCCAGGTTTACCTTTGCGTGCAGTTCGACCAAAAGCTTGAAGTTCCACTCTTGTGTTGTCAGAGAGGAAAGAAAGTACCACAAACAAGCCTCCGTTGTTGTTCACTGTTTTGGACACTTTGATGTCTGTGCCACGCCCAGCAAGGTTTGTGGCTACAATGACATCACCGGGGAGCAATTGCTTTTCTATTTTGCTCAAAGCGTCCCCATCACTGCGGCAGTACAGAATGATTTCACCTGGAATGCTACCTTTAAGTTCTTCATAGATCTCTTTGGCTTTGTTGATAGTTTCACAGATCACCAGGGAAGCTCTTCCTTCTCTGTATGAATTAGTGGAAATCTGTTCCATGACCACACGTTTTATTTCAGATTTCCACTCTTCAGCTGAGGTTGTCAGCGTTCCTTTGACTTCATATAACTTCTTTCTGTTGAACGCTGGCATTTTGCAGGCAGAGAGAGTTGAATATAGATTCTGCAAAAACTGAATGTCTGCTTTGGACCCAAGAGTCCCTGTTGTTCCATATATTTTTCCACCATACATCTCAAAGAAGGAAATGTTGGAAAGGTAGTTTGTCACAACTGAAATTGTGCTTAGTTTGATTTTGTGTTTTATCTCCACAAACTGCTGCAGACCATCACCCCATTTCTTGTTCAGTTCTACAATCCCTGTGGATCTGAAATCAACTGGACAGACATTGTCATTTTGAACAACATATTCCCGTCCTTCTCTCAGTTGCATTGCCAAAAAGGCATTCTGAACCCACACAGGCAGTTTCTTCTCCACAAGATTCTTCAAGAACCCAGGAATGCTGATTTTGTTGGGATTATTTGGACATGGGGTGTACTGAACCTTCTGTGAGATTAAGTCTGCAATGGGGTTGGTGAGGTTGACCTCTGAATCATACAGAGTGCAACACAAACCTTCACCCAATACAAGAAATTTAAGCTCTGGAATTTCCTGGTCGTTGTATGGGGAGGGCTTTTGAAGACAGAGCATTCCCCGGCTGTCCAAAGTATAAACAGTGAAGCCATAGGGAACATAGCCCTCAAGTTCTTGGAAAAAATCCACCACAGCATCCTGACTCACACTTTTCAGTTTCTCAAGAAGTTCATCCTTTGTACTTTTCAAGATTTCCTCTGTAAATCCTTGCTTCACTGTGTTAGTTTCTTCAGCAATTCGTAGGATGTCCATTGGGTGCTTGATCTCACTTCCTTCTGTGTCTATTGAGTCAAAAATGGCCTTGAAGAAGGAAGCAGGAGGACTCCGTACAAATGTTTGATGTTCTGCTGACAAGAAGCCATATTGGCTGACATGGCCCCAGATCATGGCCAGGATGTTGTTAAGGTGCTCCATGGAAACCATAGGACTGGAGAGGTATGTCAGCTGCACTCCCTGATCCAGAAGCAGTGAGTCTACTTCATCAATTATGATGCACTCATATCTGCGGTCAGGCCTGACTTCTTTCATTTCAAATATCTGACGAAGATGATCTGCGGCAAAGGCTTCGATCGTTCCATAGACCACATCTTTTCGGTAGCACTCTTTTCTCTCATCATCGTCAGTTTTATTGGTGTTTGTGTCAGCTGTCATGCCAAAAAAATGATAGAAGTTGGTCCATTCTTCTGCATCTCTTTGACATAACACAGAAGAGCTGGAAACCACATCTACCTTTTCACCCCGAAGCACACACAATGCTGCAAACATCGCTATCACACAAGACTTCCCTTCTCCAGTGCCCATCTCCAACAGCCTCCCAGTTTCAGACAAAGCCAACAGGCACCAGCTGATCATCTGAGTGTCTCTGGGCCACCACCCTTCACTTTTCTTGTATGGTGGGCCATTTGTGTAATGTACAGCATTGCACAAAACTGCCAGAACCTCCTGAAGGTCTTGTGTTTCTCTGCTGTGACTCAGAGTCTTTGCTAGCTGTACATCTGTGTGCTTTTCAATTTCCCCAGTGTTGATCAAGTTTCTGACATGACTCACTGCTGTGTAAGCTTTCTCTAGTGTCTCTTCATCAATGTCCTTCATCTGCACCAGTTCATCAAAGATATCGTCAATGCTTTTTGCTTTCTCACCTCTGAGGTTCTTTTCTAAATGCTGGATCAGATCCTTGGTCCCACATGTGTCCAAGAGCTCTAGGAGAGGCTGATTGTTCTCATCAGTCCAATGCAAAGATACCTGGTAGGTAGTTATCAAAAGCAGAATCTTCATGATGCTAATACAGTCTTTATCATGATGGCGCTCAGTTAAGACTACAAGGAGGTGTAAAAGTTCAGCTGGAGACCAAAGTCTTTGAACCTCAAGGTTTGAAACTATCTGCAGTAGGTCTTTTATAGTTGTTGAAGGACTAAGTCTGAGCACATAGTCAGATAAACTTTCCAAACACCATTTTCCCATTGGGGATTTTTTGTTCCATTGGGGAAGATCTGTTTCTTTGGAGACCTCCTGTAAAAGACTCTCAAGAAGGGTCAAAATGAAGACATCTGTGGAAGACAGCTGTTTCCCTGTAATCTTCTCAAAGACAGTGGTGATTCTAATGTCTGAAGCTGTGTCTTTTTTAAGCTTGGTGTGGAGCACCTGGAAAAGAGTCCTCATAAATGTGTGTCTCAGCTCCTTATCATCAATGTGAAATTTACCCATGAGGCTTTGCAAGAACTTTGCAGGAAATGCTGAGGCATCATTGTCCTTAATTGCAGGGAGTTCAAAATTTATGGAAGTATCAAGACTCCTTCCTTCAAAGACAAGTCCACGACTTTGCTGAGGGTTTCCTGTTTCCAGCATCTTCAGGCCGTGTTGAATGTAGTCAGAGAAAAAGTCATTGACTGTTCCGTACACAACATCGGCCTCAAAGACGTCTGTGTATGATGCTTCAGTTTTCTTCATGTTTATGTTGACAGACATCCCCAGGTAACTGTAAAAGTTAGACCACTCCTCAGCCCTTTCCTCTGGCTGTCCATCAGAGCTCAGCACAATGTCCATCTTGTTTCCCATGAGCACTTGCACTGCTGCAAACATGGCGGTGACACACGGATCTGCCTCCAAACCGACTGGCTCAAATGCTGCACTCTCCTCAGCCAGTACCAACGCACACCAGCGCAGCATTATCCTCACTGTAGGCCACCAGCCTTTCGTGTCAAAAACTGCTTTGCAGAGCTGAAAGAGGGAGTTCTGTTTTTCTCCTACATCAAAGATTAGACCTTTAATCAGATCTTCTTTCAACAGAGCATCTTTTGATGCATTTTCAGAGGAGCGCAACACACTAATGGTAATATCTTTGATCTGATCCAAAACAGAATCCTCTAAATTCCATAGTATTTTCAATTCTGCCAAAGCTACATCTAAACTGCTCTCATCTTTCCTTCTGAGGGTGTTCTGGAGGTCTTCAAGGAATCTCTCAGGGTCAGCAGAGTCCAGGGCCTGAATAAGGGAGTTTCCAGACTCATCTGTCCATTCTGGAGATAAGTCATGTACTTGAACCAACATCAGGACTTTGCATATTGAATCATCCTTTTTGTATTTCTGTGACAATGCTGTGAACAGAGTCATCGCCTCCATCGGGGTCCATTTGTTCTTTTGCACCAGTTTGAGGAGCATCTTGGTGGACTCTGAGTGTGTTTCTTCCACATTGTTGTTTGTGAGTGTAGATAAAAGCAGCTTCAAGCTCTGGATTTCCATATTTAAGACGAACACAGAGGCTCTTCCTACTGCTGTCTGCATTGATGACATAAGGGAGCTCAGGAACTCAATAATGAAGACCTGTTCATCGGAAAGCTCTTCTTCAGCCCACTGTTTGGCTATGAGGACTGCACCAGTATCAGAGCTGCGATTCTCAGTAAAAAAGTGCATCAGGGTCAGGTACAGGGCCTGGCTCAGAAGAAAACTCTCAAACGCATTAGAAGCCGATTGACTGATGGAGCCCACCAGGTACTGTGCCTGTGTGGAGATATTCTGTAAAGAAACTCCCTCAGATATCTCAAGAGAGAGCGCACACAGCTCTGTGATGAACACATGAGTGTGCTGCAAAGTGCTGAGGGAGGGGGGAGCGCTGATCCATTCATCAAAGAGAAGTCTGTCCAGAACCAACATGATGCTTCTCAGATTATCTGCAGTGAGCTGACTGAGGCTCAGATTCTGAAGTGGAATGCCACATTTGGAGGAGAGGACTTCTATAAGTTTGTCATCCTCGCTGCCTGATTCATCGTTCATTTCAAACTCATCCATATCAGTTTTGAGAACCTTTCTCTTTGACTTGAGTTCCTCTGAATGGATGTTGCTCAGTTGTTCCTCCCGCTGCTCTTTGGCTTGTTGGAGTGAGTCCTGTAATCTTTGATTCAGTTCTTCTCTCCTCTTTTCTTCAGCCTCTCTCCTTTGCCTCTCTTCTTCTCTTCTCCTCTCTTCTTCTTGCCTCCTCCTCTCTTCTTCTCTTCTCCTCTCCTCTTCCTGCCTCTTCCTCTCTTCTTCTCTTCTCCTCTCCTCTTCCTGCCTCCTCCTCTCTTCTTCTCTTCTCCTCTCCTCTTCTCTCCTCATCTGCTCTTGATATCTGATTGGCTGATAAAAGCAATTGGCGCACTGGTGCATATTATCGCAGCCTACTTCTCTGAAGTATTCACCTCCATTGAACACATGTACATAGACTCCATGAATAGTGGTTTGGTAAAGGTTGTCAAAGGTTGTACACGGAGGCAGGACACAGTTACATTTGTAACATCTTAGCCTGTCTCCCATGTTAGCCTCTGATGGTACGTTCCCCATTTTTCTGATTTATTCAGCAGTTTAGTCTGTGTTGTTCTTTTCTGTTTTCTCCTGTAAGAGACAAATACAATTCAATCAGGCACAATTCAGTCAAAAGAATCACTATTTGCACACAATAAGTTTAACTTGGTGGTATGGCCCTGTTCTGAGAGCTCCCTGTCCTTTATGTGCATATATGGATTGTCAAAGCCTGAGGCAGGGAGAGCACACCTTTTTTCTATTTCAGTCAGGACCACTTTAGTCAAAATTAATTATTTATTACAAGCAAACATTTTTCCATTGGTGGTATGGCTCTGTTCTGAGAGTTCCCTGCCCTTCCATGCGCTTGCATGGAATGCCACAGCTATAAGAGGGGAGACCCCCTTCCTTTCATGCGCGTACAAGAAAAGCCAAGGCAGAGAAAGCAGCAGCAAATAAATGAAATTAATATAAATAAATTAAAATCTCCCCACAGAACAGAGCAAGCATCAGTGACAATAAATATGACACTTGTAAGATCATGCACAACATAAAAAAGGAGGAGCTGGGGTGGAGGTGGGTTACAGAGTGAGGAGGAGCTGGGGTGGAGGTGGGTTACAGAGTGGTTGCAGCAGGCAGAGTAGGCAGGAGAAGCAGTTTAAATAGGGCGCCTTTTTGACATTTGCCAATAGGATGTATGGGAGCGATCAGCTGAGCTGTCAGCTGACTGAGGGCTGGCTTAAGATCAGCTGACTGTAGCCTTAATCTTGACTTTGTGTCCTGCCTGAACTATCGCTATGCTTTATTTCACATCAATGGATAGCTGAGACAGGAAGGGCAACAGCAAGGACATCTTAGACATGACAGTCTAACCTCTCCGTCCTCCAGGTGCTCACATAAAAGCACTAGCGGGAAAGTAGCTACAAAGCTTAAGCTAGAGGCTATTTAGTATGATATTTTTTTTATCAGCCAGCAATGTAGGGCACCCATTGCTGTTGAGAATCAGGTTCAGTTCATCAGTGACTACAGGAATCAAGATACTATAACTGGGTAAAGTACATACGTCACCAAGAACCAAAACCCAAAACTTCCAAAACCAACAGAGGGCGCTGCATCTGTATAGTTTTACAGCTTATTAGTTAGCTAGTTTTAGTTAGTTTATGCACTTTTATTGACAACAGTGCTCCTCCATATTGGAGGTGAGTTTTGCATTCGGGACAACTTAATGAAAACATCCAACTGTAAAAGCTAACAGCGCGAGTTGTATCTGTTTCTTTTTCCTTTGGGGAGAGCGTGTGTTTTGAAATAATGTCTGATTATGATTTCTATAATAAAAGCTTTTTTTTTCCAAACTAAAAATAGTTAGCTCTATCTGTGAAATGCTAGTTGTATTTGCTAAGATGCTGATACTGCTGGCTATTGTTGTTCATACAGTACATACACTTAAATTGATGGTGGTTTTAATTAATGTAAAATGTGTCATACAAGGACTCATGACATTAATAAATACATATATATATTTTATACAAATTTAATGATAGGTGTTTTATAAAAAGCATTGTAAAGTGTTATCAAAACAATGAGTTGAGATTTATCATGACTGAAAGCAACTGATGTGAATTTTTTTTTTTTGCCATACCACCCAGCTCTACTGATAAAAAGAGCACAGAACTGTCACCTGTACCGATTTTACAGAAGAGAACTTTGTGTACTGATAACACAAAGGTGTGCTTGTCTGCTTGTGTGTGTGTGTGTGTGTGTGTGTGTGTGTGTGTGTGTGTGTGTGTGTGTGTGTGTGTGTGTGTGTGTGTGTGTGTGTGGGTGTGTGGGGCAAAGACAACAGAGGGGAAGCTGTGTGAGCTAATGAACAACCCCTTTGGTTAGGTTGAGAATGAGACAGATCAAGAACATTCTGAGCCGAGGACAAAATACTTTCTACCAGAAGATTATTTATCATACGTCTAAGATTTTATAACAGTCTAAACATAAAGATAACTCATGAAATAAAAATAAAGTTCTCATAGTGTGTTAATGTGACAGTGTGACAGAGGCATGATGGCACAATGAAAGACAAGAATCTTGAGCAATAAACACTCATTTTGTGAAGAAACCATTACATGTTCTAATCATTGAAGCAGTAATTTAATGGATATTTGTTGTAAAACTTTTATCATCCTCAGAGTTGTACATCTTTTGTACTGTTATTTACATGAATTTTGTGATTATTATTCATTAATATTAATAGATTAGCACTGTAACTATCTGTTATGGACCTTATAAACATGTTAAATCTTCTCTGTAGAGCATATATGGTCATATACAGTCATTCTTTAAACGTGTTCATATTTTGCACTTCTGGTCAGACTACAGACAGTACACAAGACCCACGCACCCATAAGAATATAATCTAAGTCTAATGATCTGTACACTGGACTTGCAATCATATACAAATACAATGTTATAAACCACAATAACAATTAATAAAAAACAAATAATAAATTATGTTTGATAACATTACAGTTTTACTATTTACAATTGATCTAGATAGATAGATAGATAGATAGATAGATAGATAGATAGATAGATAGATAGATAGATACTTTATTAATCCCAGAGGGAAATTCAGAAATCTAAGGATTTAAAAATCTAGACATAAATAATAAAAAATATGTATTTAAAATGAGAAGAATATATACTGTATGTTTAATGCATGGACATTAATTAACTAATTTAGGAATAATATTTGCAGATTTTTTTCTGCCAACAAAAACATAATAAATGTAAAACTCAAGAGTTTGTTACCTGCAGGAGAAAAGAGATGTGTCCACTCATCTGGACTCTGACTGAAGTGAGCCTTAGTGGCACTTTTCCAGATTTTTTATACTGTACGGATGACTTTTTACTTTCAGTTTCACAGAGGTGATTGGGTTTTTCCCTGAAACCACGTGAACACACCCACGCAACAAGCACAGCTGAATTAGTGTCACATGTAGGCTACGTGGCCGGAATCGCTGATCGGGAAAACGGGCACAGTTCCTAGTGGACCGGGCTGAGTGAAAGGCAGGGAAAGACAGCCAAGGGAATGAGGCATTAGACAAGGAGTAGGTGAAAAATAACATACTGGAGAGAATTACGTTTTTTTCTTTTGCACACAGAAATATGCCCCCCGGAGCAAAGCAAGGAGTAAGATTTAGACGAGATTCTCCTTAAAGTTCTGCGTCTTTTCAGCTCTCCTCTCACTGCAAACACACTCCTCTGTCCGTCCTCCATTGTATACCCGTGATTTTGAATCAGAATCATATCTTAACAGTCTTTGTGATAAATCTTAATCTGTTATTCCATGTCCACCTATCTCTCCCTGTAGGGGAGACCGGGGCCTGTTGTCATATGGGTAAGTTGTCACATTGCACTTATCTTTGCCACCAGAGGGCGCAACTGAAAAGTGGAATACTAGTTTTATTCCTTTACATGGTCGGGGTCATGTCCTGTCTGAGAAGAGAAGAGCACAGTGTGAGCTGAGATATGCGCTAATTAACCATTTTTCACAACCCAAAGTAGAAAAATTAACTTTGTATATTTTAAAATAAGCTTCTTCCGGATAAAAATCCTAGCAGTGATACATGTGGACTTGTTAGAGGAGAGATTAAGGCATCCTGTCATACCTCAGTCATTGTTCTGTTTTAAGCTAACTTTAAGCTAGAGCTATAACTAGCAAACATGGTCGTTTGGGGCAACATGTCTCGGTCATTTTGGGATCAGTTGTCACATGTTTAAAAGGGATTAAAATCAACATAGAGAGTCTGCTTATTAGCAGTTGTCATATTGAAACTTTGACTGACAGCTCTCCAAAGTCCAGAGCATGTTGCATAATAGTTTATGTTAACGTTTGTTCAATTACTTTTTCTAGCTCAATGATAAACATTTTCTGTGCCTGACTTTGATGTTCACTTTCATGTAAAAAAATGAGAACAACAATAATTTTTTCCTTGTTTTATTAGCTGCAAAATCCACTGCAACATCTTACCCCATATAGTGACACAACTTACCCGATGTTGGGGCAACATGTCACATGTTCACACTCTCTGTTTGATTGCTTATAACTCTGCACTGACACAAGATATGAAAATGACATGAATATGAAATATATACCCGAGACTTTGGTCTTTCATCTGGTACACATTTTGTTTATATATGATGTATTGATGTAAAGAAAGAGTGTAAAAAGTGTGACAACAAGCCCCTGTCTCCTCTATCCCTCTTTGTCAGTCCATCACAGTCTATGTAGTCCATATACAGCCAGGTGAAAAAAAATCTTTGGTTAGTGAGCTACTTGGCCCATATTTATTGAACATAAATATATACTCACATGTATTATTTTCTGTCAACTGAGGCTCATTTTTTGCCACTTCCTCTTCCTTATTCTCTAGGTTATCATTCCTTAGACAGTTAAGTGTCTTAGGTAAAGCACATTGCAGTGCACATATTTGCAGATGTCACATAAACATAGATGAATAACTTGTTGGTCTTTGTGATCCTTGAAAGCTGTAGTTGTAAGCTTTTCCTTGTTCTTGTTGCTTTTATGACAGGTCAGTATCTGTTTCACTTTTACTCACAGCAGATCTGCAGTTTTTAATTTGTGGAACAAGAGAGTGACATGCTCCTGTGTGCAGACACAGAAAATGTCAGGTTTTAAAGATTTGCCTTGAGCCCTGCAGGCCTCAACAGTTAGGGTTTAGACTGAGTTATGCAGGTACCAGGAGGATTGCTTTTGTGGTATTTTTCTGTGGAGAAATGTCTCTTTTAGTGGCATTTATGCTTTTGTGTCTTGCTATCATTGCATTTGAGCTAGACAGGTTCCGTAAAAGAACCTGACACAAAGCAACTCTTAAAGTTATAAGAAGACAGATCTTTGCTCAGTTGCAGCTCATTATGGTTTAACTATTCAAGGCAACCTCAGAGAGCTGGCTCCAAAATCTTTAATACGTTTGTTGATAAGGTGTGAGAAAGCCAAAATGCTAATAGAGGCAGCAGAAGTTACTGTAGCTTCAGGTTTGAAAGAGCTTGAGTTGAGGCTGCAGTTAAAGAGAATTGAGTTAGAGATTGATGCCATGGAAAAATATCTGACATCCCTAGTTCAAAGAAGTTTGATGTTGGCAGGCATATTCATTTGGTCTCCCCTTTTAATTAAAAGATGCTGAAAAGAACTTTTCTCGTCTCCCAATCAGAAGATGAGGGGTTTGATTCCAGAGCTGCTGAAGTGTCCTTGGGCATCACACTTGACATCACCTGCCCCCTTCCAGTGGTGTGAGAATACAACCAGTCAAAAGCTGATGGGCTCTATACATAGCAAACTCTGATATCAGTGTGTGAATGTGGTGAGAATGTGACATGTGATGTAAAGCTCTTTGAGTGAAGAAATATATTATTTTGACATAGTTCCGTTTGAGTCTTTTTTCAGTGTCAATGTGTATCTTCTCGTAAAACTATGACCTCTGTCTGACATATTTCAAGGAACTGAACCTTTAAACTTCTCTATAAGGGGAAACCACTTCACACATCGACTCAACAACCAGTCAGATCGAAATTTGAAACAGGAAGTGGTAGCTGCTGACCGTAGACCTTTCTCCAAAGCCCTTAAATACCCCATGTTTTTTAAGTTTGGTGTGAATGCTGATACTCTCAGGTCACTACCCCTTAAGTTTTCTGTTTCCTACTTTTGTCTTTCACTTCTTGATTTGTTTGTATCAAGAAGTCAAGATTTTTATGCAACCTTTTGTTTTGCACTTATCAAGTTTTTCCAGGGATTTTAGTGACAGGATCTAAGGAAAGGAGTGATAAGAAACAAAGATGTCTGAGCACTCAAACGTAGAGAAAAAAAGTAGAAAATCAGACTTAAAGAAGGCATCTCAAATGTTTCTTTTTAAGCTTAAGCCCCCAAAAAGCTGGGATAACATAAAAGCTATGCCAGGTATGTCAACCCCAACTATATTAGCTGTGACAGACAACTTCTTACCTCATGCTTGCCTCTTCAAATCATAGGTTAGTTGTTTTAAATGTTTAGGAACTGTGTGAACAAATAGTTCAACCACTTCTAAATAATTTTCTTGTGCATAAAGTTGTAAAGAACTTGTGAATTTCATCATATGTAGTATTTAATATCAGTAAAAGATTCAGAGAATCTGGAGAAATCTCTGTAAGAGACAAGGAACAAAAATCAATACCAGCTGGCCCTGATCTTCATGAATAATCATGACTCTGTAGTGTAAATCACTGCATGGTTGTATTATGATGAGACCTGAGAAAATGGGGTCTATGTAGTGTTGGATCGAAGCACTAGTGCACCAACCAGTCCAAAAGTTGAATGGGTCTAAAGTGTGTTGAAAGCCTCTGAATATGTTGTTTGGTGTTTGAAATGTTGGGTGCATTTAAGTATGATAAGTTTCATGTCTTCAATTTTAAAGTTGCTAATGGAGCTGCTTTTCTGCAAATAAGTTTTCAGACTTTGCCTTTTGTGTGTGTGTGTGTGTGTGTGTGTGTGTGTGTGTGTGTGTGTGTGTGTGTGTGTGTGTGTGTGTGTGTGTGTGTGTGTGTGTGTGTGTATGTGTGTGTGTGTGTGTGTGTGAGTGTGAATGTTGATTATGTATGGACATGTGTTGGGGGAAAGGCTGTAGAATAAAGTTTAGATCTTAAGTAGGCTACTTATCTAGTATCGTCAATCACTACATTTAATGTAATGACACTGTGAGCAGCGTACTGAGCATGTGCAGTGTGTGCATGTGTGTGTGAACAGGAGCAGGTAGGAAAACATGGTAAGCATCTTCATCATTTTTATCGTCATTGATATTATCATGATCATCACCCTCCCCTGCAGTGTGTGTTTGTTTACATTCAACACCATAAACATGTTAATATTTAAGCAGAAGAGCATGCCTTTTCTGTAACACTTGTTACAAAACTTTTTTCAAGCGCTGACGTGTTTGTAGTTCTTAGCAGTGTCTCTGAAACACATGTAGTCCTGCTGAAGCTTCACTTTGTGATAAGAGTGTATAGACAGACTTTTACAGGAAGTTTGATTTCTCCTCTTTAGTGAAGGCAGAGACACAGAGTCCATCAGAGAGATTAAAGGTAATTTGATTGACATGTGTCTCAGCCAATAAGGTGTCCATCCAGGATCCTTTAAGTCTGTTCACTGGTTTATATTTTCCAGGATTTTTCTCCAGGTTCTTCCAGGTGATCAAACCTCTGTGTGTGTGAGTGTGTGGTGATGCTGGGGTCAAGTACAAGCAGAGGTCCAGAATAAACTTTCACAGTGACAGCAGACAGCTTTATGACCTCATCCATGACCTTACATAATTCATGGGACACGTCCCTCCTCTTATGGCTTTACTTCATCCTTCATCCATCGTATTACAATAACACAAGTATTATTGTCCTTTCTGCATGTGAATGCAGCACAGACAGACAACAAACACGAGGACAACAAGCCCTGAGATAGAGTTCAATGAGGTCACATGATGCAGGTGTGACGGAGACCATGCACAGACAACATGAGGCATGTTTTACAACATTCATATTGAAAGTCTCATTATGAAGCATGACAACAGACATGTACATGAAGTGTTCAAATCGCACATTTCTTTTTGCTCTTCTTTTTTTTTATTTGTGTGTTGAGCCAAAACAAAGTCTCAGCATCAGAACTCATCTGACTCATATCAGTCAGCTCTTTTGCATCCATTAAATTGAAACATCAAGTTTTGAAAATGTACTGCTTCTCTCAGTGGTTTCTTTTTCCTGCCTATCCTCATTATCTTGTCATTTATTGCATGTAGGTTGTACCATCATTTATCCTGTAATAAACAGATCATTTATTTTTCTAAATTCTCTTCAGTTAGTGTTCTTCCAGAAGTGAAGTCCCTGAAATGAGAATTTCAGCTTGAGATATGAGATTGATTAATTTAAGATTGACTTAATGTTTGATTTCTGAATTAAACTTTTTTTTCTCTTTATTTTTCCACCCTTAAGGGTGGGTGGTGCTCCTTTCAATGAGTGCATAAATGTCATAATTTAAGATAATTAATCTTAAGACATTTATTATAAATTCAAATCACTACATGAGTATATTTGTATTCTCTATATTTTCAGTGTTAAGTGGAATATTCATCATTTCTCCTTCATATATTAATTAAATTATAAATAATGTATATAAATCCCACATTTCAGTTTCATTCACTTTCTGTAACACAATTTTATGAGAGGTACAAAATAAACAGGTCTGACTACATAAAACATTTACTGTATTTAATTGTAACTGCGCTTAACTGTTGGCTCAACTGAGAACCAGCATCTTTCATCACATGATTTAACACTGCCATCTGCTGGAAAATGACAGCACTAGGCTGTGTGGAGAGGAGGAAAAAAACTCATGTTCAACTGAGACTGAGTAAATGGTTTACACAGGCTTTGCTGGATGATATTTGATTTTAGTCATTATTAGGCTGATATAAGAACTGTGTTTTTGACAGAGTGAAAGGAATTAGGCTTTGGATGTTGGAGTGGGACGGATAACATTAAATGTGTGATTATGAAATCTTGAAAATATGACTTGCTCACTGTTATCTTAGAGTTATCTAACATTGACTTTAGGTAAAAATTCCTCTAGCACAGGAAACAGTAAGGTAGATTTCTTTATTTGGATCAGTGAAGCTTCCAGATCAGAAATAATGGAATTAAGAATACTTTTAACATCGTAGGAACAGCAGGTTCGACTTATTTTTTCAACTAGAGGTGACTATAGGTTAATACATATTGGAAAGGCTTTTGGATTAGGCAGCAGTAGGACTCAATAGACTTCTCAAAAAGAGGCAGAGGACTGCAAGGCCTTCAAAATTCAGAAGCAATGGAATAAAAGAGCCTTCCAAGGAAATCAATTTTGACTGTTAGTTGGTAGGATTAACACATTTCTACACAAAAAGGACCAAGGATTAAACTAAAAACTAGAAGCAGCTACTACTACTAACTACTTAAGCAGCTGTCAGAGTGAGGCAACTTCTAGATTATGGAGGCGTGAAATCATCACTCCTCTGAACAATACAGCAGCAGGACTGAAAATAGCTCTAGATCGGTCTCTGGAGATGTGAAGTGTGTTTGAAGTTGGTCATAGCGTAAAAGAAAAAACAGAAAACATGACTAACTCTTGTGCTGGAAAAAAAACAGCAACAACGTCATAAGAGCTTGATTGTTTTTTAATCTGCATATATTCTGAAACAGTTATGAGTATATCAATCATTAATGTGACACTATGAATATTAATTGAGAATTCAAGTGATCAGTGATTACAAGAAATCCAAAAGTGTCTAATGTTCTCTTTGATTTCACAAGGACGACAGATTTCCAAGGATTAATGAATAACACTTTAACTGACATCCAACATATCCACAATAAAAATGTATAATAGTATAGAAAAAAAGTGAAATTATTACATTTTGAGTAGTTTAATTCATTTCAGCCTCCATTCATATATAACAACTAGTTATAACTTTATAAATGCAAAAGTTCTGTATAGTTGAAAGTTTTTGAAAAGTCTCTGGATATTAATTATCCCTTTCATAATGACTGACAGAGGGATTTAATGTATGACTTTAAAAAATGATTAAAACAAAAACGAAACAATCACGTTGAGTAAATTTCATGAAGTGGTTCATAAAAATGTGATTTCAGAATTAAACACATGAAACTTAAAAAGAAAAAGACATTAATGTCACTAAAGTAAGGTTGAAAATCAAAAACAATAGGATAATCATCATATAAATTACCTCATATTATTCATGGATAATTTTTCGAAATCATTTCTTGCTTCTCAGATTATCTGCAGTGAGCTGACTGAGGCTCAGATTCTGAAGTGGAATGCCACATTTGGAGGAGAGGATTTCTATAAGTTTGTCATCCTCGCTGCCTGATTCATCGTTCATTTCAAACTCATCCATATCAGTTTTGAGAACCTTTCTCTTTGACTTGAGTTCCTCTGAATGGATGTTGCTCAGTTGTTCCTCCCGCTGCTCTTTGGCTTGTTGGAGTGAGTCCTGTAATCTTTGATTCAGTTCTTCTCTCCTCTTTTCTTCAGCCTCTCTCCTTCGCCTCTCTTCTTCTCTTCTTCTCTCCTCTTCTTGCCTTCTCCTCTCTTCTTCTCTTCTCCTCTCCTCTTCTTGCCTCCTCCTCTCTTCTTCTCTTCTCCTCTCCTCTTCTTGCCTCCTCCTCTCTTCTTCTCTTCTCCTCTCCTCTTCCTGCCTCCTCCTCTCTTCTTCTCTTCTCCTATCTGTTCGGCTGATAAAAGCAACTGGCGCATTGGTACATATTATCGTGGCCTACTTCTCTGAAGTATTCACCTCCATTGAACACGTATACACAGATTCCATGAATAGTGGCTTGGTAAAGGTTGTCAAAGTTTGTACACGGAGGCAGGATGCAGCTACATTTGTAACATCTTAGACTGCCTCCCATGTTAGCCTCTGATGGTACGTTCCCCATTTTTCTGGTTTATTCAGCAGTTTAGTCTGTGTTGTTCTTTTCTGTTTTCTCCTGTAAGAGACAAATATAATTCAATCAGGACCACTTCAGTCAAAAGAATCACTATTTGCACACAATAAGTTTAACTTGGTGGTATGGCCCTGTTCTGAGAGCTCCCTGTCCTTTATGTGCATATATGGATTGTCAAAGCCTGAGGCAGGGAGAGCACACCTTTTTTCTATTTCAGTCAGGACCACTTTAGTCAAAATTAATTATTTATTACAAGCAAACATTTTTCCATTGGTGGTATGGCTCTGTTCTGAGAGTTCCCTGCCCTTCCATGCGCTTGCATGGAATGCCACGGCTATAAGAGGGGGGAGCCCCTCCCTTTTATGCGTGTACAAGAAAAGCCAAGGCAGAGAAAGCAGCAGCAAATAAATTAAAATCCCCCCACAGAACAGAGCAAGTATCCATGACGATACATATGGGTGGGTTACAGAGTGGTTGCAGCAGGCAGAGTAGGCAGGAGAAGCAGTTTAAATAGGATGCCATTTTGACATTTGCCAATAGGATGTGTGGGGGCGATCAGCTGAGCTGTCAGCTGACTGAGGGCTGGATTAAGATCAGCTGACTGTAGCCTTTAGCTTGACTTCGTGTCCTGCCTGAACTACCGCTATGCTTTATTTCACATCAATGGATAGCTGAGGCAGGAAGAGCAACAGCAAGGACATCTTAGACATGACAGGCTATTCTCTCTGTCCTCCAGGTACTCACATAAAAGCACTAGCGGAAAAGTAGCTACAAAGCTGAAACTAGAAGCTATTTGGCATAATATGTGTTGTATCAGCCAGCAATGTAGGGCACCCATTGCTGTTGAGAATCAGGTTCAGTTCATTAGTGACTACAGCAATCAAGATACTATAACTGGGTAAAGTACATACGTCACCAAGAACCAAAACCCAAAACCAGCAGAGGGCACTGCATTGGCATAGTTTTACAGCTTATCAGTTAGCTAGTTCTAGTCAGTTTATGCACTTTTCTTTACAAAAGTGCTCCTTGATATGCTGTTGTAAACACAAAAGGGCTGACTAAAATAATCCAAAACGTGAGTTTTGCATTCGGGACAATTTAATGAAAACATCAAACTGTAAAAGCTAACAGTGCTGAGTTGTATCTGTTTCTTTCTCCTTTGGGGAGAGCATGTGTTTTGAAATAATGTCTGATTATGATTTCTCAAATAAAAGCTTTTTTTTTTCCAAACTAAAAATAGTTAGCTCTATCTGTAAAATGCTAGCTGTATTTGCTTAGATGTTGACACTGCTGGCTAATGTTATTCATACAGTATATAGACTTAAATTGATGGTGGTTTTAATTAATGTAAAATGTGTCATACAAGGACTCATGACATTAATAAATACATACATATATATATATATATATATATATATATATATATATATATATATATATATTATACAAATTTAATGATAGGTGTTTTATAAAAAGCATTGTAAAGTGTTATCAAAACAATGAGTTGAGATTTATCAAGACTGAAAGCAACTGATGTGAATTTTTTTTTTTTGCCATACCGCCCAGCTCTACTGATATAAACAGAGCACAGAACTGTCACCTGTACTGATTTTACAGAAGAGAACTTTGTTTACTGATAACACAAAAGTGTGCTTGTCGTTGTGGGGGAAAATAGCAGATATGTTTGGATGTTTTGGAGGTTACTATGAGGCAAGAAAGCAGGATATGGTTGGAGAGGTCAGATTGGGATAAACTTCATCAGGTCATGGTGAACTGTATTACAATAACAGGAAATTTGGCAGAGGAAGATGGATACAGATGTGCTTCAGAGATATTGGCAGGGAAGAGTCACGTAGGTAACGTTCCCACGTGAAAGTGGGAAATACACACACACGAAGGTAGCTTCGCACACACATTTGGCAAAAGCTGAGATCAGTGACGTCAATGGAGTACTATAAGAGGTCTGTAGTTTTTCTGTTCTGAGTTATGTCTGTTCGATTTGTTCATTGAACTGTGTTTGTTGCTGTGATCGGAATAAAATCCTGCGAGAGGCTGCCAGCTTGATTCTGTCTTCGTGTAGTTCATTCCTGCATTTTTGCACCGAGGTCATCTTCTAAATCTGCTTGTGTGTGTGTGTGTGTGTGTGTGTGTGTGTGTGTGTGTGTGTGTGTGCGCGTGTGTGTGTGTGTGTGTGTGTGTGTGTGTGTGTGTGTGTGTGTGTGTGTGTGTGTGGCAAAGACAACAGAGGGGGAGCTGTGTGAGCTAATGAACAACCCCTTTGGTTACGTTGAGAATGAGACAGATCAAGAACATTCTGAGCCGAGGACAAAATACTTTCTACCAGAAGATTATTTTTCATACATCTAAAATTTTATAACAGTCTAAACATAAAGATTACTCATGAAATAAAAATAAAGTTCTCATAGTGTGTTAATGTGACAGTGTGACTGAGGCATGATGGCACAATGAAAGACAAGAATCTTGAGCAATAAACATTCATTTTGTGAAGAAACCATTACATGTTCTAATCATTGAAGCAGTAATTTAATGGATATTTGTTGTAAAACTTTCATCATCCTCAGAGTTGTACATCTTTTGTACTGTTATTGACATGAATGTTGTGATCATTATTCATTAATATTAATAGATTAGCACTGTAACCATCTGTTGTGGACCTTATAAACATGTTAAATCGTCTCTGTAGAGCATATATGGTCATATACAGTCATTCTTTAAATGTGTTCATATTTTGCACTTCTGGTCAGACTACAGACAGTAGACCAGACCCATGCACCCATAAGAATATAATCTAAGTCTAATGATCTGTACACTGGACTTGCAATCATATACAAATACAATGTTATAAACCACAATAACATCAATCTATCACAAATAAAACCACAAGAAAACAATGCAACACTAAAACCATGCTGTGACTTCATGCCTCAGATTCAAATTATGTTTGATAACATTACAATTTTACTATTTACAATTGATCTAGATAGATAGATAGATACTTTATTAATCCCAGAGGAAATTCAGAAATCTAAGGATTTAAAAATCTAGACATAAATGATAAAAAATATGTATTAAAATGAGAAGAATATATACTGTATGTTTAATGCATGGACATTAATTAACTAATTTAGGAATAATATTTGCAGATTTTTTTATGCCAACAAAAACATGATAAATGTAAAACTCAAGAGTTTGTTACCTGCAGAAGAAAAGAGATGTGTCCACTCATCTAGACTCTGACTGAAGTGAGCCCTAGTGGCACTTTTCCAGATTTTTTATACTGTACGGATGACTTTTTACTTTCACTTTCACAGAGGTGGTTAGGTTTTTCCCTGAAACCACGTGAACACACGCCCGCAACACGCACAGCTGAATTAGTGTCACATGTAGGCTACGTGGCTGGAGTGGCTGATCAGGAAAACGGATACATTTCCCAGTGGACCGGGCTGAGTGAAAGGCAGGGAAAGACAGCCAAGGGAATGAGGCGTTGGACAAGGAGTAGGTGAAAAATAACATACCAGAGAGAATTACGTTTTTGTCTTTTGCACACAGAAATATGCACCCCGGAGCAAAGCAAGGAGTAAGATTTAGACAAGATTCTCCTTAAAGTTCTGCCTCTTTTCAGCTCTCCTCTCACTGCAAACCATAGACTGTATATAAGATGGACACCCTGGTTCCGCCTTCTGCCTGTATACGGATTTGAGGCCAAAAAGCTCTCGGTAATTCCGGGTTTTTCTCCACTTCCTTGAAACCAGAGCTGTGCAGTAGCGTTGTGCGCATTCGGCCGCGCAGTCGCCAAGAGTCCCTGTGATGACGCTTGGCTCAAACAGCGTATCCCCCGGGTGAGCTCCGCAATCCCTGAACGCCCATAGGCTGTACCAGGTGTCAATCATAGAAAACATGAACCCCCTAATAACTTTTAAAATCGGAGCTGTACAGAAAAAAAAGGACTTGGGCACAAACCAGTCTTACAATAACTACATGTCAACATCACAAGCAGGGGGGAGAAAAATGTATGTTCTGTGTAATAAATTTTTAAAGTTTGTCCACAGTCCCATAAGCTTTGCTGACGGAGGCGGGATTTATGGCCTGTACTGCAGCCCACCATCAGAGGGTGCTGTTCTCGGAGTGGCTTCACCCAGCGAGGAGGCAGACTCTGTCCATCTTATATACAGTCTATGCTGCAAACACACTCCTCTGTCCGTCCTCCATTGTATACCCGTGATTTTGAATCAGAATCATACCTTAACAGTCTTTGTGATAAATCTTTATCTGTTCTTCCATGTCCACCTATCTCTCCCTGTAGGGGAGACCGGGGCTTGTTGTCATATGGGTAAGTTGTCACATTGCACTTATCTTTGCCACCAGAGGGCGCAACTAAAAAGTGGAATACTAGTTTTATTTCTTTACATGGTCGGGTTCATGTCCTGTCTGAGAAGAGAAGAGCACATTGTGAGCTGAGATGAGATAAGCGCTAATTAACCATTTTTCATAACTCAAAGTAAAAAAATTAACTTTGTATATTTTAAGATAACCTTCTTCCAGATAAAAATCCTAGCAGTGATACATGTGGACTTGTTAGAGGAGAGATTAAGGCATCCTGTCATACTTCAGTCATTGTTCTGTTTTAAGCTAACTTTAAGCTAGAGCTATAACTAGCAAATATGTTAGTTTGGGGCAACATGCCGCAATCATTTTGGGATCAGTTGTCACATGTTTAAAAGGGATTAAAATCAACATAGAGAGTCTGCTTATCAGCAGTTGTCATATTGAAACTGACTGACAGCTCTTCAAACTCCAGAGCATGTTGCATAATATTTTATGTTAACGTTTGTTCAATTACTTTTTCTAGCTCAATGATAAACATTTAATATCCCTGACTTTGGTGTACACTTTCATGTAAAAATGAAAGAACAACAATAAGAACAACAATAATTTTTTCCTTGTTTTATTAGCTGCAAAATCCACTGCGACATCTTACCCCATGTAATGAGACAACTTAGGGCAACATGTCACATGTTCACACTCTCTTTTTAATTGCTTATAACTCTGCACTGACACAAGATATGAAAATGACATGAATACGAAATATATACCTGAGACTTTGGTCTTTCATCTGGTATACATTTTGTTTTTATATGATGTACTGATTCAAAGGAAGAGTGTAAAAAGTGTGACAACAAGCCCCGGTCTCCCCTATCCCCCTTTGTCAGTCCATCACAGTCTATACAGTCCATATACAGCCAGGTGAAAATAAATCTTTGTTAGTGAGCTACTTGGCCCATATTTATTGAACATAAATACATACACTCATATATTGTTTTCTTTCAACTGAGGCTCATTTTTTGCCACTTCCACTTTCTTTTTCTTTAGGTTGTCAATCCTTAGTCAGTTTAGTGTCTTAGGTAAAGCACATATTTGCAGATGTCACATAAACATAGATGAATAACTTGTAGGTCTTTGTGATCCTTGAAAGCTATAGTTGTAAACTTTTCCTCATTCTTGTGGCTTTTATGACAGGTCAATATCTGTTTCACTTTAACTCATAGCAGATCTGCAGTTTTTAATTTGTGGAACAAGAGAGTGACACGCTCCTGTGTGCAGACACAGAAAATGTCTTTCTGATGACTGTGATTTAAAAAAGAAAAAGTATTTTAAGCTAACTTATAAAATGATATCTCTACAACACAAAATCATAGACATACAAGCCCATGGTAACTGAAAGCCTTTGGGGGAGATGTAAAATGCACATAACTCAGCAGACTTCAATCATTTCATTCTAGTATTGTGGCTATTATGTTCAGCACCTGTGCCAGTTGTAACATAATAATGGGGGCTCATCAGGGATCATCAGTTTTTGTTTATCTTTGGTGTTTTCACCCCAGTTTGTAAAAACTGAACCTTTTGTTGATGTTTGAGGTGTGATTTTGAACACCGTGGCAGTGAATTACTGTGATTGTCTCTCCTAATAAGCACATGGTGATTAGAGAGTCTTTGTGCAAACTTTGATCCAAGTGATTTCTCCTTGGTCAGTGAGGGAGTGGGCCAGCTGGGCTGTACTAGTTTGTCCGTCCAACAGCCTACTCATTTGTTATTTTACCTTTTTTTTTTTCTTTTGAGAGTGGAGACTTGACTGGGCTCAGGTCCTTGGGTGTCTTTCTGAGGAGAACCCAAGGTCAGGTTTTAAAAAATTTTCTTGAGCCCTGCAGGCCTCAATGGTTAGCTTTGGATTGAGCTGGGCAGGTACCAGGAGGATTGCTTTTGTGGTATTTCTCTATGGAGAAATTTGAGAAATGTCTCTTTTAGTGGCATTTGTGCAACTCTTTAAGCTATAGGAGACAGATCTTTGCTCAGTTGCAGCTCATTATGGTTTAACTGTTCAAGGCAACCTCAGAAAGTTGGCTTCAAAATCTTTAATAGGTTTGTTGATAAGAGCATCTTGTGTGAGAAAGTCAAAATGCTAATAGAGGCAGCCGCAGAAGTTACTGTAGCGTCATGTTTGAAAGAGCTTGAGTTAAGGCTGCAGTTAAAGAGAATTGAATGAGGAATTTACACCAAGGAAAGAAACAGGCAAGAATGTATGAGCTTGAGGGTGAAAAAATGTGTCTTGATAATTTAAGAGCGAAAAGAGACAGGGATTTTTAGTAAGAAATCTGGCGTCCCTTGCTCAAACAAATTTGATGTTGGCAGGCATATTCGTTTGGTCTCCCCTTTTAATTAAAAGATGCTGAAAAGTACTTTTCACACTTTAAGGTTGATCGTCTCCCAGTCAGAAGATGAGTTGTTTGATTCCAGAGCTGCTGAAGTGTCCTTGGGCATCATTCTTTACATCACCTGCCCCCTTCCAGTGGTGTGAGAATACAATTAGTCAAAAGCTGATGGGCTCTATACATAGCAAACTCTGATATCAGTGTGTGAATGTGGTGAGAATGTGACATGTGGTGTAAAGCTCTCATCACGTTTGTTCCGTTTGAGTCTTTTTTCAGTGTCAATGTGTATCTTTTCGTAAAGCTATGACCTCTGTCTGACATATTTCAAGGAACTGAACCTTTAAACCTCTCTATAAGGGGAAACCACTTCACACATCGACTCAACAACCAGTCAGATCGAAATTTGAAACAGGAAGTGGTCGCTGCTGACCTCACATACCCCATGTTTTTTAAGTTTGGTGTGAATGCTGATACTCTCAGGTCACAACCCCTTAAGTTTTCTGTTTTCTACTTTTGTCTTTCACTTCTTGATTTGTTTTTATATATCAAGAAGTCAAGATTTTTATGCAACCTTTTGTTTTGCACTTACTAAGTTTTTCCAGGGATTTTAGTGACAGGATCTAAGGCTATGTTCACACTGCAGGTCAATTCCAATTTTTTAACCATATGTGACACATATCGGATTTTTTCATGTAAGTGTGAACAGTGCAATTCTAATTTTCTAAAATCCGACCCAGGCCTCTTTTGTATGTGGATATAAATCGGATATGTATCTGATGTGACTGCAGTGTGGGTGCTCAGGTGCGTTCATCCGACCTATACGTCATCAATATGCGTCAAACGTCACCATTGTTCGACAACACAAACAGGCGCGAAAAGCAATTTGTGCTTTGTGCGCATGTGGGTCACTTCACAGACGCATTCCGTTCACATTAGATGCTACATTCGTTGTTGTAATGCAAGCGACCGCACAAAAAGATCGGATTTAACAAAAAATCCGAATTGTGCATCATAACCTGCAGTATGAACGTAGCCTAACAAAAGGTGTGGGAAGACACAAAGATGTCTGAGCACTTAAATGTAGAGAAAAAAAGTAGAAAATCAGACTAAAGAAGGCATCTCAAATGTTTGTTTGTTTTTTAAGCTGAAGCCCCTAAAAAGCTGGGGTAACATAAAAGCCATGCCAGGTATGTCAACCCCAATTAAATCAGCTGTGACAGACAACTTCTTACCTCATGCTTGCCTCTTAAAATCATAGGTTAGTTGTTTTAGATATTTAGAAACTGTGTGGACAAATTTCAAGTTCAACAACAACTTCTAAATAATTTTCTTCTGCATAAAGTTGTAAAGAACTTGTGAATTTTTATTATCTACAGTATGTAATATCAGTAAAAGATTCAAAGACTCTGGAGAAATCTCTGTAAGAGACAAGGAACAAAAATCAATACCAGCTGGCTCTGATCTTCATGAATAATCATGACTCTGTAGTGTAAATCACTGCATGGTTGTATTATGATCAGACCTGAGAAAAGGGGGTCTAGGTAGTGTTGGATCGAAGCACTAGTGCACCAACCAGTCCAAAAGTTAAATGGGTCTAAAGTGTGTTGAAAGCCTCTGAATATGTTGTTTGGTGTTTAAAATGTTGGGTGCACTTAAGTATTATAAGTTTCATGTCTTAAATTTTAAAGTTGCTAATGGAGTTGCTTTTTTGCAAATCAGTTTTCAGACTTTGACGATACTAGATAAGTAGCCTACTTAAGATCTAAACTTTATTCTACAGCCTTTGCCCCAACACATGTCCATACATAATCAACATTCACACACACACACACAGAAACAGCTCTGTATTCAGTGATCTTTATTTAAAAGGCAATCACTACATTTAATGTAATGACACTGTGAGCAGCGTACTGAGCATGTGCAGTGTGTGCATGTGTGTGTGAACAGGAGCAGGTAGGAAAACATGGTAAGCATCTTCATCATTTTTATCATCATTGATATTATCATGATCGTCACCCTCCACTGCAGTGTGTGTTTGTTTACATTCAACACCATAAACATGTTAATATTTAAGCAGAAGAGCATGCCTTTTCTGTAACACTTGTTACAAAACTTTTTTCAAGCGCTGACGTGTTTGTAGTTCTTAGCAGTGTTTCTGAAACACATGTAGTCCTGCTGAAGCTTCACTTTGTGATAAGAGTGTATAGACAGGCTGTGTGTTTAGACACAGTAAGTGTGTGTTTAAGCGGAGACAGTGTGACATTCATGTGTGTGAGAAACACAGAGATTAATATCACTCAGTACAATCAGGGGCACAGTTAACATTTAGATTCATGTGCTGTCACCTCCCTCCTGATAAAATGTTTGTATCTGTCACTCAGGCAGCCAACATGGCTGAAAATTGTCAACATGTAGTTCCACTGGTGGCCACTAGGTGCTGTTTGTGAAAAGTCTCCACATTCACACTGTTTCAGTGAAAAAGTCCAAACTTTTACAGGAAGTTTGATTTCTCCTCTTTAGTGAAGGCAGAGACACAGAGTCCATCAGAGAGATTAAAGGTAATTTGATTGACAGGTGTCTCAGCCAATGAGGTGTCCATCCAGGATCCTTTAAGTCTGTTCACTGGTTTTTATTTTCCAGGATTTTTCTCCAGGTTCTTCCAGGTGATCAAACCTCTGTGTGTGTGAGTGTGTGGTGATGCTGGGGTCAAGTACAAGCAGAGGTCCAGAATAAACTTTCACAGTGACAGCAGACAGCTTTATGACCTCATCCATGACCTTACATAATTCATGGGACACGTCCCTCCTCTTATGGCTTTACTTCATCCTTCATCCATCGTATTACAATAACACAAGTATTATTGTCCTTTCTGCATGTGAATGCAGCACAGACAGACAACAAACACGAGGACAACAAGCCCTGAGATAGAGTTCAATGGGGTCACATGATGCAGGTGTGACGGGGACCATGCACAGACAACATGAGGCATGTTTTACAACATTCATATTGAAAGTCTCATTATGAAGCATGACAACAGACATGTACATGAAGTGTTCAAATCGCACATTTCTTTTTGCTCTTCTTTTTTTTTATTAGTGTGTTGAGCCAAAACAAAGTCTCAGCATCAGAACTCATCTGACTCATATCAGTCAGCTCTTTGGCATCCATTAAATTGAAACATCAAGTTTTGAAAATGTACTGCTTCTCTCAGTGGTTTCTTTTTCCTGCCTTCACGCAGTCCCCTGACCTGCTAAACCGAGTGAGTTTGAACTTTCCTGACTGATAGCAAATGTACAGTACCTCACTTCTGTTTAAGATCAATTTCAGCTTGGGACTAGTTTCATGGAGACATGGCCATCATTTTATCAGTGATGAAATGTGGGACTCACTAATAGATTGCTTTTCAAATCTGAGAAAAAGAACCATAAGTTTGAGTATAAAATCAAAAATTCTGGGCTGCACTATCTGCACACAAGCTCAAACGGGGCCAAAGTTTGAACCAGGGCTGTCACAATATTCCGTAATAGATCATAACTGTCTTTATTTGGATTCAATATCATTGAACGCAGTCCTAACATTACATGTTGTTCAAAAATTGATTTGTTTCATCACTTGGACTGAAACTGGACATTTTAAATGCCAAGCGTTCTGTGCATGCTCCAGAGTTTAAGCTCCAGGCTTTTGCCGAGAATGCAAAAGAGCACTAATGTAAAGGAGGTAAGAGAGATGCAAGTTCCATATCATATGAGCAATTTTCATCATATGACGTTCATCTCAACAGCCACATCCTAACGATTTTTGTCAATTGTTTTGGAACGTAAAAGATAAACCAGGAGATAACGCGATAGTAGCATGCTGAAGAGGGACACGTCGTCACCTACAGTAGTGGAGGCGGTCATGCTTCTGACATAAATTCAATAAGTAAGGGACTGGACATCTAACATTTATTTACTGTTTCGTCAGACTCGACAGTATTTTTTTTTCCTCATTTTCTTTTTGTGAGCAACGCTTCAGACAGGAGAAATTTGGGGATCGTGGTTAACTGACCATTTCCCTGTGTCATTTTTTTGTTGTTTTTTGCAACTGTACAATAGTATCCTTATCATTTATTTTTTAACCATAGTAATGATCTCCACGATCTTGTGTGAACAAGAACAAGATCATGGCTACAAGCGGCCGAAATGGGTTTTCTTCGCAGGGTGGCCGGGCTCAGCCTTAAAGATAGGGTAAGGAGCTTAGACACTCAGGTGGTGCTCAGAGTAGAACTGCTGCTCCTCCACGTCGAGAGGAGTCAGCTGAAGTGGCTCGGGAATCTGGTTAGGATGTCCTGGATGCCTCACGTTAGAGGTGTTCCAGACATGTCCCACCGGGAGAAGACCTCGTGGCCGGCCCAGGACCAGGTGGAGGGATTATATCTCTCGCCTGGCCTGGGAGCGCCTGGGAATCCCCCCCGGAGGAGCTGGTGGAAGTGGCTGGGGTGAGGGCTGTCTGGGCTTCCCTCCTGAAGCTGCTGCCTCCGCGACCCAGACCCAGATGAAGCCGAAGAAAACAACGACGACATAGTAATGATAAGGCGAAAATCTGGTGAGAGTGACAACCCAATTTTGAATGTAAAGACCGCCTACTCTTCCTGTATCAACAGCAAAGATAACTAGGAGCCCTTCACAGACAGAGCCCTTAAAAAGTGCTAATTTGCATTTGAAGTGATCTTTTATATTAATGTAGCAGTTTTTTTTCAATAGTTTTTCCAGGTTGTAACCATGCAATAGTATTGTTTTAGTACATTTTTTGACCCATGGTAATCGTGAGGTGAAAATCTTGTTGCCATGCCAACCCCAGTTTGAATGTAAGGACCACCCACTCCTGCTGTATCGACAGCAAAGATCACTAGGAGCCACTGACAGACAGAGCCCTCAGAAAGTGTTCACTCTGAAGTGAGAGAGGAAGGTCACCAGAGACCCACTGTTGATCCAATAAGCGATTGCTGGTCTCTTGTGCCCTCATCACTAAAAACCACATAAAGACGCGAGAACCGATCCGTGTCAGAGTGAAAAACCAACAGCTTCCTGTTTGGTGTCACAATACACAAAAAAAACAGCAGATAAAAAGAAAGAGTACAAACCTCAAAACCATTGAGATTAGATATTTGATCTACAACTGTGTTTGTTTCTACTGAGACCACAAGTATTTCCTGTCAGCTACACTCTGTGTCAAATCGAGAGAATGAAACCTGAGACCTGAGTCCGCCTCCAGTGTTCATTTAACAAACTGAATCCAGCAGGTCGCCCATGATTCATTCTAGCTGATAAGTATATATAGAGAGAGCCAAAGGTCACGAACAACAGCTGACTGGCTTACCGTATTGATTTTTGACTGAGATATGATGTGTTTAAATAAACAGTCTGGCTCTGCGTGTGTGAATGCTGACAGGAAACAGGAAGTATTCTTCACCGCATCCCATTCAGAGCATGTGTTAAAGTCAATATTAAGGCAAAACACCTGTAAACTATAATCTGAATATCAGAAATGACTCAAGTGAAGTTACTTTCATAACTGAGAGAAATGATGACCGAGCAGAAAAACTGAGACCCGTGTTTTTTTCAGCTAAAATCGTAGTTTTTTTTTTTTTTTTTGTTTAGTTTTTTTAGATTAGCTTCATCTGTGAGAACTCTGTGTGTTAGATTCATAAAGCACAGTGAATGTGTGATGTTACAGTTAACAGCACATAAGGACAGGTGTTGTCCCTGTTTATCACACATGAAGAAGTAATTTAAGGCACTAATGGGTGAGTTTCAAACCTCACTCTGTCTATGGGTCCGTCTCAAGTTGCAGCGTTTTCTCGCTCTCCGCCTCTTTGGTCTCGATGTTGAGCCCGATCTGAATTTTACATGCCTCCACAAACAGCGGGAAATCAGATAAGCTTGTGTTGCACTCTTTGTCTTCTGTCTCCTCCTCTCCGTCATCCTTCCTCTTCCCATCTTCTTCAGCGCACGGCGTGCTGCAATCGAAAGTGGGTGTGCCACAGCCAAAGGCCTCGCTGTGCGGCCGGCGGGCCTCATTAGGGATGTTCTTCTTCAGCTCTCGATTTCTGCTGCGTTTGGCAAGTTTGGTGACCGAGCCGAGCCGGTTGAAGATGTTGTCCTCTGATGTGGTCTGATGGTCAGAGCGGCGCTCGCAGTGCTCTGCCCCTCGCACGCGGAGGTTGTTGAGCTTGATGTCTATGCTCTCCTGGGAGGAGGTCTTGTAGCTGTTGGTGTCAAGGCTGTTGAAGATGGCGCGGCGCTCTGGGGACAACATGTCTAGTGACACCGCACGCTGGTCGAGTCCAAGCTGTCGCCGCTCCATGCTGCGGATCGTGGCAGCACGCTGCAGTTTGTCGTGGACCTCCACACTCATTCGCCGCCGTGTCTCTCTGAATTCTGCTCTCACATTGGCTTTCCACTCTGCAGCGTGAGCTTTGATCTCTCCAACCTGACCAAACAGAGACAAAGCCAAAGTCAGCAGAGTCTAAACTGTGATTGGATATCTACAAATATTAATGAAAAATCATTTTGTTTATTGTGAACATTGATTTCACTTAAATGTGGAGTAGGCAGGATTCCCTTAAAGAAGCAGCTTTTCTGTGGTGTATACACAAAAAAGCTTTGATTATCAGTCAATAGCTATTAGCTATTAATGACATTTGGTAATATAACGATATCGCTGTTTCGTTATGTCTGTGTTTTGTTTTTTGAGCAGCCCACTCATTCTGATTGTAAACAAAGCCGTTCTCCACCTCCCCTAACCTGATTCGTTGTGAGGCAGACGCTGCTCCCCAGTGTCGTTCACGAGCTCAAACAAAGTTAGTTTGCTACAATATCGGGCAGTAGAAACCAACCAGAAAGCACAGAAAACTGTCTGAATCCTCCTTTGGCCACGACTGCCAACACAAGCAAGAAAATGAAGTAAATACTGGAGACTCTGGCGGAATAAAAGGCACTTAAAAAGGAGGTAGACCAGCCAGACAAGAACTAAAAAGACGGGTCAATATCAGCATAAACAATGGGGGACACTTGGGGATCTTGTGGACCCTGTAACCTTTCTGCTGGACAGGTAAACCACTTTAACAAAGTAAGCCAAGTGTCTGTAACAGATGTAGCGCTGATTACTGTTTACCTCGGGTCCTTGACTATGTCCCTTTATCCTAGTTGTAGAAGTCCTGCAAACATTGTGTTTGCTGGTAGTCTGTTGGCACCAATGCTTTATACTTTCACATTGACTGGGCCCCATTTGTAATCATCTGAATTATTTATCTGCATTATATCTGAATTTAATTGGAACAATACGAGCGAGCAAGAGCGTCTTTTTGTGGGCGGGGCTTGCTGGAGCAGAGAAGGAGGGGAGAGGAGGAGCTGAGGGGAAAACCGGTTGGAAAGGGGTAGTGTTTACATTCAAGATTTCTCCCCAAAACTGGCGCTTCCTAGGATCCTGCCTACCCCACCTTTAACTGAGCAGAAATAAATACTGCTACTGTGAACCAAAACTCTGTACACTTGCATGCACAATTAGTTGAGCCATGGTTATAGCTGATATGATCAATAAGAGTGATGTCTAACTTGATGTGATGGTGGTTTATCTACAATCATTTCAACCAATCAATACGTGACTCTTGTTGGATCTTTTCCCCTCTATGTTGTGTGTCTGTGTGTGAATGAAATGACAATTTTACAACTTATCAACTTCAACACACTTGAACATAGAATACTTTCAATTTTGCTGGCATGATCCACATCAGCAGTGTCTCCTCCTCTTCATCATTACATACCTCCTCTTTTGTCTTCTTGGACAACACCCTAAGCCAGTCTCCAATCATGTTCAGTACTGCAGCAAAGTAGGCCAAACCCCCCAGGATCCAGAACCAGACCAGAGGACGGTACCACTGCCTGTACTCTATCCGACGATCACCCCCTGAAGATATGGGATGTGGAGAAAGAGAACGAAGAGGAAAAAGAGAGAAAGGAGGAGTTCATCACTTCATCTACTGAATCTCTGCAAAACACTCTTTTGTCATCATCCACAGTCATCTCCAGCTCCCTCAATCAACCACAGTCAGCGTCATCACTCCTACTCACTGGCCTTAGACCTGCTCTGCTAAAAAAAGAACCGTCCACCTGTAACACATAGACCTCTCCTCCATGATGACACATAGACAGAGAACATGAAACTCCAGCGTTGAGGTAAATACAGACTGTGGCTACCTGCACATCAAAACTATTAATACAGATCAGTAGACTCAGATGAACCAATCACGTCATCTGTTTTCAGATTAAATCTTCTATTGTTTGACAGCTGTGAAGCTCTTCATCATCATGTTATGAAAATGACATTGGTTTCAAGGTCAGGTTGATTAGTCATAAAAAATGAACAATAATTATTCATCAAAAACAATTGTGTCTATTTTTTATCCATAATTTGGCTGTTGTTTTTTACTCAGTGAGAACATCAAAAGTTTTATGATCCTCTCAGACATTTCCACGAATGACTTTTTATTATGAGCAGTTTTACCCGCCACATAGTCGCCGATCCCGACAGTTGTCAGCGTGATGACGACAAAGTATGTGGACTCCAGCGCCGACCAGCCCTCAATGTGTTTGAAGATCACTGCCGGGATGGTGACGAAGAGGATGCAGCCCACCAGGATGAAGAGGAGAGTGGAGGCCACACGGATCTTGGTTTGGCTGATCTGGTTATGTTTATTCTAGAGGACACACAGACAGAAGGGTTCTGAGTGTTTGGGATTGTGCAGAGGCCTGCAGAGTCTATGGGGACTCTGATGAACTGAGCTAATTATCACATCAGCATGACCGCTGGCTTCGAAAAGTTTTAATGCCAGAGTATACCACTGTGTTTTTCAGTCTGAGTCACAGTTTGTGTAACAGAAACTGATGAAAGGGAGAAACTTTACCCCATGTATGTGTGTGTGCCTGAATGTATTTCTGCAATACCTCTGATCACCACAGGATAGCACCACAGGATACAGAATGCTACTATGAACCCTAAGGATGCGTTAACTTTCTGACAACTTTCTGACACTTTCTAATACTGAGGACCATCCAATACTGCTGAAAGTGGCTGATATATAACATGTCCCGCAGTGATATAGTCTACTTATAAACAAAGTGCCCTTAAATATTTCTGCCTATAAATTAATCAAGTTTCTGTGTTTGGCACCATCTGGTTCACTAGAAACAAGTTGCATCTAAGACTCATTCAGTTTCCAAGTGTATTAAATGTTTCCATCAAAAGTGGGCATTATGGGAAGGTAGTGATAACTTCAGGTGTTAACTCTGAGTTGTCACCATGGAAACAGAACAGGATTTTTAAAGCTTTTTGAGGTTCTTTCAAGGTGCCGAGAACTAATTGTAAAAATATTAATCATACATTCATATTTTTTTTACCATACATTAGTCAGTAACACTTTACAATAACCATAATTTATAAATGGCAAATAGATAGTGTAATAATGTAAGTTAATAGTTACCTTACCATTAACAAGCAATGAAATTATGATTAATAATTTTCATTAATTATTAATGGACTATTTATTAAAGGTTTATTTAGGGTTAAAATATTGGTTGTAAAGCATCTGGATTAAAATGTGTGTCAGTAGCACTTTGTAAATGGTTAATATTTGGTTTTTAAACAATCTATAAACATTACTTAGATGGTGATTGTAAAGTTAGGGTTAGGTTTTTAAAATTTACAATTTATTAATGGTCTGTATGCTATTTATAAATGACAATTCAACATTAATAAACTATCTGCTTACCATTTAAAAATAGTCTATTTACCATTTATAGGTTAGGGTTATTGAAAAGTGTTACCTATTAGTATTTTTTAACGACAGGTTTGCATAGATAAAACATAATGACACTTTTTTGTACAAAAACGTGGTAAAAGAAAAAAAGAGAGATTGGTTATCTCATCACTTATCATTTAAGCTCCAAAAAGAATTCATTTTGTGCATCACTAATAAAAAATATCAATGATAAGTGATTAATTACAAATAACGACGTGTCAAGCATAGTGTAATGTTTATAAAGCTGACTCACCCTGAACATTTTCTCCACCTTGGCGATGCTTTTTACAAAAATGGTTCCCAGCTGATCTCCAACACCCGCCAACAGGAAGCCAAACAGAGGAATTCCGAATATGGCATACAGGATGCAGAAGATCTTTCCCCCCTCTGTGCTGGGAGCAATGTTTCCATAACCTGAAGTGAAGGAGACAGAAAGGAAGGGGAGGAGAGAGGAGGCAGGAAAGGGAGCAGGATCAAAAGAGGGAGAAAATAAGAGGAGGAGAGAGGAAAAATGTTTTAATTAGGATGCGCACTAGAGAGCCCCATTACTCACAGCACCTATAATGTCTCAAAGTAGTCTGGGAGGTAGAGCCTTCAGTCATCAGCCCCTCTCCTTTGGAATCACCTATGAGTCAGGGTCTGTGAGGTAGATACCCTCTCTTCTTGTAATAGTGAGCATAAAACTGTTTATGGTTAGGGCCGGTCCAGGCTCGGACCTGGTCTTAGTTATGCTGCTTTAGGCTTAGACATAGAAATGTATACATCACATTGGCTGTGTTCTCCTGCTGCAGCAATATGTTAAAGCATCTGTTATATCCTTCAACAAATACAAGCAGATGTGGACACTGCGGGTTTTCTGAATAAGAAGCAACATTATGAACTCTCATTTTGATTAATTGTTTATGTAGTCAATGATTGTTGATTATGCGGACGAACACATGATTATATAATATTACAATAATTTGGATGTTATCTTGAGCCTCATTAGTTTACATTGTCCTCATGTGAAGTTTCTCCTTTCATCATGCCACTGTAAAAACTTTCATTTAACTTTTTGCTTCCAACATAATGTTATAAACTGTCCTGTACAGAACTTTTTCTTTCCCTTCCTGGGTTTTTACCCCAGTTGTTTATACCTCTTTCATTTAAGGTACATCATTTATGTCTTTTTATATTTTATTTTATTTACTTACCAGCTGACCTAAAGTACTCAAAATGAGAATCAATAAGGCACAAAAAATAATAATAAAAAAAATTAAATATATGTACGTATATATTTGAGAGTAAGTCTTCTGGTATCTGAATACATGAGAATGAGCATCTTTTCAAAATGCCCTCAGCAATATGGCAGCGACGATGATGCACAAACCAGTTAGTCAATGCAGCATCTAGGTATATGTTGTTTGTGGGCCTAGACTGCACCGGGACCTAGCACAAAATCGCAGTGGTATATTCTTAGATAAAAAGCAAAAAACATATTCCTTTATTCATAAATGTTAATACCTGCTGACCCAAGCTGTATCTATTATTCTTATTAGTCACACTTATCTTAATAGATCAATGCTAATGCTGCTAATACCAGACACATTTTTACTATTCTTATTTGTGTTGTAGACTGAAGTCTGTTTTGTCCTGATTTCGTTGCTGTTTGTTTATCTCTGTCCATCTCTCTCTTTCTCACTCTCTTTCTCAGCCCACACAGTCGCAGCAGATGTCTGTTCGACACAAGTCTTGTTCCTGCCTGTTAAATGAAGTTTTTCATGCCACTCTGACCTACTAAATAAATGTTCCCATGTGCTTATTCAAAATGTCTGTTAATGTAACAAATAACGACAAGCTCTTTATGGAAAATGTCCTGAGATAGCTCAGTGATGAAAAAATTATATTGATCTATTTGATTAAATTAAATTAATCTGCATAATGTCAGTACCTATAGTCGTGATGACTGTCCCAGCGAAGAAAAAGGAGCTGCCAAGATCCCAGTGACTGGAGTTATAGGATGTGTCACCAATGGGACTCACGCCAGCATTCACAGCATCCACAGAGTGCTGAAAGACAAGAAAAGACACCATCAGGAAAAAATCTGTTTGAGTCTATCAAATACAAACACAGAAGAAAACACCTGAAAATAGGGAGTGTCAGGCAGCAGATCTGAAATCTGGTCAGGTTAAAAAGATCTGAGGTTGAAGTGGCACAAAGATCCTGTCCTTATAAGATGCTGGTCAGTCTAAGTCTAAGTACGTGTGGGATTGTTTAACCACAGACAATAACTCTCTGTGAGGGCAAGATGTAATACTTAAAAGGTCAAAACTGCTTCCTTTCTTGTGGTCATCACTTGGCCAAACAGTGACCTTTCTTACCTCATACCTGAACTTGTAAAGCATGGTAGCACATGCTGTACTTTTCATACGAATCACACTTTGAGCTTCCTTATGAACAGAAATTAAAACAGTTTCTGAGTCTCACATGGGCCACAATGTCATCTTCCACTTCGATACCTTTACAGAATCAAAACAAGTCTTTTCCCATAATTCATTCTCAATACGTTTCTGTGCTGTCTGAAATATTTTGTGCATGTAAATAACTTCAGCAGGTGGTCTGGAGAAAACACCTGAAAACAGCAGCTTAAATACCTAAGGGGGAATTAATAATAAATAACTGTTCGATTCCTTATGGCATTGAGCGCTGGAAATTAATCCCCCTCCAGCCTGTCTCCTCTGAGGGAAATTAGAGTTAACACCTTTTGTGAATCATTTATGGAATGACGAGGAACATATTGCTGTTCTTATGCTATTTACTGCAGCTTCACAGCGTGTTGACAGCCAACACATTCTCCTCTATCCGCTGCATCAGTGGCCTCATATGAATCCTCTGCATCACATTCATCACCTGAATGAAAGGTCACATATGCCAACCAATCAGGATTCGGACAGGGTTAATTCTGATTGGCTGTTTCATTTCCAATCAAATCTAAGAGGCTGGAAGAGAGCAAGCCAGCTGGCCACCAAAATGGCAATGTTCATGATGCCTTCCACAAAGTCTACTATTATGTGGCCCGTCCAGAAAAAGGTCATGTATTAGTAGTCTGAGAGCTCACTGAAAGAGAACACTGTGAGGAAGTACATGGAGAAAACTGAGGAAGAGATGTTAACACACTTATCTGCTTAATAGTAATCATTACAAATTATTAATTGAGCACATTATTGATTTTTTATTCTAACTGATTCGATTTTTTTTTGCTTGACTAAAATTTTTACACAAGAAAATCAAAGTTCTTGCAAAATAAACATGATTTTGCGCTGAAACTGATTGTTTGCGAATAAGAAACTAATATAACCTAACAGGGTAAAAGCTCAATCTGACCACTCAATTGGACAACTCCTCTTGTTACAGTCAAAGGGATATTCCGGCGTAAAATTAATTTAGGGTCAAACACACCGTAACACCAAGTTAGACACTCCCTTGAGAGATGAATGTTGCCGACCGCTTGCTTCTCTAGTTATACCAACTTCAGTAACGACCGCACAATAGCAATACACAATGGTCTGAGAAGCCATAAACAAACCTCAACCAAAAAGCCACTCTATAGCCACAAATAATGCTCAGAACAGCACCTAACTTCATCAACGTTACATATAGGGTCCCAATGAAGTAATGATCATAGAGTGGCTTTTTGGTTGAGATTTGTTTATGGCTCCTTAGACCGCTGTCTATTGCTATCCTGCAGTCGTTACTAAAGTTGGTATAACTAGAGAAGCAAGCGGTCGGCAACAATTATCTCTCGAAGGGGTGTCTAACCTGGTGTTACAGTGTGTTTGGCCCAAAATTAATTTTACGCCGGAATATCCCTTTAACAGGCACTGGGCCAGAATCAGTTTGTGGACGAAAGTATGTCCACCTCTGTTTCAGTAGGTGGCGACATGCCTCTTTTTCAGCCTGTTACTTCTTGACTGTCTCCCAGTTGACGTATTATGTCATGAACCAAAGCAACTGACAAACTGTTTCATACTGTATCACCGCACTGTTGGCACCATGTAAAGAGAAAACACCATGTAACATCCTCACTGTTTATTCACCACAGTTCGAGTCACACCTCTCAGGTTGGTCATCCTGTTATGTAATTTCAGGAAGAGGTCTCTCCCTCAGTGGTCCTCTCTGTATATGCTTGGTGTGTATGTCGGTGTGTGTGTGCACTGTGCAATGATTCTCTTGGCAGGTGTTTGCGATGGATTGCTGTGTCTGAAGGTCAAACTCACAGTCAGGACTGAATCTCTGCTTGCACACTGTGTAGCACACACACACACACACTCTCTCTATACTTGGCTCTGTGCCGTCAAATCTTCAGCAGTGTACCTGTGAGTGTCATTATCACAAATGACTTTGTTGGCTTGGCTCCTCCAGTAATCCTTGTTAATGAGTATACTGTCTGCTAATTTTAAGGACCCTATTGTGCATCTGGCACATTCTCAGATGCAGCACAAGTTTCATTCACTGTCATGTTCACATCGTGTGTTCTTCTGTTAATTACACACATTAAAAACCTCATATTTCTGCTTTCAATCCTAAGAAAATAACTGTATATCGATGATCTAAACAGTTGAGAGGACATGGAATAATACTTCTCCTGGTATGGGGCAGGTGTAAAGGTGTTAGTGGTGGGCATGGCGGTTCTTTTAGATGTACTGAATCACTAGAATCAGTGCACTAAAAAGATTAGTTCAAAAGATTCAATCACCAAATCATGTGGCGCTCTGCGGGAGACGCCTGCAACTCTGACCTCCTGAACTGATATGCAGCTAACCAGTTCAGGATTCAGTTTAATTAAAAGCTTCTTGGACTGGGAGACACGAGTGTTTAGCTGTGTTGCTTTGGCAAACAGGTTTGTAAAAATAAACTTGTTTATGAATCATGATGTTTTAAGTGTACTGTCCTATGGTATGCTATTTATTAGGTCTGCTCAGTAAACTGGGCTCAGTGAGTGATTAATTCACTGAACGTTTAGAAGAATTCAAACTGAACATGCACCGTTCTGGCTGTAATGATAGGATGCTGCAGGTTTAATGCACTATTTGTTACATACTGTGTCCTATTGTATGCAAGTTGTTGTGGTAGATAGTTTTGTCTGACAAAAATGATTCCAGAAAGTGTAGTTCAATGCGTGATTCGTTCACCAAGTGATTCAGATGTCGGTGCATGCGGTCCTGCGTTCGCTGGCTGCTCAACTGGCAATGCTGTTTCTCACTTTAGCTCAACTAAAGTGAGAAACAAACAAACCACTCGAGGAAGTGATTCGGTTCAGTACGTTCACTTAAACGATTCAGGTCTTTTGAACGAATCGTTCACGAACTACACAACACTAAAGGGTGCCAGATTGTTTGGGCACCAACACTGCTACCTCATCATATGCCTGACTCACCTCAGCCCTACATGGGCCAGAAACTGCAGACCAAGACTGTTGCCAAGCTCCCCATGCATCGCTCTTTCTCCACTACATGTAGAGACAGACACACTCACACACAACTAAGGGGTTATTCTATTTTACAGCCTTCTAAAATAACTATCAGCACTTCGCCCACAGGTTTTAACAAAGACTGAACTGTTTCCACCCTTTTTTTCATGTCAAGCATGCACGATGTTATCATTAGATCTTGTCTCGTACCACAGATGTGTCTTGAGTTTTTAAATAACTGATAAATTGTGCTGCTGTATGTCAACCTGTGTGTGTTTTCTGCATTTTTATGAGGCACAGCAAAGGAAACAGGTTAAACACTACATGTCAGCCCAAGGGAGTGAGAACAGACAATACTGATTGGTTTGATTCATGTTACACCCGGCACACACTTATGAATAATTCAACATCTTTGCACCCTGTGCCTCACTTTACTTTAGAAATATATGGTTTGACATGCCCTGATTCACTTTGCCCATGAGTCTCGGACAGTACATTTTGGATTGTTTGAAATAGCCCTTTAAGTGTTATTACTATGAATAAATACCCTGTTAGCGTTGCATTCAGTTTTCACCTTGTTAAGCAGTAAGTGTTATGTTAGCAACAATTTTGATTAGTGTTGCACAGCTTTAAAGTTAATAACGAATATCAGAGAAGTTTAAAAATATGTTTTTTTGGCAGAGAACAGATTATAACCTTCAGAGGACATACTTCTCCCTGTAGAGTTCAGTATCCTGGTAAAATATGCTCCTTTTTGAGCATGTTTGAAAAACAATCAAAGGGAGACCTGCCAGCGCTCCTCCATGACTCAGAATGATCTGGCTTTTAAACACTGTCACTGTAAAATCGTCTTTGTGAAACTTAAACCACTAATAAAAAAAACTGGACTTCACCTTTCATTTCTGCTTCACATGTCTGGGTGGATCAACGTCATTAGACCAAACACGGAACTTTACAGCAAATAAAATCAAGTGTAATCTGCTTGAACCCTTAAAGTGTGAAGACAGTGTGTGCTGCTGTTACTAAATCTCCTTATCAGCTTTTGAATATCATCTCACAGCAGGGTGAGTAATATCTGTCATAAACTCTGATTCACTGTAGAGTGGAAAAACAGTCCAAGACAGGCAACAGAAATGGGTACCATGACAGACACATTCACACTCCACCAGCAACTAAAAATAAGAACAGTTTTCACAGGAGGAACCAAAATCAGAATGATCAAAATCATCTGCAGTTGTTAATGATCTGAGAACTGTGATAATGTTAAACCAGTGATTCTTCAAGACAGGCAAATATACACCCTACCAGTGACTCAGAGTAAAACAATGACTAATTAAGATAATGAGGATCTGAATTTGACGCTCATTTAAATAAGCAATGATCTAAAATCTGTGTTCTTCAATCAGGAATGAAACAGTTTATAGAAATCATAAAATAGGCTATAAAAAAATGATTTCTATAAACTGTTTCATTCATATCTACATATTTTTTACTATTCTGTCACATGTATAGTGATAGAGCATAAAGTGATACTGACTCTATCTCCACTTTCGTCTGATTCATTCAGCCACATTAAACCAGATCACAGGGTCTGTTTCAAACTGAGTTCTGGTTTACCGCCTCCCATTACTGAGCTGTTACTTACGGCCATCTCTCTGCAGCTCTGGGTTTCTGTGTGAAGGTGTCAGGCTTTAAATGCAAGCTGGCTCTGATCCACAGCAGCTCTCTCTCTGCATTATGTCTTCCATTATCATCCAGGGTTTCAGAGCAAGTCAATAACGTCCAATCCAAACACGCGGCTGTTTTCACGCTCAGGCTGTGAGTGCTGCAGCATGAGTCAAATGAGATCTGTTTATGAGCTCGATCTATTGAATCGATCACTTTAAGTTACATAAGACTAAATCACTCGTGAAGTTTCCTGAGGTCACTTAAAGAGCAGGTATAGAGAGTATTCAATTCTATATTATCTGCACTGACCAAACATAAAACCATAATGACCAAAAAAATCTTTCTTGAAGAGGTTCAAACCCCAAACAGAACAAGACGCTAAGACAGGACAGACGGACAGATGTATATACAAAAATTGGATTTTCAGAATACGTAATAATTTCCATGAGAATATTACAGTGTTAACACATTTTCTTCACTGCTTATATCATTGTTTGGTAAGCCGTGAATAACCACTTGTTTTTTTAATACCAAAGTTGTAATATATCTCCATCAAGAGGGCTCTTCATCTATACAGTAGCTGTTTCCTCTGCCTCATTGTGGAGGTCTGTGCAGGAAATCCTAAACCACTTTTCATTCACAATCACAGCAACAGCTTCACTACACTGGAGCCAGCTCTCTAACAAACACAAATTATGTAGATGAGTCTTTAAAAATCAGTTTTAATTTTTGTCTGCGAGATGCACTGCAGCAGAAAAACATCGCCCATCCCTCTTCCTCTCAGTTTAACTGCTTTCACACTCACACAATGTTCCTGAAAAATTTCCCAAATTACCTAGGTAAGCTGCCAAGTTTTCACCCTATCTTTACTTGGATTATTTCCAGTCTGTCTCCTGGTTTATCAAGGTAAAGTTGGGGCAAGCTAACATGAACAAAAATCATTTTTGATGTTGATCCGTCTATGTTATGTGGCCAACAGTCTAGTTTTGGTGCTGGGTTTGAAAACTCAACTGCAGAGTGAATGAGAGTTTGCCCATTTATTATCCATTAAATATCCATTTATTTATTATCATGATACTTAGGCCATGATACGATATTATCACAATACGATATTATCACAATACTTAGGCCACGATACCATATTATCACAATACGATATTATCACGATACTTAGGCCACAATACAATATTATCACAATATGATATTATCACAATACAATATGATCATGATACGATATTATCACAATACGATATTATCACAATACGATTTTATCACAATATGATTTGATCATTTGATCATGATACAATATTATCACGATACTTAGGCCACAATACAATATTATCACGATGCAATATTACCACGATACGATATTATCACGATACTTAGGTCATGATATGATATTATCACGATATGATATTATCACGATACTTAGACCACCATACGATATTATTACGATACTTAGGCCACCATACAATATTATTGTGATTTTTAACATTTTGTAATACAGTGTATTGCAATACAATATATTGCAATTTATAACATTTTTCAACTGTTAAGCTAATTTAGCGTTTGTCTTTCCTCATGTTTGTCTTATTTACGCTGTATTCTATTTTCATGTTGCACATCTTGCAAACCTTATATATATTTGTTGTACTAACTTTCTCCTGCTCTGTTATGTCACCTCTGTCAACCTCACTGGACAAACAGTTGATTTTATTTTTCCACTATCATAGATTCAACTTCATATTAACAATTAATTTGAAAAAAATCGATACTTGGTAAATGAGACAATATGATATATCACCAGACAAAATATTGCGATACTATGCTGTATCCATTTTTTCTCCCACCCCTACTTTCTTCTTTTGCATTATCAGTCATGTGTGCATGTGTTGATACTTTGTTAAAAAATTCTTACAAAATTTTAGTAGAGTCATCCAAAAATATGGTTGTGTGCATTTGCAAAGCTATTTAATAGCATGCTACAATAGGAAGTGGCCTGGACCCACAATAGCGACACGCATCAGTTTTAAATAACACCAACACATCTTGACTTCAACTCAGACAATTGCAAGGGCAGAGCTCTTGCAATATTTTTGAAATTTCTCAAGTGCATGTGTGGAAAAAGTGTTTGAGTCTTCATAAGGACTTTGATCATTAGAGCTAGTTTGGGCAAACAGAACTCAGTTTTTGTACTCACCATATGCTACACATGGATATGTTATAAACTGATAAACAGAGACTTTTATTTTTTTTTTTATTTTTTTTTTTTTTCAAGTTTTTTTATTTTCAGATTTTTTTCTTTGTCTGATGACAGAGAAACAATGGAAACACAATGTCCCCAGAGAAACATTACTTTTAGGCTCTTCAAGGACTTTCAAGGATGTAAGGAGACTCGTCTATTTGTGTGTACTAGACACTGAGTATCAAGTCCAGTTTGGCAGACTTGGGAGTGTGTGTGTCTGTGCAGCGTGAATAGTGTTGGATCAATATGAAGCTCGAGTTTCGATGGACCTGAGTCCTCGCTGGGGACCTGATCCAGGACCAAGTATCGACCGGGTCTTACCTTGATAATAGCCTCCAGCTCTTCAGGAGACACACACGGGTGTTTTTGGAGGAAGGCGGCCTTCTCTGCCGTGATGGTGATCTTCTGGTTATTTTCAAAGGGCTGCTCCAGCGCCCGGAACACCAGCCCTCCCCCCATCAGGTAAACAACCACCACCACGAACACCGCCAGCACCGTCTTCAACTTCATCATGGTGAAGGGCGCTGAGCCATCCGCCACTGCCTCCATGCTGGCCACCACACTGGGAGGGCGTGAAGAGACGGAGAGCCGAGGCACTGCACAGCCCATCGGGTTCTGCATGGTGGCCACGCTGGCCTGGACCAGGCTGGACTGAAGCATGCCCGGCTGGACCTTCTTTGGGGGGACCAGGTTGGTCTGGACAGCCACTGAAAATAGACAGACATACAATAACTGCAGGAACACAGAAACGTCTCTGAGTGAGGAAAACTACACCAGGAGGGGCACAGTCGGCCCAAACAAGGAAGGAAGGAAGAAAGAAAGAAAGAAAGAAAGAAAGAAAGAAAGAAAAGTCTTGAGTTTGACAGACAGATGACATGTGTCTGTGAGAAGGACAGAAGGACAGACAAGCAGATGGATGGAGGGACTCTTTGGTTTTATTTTTAGTAGATCTGAAAGCATAAAGTCCTTCAGTCTGAGACAGCAGAGTCTCTACCTGCTGCTCCGTCACTCTGTGATCACAGATGTTCACAGCTGGACACAAAGAACATGAAAACACCGACCGCTCCTCCTGATGCTGTCTGATTTTTTACCATTACTCCATGTCTGTCCTTTTGTCCTTGTCCCTCTTCTTTCCTATTTGAACTTTAGTTCAGGACTGTCATTAATCCTTCAATCATGTCTGTATTTTTAACCCTCCTCTTCAAACTGTCTGCAATCCAACATCCAACTTTCACCGTTTCACACCCTTTTATGTCTCTTTTCCACTTTTAATTTTTTAATATTTGATTAACAGCTTTTGTTCAGATGTTTTCTGGTAAACCTTTCTTTGCCTTCATTCTTTAGCTCTACCATCTTTGATTTTAAACAATTGTAATGATGTGGCATTTCAGCAACTGTATTCTCAGTATTTCTTGCTATTAAATATTCATCTTAAGTCCTAAGGATGTATCAGGTATTGATGTTTATCATTAAAGGTGCAGTTCGTAGAACTGAGTCAGGTTTAACATGACATATTTGGTGGAAAAAGAATATTTACAACTATGTTTAAATTGGAGGATGATCACCTAATTACAAAAATCTATTTGAGCTCTCTTTATCTAAAATAACATGGGTCTCCTTCCTCAAGCAGGTCCCAACAAACTAGTAACACACATGTTTTTGGATTTAGTGACTGGCTTCACGAATTGTACCAATTACAAACCAAGAAGACAAGTTGTTGTCGTGCAAAGAATTTCTTTTGACAGTAAAAACTTCCCAAATGAGGGATCATATCATTCATCACAGGAGCTTCTTGTCCTCAACAGCCACCTTTGCTTCACCGACATCAGGAGGGGTGAGCAGGAGAGCTAAATATTCCCATTTCTACACAGTGGTCCTCATCATTAAATATTTAGAGGCTGCAGCTGCGGGAAGTTTATTTTTGAGCTTTGAGAAAGATGGTTTTAAAAAAAAAATTCTACACAAGGTCTACTCACTCATGTTTTTATCAGAAACTTAAAAACTGCATTGAAACTCCGTCTTTTTCAGGTTTGATCTTGTTTTCAAGAGTAAAACTCAGACTGCCAAAGAGAGCTGTCAATGTAGACTGTAAACATATCTGACCATAAATTCACATTAATTCATGTTGTTATCTGGTGAACTTCAGGGTACTCTGGTCATTTCTGATTATACTTTCATACATTTTAGGAATATTTTGATAATTTTTTACAAAATTTTAATCATTTTTATTCATATTAAATGTGATTGGGTGATCTGGATATGTGATTTTATAAGTCTGTCACTAAGGAAATAAACACTCTCATGATGATTTCTTACCATTATTTAGGTGTGTCACACCTTCTGTGTTCAGAAAGGTGAAATGTGACTCTTTCCTCTCTGTTTGAGTGTTGATTAGCTCTCAGCAGAGGAGTATTCTTGCTCATCATCATCATCCTCATCATCATCACTAACAATGTTACATAACAGAATCTCAACGCCACTCAGAAAAAACACACACACTTTGATTTATGTAACGTACTACAAGTAGACTGTCAGATTATTCACACCTTGTCTACACATCCATCACATGTTAGACATCATACATGTAACCAACATGTTGAGCACATGCTTAGTTCCTGGTTCAGCCTCAGAGCTGATCTTAGCAGACGCATGCTGAACATCTCTGCTCGCTCACCTGCAGGTATAATATCACAACAAAAGGTGTGGAGTAACACCAGTTCTCATGTGGAGGTGGAGGTGGAGGATTTTAAACACCTGATTGACACAAGTAAGATAGTATGCAAAAGGATCAGGTGGTGAACATGTGCTGGAGGTGCTGTTTCAGAACAGAGGAGGTAACGTCACTCTGCATCACTCTTTTGTTTACAGCTCCTGTTTACAATCTGCTGCAGCAGCTCACTGTGGACATTATTATTATTATTATTATTATTATCATTATTATTATTTTATTATTATAAGGTAATTATTTATTTTTTATAAGGCTAGTATTATTACTATTGTTATTATTATTACTATTATTACTATTATTATTATTATTAATAGGCTATTATTTTAATTAGTATTATTATTACATCATGCAGCCTGGTCCCTATACTGATTAAGTAAAGGTTTTAAAGCTGTGACACTGAAACACTTTGGCACTCTACAGCCTTCCACTAAACACATTTTGCAGAATGAACCTAAACCAGATTCAAATCCGGATCCATATCAGGTGTCACTGTGGTGCTGGTGTGACAGAGGATCCTGTTCCAGAGTCTGGTGTTATTGTTAGACAGCAGAGCTGCGGACTCACTGCAGCAGTTAACTCATGTAAAGATTCATTGACGGTCTAACCTGGTGGGGGGTTCATGGTCCCTGGTTTCCTCGGATTCTCGGTTGGGAATTTCATCTTGGATCGAGTCTGGTTTCGTTCAAGGAAAAAAAAAACAGATTCAAATGTGCGGGGCTCCTTCAGCACGACGTTAACCGGGAGAGGAGGGAGGACGGCGGGCAGTAGAAACACATCATCCGCTGCGGGTGGCTCTTCTCCGGTCAGGACTCACACCCTCCGCCCGCAGCAGCTCCGTCTCATCATGTGCGGGGTATCACCGCGGGTACGCGCAGCGGGAGACATAGCCCCATTGAAGAATATAAGGTTTACATCGTGACGGATGTTTTCTCTCTCATGGATCCACGTCAGGATGCAGCAAACCTTCTGCAGGATCCACCCGACGCACCGCCGCTTCTGCTGTGCGTTACTTCTGTTTCCACGCCGCGTCGCACCGGCGTGTCTGCCGCTGCGCACTACGACACACGACGTCAGGAAAATAAAATGAGGAAAGATTACAGCAGGTCTGATTCAGTTCATCTAGAAGGACGGGGAGGATGCGAGAAGAATGGAGAAGAGAGGAAAATTTGGGTCTGAATTGCAAAGAGGTTTTCCAAATCCATTTAGCCTATTAAACGATCTCCTGGATGAATTTCACATCCACATCATCACAGAACCGCAAAGAGCAAAATTGTTCCCAGGAAAACAAACAAAAAAGGCACCGGAACTTCCCCTACGCTCTCCATCATACTACCAAAAATAGAATACTAACGCAAGAAAAAAATAACAACACTTTACCAATAGTAATCAAACTACTGTGATAATATTCTGAAAGGCATTCAGCGCCCTAAGGGCATTGTGTCCCTGATATACTGCAGAATACTGGACTTTCTGGCAAATAAGACTGAAATCTAGGGCTAAATGGGAACCAGATGTCTGTTTCACCGTTAAAGACTGTGATTGGGAAGTGCTGTGTAGTGCAGCTCAAAAATTCTCCTATAATAGTTGTCATAGGCTTCTGCAGGTTAAGCTTATTCATAGAGTCTGTCTATCTCACACCAGAGAGACTCCATGAAATGTACAGTATCTCTGAACTTTGTCCGAGGTTATCCATATGTTTTGGGACTGTGCAAATTTGAAACAATTTTAGGATCACATCCTGGACGCACTCAAGGACATTGCAGGGATTGAGATTCCTCACTCACCAAGATTGCTTTTGCAAGATGATTTGTCTGTCTTACCCGCTGATAAGATAAGGAAAACACATTTCATTAGGCTATACTATATTGTGCATCACCATATTGTGGAGAAGTGTAACCTCACCTACTGCCTCAATGTGGCTTACGGAAGTTGCATCATACGTGGCCTCTGAAAAGATTATTTTCAATATGAAACAGAAACCCCATCTTTTTGACAAATGCTTGAAAGACTTGAAAAATATCTGGATAACATCTCACAGATAAATAGATGAGTACTGTCAATGATGTGGCGGTGGTTGTAGCACATAGATAGATAGATAGATAGATAGATAGATAGATAGATAGATAGATAGATAGATAGATAGATAGATAGATAGATACTTTATTAATCCTAGAGACATATCAAATGTTGAAACTGAAAATGTAATCGTTTCATGGAAAACAGGCTGATATGCCAGCAGCACCTTTCAAACTGTGGGGACAGGAGCATGTTTACCACTGTGTTGCATCAGCTTCTCTTTTACAGCACTCTGTAAAGGATTTGAAACTGAGGAGACCAGTTTTGGAGATCTCAAAGTGAAATGTGGTCATTAATATGTGAGTATGAGACATCAGTCTTTGGTAGATTAAAATGACCAGGTAGCCAGAGGTCATTGCAGTTGCTGTTCTGTCAGAAAGCAACATGGTATTGACTTTGATGCAAGCAGCAACTGGAAGCTGCTGGAGAGAAATGAACAGCTGAGTGTCATGCTGTTTAAGGTTGGTCAATGAACAGTAATACTCATGTGTTGTATGATCTGCAGAAATAAATCAAGAATATTGATCTCTGTGCAAATGATTTAAGATCATGTGTGTGTAGTTTAGCAACTCTTCACAGGTCTCTGTGCTGACTCCTTATCTCACGTCAGAGGTCAAGTCATTGTTTCCTCTTGTTGTGCAAGTGTTTAAGTGAGTTTGCAGAATCACCACATGAACCTATCTGATCTTATCACCTTTTCTGGTTTCCTATAGTGTGTTGGTGCCGGGTCAGTTAAGGATTGGCAGTAGCTCAGGAGGTAGAGCTGTCATCCAACAACTGGAATGGAAGGTTGGCGCTTCCCCTATCATGATTCTGTCTGTTGTGTCCTTGGGCAAGACACTTAACCCACCTTGCTCCCAGTGTGTGTCCTCTACTGGTTTATGATTATGAGTGTTGTGTGGTGGTGATCGGAGAGGCCATAGGCGCAAACTGCCCCCAGGGCAGCTGTTACTACAAAGGTAATTTACCACCACCAAGGTGTGGCTGTGTGAGCGAATAAATCATGTCTTCAATGTGAAGCGCTTTGAGGGTCTCTGATAAAGCGCTATATGAAATCTGATGCATTAATGTAATTCAACATTATACTAAATATTAACAACCCAAATGCTGGGTTTAAAGAACCTAACTAATTGGGTTAAGTGAACCAACCCAATTAGTTGGGTAAAATTAACCCAGCATGTTCTGTCCAATATTTCACCAGCGCTGGGTTAGGGAACTACCCAAATTGGGTTGTTCTTAACCCAATGTTTCTAAGAGTGTTGTCACTCAGAAACAACCTTTCCTTTTTATTTTACTTTTTTAATCAAAAGTACAACTTAGCGACAGAAATAAATAGCAGCAGAAGAGATCAGAGGGTCCATGTGCAAATATGAAATGATAAAAGGAGTCTGTGCAATAATAGAAGCTGGAGCAGGCAGCTATTGGAGAATTTTGGGCCTGATTAAGAGCGATAGCTCAGGGAATAAAATGTTCCTCCGTGTGGAGTTCCTCAGTGCAGCTGGGAAGGCCCTGTACCTTTAGCTAGATGAGAGGAGTTCAGATAGATGCTGACACAGGTAAGTGGGGCTCTGATGCATAACTGACGGCCGTTTTTTGGCAACATGAGCTGTGGATGTCCTCCAGCACAGGGAGCAATGATTGGAGATGACCCACTGGAGGGCCTTCCTTGATATCTGTGATACCAGATAGAGAAGCCCTGTGTCAAAACGCCCTCTGTGGCACGTTGATAAATAGTCACCAGCGGTTGTTGTCATGGGTTGGCCAGTTTCAGCATCCCTCAGAAGAATGCTGTGAGCATTGATGTTGGTGGTCCATGTGAGGTTCTCAGTGATCTCTGTCCTGAGGAACCTGAAACTATTCACTCTCTTCACCCTGTCCAGCTAATTTATACAGTGGAGGATGGATTCAGGCTCATAGCACTGCATGTGGACACTCTTAAGTGGAAGTTCAGGATCCAGTTACATAGTGGTGGGTGAGCTGAAGTCTAGCTGCTGGAGTGTGGAGGTGAGCTCGTGGGAATAACTGTGTTGAAAGCAGAGGTGAAGTCTATAATTAACATCCTCACATATGAGCTTTGTTTCTCCACGTGAGTCGGGGAAGTGTGGAGAGTCGGAGGGACAGATCCTCTGTGGAGACACAGTCACAAGAAACATTTGTGTATTTCCCAGATTTTTACTTTGTGAATTGATTCATGTACATTAAAATTAACCAATTCTCTCTCTCTCTCTCTCTTGCTGTGGATATGTGGTTTTGTTTGAAAGTCCAGAGAGGATCATTCAGGTCAAACTGATGGAGGACCAGATAGTCAAAGGTCATGTGTGGGTTTTGCTCCCAGGGGATGAAGGAGGTCAGGACTCTGATTGGGTATGTCAAGTTGTGGTCCCAACAGATCTGTGTGTCTGCATCAGCTGAGACCTAGATTCCTGAGTGAGACTACATCTTTATGGACAGGATGTTGTGCCTTTACAGACAAACAGAGTGGACAACGCTTGAGGAAACTGAGATGATATATCTGGTCACATCTTTGACCTTTTTGTTTCTTATAAATTGCAGTACTTAATAGTGATTATTAATTATTTAGTCATTAAATAATCAATTTGACTTGGGCGCTGGTGTCTCACTCGGTGAGCGTTTGGCTCTTGATCTTTTCCGTCCCTGTCAGTTTTGTACTGAAGTTTTCATGATCTACAAACCAAGAACATGTACTCCATCTAGTGGTCAAAATTTGCCGCTTAAGCCACAAATACAGAAAATATTTTTTGTATCTCTATCAATCTCTTGGAGAAAATACACACCTTAAAAAGCTACCAGCCACTAACAATCAGTTTAACGAGATAGCTCTTTTTTTTAACAAGGTTGTGTGAGGTACATATAAAAGTTAAGTATACAAACAGAAGATCAGTGCAGCACACTACTGAACTGTTTGGATCTGCAGGCTTTGAAAAGCACAACCAACCATTCCCACAGAATGATGCCATTTACCTTTGACACACGAGCCCACCTTCATTTAGCAGAAATCAGAGAGAAGGAAAGAGACCCAACAGACAGAAAGAAAAAGGAGAAAAACCTCTACTCTAACTGGAGACAAGAAACACCAAATGAAATTTTTCAGCCATCTTTATTGCATTATGGCACAATCCATCGTCCACACCATATATTTACTTTTCCAAAGTAGACTGAGCTAAAATAACAAACTCTACAAAAATTACTGTGTCAGCGAGGCGCTTAGCATTTGCTGATGAAAACAATCTCATACCAAGATGTACTATAACGACAGAATCACAATACATCAGTGTACTTGGCAAACTTCAAGTTGACTGGCACATCATAGACCCTAACAGCTTGTGTCTTATCACCTGTAAAGGCCAAGTGACTCTTGGAAAACCAACAGTACCTCTGATGGGTTTCTGCTTTCTGAGTGGGATACCATACGGCATGTAAGATCAGGCTCTTGGGTTAAATCTTTTTCAAGATTCAGGTTATTCTCTGTGTCTCTTTAAAAGTTTTACCATGTTTAGAGCAGATGTCTTTTTTTCCTAACAGGCTTAGGTCTGATATTTTCAATGTTTTCTACAAAACAAAAACATGAAAGGAGGCGTCGCTTTCAAAAATAACACTATCAACAAGGTCACCTGTAGGAGACATAATGTTGCTTTGCTTATCGTTTATCCTGTGTTCAGTTACTTTTGTTTGGTTGCCATTGGTTTGCTGGGTTTGGGTCATGTGAGCGCTGTGTTTGAAAGCCAGTAGGTTATGTAAGGGGCGGTCTTACCTGCACTGGGGGTGGAGAGGCGAGTCTAGGTTGCTGTAATTTTTGCTGACCGCGCTTTACGTTCTTTGTTTGAAATGATACATGTCGCAAAGTGTACACATATTATATCTGATGTGTGTGTGTAAATCACTGGTGACTGTGGAAGCGTTTTTTCTGTTATTAAAGCTCCGAAAACTTCGATTAACTGTGGGTGCTTCTTTGGAAAAGTAGCAGCATGTCACACAAATGTACAGGGCCTATCCTCTGCTTCAAGCGACTTTTTTTAAAGGTACTAGGAAAGCCGCAATATCATCAGTTTCAGACTTTACCAGAGTCTCTAGTTTTAAATGTCTCTGAGGATCTGAGTTGCTGGCAGGTTCTGGTCCTCCACAGATCAGCTCCTGTTCCCATCTTTTCAATCCAATCTTCCTCTTGTTCCTCTTCAGTAAGTTTTTATCAGACTCAGAACAAGGTCCCTGTTGGGCTGATATTTTTTGACCCCCCTTCAATAATAAGAGTCTTCGATCTCAGACTAAGAAAGGTAGTCTGTCTTGTCCTCTGTCTCTGGTCACGTTTTTTTCCCTGGATCTGAATTCCTGGCTTGTCCTGGTCCTCTTCAGTCCTCTACATCAGCTCCCATTTCTGACTCTCTTGTCTCCTCAAACATTCGGTTTTGATAAAACTCAGACGTCTGACTACCAAGACACTTGTGATTTTTTAACTGTGAATACCAAGAGAAATTCTGCTCACAAACACTGCAGCTGATGGGTTTCTCTCCTTTGTGATGTGCCATGTGAAGTGTCAGATAATACTTATGGGTGAATCTTTTATCACATTCTAAGCAGCCAAATGGTTTCTCCCCCGAATGAACCAACATGTGTGTGATCAGATGCCCTTTTTTGTGAAATCTTTTACCACACACGGAGCAGCCAAAGGGTTTCTCCCCTCTGTGGATTGCCATGTGACATGTTAGAGTTGAATTTCTGGTAAATCTTTGACCACACTCAGAACAACTGAAGGGTTTCTCCCCAGTGTGAACTCCCTTGTGTCTAATCAGATGATGTTTCTGACCAAATTTTTTACCACACTCTGAGCAGCTTAAAAGCTTCTCTCCAGTGTGATTTTTCATATGTTGGCTGAGATACCATTTGTTTTTGAATGTCTTACAACAGACAGAGCAGCTGTGAGATTTGTTTTTACTATTTTTCTCAGAGTTGAAAGCTAACTGATGTCCTGTTGTCTTCTCCCCATCATCACAGTTCTCACTCGTGACTTCAGTTTCATGCTGTAAATGTCCCTCTAGACTTGAAGTCCTGGCTGGTTCTGGTCCTCCACAGTCTACTCCATCACTCCTAGTTTGTGCCTCTATTCCCTCCACAGATTGGTTTTGATGGAGCTCTGAAGTTTGAACTTCAGCACACTTGTGTCTTCTTAACTGACTATCCCAAGAAAATCTTTTACCACACTCCTGGCATCCGTAGGGTTTCTCTCCAGTGTGAATTCTCATGTGTCTCTTCATATTTTGTTTGATTTTAAATGCTCTACTACACATAGAGCAACTATGTGATTTTTCATCAGGCTCTAGTCTCTCAATACTTTCGCTGTTCACAGATTTCAAACCAGAATTATGTACCCTGACCTCCCTCCAATCATCACTGTCATCAGTATCTGGTTCAGAAGCGTCTTCAGTCTTGACCTCAGTCTCTGGTTGTAAATGTCTCCCTGGATCTGATTCCAGGGCTGGTTCTGGTCTTCCACAGTCCTCTGCACCAGCTTCTGTTTCCATCTGTTCAATTTGTCTCTTATGAAGCTGTGAGGACTGAAATTTCTCATCATCCTCATCTTCGCTCTTCATAATCACAGTAGTAAACATAAACTTGGTAGTATCAGCCCCCTTTTCTCCATCCTGACCGCTCCATAGCTCTTCCTGTTCCTCCTTAATGTTGGTGTCCTCTCGATCCAATCCTGGGCTCCTCTCCTGCTGCTCAAGGGAAAACTCTTCTTCACTCACCAAAAACTGTTGGACATCTGCAGAAAACAATAAAATACACAAAGAGGTTTTAGATAGGGGAAGCAGATAGTTTATATTTTACCAATTTTGGAAAAACGGTTCTTGGTATCATTTCTCAAAGTTGATATGGGTCTGGAGCATATGAGAACAGAGGAACTGGATAAAACTATGTGGCCCTCTGTGAAAACATATATCATGGGGCCCTGCCTGAAACAGAAACAGCCACTCAAGAGCTTTTCAGTACTGTAAACTGCATAATTTTCATAGCAGGTTCCAGCTAACACACTTGTCTGGTCTAGTCTCGACATTAGCTCTCTGAAACATCAGCAAGACACGAGTTTCCAGCGCTGAAAATATAGCCAACCTCCTTCCTCCATTTGTGTCTCAGGTGTTTTAATCACATCCGGTTTCTTTTGGCGCCAGAGCTCCTCCCCGTCCGCCAATGATGTTGTTTCACCTGCCAGGTCTTTGTTGACAACAGCGAGCAGCCGCCGTCTGAATAAATCTTCAAGATCCTGAAACCCGGACATTTTCCACACATCCAAGAGTCAAAGAAGGAGGGAAAACAGACGTCTCATACACGGTAACTCTGCTCCTGTAAGCAGAGCTAAACACGCTAACTGTGCTCTGACGGAAGAGTCTTCAAGACCCGGAAACTAAACATTGTTTCAAGAAGACGCATCTGGCCTTCAAAATAAAAGTAGGGAGTATGTTTTAAGTAGCAGCACTAATTGTGGTACTGAAAGTGTTTTGTTTTAATGTTAAAAAATAGACTTTGATGTCAACTATTAGGGTAGCAAAATTCAAGAAACTTTCAAAGTAGGAAACTTTCCACGGGAATTAACGGGAATAAATCTTAAATTTACAAAATTGGAGGTTGGCCCTTAGCAGGGAACTTCAATATAGTTGGGAAAATATATTGTAGCAATATCTTGACTAAAACAACCAGATTTAATGCAAGTACACTCCTCAATTACATACACAGATGATTTCTTGACCCCTGGAGGCCAAACTTTTGAGCCCAAAGCACAAGACATTTAAGCCCACGGACTATATAAATTTAAGTAAGTTTTGATAATATTATGGGGTAAATATATTTGATCTGTAATAGTATTAATATTTATATCACAAAAATTAAATATAAATAGGTGCTCAACATAAGCAAATTTTCATTTGATTGAGCATTTAAGGGGCTAGCTTATTATGATGGTAATAATAATAATTGATACATCAATTGTCAAATATTTTGAAGACCATTCCAGTTGTTTAGCCGACTATTTTTCTGTTCATGCCATTGCATCGGTGTTTTTATAAGCTTTTTTGTTCTTTTATTCTACAGAAGAATGCCACGTTCGCTATCTTATGTGCGTCATGTTTTTTGATTGTATTATTTAGCATGGATGTCTGCTTATGACAAAACAAAAATATTTACATTATGTTTGGATGTGATACAGTTTGTTTAAATTACCCCTAATTTCCAGTTAATTCCCAATAATTCCTATAAATTCCCATAATTCCCATGAAAGGTTCCAATTGGAATATTTCCAAAATTTCCCCAACTTAACTTCCCATGGCAAGTTTCGGGAATATACAAGAAATTTACCAAAAATTTTCCACCCCTTTGCAACCCTATTAACAATATTATATCTCCTTATGGATATTTTTTCTGATTGTATATAAGCTGGAACTCTTAGTAAAAGTTTAATGAGCATGGAATTTGTCAAAAGATTATTTAAATCCTATAAAAAATTAAACAAAAGAAAGTGCAAGACTACATATCAAATGTTGAAAAAATTTATTGCTCTATGAAACATGTCTGCTCATTTAAAATGTGATACAAGAATCAGAAATGTTTGGATAGGAGTTGGGTTCCAAAAACTAACATCTGCGAATACAATTCATCATATCCATAAAAGTTAGTTAACACCACATCATCCAAAGATGAAATCATATTTAAACATGACCCAAAACACTAGAGATTTCTGTTTACCTAAGCCCATTTAACATGAACAGTGGTAAAGTGGTAAAACATCCACTGGACAGATTAAACAAAATTGTGCATTTTTTTTGGAAATCTTGGGCACTGCATCCTCTACTGTAAGCTGGGAGGGACCATCCAGCTTCTTTTTCGCACACAGTTCAAAGGCCTGCATCCCTGATGATATGGGGATCAGATGTGTTAATGGCATGGGTAACATACACATCTGGAAACTCCATTAATGCTTAACAATATTTACAGGTACTAGAGAAGCATATGTTGCAATCCTGATGACTTTTTCAGAAAATACTTTTTTTTTCAGAGGGACAATGCCAAACCACATTCTGCGGGTATTGCTACAGCATAAAAATAACAGTTGTAATGCAGTTTGCAACTCTTTTAAATCCTGCACTTAACTGAAATTAGAGCAAAGATTAAATGTTGAAACTAAAACGATTTATTATTCTATGAAAAAATGTGTGCTCATTTTAAAATTGTTACCAGCAAATGTCTGCAGTCCCTCTATACCACAGGTGTCAAACTCAAGGGCCGGAGGCCAAATCTGGCCCGTGGAACAATTATATCTGGCCCACAAGATTATATCATATCTGTATTATTATTGGCCCCTCCAGAATGAAGTCTGCAGATTTCCTCCAGTATCATAATATAAACTTGAGCACCTTTACTTAAAATGTCCTTAATAAACCATGAAAATCTAGGAAATTAAAGAGTAAGGAAGATTTGTAAATAGTCAAGAATGTGGGGAAGAAAATATTTGGTGTTTTATTTCATGTTTTTAATTTTGCATCTCAAGATTACAAGCCAAACATGATTGGATTTTTTATTCATGCTTTGATTTGTTTAACTCAGTATTTAGACTTGTTTCATTTTTCTACTTTAGATTCCAATTAAAAATTTTAAGTCATATTTTGACATATTAAACCTGATTTCAACGCTCTGCTCATGTATTTGCTCTTTAAATGCATTTTTTTCTATTTTTGATATCATGCTCTGATCTTTTGAACTAATGAATAAAAATAGAATAAAAAATTACAATTTTTCTATCTTTTTATCACATTTGAATTTCTAAATGATTTATAATCACTGCTATTTTTGTTACATATTTTTTGAAAGGGAGGTTGACAGTTTTGGTGAAATGTTGACCCTCTTTGGACCTCAGGTTAGACCTAAATCCAGATTATCGCCCTTGCTGTGGTTGAGTTTGACACCCCTGCTCTATACCATGCATTGAAAACAGTGTCCTAACTTTTTTTGAATTTGGATTGTACATTAATCTGAAAAAATAAATCAACAGTTATCCTCAAAGTGATGCAATTCAAACTACGACCTAATGATTACCTTGTCAAACATTTGAAAACAGTGATGAAATAAGTGTACAGATATATGTCTGAATGAAACTCACATATCAAAATGAAATGATAGTAACTTGCATCTGATTGTAAAGGTGACACTTAAAAATCAAGCAAAGTCAATGGCTATTAAACATAATGAAGTAAAACTGTTTAGTAAAAGTTTCACCAATGACCTTTTACGTATGCCAGCATGCACACACAGAGCCTCTCTAAACCCTATTATGGCACCTTTGTATATTAATTATTTATTTTTTCTTAATGGCTGTTTTTTTTCATATTTTGTTTGTTTGTTAATGCACTGTAAACAAAACTAAAAATGCCAAGAAACTAAACATTAGCTGGAATATAACAGTCTTTCATTTCATAGTAAAGGAACAGAAAATCAAAATCAAACATCCATCTGTTTGCCTAAAAGCATCAAGCTCAAATCTGAATTTATAGTGTAAAACCTGCAGATTGAAAAGTAATTTTAGATCCTCTTTCTAAGAGTTCTGGATCTACAGAACTCTCTGTATTTGCTTCTGTTTCTGCTTCTCTTGTCTCCTCATTTTGGTTTTAATTAAGCCTGAAATCAGTTGTGTTATTAAACGAGACGGCCAAGAGAATCTTTGGTTACAAACACTACAGCCAATGGGTTTTTCTCTTTTGTGAGGTGCCATGTAAAGTGTAAGACCAGACTTCCACTGCTGACAGAGCAGCTGAAGGGTTTTTTCCATCTGTGGTGTGTCAGATTAGACTTATGGTCATATCTTTCACTGCAAACAGAGTAGCTGAAGGATTTCTCTTCTTTGTGAATCAATACATGATCTTTGAATGTGTTACCATATTCAAAGCAGCCATTTGATTTTTTTTGTCTTTTATCAGGCTTTGGTTTTTAATGTTTTTTACAGCATTATGTAATGTTTTAGTGTTTCCTTGACTCTTTAAAATAAAATTCCTGTGAACATTGTCATTAGTTTCAGACTTGACCTTGGTCTCTGTTTGAATACATCTCTCTGGATCTGAGTTCTGGTCCTTCATAATCGTTTCCTCCGGCTCAGCTCAGGTCTCTGAAAAAGGTTTCTATTTATTATCCTTACTCTTTACAGGGGCAGGACTAAATGGGATTTTGGTAATATACTCGAAAGGTGGAGAAGTCGGTACATAAAAAATTATTTAACATTTTTTAATCTTGGCAGAAAAGTATTCAAACAGACATGATGAGCAACGGACACATTCTGGTGAAAAACCTTCCAAAATGCAAATGAAGGCTTGTTGCTGAATTTGCTGAATCCATTGCTTGTCTTTATGCTCTTCTACCCAGATAAAAAATGTTACAAAACATTAAGTGTGCTGCATTTCCACCTTTTTTAAAGTCCTAAATGGTCACGCACCTGAAGGGTATTTCCTGTTTTTGTGTGCTCCTTTTTTATTATCTTGAACATTATACTTGATCTGATCTGTCGTGTTAGCGTGTAAGTAAACTTGGTCTCCAAATCCTGAACCACTTACATGTTCTACCCTACATAGCTATTTGTATAGATCTTCAGCAGATGATTGTTATGGGTGGTTTCATCAGACTCTGGATCAGAAATTTGTTTCCTCTCAGAGTTAAATGTTGCTGCTCTCTGGAATAAGTCATAATTTGTCATAAAATCAAAACCTGACTGATGTTCTCTGATTTCCTTCCAATCATTGCTAATTTCAGTCTCAGGTTCAGAAAGGTTTTCAGTCTTTATCTCAGTCTCTAACTGTAAGTGTCTTTCTTGATCTGAATTCCTGGCTAGTCCTGGTCCTCCACAGTCCTCTACATCAGCTCCCGTTTCTGTTGTCTCTTCAAACATTTGGTTTTGATAAAACTCTGACGTCTGACCACCAAAACACTTGTGATTTTTTAACTGTGAATACCAAGAGAAATTCTGTTCACAGACACTGCAGCTGATGGGTTTCTCTCCCTTGTGGCGTGCCATGTGAAGTGTCAGATAATACTTATGGGTGAATCTTTTATCACATTCTGAGCAGCCAAATGGTTTCTCCCCTGAATGAACCAACATGTGTGTGATCAAATGTCCTCTTTGATTAAACTTTTTACCACACACAGAACAGCCAAAGGGTTTCTCCCCTCTGTGGATTGCCATGTGACATGTTAGAGTTGAATTTCTGGTAAATCTTTGACCACACTCAGAACAACTGAAGGGTTTCTCCCCAGTGTGAACTCTCTTGTGTCCAATCAGATGATGTTTTTGACCAAATTTTTTACCACACTCTGAGCAGCTGAAAGGCTTCTCTCCAGTGTGATTTTTCATATGTTGAGTAAGATCCCATTTCTTTTTGAATGCCTTACAACAGAAAAAGCAGGTATTAGACTTATTGGATCGCTCATTTTTAGAGCTTTCCTCAGAGTTTAAATCTAACTGATGTCCTGTTGTCTTCTCCCCATCACCACCGTTCTCAGTTTCATGTTGTGAATGTCTCTCTGGACTTGAAGTCCTAGCTGGTTCTGGTTCTCCACCATCAGTCCTGCTTTGTGCCTCTCTTCTCTCCACACGTTGGTTTTGATGGAGCTCTGAAGTTTGACCTTGGATACACTTGTGTCTTTTCAGTTGATTATCCCAAGAAAATCTTTTACCACATTTTTGACATATGTAGGGTTTCTCTCCAGTGTGAACCCTCATGTGTCTCTTTAGGTTTTGTTTAATTTTGAATGTTCTGCCACACTGAGAGCAGCTATGGGATTTTTTAGCATTCTCTGGCCTCTTATCTTCTAAATTGTCCACAGATTTTAAACCTGTATGATGAACTTCGGCCTCCCTCCAATCATCACTGTCATCAGTATCCGGATCAGAAGCGTCTTCAGTCTTGACCTCAGTCTCCAGCTGTAACAGTCTCTCTGGATCTAATTTCAGGGCTGGAGCTGGTCTTCCATGGTCCTCTGCACCAGCTTCTGTTTCCACCTCTTCTGTTTGTCTTTTATGAAGCTGTGAAGACTGAAATTTCTCTTCAACATTATCTTCACCCTTTACAATCACAGTAGTAAACATAAACTTGGTAGTATCCGCCCCCTCCAGCCATTGGTTCTGTTCTCCCCCCTGACTGCTCCATAGCTCTTCCTGTTCCTTTTTAATGTATGGGGACTCAGTGTCCTCTTCGTCCAGATGGGGGTTCTTCTCCTGCAAAGGGGACAATCCTGCTTTGCCCACGAAGACCTGCTGGACATCTGCAGAAAACAATGAAATACACAAAAGCATATAAATGACAGCAGGAGGGTTATTTTTATACCAATCTTGAAATTTAAAGTTGCCCTCTAAAATGCAGCAGAATAGCTTGAAGTCAAAATTTAAAATACAGACTGCTGTCCACAGTGGTTAACTTTTCAGCTATCAGCAGGTCTAGGTGGAGATGCCTTGCTGTGTGCTCTGACTTTAACATTGAACTTTAGCAAGGGGCACCTTTTCACTTTCTCCATCTATGTGATGGTCTGTTTGAACATCAGAAAAAAAGTTAAAGAGTTGTACTAAAATCAGAAGTATCCTCACTCAACTGGTTTTAAACACAGATAAAACAAGCCCATGGTCTTTTCAAATTCAAGTGAGTTACAAGGGAAAATCCTGACTGTTGTGACTCAATAAAGAAACCCAACAGAGCTGGCCTCTAACTTCAAGTACTTGGGTTTTCTTCTAGACCATAAGCTTTCTTTTACAGCACACATTGCAGGCTTAGTCACCAAACTCAGGGTGCAGCTGGGGTCCTACTTCCGAAAAAAACCTTGCTTTTCACTCAGAGCCAGGAAACTGCTTGTGTCAGCAATGTTTCTACTTCTGCTTGACTATGATGTTCTGTATATGGGTGCCTCGTTGAAATGTCTTCAGTCTTTAAACACTGTTTATCACAACGCCTTGAGGATTATCACAGGTGACAGTCATCCCATGCATCATTGTGAATTGTATGTTAACTCTGGCTGCACGCAGGAATAAACTGGCAGACCCTGATTTATAAGGCTTATCTCAGCTTAGTCTCATCTCATTTATGTACTTTTCTTCAGAGAACTAAAAGCCGCTATGCCATCACCAAACATCTTTACAGCTGTCAGGCAACTAGTTGAAGGGATATTCCGGCGTAAAATTAATTTAGGGTCAAACACACCGTAAAACCGAGTTAGACAGCCGTCGAGAGATTAAGATTGCCGACCGCTTGCTTCTCTAGTTATACCAACTTTAGTAATGCAATACACAGCAGTCTCAGGAGCCATAAACAAACCTCAACCAGAACACCACTCTATAGCCACAAATAAGAACAGCACCTAACTTCATCAACAGTACATATAGGTTACCAGACATAGCTCTAGCCAATCGAACATCTTTTTAGCTTTGCCTAATTTCTTTAGCAAAGACACTAAACACAACTCACCTACTCTCTTCCAGCAGCCGCTTGTGTGTAGCGAGACCTTGGGCCAGTCCATTACGGACTGCTGCGGGGTGACGCAGCTCAAGGAAGAACATTTATGATCATTTCTTCATGGAATGAATCCAATATACTCTTAAATAAAGACTGACTGCAAAATAGATCTCCCCACTTTGATTGACAATTCATCAGGCCCTCTGTGCAGATCAAATCAATGCCTGAACTCTGAATAAAACTAACAGTGTGTGATACACAGCAAATTTAATCAAATTCATTAAAATAGTTATCTATTTAAAGAATGACACAGAGCAGTTTTATAATGTTTGGTTGCAGCTTAGTCAACTCGTCTACCAGTTCTGACAGCATATCTACTGGAGTGATCCTGTGAACTTAGTTTAGAGCAGCCCACATGAAGAGCATAATATAATGAACAAGACAGTATTAACTAAAGAGTCAGTGTAGTCTTATAGATCATAAGTGTCCAGTTGTATAAAGCTGTTACTGAGGGTCTTACAGTTCAGTAAACGAAAAGATATTTTTGCAGAAGCTAACTGCAGCTACCATGCTCTGTAATGTATGTTTGCTTAAGGCTAGGCTGACGTTACTCAGAAAATGTTTGCAAAGAAGACCAACCTGCAGTGTGCCGCTCCATGTCAGGTTTTATATTCACACCCAGTTGTTGTCTTTGACGGTGGAGCTCCTCTTCGTATCCAGATGTTGATGTTTGTCTTGGCATGTCTGTTTTCACCGCAGCGTCCATCCGCCGTCTGAATAAATCTTTCAGACCCTGAAATCCGGACATTTTTAACTCACCAACAGGTCAGAGAGGAAACAAGAAAACTCAACACTGACATCTTTATACGGCCACTCTACTCCTGAAAATCTAGCAAATCTTGCTAACTGTACTCGGCCAGAGAGAGCCCTCAAGACCCGGATATTCATCAGGCCTTCAAAATAAAAGTTGTCCAATCAAACTTATTTTTATAACTCATTTCATTCACATGACAAAACTTAACCCTCTTCCTATGTTAGGGTCTGTACCGATTTTAAATGCTTAAAAGAACCACATTAAATTAGCTTTTTATCATCAAGACTTTTTGACTTTTTCAACAAAATAAAAATAAAAAAAATAATTGACTTAATTACAAAATGCTCTTATTAAAATTATGGCACTTGTCATGTTAGGGTCGCTGTTGACCCGGTTAGATCAATATCTAATAATTAGAGCAAAAACTAAAATCACATGTGCACTGGCAAGCACCACACTGACGGATCCTCTTCCAATCATGTGAGATTTAGGAAATTCTCATTTTGCCAAGTTTTTCCCTGCACAAAAAACTATGTCAGGCATGTCCAGACATGTAAGATCAATTCAGTATAGATGTCTGTATGAGGGGTATACTAACAAAGAAAGGCCCAGAGGCTTACAACAAAAATATTACAAACAATATTTTCACGGATAATGAAGCCTAAGAAGGTAACCTAGAGATGAGAACCAAATTGGATGATAGAGAAATGTTTTTACAGCTGATTTAAGACACAGGTCAAAACCGACCCTTAACATAGTGGGTCCATAGTAAAAGCTAAAAGGGTTTACAGAAGGTTGAAAACTGAAAACGGATCAGATTGGGCAGATTGAATCCAAAAGTTGTATTACCACCTAGCTTTAGGTTTAAAGTCTTGCTATGCTTTTCATAGTCATCCATTCCGAGGAAGAAATAAGCCTATAAGAGAATTACAGAAACTACATGGCATACAGGTGTATTGCCAGGGCTCATGGTCACCTAAAAAAGGGCCTGAGAGTCCCTGACCCGCCCTGCAGCCGCTTGTGACAGATACTTGGAGAGAAGTATGGCCTGCATGTTCTGAGATTCTTCCTCATTACACCAGCTGACATGTTTCACCACCTTTAACTATATGAAGTAAAGTTCAAGGTCATTACAAATGTGGCATGTTTGCTTAATACAGTACACAGTCTGTGTGAAAACCACAGCAGGGGAAGCCAAAGCTGCTGCAGGTAGAGACCATCACTCGTGTGAGAAAGGTTGGTATGTGCAATAACATATACTGTATGAATAAAAAATATTTCATTTCATTTTTAATAAGCGGTTTCACTTCTTCCACCGCAACCTTTTGGAAACCCCAACAAATCAGCTCCAAGGAGGTAGCAACATCAAAGTTGAGAGTTAGTGAATTAGTGCTCCCTCCTTTGACATCCTTTCAATCTTTACCACAGAAAGACTCAGCCTCCATTGGTTGCCCTTTAATAGTGAAATGTTGCATCTTTTCAGTTTTTTGTTGCAACAGTTTGATCAATGTTGCTGGCATCAAATTCAAATTGGCAAATCATGATCCTGAAACAGTTAAATTTTACAATCTCACACAAGTGTTTTGGGGCTATTTGCCATTAATTGTGAGGTTGGTATAAAAAATAAATACAATATAAAAAGCATACTGTTACTATGAATGTTAATGATGCACAAAACATATTAACATATTTCTGGGTGAAACATGCCACAAACACAGATGATGTGGAAACTATAAGAGATATGAAGAGCAGCAGTTAGTCATCATAAACTCTGTTACTTTAGCTAATATACACTTGTTGATGTCCATTTACCACGCTTCTTAGGGTTGTCCAACTTCTACTTTGTACACATCTTGAGTCAGATTTGAACTAGGAGAAACTAAGAATGTATGAGGAACATAGTCAATGACAAAATCTGATTGTTGATCATTCTTAGTAAATACAAGACACCACAGTCTTATGGTTCAATCACCTGTATTTTTCCAAATCATAATTACATTGCAGAAAGAAGACAAATCGCAATTAAAGTTTTGTCCGATAATCTGCAGCTCTATTTTACACTTTTAACATCAGCCCAACAACTCATTAATATCTCACAGAGTCACAGGTACAAAGAAATCACATTGTTTATCATGAGTCAATATGAATGTTTCTTTTGATCTGAGGCACTGTTATGGTCTGTGGCAGTTCTCGCTATTAACGTCGGTTTTTGCCTCTTCTCTCTTCAGCTTGATAACTGAGAAAACCAAAAAAATGCTTTTTCTACACTCAGCGGCTCAGACGAAGTTCTCCCCTCTGTAGGTTGCATGCAAAGATCCCAGAGCTGACTTTGAGGGAAATCGACTTGCGCATTAAGACTACCTTAAAGTTTTCCCTCCTTCTGAGAGGTCATAGGTGCAGTCAGATCTGATTTTTGATTAAATCGTTCACCAACTTAAGAGCAGCTTAAGGTATTTCTCCTGTGAGCCAACATGTGCTTGGTGAAATTGCCTTTCTGGCTAAATCCCTTACCACATTCAGAGCATCTGAAAGGTCTTTCTTCTGTATGAAGAATCATGTGTGCAGTCAAATTTCCTTTCTGTGTAAATCTTTTACCACATTCGGGGCAGCTGAAAGGTTTCTCTCCTGTGTGAACGAACATGTGTTTAGACAAATTTCCTCTATGGTTAAATCTTTTACCACACTCAGAGCAGCTAAAGGGTCTCTCTTTTGTATGGAGAACCATATGTGCTGTCACATTTCCTTTTTGGTTAAATCTTTTACCACATATAGAGCAGCTGAACGGTTTCTCTCCCGTGTGAAGAATCATATGTTTGTTTAAATGTCCTCTATGGTTGAATTCTTTACCACACCAAGAGCAGCAAAAGGATTTCTCACTCATGTGAATATTCATGTGTGCGGTCAGAGCATGTTCCTCTCTAAAAGTGTTATCACACTCAGGACAACTATGTAAACTCTCATCAGTCCCTGGTTCTTTATGTTTTATGTATTTTACAATGCCAAAACTTGGATGTTGTTCTCCGGTCTCCCACCAGTCATGAACTCCGTTTTCAGTCACTGACTCAGGAAAGTCTTCAGTCTTGACCTCGACCTCTGTTTGTAAATCTTCCTCACAGTCCGGGTCCTTTGCTGGTCCTGGCCGTCTGCAATCCTCGCCACCATTTCTTGTTTGCATATGTTCAGTTTCACTTTGATGAAGCTGTGGTTTCTTGTCACAATCCTCACTCTGTGTAGTTGAAGAAAACTTTGCTGTATAGGCCTCTTCCAGTCCATGGGGCCCTGCCTGACTGCTCCACGGTCCCTCCTGTTCCTTGGTAATAAGTGGTTGCTCAGTGCCCTTTTGGACCTGATTGTGGCTCCATTCATGCTGTTCAATAGGAGGCTCCTCTGTTTCCATCAATATCAGACTGATCTCTGCTGAATGCCTATGGGGTTTCTTCCTTGTGTGCACAACCATGTGATTGATTAGAACCCTTTTTTGGCTAAATCTTTTACCACACTCAGAGCAGCTGAAAGGTTTCTCTCGCGTATGAACAAGCATATGTTTGGTCAAATTTCCCTTAAGGCTAAAACTTTTCCCACACTCAGAGCATTTGAAAGGTTTCTCTTTTGTGTGTAGAACCAAGTGATTGGTCAGATTCCCTTTTTGGTTGAATCTTTTGCCGCACCAAGAGCAGCTGAATGGTTTCTCTCCTGTGTGAATTCTCATGTGTCTGATTAGAATATGATGTCTGCTGAATGTTTTACCACACTCAGGACAACTATGTGGCTTCTTATTAGTTTTTGGTCTCTTACTATTCTTGTATTTTACACATTTTAAACTTGAATAATGTTCTCTGGTCTCCATCCAATCATAATCTTTCTCTTCAGTCCCTGGTTCAGAAGTGTCCACCGTCCTGACCTTAATCACTGGTTGTAAATTTCTCTCAAGACTTGGCTTCCTTGCTTGTTCAGTTTTTTTGCGGTCTCCTCCACCATTTCCTGTTTTCATACGTCCAGTTTCTCTCTCATGATGGTCTGGAGAATTCTCTTCATCATCTTCATTTTTCACAGGAACAGAAGTGAACTGGAAATTGCTGGAATAGATCTCCAGACCTTGATGTTGCTCTCCCTCCTGACTGCTCCACAGTCCCTCCTGTTCTTTTTTTATGCATGGAGTCTCAGTGTCTTCCTGGGAGCAAGTGTCCTGCTCACTGGGAAGCTTCTCTTCAAGAACAGACAGCTCCTGGATGTCTGCTGGGAAAAGTAAGCAGATGTCAAAGGGATGTTGGATCCTCTAAATAATACAAAAACCATACCTGAAAAAAATCAGAATCATTGAAACGGGGCAGAGACATTCCCTTCAACGTAATAAGTTATGTTGTGTGTTCCATATCGTATCATGTCAAATCATATTAATGTGGCATTTTATACCATGTCATAACTTGTGATACTGTACTATTATAAATCACGTGGTGTCGTATTGTATCATGCAATGGCTTACTGAATTTAGACTTGTCAGGGTAACCACAAAAAGAAAATACTACAGTGTTAAAAAGCCAACCACCAAGCAAAGGCTACTCGTCACCCTAACCCCAACTCTTACAGGTTTGCTTTTTTAGAAAATTTCACCTTACAGCTAAATGAAGAGTGAGAACCAGCTGATCTAGGGGGCGCAATGTGTGAATTCAGCACCAAAATAATCTTGGTGAGATAAGGAAAAGCAATAATTTTAAGGGGAAGTTACCAGAAGGTGCTGCCCCCTGCAGCTCAGTTGTCACATCAAAAGACATTAAATTTTTCACTTTTATAGTGTTTATTGTATTTTTACATGTACAATATTAAACATTAATGTAGCCATTTTTAGCCATCTTTTATCTTTTTTCTTTTACTTCTATCTTATTTCAACTTACTGTCCTTTCAGCCTTTGTTTCACTTAAAATTTTTCTTATTTTACCTTTTAGGCCTTTTATTAATTTGATTGTTTTTTCCTGCTCATTTTTGTTATTCCATTTTAGCATTAATATTACCATCATTATTGTTTTATTATGATTTAATTATCATTATTAATATTGTCTTTTTAAATTTACTATCCTGTTTCCTGCTTTCTAACGCCCCTTTTTTAATCACATTTCTTTCTCTTGCCTATCTTATGTTTTTATTTTGGTCCTCATGGTTTCATTTTATGTTGTAGGGTTCTTGTATTGTCTGGGTTTCTTATGACAAATGAAATTGTCCTTCAATTCAGAGGCCTTGTTTTTAACTGAACTTTTGTTTTTTATTTGTTTTTATTTCCATGTGCTGACGCTTTGCAACTGTTTGTCAAGCACTTTGTAAACTTCTTTTTTTTTGGAAAGTTATTATTATTATTATTATTATTATTATTATTTTATTATTATTTGATGCATTGTACCAGAGTTAACTTACAGCTGATCCATCAAGGCTCCCTTGTTAAATTAAAGAAGTCAAATGAGTAATTTTGAGATGGGAAGTATGACTGACCACATTGCAGGCTCCAAATTTCAAGACATGTCTAATAAAAAAATGAGAGAATCTGGCATCAAACTAGTGGACATGGTTTTTGGTGACAATGTGGTTTCAGTTCCTACACTTTCAGAAATAAAATGAGTGTAAAAGATAATGGTTATTAACTAATATGGACACTTAAATAAAGCCTTCATCAAAAAAAGCTGGCTTTCAAACCATATGTTGAACCATGCCGGGACCATGTTACATATTTGAGGTTTATTTTAAAAATAAAAATATATAAATGAGGATGATAGATGAACAAACCTGTTCTGCTTGAAAGAAGCTGGGAGCTGTAAACCGTGTCCAATAGTCTTTGCTGTTGTTCATTTTCCTCCTTTGACCGATAAAGTTGCTCCTCGTACTCTGCTATCGTTCTTCCAAACACTTCAAAGATCTCCTCTGCAGCTGCAGTCAGTCGTTGGTTGACAAAATCTCTGAGCATTTGGACCTGAGACATTTTCACCCACTGACTCTGAAACTGAAGCGGTGCCGCTCCGTCCCCGCTGGAGTCTACCTGGAGCTGAGTCACAGGAGGAACACTGAGAAAAGGTGAACTGAAAAAACAACACTATACGTTTTTTTTAAAGCATAGAGGCTCACTGCTGTAGAAACACTCTCCACACACAAGTAACGCTGAGAGAAACTTCCCTGCGCGACGCCATTTTGAACACAACTGCTTCAAACGGTTCCTTAATTTGTCTCCTTCCTGTGCATCAGGTTTGTTACTTTCAAAATAAATGTTGGCTAACTTTACAGAACTGAAAGTCTTCTCCCTTGATTACTTTTAACCACTTACTCTCCTACGTTTCAGGTAAACAGGAATTTGAAAATGGTATATCTTTTAAATCAATGACATCTAAATATAAAGTAACAAAAATAATAATTGCCTTCTAAGGTGTAACTTGCAAAACAAATGATGACAGCTATCTCATAAGAAAGATTCCCTCTGCAGGTTGAACATCCTTTATCAGTTTCCCTTATTATACAAAATCCAATTCCATTGAAGTTGAGAAATTGTGATAAATGTAAATAAAAACAGAATACAATTTGTAAATCATTTGAACCTATATTTAATTGAATACACTACAATGACAAAATATTTAATGTTCAAACTTATAAACTTCTTTTTTGTTTGTTTGTTTTTTTTGCAAATAATTAACTCAGAATTTCATGGCTGCAACACATGACAAACAAGTTGGGAAAGGTGGAAAAAAAATACTGAGAAATTTGAGGAATGCTCATCAAACACCTATTTGGAACATCCCACAGGTGAGCAGGCTTATTGGGAACAGGTGGGTGCCATGATTGGGAATATAAGCAGCTTCCCCAAAAATGTTCAGTCATTCACAAGCAAGGATGGGGCGAGGTTCACCACTTTGTGAACAACTGCATCAGCAAATAGTTTAACAGTTTAAGAACAACGTTTCTCAAAGTATAATTGCAAGGAATATAGGGATTTTGACATCTGCGGTCCATAATATCATCAAAAGATTCTGAGAATCTGAAGAAATCACTGCACGTAAGCGGTTCGGCCTGAAACCAACATTGAATGCCCGTGACCTTCGATCCCTCAGACAGCAACTGTAGCAAAAACCGACATTGATGTGTAAAGGACATCACCACATGGGCTCAGGAACACTTCAGAAAACCACTGTCAGTAAATACAGTTTGTCGCTAAATCTATAAGTGCAAGTTAAAACTCTACTATGCAAAGGTGAAGTCATTTATCTACAACATCCAGAAACACCACAGGCTTTTCTGGGCCCGAGCTCATCGAAGATGGACTGATGCAAAGTGTAAAAGTGTTCTGTGGTCTGACAAGTCCACATTTCAAATTGTTTTTGGAAATGGTGGACGTTGTGTCCCGGACTGTTTTAAACGCAAAGTTCAAAGGCCAGCATCTGTGATGGTATGGGGGTGCATTAGTGCCAAAGGCATGGGTAACTTACACATCTGTGAAGGCAACATTAATGCTGAAAGGTACATGCAGGTTTTGGAGCAACACATGCTGCCGTCCAAGCAACGTCTTTTTCATGGACGTCCCTGCTTGTTTCAAAAAGGCAATGCCAAGCCACATTCTGCACGTGTTACAACAGCGTGTCTTAGTAGTAAAAGAGAGCAGGTACTTGACTGGCCTGCCTGCAGTTGAGACCTGTCTCCCGTTGAAAATCTGTGGTGCATTATGAAGCGTAAAATCAAAACCCAACAGTCATTGCCAGGGACCCAGAACTGGAGACTTTTAGGCTGGGTGGATAAAAAATTGATGGTTGGAAAATTAAGCAGAAGTTATCTTGTTTGTGTTATTACATTTTGGAGGAGTTGACAGGTATAGACCAGGCTTGGAGTGGGAGTTGAACCAGCAACCTTTGTATCACAGCATTTCATATGAGGAACTTCCTACAGTCCTCTGCTCTACCAACTGAGCTATCAAGGTGCTCTCATCCACAACTGCAGAAAACATAGTGGCTGAGACGACACACTATGCTCACACAACTATTCCACCCACATGGTCAATGAAAAGCCCAGCCCAACCTGCAGAACAAAGCTTTGCAGTTTGAACCCAACAGTCATTGCCAGGGACACAGAACTGGAGACTTTTAGGCTGGGTGAATAAAAAATTGATGGTTATAAAATTAAGCAGAAGTTATGTTGTTTGTGTTTTTACATTTTGGTGGAGTTGACAGGTAAAGACCAGGCTTGGGGTGGGAGTTGAACCAGCAACCTCAGGATAACAGCATTTCATATGAGGAACTTCCTTCATCTTCTGCTCTACCAACTGAGCTATCAAGGTGCTCTCATCCACAACTGCAGAAAACATAGTGGCTGAGACGACACACTATGCCCACCCACATGGTCAATGAAAAGCCCAGCCCTACCTGCAGAACAAAGCTTTGCAGTTTGAACCCAACAGTCATTGCCAGGGACCCAGAACTGGAGACTTTTAGGCTGGGTGAATAAAAAATTGATGGTTGGAAAATTAAGCAGAAGTTATGTTGTTTGTGTTTTTACATTTTGGAGGAGTTGACAGGTAAAGACCAGGCTTGGAGTGGAAGTTGAACCTGCGACCTTCGGACCACAGCTTTTCATATGAGGAGGTTCCTAGAGTCCTCTGCTCTACCAACTGAGCTATCAAGGTGCTCTCATCCACAACTGCAGGAAACATAGTGGCTGAGACGACACACTATGCCCACCCACATGGTCAATGAAAAGCCCAGCCCTACCTGCAGAACAAAGCTTTGCAGTTTGAACCCAACAGTCATTGCCAGGGACCCAGAACTGGAGACTTTTTGGCTGGGTGAATAAAAAATTGATGGTTGGAAAATTAAGCAGAAGTTATCTTTTTTGTGTTTTTACATTTTGGAGGAGTTGACAGGTAAAGACCAGGCTTGGAGTGGAAGTTGAAACAGCGAACTTGGCACACCTGAACACAAGGTATGCAGACATGTGCGCATGTTGCAATATTGACACATTGCAAGGGGCGATCTTCCGAACTTCCATGTTTAGCTCTTCGTAGAGTCAAACAATGGCGGAAAATTTTATTGAGAGCCCAGTTGGCTATCTGCCCCCTACATGATACCGCCAGTATCCAATGTTGCCAATTTAGCGACTTTGTTGCTAGATTTAGCGACTTTTGGCCATCTCTGGCGACTAAAACCTCATCTAGCAACTTAGCAGCTTTTTAGGTGAATCTGGCGACTTTAAAAAAAAGCAACCCTCGAGTGTCAAAATCATTGTTTTTCAATGTAACTTCAGCTTTGCACTGCCACCAGAAGCTTATTTCATGGTTAAGCAGCACTACGCATTAGCCCCGATCTCGAAACTGTACCCTTTGGGATTGTCATCATAGCCATGTAGACACATTTTCTTGAGCTCAGTGAGTCGTGACTGATGTTTTGACATCATAGTCACGTCATGACGTAATCTAGCGACTTTTCAGAGAACCAATAGCGACTTTTGGTGACTTGTTTTTGGCAACACTACCAGTATCGTGCATAGTGCTCTGATCGTTCTGCTGCAAGTATGTGTGGTTGCGCACGTAAATTAAGTCACACAGCTAGCATATCCTGGGCCTTAGGGCTCACTGAAAGGACTTTCATTCAAAACCCTTGGTAAATCAGAGGCCCTTTAAGAACATTTGTAATCAGAGGGCTCTCTTAACAGTATGCTCTCCCATTAGGGCTCTCCCTAGGGGCCTCCACATAGCCAGAAGTCACGACCCTTAGCAGGGGCTTTCATAATCATAGGGCCCTCTGAAAGCATTCCCCCCTACTTCCTTGAACCCCTAGTTGGTAAACGTTAGGGCTCCCTTAGGAGTATTCACAAGAGGCACTACAGCAGGGCCAGCCCAGGGGCCCTCTGACTGCCATCCCCCAAAGCCCAGGGGCGCTCTGATTGCCGTCTCTGTCCCCCTCGCCCAATTCGTATCACCCTTCTCTCTCGGTTCTCTTCAGATATGCCCTATAACAGTGTGAGTAGTCATAAGATCCTAGAGAATAGAGGCCCTTTGACATCGCAATTGGCATCGGCATCAGCATCTACATCGCTTTGCCCACCCCCCCCCCCCCCCCCGCCCCTGGGCGCCGGCCCCACTGTCATTTCATCATCTTAATGCAATGAATGCAGTTAAAGCGAACAATTTTATTAGGTGCTGCCCTAGGAGAACAGTTCAGTGTGCAGGAAAAGACTGTTTATTTACAGCTGGTAATACAACAGCAGAATGTGTAATTCCATCAACAATGTATTTCTTCACGCCTTGTTGAATTAGGTGTGAATCAAGACTTGGTTTCAAAATCAGGAAGGAAAAGTTGGAATTAAAATCTTTATTTGATTTTTGTTTACTTTGCAAATCTAACAACAGAAGTTATTTCCCACTTTTATGTTTTTTTTTAACTCTACCTTAATGTGATAATTTAAGCAGCTAATTGGATTTTCACCAGTATCAGATCTCATATCAGTAACAGAAACACAATTATTTCTTAAAGTTCAAAACAGAGTGATATTCAAAAGTGTCCCTCTAAACATTATCACTGACATCACTCTAAGGTTCCAAAGAGTCTACTTGTTTGACCCGAGTCTCCTATTGTAAATGTCACAGCGGATCTAAGTATCTAGCTAGTTTGAATTCTTCACAGTCCTCGTGTCCTTTTTCTGTTACTCTTATTTTCTCAGTCATGCTCTGATTAACCACTTAAGCCTGAATTCAAACACACTTGTGTTTTTTTACTTGATAAAACCAAGAAAATCTCTCACCGCATAGAGAGCAGCTGTGACCTACCATGTGTTTCTTAAGACTCCTTTCTGTTTTGAATCTTTTACCACAAAGAGAGCAGCTGAAGGGTTTCTCTTCTGTGTGAACTGCCATGTGTAAGGCAAGAGGCCCTCTAAGGCTAAATCCTTTACTGCATACGGAGCAGCTGAAGGGTTTCTCTCCTGTATGACCCCGCATGTGTCTCTTTAGACTCCCCTCTGTATTGAATCTTTTACTGCATACAGAACAGCTGAAGGGTTTCTCTCCTGTGTGAACTACCATGTGGGTGCTTAAATGTCCTTGTTGTCTAAACTTTTTACTGCAAACAGAGCAGCTGAAGGGTTTCTCTCCTGTATGAATGAACATATGTGCATTTAGATTCCCTTTTTGTTTAAAATTTTTACAGCAAACAGGGCAGCTGAGGTGTAAAGTCAGCTTTTGTTCATGTTGTAATTCCACTTGGACTGGTCCTCCACAGTCCTCTCCATCAGATCCTGATTCTGCATCTCTTTCCATCTCAGTTTGGCTATGAGGAAGGTCCACAGCATGACCAACATTGTCTCTCATACAGTTGTGTATATTTAACTGATTATACCCAGACAATCTTTGGTCAGAAATGTAAGATTTCCGATCTTTGTGATGTGCAATGTGAAGTTTTAAGCTACACTTATGTTTGAATCTTCTACCACAGTCAGGGCAGCTGAAGGGTTTATCTTCTGTGTGAACCACCATGTGTGACCTCAGATGCCCTTTGTGGTAAAATCTTTTACTGCAAACAGAGCAGCTGAGGGGTTTCTCTCCTTTGTGGATTCTCAAGTGTACTGTCAATTCCCATTTAGTTTTGACCGTTTTACCACACTCTAAACAACTATGCGATTCCTTGCCATCATTTTGTCTCTTATTTTCCAAGTTTTTTACAGATCTTAAACCTGAATGTTCTGTATTCTCCCTCCAATCATCACTGTCTTCAGTGTCAGGTTCAGAAGAGTCCTCACTCTCTGGTTGTAAATCTCTCTCCAGATCTGAGTTCCTGGATGGCTCTGGTCCTCCAAAGTCTTCTCCATCAGCTCCTGTTTTCATCTGTTCAGTTGGTCCCCGATGAGGCTGCGAGGTCTGAGGTTTTTCTTCATCATCTTCAATTTTTACTTGAACAGGAGTTGATTGGGGGCTGATGGTATCAGCCTGACTAATCTTGATTTCCTCCTGCTCGTTTTTGATAATTTGGGTCTCTGGGTCCTCTTCTTTCACCCCTTGCTGAGCCATAACCTCTTTGCCTAGGACAGCTTTGTGTGCTTGTAACTCTGTCTCTGGCTGAGGTGTCTCATCGTCATCTTCACTCTTCACAATGACAGTATTGAAAGGGAAAATCTGGGGTTGAAGCTGCACCTGTTTCTCTGTCATGTCAGGGATCTCAGTGTCATCCAGGTCAAGACTGGAGCTCCTTTCTTGCTTCTCAGGGATAAACTCTTCTTCACTTATCAACAGCTGCTGGATGTCTGCAGGAAACACTAAAAGGCACAAAGACACAACAAAAGAATGTCAAGTTCATTTGAAACCAAACTTAAAGTCGTGATACTTGATGCCATCATTTTGTGTATACACACATACACATGTATAAAAGTCATTCATTTACAGACAGGTAGAGGCACCAAAAGGCAATAGCACAACGGCAAATATTTCCAGTAATCTGTAATAATCTAATTATTTAACAATCAATTAAAGCTTACCTCTTGCCAATGTGATCTGTGACTGCTTTTTTGTAGAAAATAAAAATCACTATGGACACGAATAAAAAAGCTTAACGTATTTATCAGATACCATCCTTGGATGTCATTAGTCTGATTTGCATTACTAACCCAGGACCTCAGGCCCCCAGTGGAAGCACACACAACAAGGGGCCAACAGGTCCTTTTGTCCAATAAAGAGAGGCCTTTGAGACAAAAAGAATATATTGTCAAAAGAAATCAATATTTCAATATTGTTCAGCCCTTGAACAGGCTCATGATGATTTACCAGTAATAAAAAAGATTTTATTTTAGAAAAATATCTAATAACCTAAAAAATGCATCAGCTTTATAATGATTAACTAAAATCAGTCTTCTGGTCAGTTTTAGGCATTTTTTAAATTTATTTAGTTTCTATCCACAGTAACAGCTAGAGATGGTCTGATCCATTTTTTTCTGATCCAATCTGATACCGATACCTGGGCTGAGCGTATCAGCCGATATCCGATACCGATCTAACACTACTGTTGAATGAAACGAATGTATACCTTGCTTTGTGACTAAGGGCATCAGGCTTGACATTAGCCTTGTTAAAAAAAAGGTAACAAATTAACACAGATATAAATCTATTTAATATTATTTATAAACAAATAACAAATTGCACATTAGTACACAGCAAAGAAGCAAGACTTCAATGTATTAAAAGAAAAATTAAAAAAGAAAAGACTGGATCGGCATCATTCATCCGATATCCGAGCCAATGAATTTGTCAATATTGAAGCTGATATCTGATCCAAATATCGGATCGGATCGCATCCCAAGTAACAGCCCAAGGACGGATCACATACGTTCCTGGGAGAATATCTCGTGTTCAAGTTTATTAGATCTATTTAAAAGGTAATCAATATTCACCACTGATCTCCAGCAGTGATGTGAAACTCCAGAACAATTTTGGCATCGCCATCTAAGTTTTTAAGCGCAACAGGAGCTCGCGGCGGCTAACGTACTCTGTGCGTCCATCAACTGTAGTTAATATAAGCAGAAAACCAACCTGCTCTCTGCAGAGGTGTCGGAATCACATCCAGCTCCAGCTCCTCCTTGTACCCAGATGTTGTGATATTTTCTCCCAGGTCTCTGTTAACTGCAGCGCGCAGTTGCAGTCCGGACAAATCCTTAAGATCCTCAGAGCCGGACATTTTCCACAGATCCCAGAAACAGGGAGGGAAAAGAAAACTTCAAATTAATGCATTATCTATGATGACTCTGCACCCGGACAACATTGGTGGGATACACTCTGCCAACTATGCTTGACCAAAAACCCGTCCGGACCCGGATACTAAACCGTTACTGCATGGACACTCGTTAGGCCTTCAAAATAAAAGAGGTTACTCTACGGTGTACAAAAAATGCTGTGTTCTCAATGTGAAGTGAAAATGTAATGGCAAATCCAATTAAGTTGTACAACATTCAGGGCAAAAATAAGATATTATAAGATACTGTATAATAAGATATTGTTTACTTGTTAGATTTTTAAGATTGGATTTATTGCTAATTTGCTAAATCTGTAATAAATATATTTTTACAGCTTATTTATCCACTCAAAGACTTTCCAAATACATAATTATAACCCTCCTCCTGTGTTAGGGTCTGCACCAACCCGCTTTTGTTTTTAAATGCTTAAGAGAACCACATAACTGAGCTATTTTGCATCAAGACTTTTTGACTTTTTCAAGAACCTCTACTTCAAAAAAATAAAAATAAATTGACTAAATTATAAAATGCTTTTATTAAAATCATGGCACTTGTGGTTTAAGGGTTGCCGTTAACCCGGTTTGATTAATATCTAATAATTAAAAAAATTAAATAAAATCATATGTGTGCACTGTCAGGCACCACACTGACAGTCAGATCCTCTTAAATCATGTGAAATCTAGAAAATTCTCATTTTGCCTGGTTTATCTCTGCACAACAGGCCCACAACAAAAATATTATGAGCAATAGTTTCATGGATAATGAAGCCTAACAAGGTAACCTGGAAATGAGAACCAAATTGGATGATAGAGAATCGTTTTTAGTGTATTTTGCAGCTGATTTAAGACACAGGTCGAAAGCAACCTGTTAACATAGTGGGTGCATAGTAAAAGCGAACACAGCAGGAAGGTTAATCATTGGTTCATGTAGTGTACAGCACTGTTTCCCTATATTGTTAGATTGGACTTGTTTTCAGTGTATATCAGGCCCCTTGTGACCTTCTGATAAGGGAAATCCACAAGACAGGAGTTTGTATTGTAAGTTTTTATACAACTTGAAATATGAATTCAAATCCATTTTTTATGTTCAGCAGCTGAGAGATGTGTTCCAGTTAAAATATGTTATTCACCTTTGCCATTTTGTTACTGCTACTGTCATATTGCTTCTTCTAATTGGGTTAGCTTATTCACATTTAATGACAGTATGCTATAATGTTGGTAAGGCATAGATTTTTATTCACAATCATTGCACTTGTTCTTGTAACATCCTGGATCTCAATAGATAAGACAGAACTTTGAAACAGAACAATTAACACAGCATCTTACTATAAGAGTGCAATGTCACCTTGAGCAGTGAGGGGTCTTGCCACAAGAGTGTCATTTTATGTTACTGGAGACCCCACCTCAAAAAAAAAAATGCTGTAAGATTTGTAACTGATTTGTTCCATCACAATCTCGGTGCAGCTTAAAGTCAAGGTAGATGTGTTACATTTAGGATGTATCTCACCATCATGTTTATTATTTAAGTGTTGAGTATGAAAATCACAGTCCAAAATCCGGGAGGTCTACTTGGTCAGGATTTGTCCTTCAACTCTCACATGAACTCTTGTCAGGCTATCCAGTATAGTGGTGGCTGGAATTTATGGTAATTATAAGTTTTTTTTATTTGTTTTTGTAATCTAAGACATATGCATCACATTGTCCCCAGCAAGTTAGGTCTCTTGAATCAATCACCCTTAGATAGAGAGAGCATTCACTTAAGGACGTAAATGTTGACGAGGTTGGGACTGTCATTGATAAAATTGAATTTATTTTAATAAAAGCTTCTAAGGAGCTCATAGTGCACATAAACTGCTAATGTGATAAACATTGTTTAAAACACGTATTTGTAAATTAAAAATCACAGTTTTAGTGGTGCCTCATCTGATATTTAAGACCTGCCTCTGATACAGCACCATCAAAGCATCAGCTTAATGCCAAACAGCAACTCACATATTTTTAAAACTATGATGTATCACATAATACCAACAAAACAAGGTATTGCAATCAGTATCAGAAGGAAAATCTGGAAACATATTTGTCTCATTTGGTGTTGTATACCATGAGGATCAATCAAAAATATAAAAATGAAATATTTTTTTCTCCTTCATGTTTATTGTCTCTGAAAAAAGAAATGTACTATCACAATCAGAGCAGCTGGCTGGTTTCTCACCAGTATCACATCTCATATCACTGACAGAAACTTTATTATTTCTTAGGGTCCAGAATCAACATTGGTCTCAGGTTCAAGAGTCTTCCACCTTGATTTAAGTCTTTAGTTGCTCTAATGTTCTCAGTTTGGTTCTGAGTAAGCTCTTAGGCCTGAGTTTCAACACACTCGTGTTTTTTTAACTGATAAGACCAAGAAAATCTTTCACCGCATTGAGAGCAGCACAAGGGTTTCTCTCCAGTGTGGCCCATCATGTGCCTCTTAAGACTCCCATCTGTGTTGAATGTTTTACTGCAAAAAGAGCAACTGAAGGGTTTCTCTCCTGTATGGAGGAGCATGTGTATGGTGAGGTGCCCTTTTTGTCTAAAGCTTTTGCTGCACACAGAGCAGCTGAAGGGTTTCTCTCCTGTATGAATGTACATGTGTGTGGTCAGATGCCCCCTCTTTTTGAATCTTTTACTGCAAATAGAGCAACTGAGGAGTTTCTGTTCAAATGTTGCCAGGTTTTGTCCTCCACAGTCTTCTTCCTCAGATCCTGATTCTGCATCTCTTTTTGCCTCAGTTCGGTCACTAGGGAGCTCCGAAGCCTGCTCTTTGTGTTGTTCAATGTGCAGTTTCAGGTTAAACCAACGTTTAAATCTTTTCCCACAGTCAGAGCAGCTGAAGGGTCTGTCTTCTGTGTGAACCAAGACGTGTGAGCTCAGATGCCCTCTTTGGTTAAATCTTTTATCGCACACAGGGCAGCTAAAGGGTTTATCTCCTGTGTGAAGTAACATGTGTGTGCTCAGATGCCCTTTTTGGTTGAATCTTTTATTGCAAAAGGAACAGCTGAAAGGTTTATCTCCAGTATGTATCAACATGTGTGTGGTCAGATTCCCTTTGTGGTTAAATATTTTACCACAGACAGAGCAAGTTAAGTTTTTCTCTTTGGCATGAATTCTTGTGTGTGTTGTCAATTCAGCTTTACTTTCAAATGATTCACTACACGCAGAACAACTGTGTGATTCCTTGCCATTATTTTGTCTCTTATTTTTTCTTACAGATTTTAAACCTGAATGATGTTCTGTATTCTCCCTCCAATCATCGCTGTCTTCAGTGTCAGGTTCAGAGGAGTCCTCACTCTCTGGTTGTAAATCTCTCTCCAGATCTGAGTTCCTGGCTGCACAGTCTTCTCCATCAGCTCCTGTTTTCATCTGTTCAGTTGGTCCCTGATGAGGCTGTGAGGTCTGAGGTTTTTCTTCGTCATCTTCACTTTTCACAGGGACAGGAGTTGATTGGGGGTTGATGGTATCAGCCTGACTGATACAGATTTCCTCCTGCTCGTCTTTGATGACTGGAGTCTCTGGGTCCTCTTGCTTTTCCCCTTGTTGAGCCATAATGTCTTTGCCCGGGACTTGTCTTTGTTCAAATTGGTTCTTAAATCCTAAACCACTTAAGATTATCTCTTCTGTGTGGATTTTTAAAAGATGAGTGCTGTGAATGGTTTCTTCAGGCTCAATGTCGAGATCTTGTTTACAGTCATAGTGAAAGGATGCTGGATTCTGGGAAACATCCTTATTTTCTAGTAGTGTTGACTCAAGCTGATGTTTTCTTGTCCTGCAGTCATCGTTGCGGTCCATATTCTCATGTTCAGGAGAGTCTTCTGTCTTTACTTCAGTCTCAGGTTGTATATGTGTCTCTGGATCCAGAATCCTTCTATAAGCTTCTGTTTCCATCTGTTCAGTTAGTCTTTGATGAAACTATCGCGACAGTGGTTTCATAATGAAACTGGAGACAATAAAAAACTGATTGGCTCCCTCAGTGCCTAAAAGCTGTCACCCCTCCTCCTCCACAGTTTCTCCTGTTTCTCTTCAACGTGAGGGGAGTAAGTGTCTTCCTGGTCTAGACTGGAACTCCTCTCTTTCTACTCAGGGGGGAAACTCTTCTTCACTCACCGACAGCAGCTGAATGTCTGCAGGAAACACTGAAAGACACAACAGATGTAAATCTATCTTGAAACCAATCTTGCTGCCAATGGGATTCCTGTTTTTTGTCAAGGGGATATTCCGGCGTAGAAGTAATTTAGGGTCAAACACATCGTAACACTGAGTTAGACTCCCCCTCAAGAGATGAATGTGAATGGCCACTCTATAGCTACAAATAATGCTCAGAACAGCACTTAACTTCATCAACAGTACATAAAGGGTCCCAGCCATAGTACTAGCCAGCAAACATCTTTTTAACTTCGCCTAATTACTTTAGCAAAGAGACTAAACACAGCTCACCAACTCTCTTCCAGCAGCCGCTTGTTTGTAGCGAGACCATTACGGACTGCTGCGGGGTGACGCAGCTAAAGGAACAACATTTCTTAATTAATTTCACGCCGGAATATTCCTATAAGACAATTCAGCAGAGACGCGAATAACACGCTGTCCAAACACACCCCATACGTCGATGGACGTTTGCTAAATTCTCGGCTCCTTCCAAACAAAGGTGGACATACATTTCCATCGGTGAAGAAAAAAAAAACACCAACCTGCTCTTTGCAGCTTCATTACAGGTGTTAAAAAATCACATCCAACTGTTTCTTCAGCGGTGATGGAGCCCTTGACTATACGGATGTTGTACTATCTCCTGTCAGGTGTCTTTTTACCGCAGCAAACAGCCTTCGTTTGAATAACTCTTTTTCGATCCTGAAGCATGGACATTTTCGACCAACATAAGTCCCAAAATAGGAAAAGAAAACTGAGCAGCGACGTGTTTCTTCTCCAGCATCTCCACACACGCGATAGTACCCTGGTTCTGCAAGTGAGACCCGGAAACTAAAACATTGTTTTTTTAATGTGGCCTTCAGAATAAAAGGAGTCCAGTCAAACTTTTTTCAAAAACACATTTAATACACAGAAAAACACAGAATTCTTGATAACAGGTGAAACAAAAGTGCAAAAACTGAAAGTCAATTAAATCAAGCAGAAACATGCAGCAGAAAACTTATGACAAAAAAATACAAGCTTCACACCGTTAAACAAAAAAATTAGTCTGTTTTACTTTTTAGCACACAGGAATGATGCCAGGAATTCTAGTTTATACAATAAGATCCCACACACTGAAACTGAATGCTGTTTACCCTTCCTCCTGTGTAAGCTTTCACTATGCACCGACCATGTTAAGGGTTGGTTTTGACCTGTGTCTTAAATCTGCTGTAAATTACACTAAAAACATTTCTCTATCATCCAATTTGGTTCTCATCTCTAGGTCACCTTGTTAGGCTCATTATCCATGAAAATACTGCTTATAATAGTTTTTGGTTTTGGCCTCTGGGCCTTTTTTTGTCAGTATACCCCTGATCTCACATGTCTGGACATGCCCGACATTGTTTTTTGTGCAGGGAAAAACATGGCAAAATGAGAATTTCCTAAATCTCACATGATTGGAAAAGGATCTGACTGTCAGTGTGTTGCCTTATAATGCACTTATGATTTCAGCTTTTGCTCTAATTATTAGATATTGATCTAACCGGGTCAACAGCGGCCCTTACACAACAAGTGTATTTTATAATTCCGTCAATTAAATTGTTTTACTTTTATTTTGTTGAAATAGAGGTTCCTGACAAAGTCAAAGAGTCTTGATGCAAAAAAGCTAATGTAAGTTGTTGTTTTAAGCATTTAAAATCAAAAACAGGTCGGTGCAGACCCTAACACAGGAGGAGGGTTACCCTGAGTTTATCTTTGTTTTGAATTAAAGTAATTTAGTAAATAGCCATTTTGCCAAATCTTCCTGTCTCTCTTTGTTTATTATTTTAATTTCTTATGGTGTTTCACAAGAGAAGCAAAGTAATCACATCATCAGAATGAGCTCAAATTCAGTGTTAAAAGGAGTCAAAGGGTTCTTGGGCCCCCACTGCCTCCAGGGGCCTTTAAAGTTCCTACATCCCTGGCAAGTGAAAGTGAAGTGGACAGCTGTCAAGTGGAATAAACATTTGACACCTTGAGGTTTTACTGTGTTTTTTAGTCTCTTATTTAGTCTCGTTCTATAAACTGGTTCTGAAATACCAATACCAAGAAAATGTATTTCTAAGATTGTGATTCTGTGCATCTTGAGAGAGTGGTTGTTGTAAGAAATTTGTGAAACTCATAGTGGTAAATTTATTTCGAATCAGAGTCAACTGTTTCTGCATCATGAGAGACTTTCTCATTTTTCAAAGAGTTCAAACCTGACTGAAGTTTTATGGTCAAACCTCATCATCAGTCTCAAGTTCAGAAGAGTCCTTTGTCTCTGGCGGTAGATGTTTGTCTGGATCCTCCCCATCATGCTCCATTCCCGTCTCATCAGTTTGATTTTGATAAAACTCTGAAGCCTGACCTCCTGCACACTTGTGATTTTTTAACTGTGAATACCAGGAGAATCGTTGGTCACAAGTACTGCAGCTGAGGAGTTTTTCCCCCCTGTGATGTGCCATGTGAAGTGTCAGATAATACTTTTGCGTGAATCTTTTACCACATTCAGAGCAGCCAAATGGTTTGTCACCTGAATGGATCAACATGTGTGAGATCAAATGCCCCTGTTGGTAAAATCTCTTCCCACACACAGAGCAGCCAAAGGGTTTCTCTCCGGTGTGCGTTCTCATGTGTTGGGTAAGATGCCATTTCTTTGTTAGTATCTTACCACAGAAAGAACAGCTATGTGATTTCTTTGGAGTCCCATTATCACTTTTTTTCTCAGAGTTTAAGCTTGACTGATGTTCAGTTGTCTTCTCCCATCCGTCACTGTCATCTGTCTTGTCCTCAGTGTCTGGTTGTACAAGTCTCTCTTGACTGGAGCCCCTGGATGTTTCTGGACCTACACAGTCATTCTCGTTAGCTGCCTCATTTTTCGCATGCTCTGAACCGTGATCTTTTACACACTGGTGTCTTCTCAAGTCATCATCTTGACAGTTGTGGCATCTGTAGAGTTTTTCTCCTTGGTGAATTCTTGTGTGTCTCTTAACATTGCGTTTTTTCCTGAATGTTTTACCACCCTCTGAACAACCTGAATGATGCTCTTTGGCCACCCTCCAGTCATCACTGTCATCAGTCTCTGAAGTGTCCTCAGTCTTGACCCGCATGTGTTGTTCTAAAATTCTCTCTGGATATGGGTCCCGAGCTGGTTCTCCACAGGCATCTTCATCAGTGTCTGTTTCCATCAGTCCAGCTGGTCTTTGATTAAACTGTGACGACTGTAATTCCTCTTCCTCTTCACTTTTCACAACAACATCAATGGAAAAGACCTTGGTTGTATCAGCCTCCTCCACACCTTGAAGCTGCTCTCCCTGATGACTGCACAACACACTTTCCTGTTCCTCTTTAATTTGTGGGGGCTCAGAGTCCGTCTGGTTCAGAGTGGGGCCCGTCTCCTGCTGCTCCAGAGAAAGTTTCTCTTCATCATTCATCATCTGCTGGACATCTGCTGGACTCACTTGAGTACACAAAGACAAATCAAAGGAAGTTGTGAGTTAGTGCTTAACCAGTATTGAAATAGTGACACTTGATATCAATATTCTAAGTCATACCTGCCAACATTTGGGTCGAGAGTGTTTTAAGAATCTAAAGATAAAGTTATGACATGCAACAAAACAGAATATGTACATATATTTGAAGTTTGGGTATTTCTGGTAGTGTACGGTGAGCACAGCTCAATTTAGATTGAATCTCCCACAGATCCAAAAGTTCTTCTAATCGGCCTTTGTGTCAAAAGCAATCAAAATCTAATGCTACTCTAAGAGAAATCACAACTAAAATTACCAGCTTGCCATAAAACATACATTTCCACGTGCTCAGTTGGCTTCTATGAAAGGGTGACCAACTTTCTGAATTGATGTCAATTTACCATTCCTTGGTAGGTCCTGCAGATACATAGAGTTTCGTGCCTGCTGGATGTCAGTCGCGCTTTCCTCCTCCTTTATCTCTTCCTCCTCCCGGTCCAGATGGCGTCTCTTTGCAGGTCTGACACCGAGGACAGTCTCACGGGCCTCAACTGAGGGGTTCACCTGTGTGCCAGCACTGACAGAGACACCTTTGGTCTGGGTTCCTGATTAATCACAAAGAAGTAACAGCTTTTACTTTGTATTGATGCAACCAATGTGTTTATCTCAATATTACCACTGCAATATTACATACATACCTATAGTTTTCACTTGCTTTTGCAGCATTTTGTAGGACCACTGTGTGCAAGCATTCCTTTGAAAACAAGAGTAGCCAGACTGCGTGCCTATAGATACCCTCATGACTGTAGTCTGCGTCGCAACATTGACTTTGGCTGGAAAGGCCGGCTGTAATGAACTCTGATGAGACAAAAAAAGGAGACTCTCATATGGTTCATGGATGAGTTATGTCTTCACAGAAATTAAATGAGACTAATAATAATAAGACATTTTATTTAAAAGCACCTTTCTGGACACTGAAGGACACTTTACAGAGTAAAAACAACAGAGAAAACAAAACAAAATGGGGGGGGGGGGGGTATATAGATATGTGTGTATAAATAAAACAAACAAAAACATGACAAGGTAAATTATAAGGAGTGTGCTAAACTGAACAGGTGGGTTTTGAGTCTGGATTTGAAGAGAGGGAGAGAGTCGATATTACGGATGTCAGGTAGGACTGAGATCCAGAGATGGGGAGCAGAGCGGCTGAAGCGGGTAGGGGGCACGGTGAGGTGGATGGAGGAGGAAGATCTGAAGGAGCAGGAAGAAGTGGCTCTACATGAAGGAGATCAGAGATGTAAGAAGGGGCAAGATTGTGGATGGCCTTGAATGTATACACATGGATTTTGAATTGGATTCTGGGAGCCAGTGGAGCTGCTGAAGGATGGGGGTGATGTGGTGACATGAGGGAGTTGAAGTTTACAGAGACATTTGTGAGGAGGGCCAAAGAGAAGGGAGTTACAATCATCAATACGGGAGGTGACAAGTCTGTGGACGAGAATTGAGGTGGTATGAGGGATAAGGGAGGGGCGGATACGATTGATGTTGCGGAGATGGAAATTTGCAGACCGGGTAAAATTACTGATGTGGGCTTGAAATGAGAGAGAGCTGTCAAGGATGACATCCAGACTCTTGACCTGTGGGGAGGGGGAAACTGAGGCACAGTCAATAGTAAGGGAGAGACTGTCAGCTTTGGATAAAGTGGATTTGACGCCAATGAGGAGGACTTCTGTTTTATCACTATTTAATCTAAGGAAGTTTGAGGTGAACCAGGATTTAATTACAGATTAATCATGACGATTACTCCATTACACAACAACTACTGTTGCAGTGCACAAACATTTGACTCAAAAACATTTGCTCTAAATTTTACTAAGTTAAAACAACATTAACAGGTTAATAAAATGCAAAACAGCTTGAATGTAATGCTTTTGCAATGTAATACTTTTACAGGCCAGCTGTTAGCACCTCAGCTAGCTCTCCTCGTCCGTTTCCACTTGATGTTTTGATACTTACAGCTAAAACATTTAAGTCGTCTTTAGGAGGATTTCTATATGGGACGGCCCCGACTTTCAGTAATAGTTGACTGGCGTATCCAGCATCGTACTGGCCTTTGTTTCGGAAGGAGTCTGCGGTGAAGTGTCGAGCACACACGGCGATGTTTGAGTGCGGAGGTGCTCGTCCCGAAAACATCAAAACTTCCCATTTTTTTCTGGTGTCTGCGTCTTTAGGAATCGAAAATAGCTGTACTCTTCCTTCGCATCCGAAAAAACATTTACGAGCAACTTTCCGTAACATTATGCAAACACAGGGAAAAGCCAGGAGGTTAAGGGAAAACTTTGAAAGGAGAGTAATTTGGAGGAGCTTCCGGGTGGACGCGTCTTTGGGCAAAGATATCTATAATAAAGGCTAGATGACTCAAAACGAAGTCACCGGCGTCCCTACACGGCGGCCATCTTACTCCAGTATACCATTCTGGTACGCGCTATGGTAGCTGACGGGCGGTGATTAATCTGCGTGATCAAAAATACTCTAAACTCGGTGAAATCTTGAAAGATTTACGAATGGTTTTGATTATTACATACCTTAATAACGTGGATATGAGTTGGGATGCGTGGACATATTGAAATAGCAGCTTTCCTTGAGAAAAAAAAAAGACTTAATCATGAAGCAGTTGTTTCACAGCTATTTGCGTGCAAGGGTGAACTTTTGAGTCACTTAGCATGAATTGTCAAGGCAGACCACAATCCAGATTTTAATTTCTTATATGACAGGCTATTATTTATTTATTTATTTATTTAGTCAAAGTGACAGTCTTTGCGGATGTGCTTGTGTTTATCAGCTTGGCTAACAAGACTCGCTGTGAGTGTGACTAAATATATATAACAAAGTTGACCCAGCAATTTTACATTAGTTGGAGAGGCAGAAATGCTCTTTTGATTCAACATAACTTAAGTTGCACATGATTTCCAAGCTGTTTGGTTTGGTAAAAACATCTAAAATGGAAACATGAGGCAGAAACTTATATTTAAAAAAATATATTTTTGTATGTTATTGCAATATGTTATTATATATATATATATATATATCCTTAAAATAGAAATAGCGCTAATACAACATACATGGAATGATTGAATGATTTATATATAAATGATTGAATATAACTACCTTGTGTGTGTAGGCCTATAGCTATTGCTATTGCTCTATCCATCTTTCAAGTGTTCATATATGACTATCCATGGGTAAAATTATTCTTGAGTATGCAGGAACATAACGAAAACTTCGAGATTTGTTACAAACCAAACCGTTCGAAAATTGATTGGAATTTAAGTAATCTATGGTTATTTAAATGTTACATGCACCGTAGAATGCAGTGTTATGAGTGGGCGAGCGTCCCGTAGCAAAATGGCCGCCATGCGCGGACGTCGGTCTCCATTGGCTTAAAGCGTGCGTAAACCATCTAGCGTTTATATACATTTCTATGTCTGTAAGGGTAATATTTCCGGGTGGGCATCGTGGGTTGTTTTTAAATATCAGTGCTAATTCTTTGTGTGTTTCGTTGTTCCTTCTGCACTCCGCCCTAACATATAAAACTAATAAACAAGTATTAACACTGTATCCAAACAAATTACGTTGATGACAAAATAAAATCGAACAACCAAACGAATGCAATATAACACAAAAATGAAATGAAAGTTAAAGAAGTAGCTAACGTAGTGTTAGCAAGGTGGGCTCGGTTCAATCATGAGCACTGAACGTAAGATAATGACTTACCAGTGAAGCTTCAGGCTGACCACTCGATGGTGTCTTGATTGAAGGAACAGCATCCGGCTTTAAACTCAATTTGGTGGCGAAGCCCATCTTTTTCTGATGCCAATTGGTGAAACAGTCTTCTGTGAAATGTTGACTGCAGAAGAAGGTTTTACTTGTTATGTTGCTGTGACCAAGAAACTTTGTCCACTGCTTTCGAACACTTGAGTTTTTGGGGATACAATGAAAGCTAACATCATAGTTAGCTTTACGACTGGTGTTGCAGTCCGCTACGGCACACACGGGTTCCCCCATCATCCTCTCTGCTCCTCGACGTCGGTCTGGGCTGCAGAGGCAGAGCTGGGGGCGGAGCTTCGAGCTTGTGCCCCGCCCATGAATTTGTTACATAGGAAATCTGAGTGTTTTTGAACCTGTATTTTGACTCTGCTTAGGTTCATACTGATTTGAATGCAGAACTTTTCAGAAATGCAGAAATTTTGCACTTACTGGAGCTTTCTCCATCGGAGTTCCTCGACTTTGGAATGACCCGCCAGAGTAGATAAGGCGTGCAAAGACAGTTGCTTCTTTTAAGTCTAGCGTAAAAACTCACTTTTACAGACTTGCTTTTATGTGATGCCGTCTTTTCCCTTTTTTTTCTTTTATCTTTTACCTTTATCTTATTTCGACTTACTGTCTTTTTAGCCTTTGTTTTACTTATAATCTTTTCCTATTTGACCTTTTAGGCCTCTTATTGATTTTATTGTTTATTTTCCTGCTAATTTTTGTTATTCAATTTTATCATTACTATTACCCTCATTATTATTTTGTTATAATTTTATTATCATTATTAATATTGTCTTTTTATATTTACTATCCTGTTCCCTGCTTTCCACTCACCATTTTTTTTAACACATTTCTTTTTCATACCTATTTTATGTTTTTATTTTGGTCCTCATGGTCTCATTTTATGTTGTAGGGTTCTTGTATTGTCTGGAAAGAAAAAATAAATCATCAGAGTGGGTCTTTAATGCTTAACTCAAATGCTCATTTCACTTTTTGGAATTGGGGTTGTATAATGCACTTGAAAATGGTAAATGAACCAACCACAGGGAATCATGACCAGCCTAGCCCATTAAATGAAAAACAAGCATGTTCTGACAGCAGATATCTTCTCTTAAATTTCCTTTTATGCATCTGGAAACATGTTTCCTGCTAATACTTCAGGAAGCAGAGCCTCTAGCTGACATTCACAGACTCACAGAGTGTGCTAAAAACAGGAAATCACTAATTTGTGTTGAGAGTCTAAAATCTCTCAGGTTGAAAAAATAATAATGGTCCAACAGATCCTGTTGCAGATCTACCACAGTCAGATTAGGTTGAACTTTATTCCTTTGCAAACTGTAAACACTTTAAGTAAGCATCCTGTGGGCAACATACGACATCAAAACAAATTTCAGGACATATTTTCTTATTATTATGATTTCCTCCTGAAGGTTTTAACAGTTTTTGTGTCTCTTTAAAAGGTAACCTTAACCTATCATGCACTACTACTCAGGGTAGTAAAGTGGTTTCACACCTGTATAATATTATCCGTCACACACAATAATTTTATATATCTTTTATATAAACCTGATTCAAGTTTTCTAGTCTTTTAAATAATTACCACTATCAGAAAAGTCTTCAATTTTGACTTCTGTCTCTGGTTGTAAATCATGGTCTGGATCTAAATTCTTGGCCGGTACTGGTGCTTCACAGTCCTCTGTATTGTCTTCTGTTTCTGTGTCTCTTCTTGCCGTAGCGTGGTTTTCATGAAATTCTGAATTCTGACTCCTAACACACTTGTGTCCTTTCAATTGATTTAACAAAGAGAATTTCTGGTCACCGACACTGCAGCTTAGGTGTTTCTTTTCTTCACTGTGATGGTCTCTGAAATTTAACAGACTGTTTTTTTTACTGAATGTTTTGCCAGACACAGAGCAGTTAATGGTTTCCTTCTCTTTATGTATCACCAAGTGCCTGTTAAGGTTACACTTTTGGTTGAATCTCTTACCACACTTCGTGCAGGAGAATGCTTTCTCTCCAGTGTGAATTTTCATATGTGCAGTCAGATTCTTCTTTTGCTTAAAATTTTTACCACACTCAGAGCAGCTGAAGGGTTTCTCTCCTGTGTGAGACAACATATGGGTTGTCAGATTTCCTTTTTGATTAAATCTTTTACTGCACACAGAGCAGCTGAAGGGTTTCTCTCCTGTATGAACTAACATGTGTGCTGTCAAATGCCGTTTATAACTAAACTTTTTATCACAAGAAGAACAGCTGTAGGGTTTTTCATCCTTGTGAAAAGACATGTGTGAGTTCAAACTCGACTTGTGGTTAAATCTTTTACCACACTCAAAGCAGCTAAATGGTTTCTCTTCTCCATGTTGTACTTTGTGATATATCAAACTAGATTCACGGTTAAATGTTTTCCCACAAACTAAGCAACTAAACGGTTTCTCATCTGTGTGATTTTTTATGTGTGTGGTCAGATTATCTTTATGTTTAAAACCTTTACCACATTTAGAACAACTGAAAGGTTTCTCTCCTGTGTGCACTAACGTATGCCTATTTAGACTTCGTTTTCGGTCAAAGCTTTTACCACACACAGAACAGCTAAAGCGTTTTTCTCCTGTGTGTATTCTCATGTGTGCGTTAAGATTACTTTTACGAGAAAATCTTTTACTGCAAACAGAGCAGCTAAAGGGTTTTTCTCCCGTATGAAATCTTACATGTGAGCTTAGATTCCCTTTATTGTTAAATATTTTACCACACTGGGAACAGTTGAAGGATTTCTTTTCTTCATGCTGTACCATGTGATGGATTAAATCAGACTCTTGGTTAAAGCTTTTTCTGCAAACTAAGCAACTATAAGGTTTTATACTGCTGCTATCTCCCATCTGTGTGGTAAGTCTTTCTTTCTCTGAAAATCTTTTATTAGATGTGGAGCATTTGAAACGCTTCTTTCCTGTGTGAACTACCATGTGTCTGGTTAGACTTCCTTTTCGGTTAAAGCTTGTACCACATTCTGAGCAGCTGAAGGGTTTCTCTCCTGTGTGTGTTAGCATGTGTCTGGGCAGGTAATATTTATGTTTACACTGATAACTGCATACAGGGCAACTGAAGGATTTCTCGCTTGTGTGAATTGTCATGTGTTTGGACACAGACTTTAAACCTGGCCCTTGTTCTCTAGTTTCCCACCAATCATCATTACTGTCTTCAGTCTCAGTTTCAGAAGAGTCTTCAGAAGAGTCCTCAGTCTTGACCTCAATCTCAGGCTGTAAAGTTCTTCCTGGATCTGAACCCCTTGCCAGTTCTGGTCCGTCACCACCCTCTCCATCAGCTCCAATTTCTTTCTGTTCAATTTGCACTTGATTAAGCTCCGAAGTTAAAGGTTTCTCTTCATCATCTTCAATCTTCACAGAGACAATGGTGAAAGATAACTTGGTGGTATCAGCCTCATCCAATCCTTGAAGTTGCTCTCCCCCCTGACTGCCCCACAGTTCCTCCTGCTCCTGCTCCTCTTTAATGTGTGGGGGCTCAGTGAGGTCCAGACCAAGTGTCCCCTCCTGCAGCTCCAGAAGAGGCTCCTCTCTAGTCACCAACAGCTGCTGAACATCTGCAAGATACAATACACAAACATTTAAGTGAACCTATAGAAAATCTTCACGAACATTTGAGAAAATTTGAAAATCTTTAAGAGTAAAAAAAAAATATTCAGAGTTTTGACATTGAAGAAAATACACTTTAATAGATTTTTAAACACATTTAGGCCTGTTAGCCTGATTGAAATTGCACAGAGTAAGAATTTCTCCAAGTCAGACAATCATACCTTTATAATGTAGTTAGGGATTAGATTTTTACTTGCATATACACACACAATTCTGCTTAATCAGGCCTCTGCCTTGTGCACCTGATACTCACTGCCCTTACTAAGGAGGGTCAGAGAAGGGTAAGGAAAGAAGTTTTAAAAAGAGATTGGGCTCTTCTTGAAGTTTGGTGCCGGAACGATCCTAAGTGTGGTTGTATTCGGAACAAGAGCTCAGAGCTGCTTGCCTGTCATGAGTGAAGAAACAATTTTGTGTAGTAGATAGATATAGGGGAGTGTGGGGTAAGTTGAGCCAACCCCTGTTGCTTGGAAATGGTCAAAGAAATTGATCATGTGACCAAATATTTAGGAGATGGGCATCAATTCATGGAGTCTGTGAAGGTTAGAAGCACATAGGTGAAGGGGTTAGACATTTATTTACAAAAAACATTTTTTCACTCTGTAAAGTGAATTTAGTCTGTCATAAGTTTTATAAGAATTGTGTTCAGACCAAAAAAGATTATTTTAAATTAGTTTTATACATCAATTGTGGTATCTATGAGCTACAACATGAGGTCAAAAACATAGTATAAAAGACCACCATTTTATCTTAGGGGACTAATAAAGTCATAATAGTAGTTCAGGGTTAAGTTGAGTCAGTGGCTCAACTGAGAAAGTAAAGGAGTCTGATTAGAGGATCAGAGTTTTAGTTCAAATTGTTGAAATGTTTTACTTTTTCTTTTCTAAAATACAGCTGTGAATGATCTGAATCACTTAAAGAGGTTCTCATGTCATTCTCATTTTTTTAAAAACAGCTTTTTAGCAGTTATATGCAATAACAATAATAAAAAGAAAATTGACCATAGGAGACCACTTTTTTGGCATGCTGTATTATCAAGACAGTTATATTTACACTCATTCTGTTGATTTGCAGTGATGCACAACATCTTGAAATATATGCAGATACACTAGTTAGAGACAAAACTATGATTGCCTTGATGTAGTGATCTGAAATATGAAAAATGGCTCATCTCACCCCACTCTCCCCTACAGCAGATTCTACCTGCTCTCCCATTAGAAATAGGCTGATTACACCTGTTAACATCTGAACACAAGTGATCAGCTTTGAGTACGAATGTTTGCCTCCTCTGTTACCAAAATGAACATACATTTGATAACATTTAGGCTGTAAAAGGGTCCATTGACCTTATCTTGACATAACAGCATGACATAATGTGCATGTAAACAACATGTCTGTATGTCTGAATTGATAAACATTTAGTAATGACCTCGGCTCCCTCAGACATTGGCAGGACCGCGTTTCCAGAAGCGTACCTGTCCTGTGCAGCTTTATTTCAGGTGTTAAAATCACTTTCAGTAGTTTTCTTTGGCGGTGGAGCTCCTCTTCGTATCCAGGTGTCGTTGCTCCGTTTACCGTAGCGAGCAGCCGCCGTCTGAATAAATCTTCGAGATCCCGAAACCCGAACATTTTCCAACAGTCCTCCAGTCAGAGGAGGAAAAGTAAACTAAACGCTGATGTCTTTTTCTACGAAGAATCCGTTTATCAGCTCACACACACGCTAACTGTGGTAACTACTGGGAAAACCCTCCAGACCCGGAAACAAAAACATCCCTTCAGGGACATCCGTTTAGTCTTCAAAATAAAAGCCATCAAGTGACTGTCATATAAATAAAAAATGTGTGAATCCTCATGTGTGTTTTCAGATTTTCTTTTTTATGAAACATTTCACTGCAAACAGAGCAGCTCAAAAGTGTCTGTCCTGTGTGTATTTTTACGTGTGAGACCAGATGTGATTTTTTTTTTTAATTGTTTACCTCACGCAGAGCAGCTAAAGGGCTTTTGTCCTGTGTGTAGCAACATGTGTGTGGTCATATACCACTTGTCTTTAAATCTTTTACCGCACTTATAACAGCTGAAGTGCTTCTCCTCTTCATGATTTACCGTGTGACGTGTCAACTAACAGATGCGCTGAAGACTTCCTTTTTGGTCAAAGCTTCGATTGTATTCAGAACAACTAAAGGGTTTCTCCCCTGCGTGACTTAATGCGTGTGTAGTTAAGGCGGATTTATGCTTAAATTTGTTACTGCAAACAGAGCAACAACTTCTCTTTTTTTGCTCTTCATGTGGCTCTAATCCTCTCCTGTGTACTCATGTTTTAAGAAAATCTTTTTTGCCACTTCTTTTCACCACAGTCTTCTCTAATAACTGTACACATATTAATGAGCTGCAGTCATTTTGGGGTCTCATATCTGTGTTGACCCACAATGGTTAAACAGCTAAATGGTATTGGGCAAACAGCTAACATGACTCGTATGGTGGCTTTGTAGCATCAGAGAACGTGGCCAGTGAACAAGGGACACTTGATCACTGATGTTACATATCATGTAAATATAATCAAACACATTGTCAACATCTTAGCAGGCTCATCCGCTGGGTTACATACTAACCTGTTGTGTTTTGTACTCTTCTGGAAGCAGAGGAATCTTGAAAGTTATTTCTACAAAAATGGACATGTGAACTGTTTTTTTTTTAAGTGATTTGCATTTATTCACAAAATCACACATTTCATTTTTTTCATGATTTTAATCACAGCATATCGTGTTATCAGATTTTAGCTTTCTTTGAAACTTCCAGGTCCCAGTCTGTGTCAAGGACATCATTGCTCTCATCTGCTGAACTGAACAGAGAGAACGCACAAGAACTATTTGGACCACGACCCAGCTCGAAACACTTCCTTTTCTTCACCCCGACTGCGCTCTGCAAGTCAACAGTGCTGTCACTTAACGTCTTAAACCTAGATGTGCTTTCTTTTGGTGACTCTGTTCCTGTATCTGGTTTCTGTCCTGAATTTAACAGATCTTTTATTTTGTCTACGACATTCACAGGTTTGACTTTGTCCCCTAGAGATGTAGTTACTTGATTTTTGACCTTTTCAGTCTGGGCTGAATTTGTGGGCTCATTTGTGCTGCTGAAAGAGAATCTGGAGAGTTTAGCGAGAGTTGAAGAGGCCACTGTGGACTTGGCGTCACCTTGAGGCGACTTTTTTTTGTCCAGTTCCCTTGAACAAAAACTCTCCTCCCTCTCACAGCTTCTTTGTTTTCCCCTCACTTCAGAAACACTCAGATCCTGCCTTTTATTCTCTTTGTGATCCTGACCCCTTGGTATCACTTCACCTGTCCTGCTCTCTGTATCTACATGAACATCTCCTCTTTCTGGGTTTTTCTCATCCAGAACTCCCCCTTTGACATTCATGTCCTTATTGTGTGTTAAAGGTGTCATCTTCTTTGGTTTGAATATAAAACTTGAAAATTTCGAGCGCAGTTCTTCCCCTGATTTCTCCTCAGCTGCCTTCCTCTCCTCCGTGGCAGCACTGGTGTTGCTCTTGTCTCCCCTCTCTTCCTTCTCAGGACCAGTGCTGGTTCTCTGTTGATCTTGAACAGGGGTTTTTGTTCGCCCAGGGTTGGTTGGTGAAAGTGAGGCACTCCTGCGTGATTTTGAAGTTGTCTTAGTTGCATTTTTAGACTCCACCTCCCCTCCTTCTCCTCTCTCTGTGTCCAGCTCCCGATGAAGATGATTCAGCTCTTTAAGTCTTCGTTCTCTCAGATTCTTCGAAACTTTCTGGAATATAAACCTTGAAGACTCTGGATTATCTGTCCTCTTCTCTCCAGCTGTAGCTCTACTTTCTTTGATGTTTTTGCTTGTTGGGTTTTCGTCTTCTAAAGCAGAAGCAAAATGATGTGAAACTTCATCCCTCTCAGTTTGACAGTTTGGCTCTTTCCTGACTGTGGATATTTCTGAATTCACGTCAGCTTGAGTTGATGTAATGATGGGCGGGGCCATGCCATCAGGTAACACTGACTGACTGATTGAGTGGAACCAATCCAGGCCTCCTTCTACAGTCACATCATCCCTGGAGTTTTTGGTGTTGTTATGGCGGTGGGTGTTGTGGGTGGGGTTTGTGTCTCTGGCCTGAGACTGGTGATCATCAGCAGGTGGAGACCCTTCTGAATCATCACTCTTCAACCTGAAGAAAGCACACAGAAGAAAGCTCCTTTTCTCAGGGTGTTTGATATTTTCAGCCTGTTTAAATAACATGATCTAAACTGTAAGCTAGTTAACGGCATGACAGTAAGATCAAGTTTGATGACTTCATTTCCTAACTATAGTTATTACTATAGATTTGCACATTCATGATTTTCATCCTTTTATTTCTAAACAACAAAACTGTAAACACATCTTATGTAAAGCAATCAGTGGGGGACAATCCCACATAGGCAGTTTAACCAAAACTCAACAGGTGACTGACTCACCTGGCCAGTCTGTTGGTCTCCTTCTGCAGCAGTTCCGGCAGCTTAAGTCCCTTCAGTAAAGTCTGACACTGAGTGTGATACTGCTCACGAGGCTCAGCAGGGAAGGAGGTGAGCAAAGCGTTAACGTTTCCCAGCAGTGCTCCTCCCTGAAACAGAAGAAGTGAAGTGTGGTTACAGACTGCATCAGAGCTCAGGTGGAAAATGAGGACAGGAGATACATGTCGGAGGAGTCAATGTTATAAACCACGAGTGTATCAAAATGCACCACTGCTATCAGCCAATTGTGACAGCTTAGACCACCGAGTTAAATGATATTATACTCCTCAAAAAACAAATTATTTACATTCATCATATTTACTGACAGACATGGTAAATGGACTGTTTTAAAAAGTGCTTTCTCTACCACTCCTTTACGTGTCATATTAACTCTGTCAGAGATGCCAATTTTGAAACATGCTTCAAAAAACAAAACAGACTTTTTGACAGACAGGTTCGAATTAATTTAATGTCATTTGCAATAACAACATAACAAATATTTGAATTTTATCAGTGGATTGAAGTTTTTCGTTACCTGCATGGAGCACTCCATCACAGAGACGGCCATGACAGCATCCTCTATGGTCACTGTCTCTCTGTACATGAGCTTGGCATGAGCTGGAGTTCAAACAAAATTATCAGTAAGTTGAACATTAAAATACAAAAAGGACAACTTGAGGTAACTGACCACGAAGTCACTGAAATGAACAAAGTATCTAACCTCACCTTCAGCCAGTCTGCTAAGACTCTCCAACATGCGGATTGTGGTTCTGGCGGCATTGCGACCGTCGCTTTGTCTCTGCAGCTGGTAGTATCGTGTCAGGATAATGTTGGCGTCCTCAGATAGCTGTGGCTGCAGACGTTTTATCACAGTAAAGTAAGCCTTCATTTTCTCCATAGACCAAACGCTTGAAGACTCTGCAGGGAGTCCTAAGAGAGAACACAGAAGCATGGACATTTCTTATTATTTAATTTTGACTTTTGAAGGACCTGCAGGAACTCTGAAGAGAAAAATTTACACCTAAAATTAAGAGAAATACTGCTCCATCAGTCATATCAATACATATATTACAGCAAGACTGTTTGATCCATGTAATCCATTTTTAGTTGTTCAGCTGAAACATCATTTGCACATGGTGTAAGAACTTTTCTGTGTAGTACTAAAAAACAGAACTTATTACTGCTACACATGTAGAAGGGTTGCAGGATATTGTAGGCATGGTATCAGTATCAGAATATAATCACCTAGAAAGTTAATTAATGGCAGACATGAGCATTTTTCGACAAAATAGGTAATGAGTTGATTATGTGCATACTCTGATGGCCTTTATTGTACATAGTTCTTCTTATATTTAATTTTATTTTGTGTTTTTATTGCTGCTGTAACATGGGAATTTCCCAGTTTGGGATCAATAAAGAATATCTATCGATCTATCCATCTATCTAAAATACAACAACTCAATCAGTCAAAGGCAAGACAAGAGTGGAGCAAGCTTAGCAATCAACACAATTAACTTTCACATCATCATGTATTTCTGACGGTGGACAAATTTGTGATTTATCCGCATCACCAGCCATGTGACCAAAACTCCTTCAAAGGAGACATCACCTCATAAATGATTGTTCATCATACTTTTATCTAGATATTTTTCTGTCTGGCATTTAGTGTTTTTTTATTTCCTGCATGTTTAAACTGTGTTTATATTCGAAAGACACAACTCCTATTATATCCTACTGCAGCAAAAACTTAGCTTTCAAGTAAAAAAGGGAGTGTATATGTCTGCAACGATACTGGCTAAAATAAATTGAAAAAATTCAATGTCTTGCATCCTTTGCACGTTTAGTGCTTGTTCTAATAACAGTCAATATCTTTATTTCATGATTAAAAAATAAAATAAAATGTTAAGATATAATTCTTTCAAAAATCTTTCTTCCCAGTAATTCACACTCTACCTCTGTCCTCCAGAATAAAGGAAGAGATGATGCGGTCCCACTCTGAGTTCTTTGTGTCCAGCAGAACCAGAACCAGGTCAAACCGACTGAGCAGGGGGCTGGCCAGGGCTACGTTCACAGACAGCGGCTCGTTGGGGTCGTATTGACCTTTAGGGTTAGCAGCTGCAAGGATGGTGGTGCGAGTGTTCAGCTTACACACCATACTGTGGAAAGGAGAGGAGACGTAAGGGAAAAGGCACAGGGAAAAGACAATGTGTGTTTTAATCAAGGGAAAGCTGTAGGGAAATTTAACCAACATGGGAGTGCAAAAAACTGACAGTCCAAATGAACCCTTTTTGCAGCACGATTAAACATGTAACATCAAACACCCTGGTATAAAAACAGTTTTTGTCTGAGTAATCCATTTCATTATTGATACAAGCTTGTTTCAAAGATATTAAGACTAAGAGTCATGCAAAGATTTGCACAACTAGTGGGAAGCTGAAAGTCAGGAAGGCATGTTTTAGCTGTGTGCCAGGAGGGGTCAGCATTTCTCATCTGACACCATCCATGTTTTATACAGTTTTTAGTAATAATATCCATCTCACACTCAGCAACTAACAAAGTTATATTCTGCACAACACTAACATAAAGAAAAAACCTTTTGGAGTTGAAAGGTCTACTGGTATATTTATACATGGGTCTTATTTTGACAAATTCAGGGGTCTTAATTTTATGCAGCTTGTAGCATTTAGACGGCAATGCCAGAAATAAGGTATTAAAGAAGAAGAAGGAGAAGAAGATGAACAAGAGGGAACAAGAACAAGAAGAAGAAGGAGAAGAAGATGAACAAGAGGGAACAAGAAGAAGAAGGAGAACAAGAGGAAGAACAAGAAGAAGAACAAGAGGAACAAGAACAAGAACAAGGAGAAGAAGAACAAGAACAAGAGGAACAAGAAGAAGAACAACAAAAAGAAGAAGAAGAAGAACAAGGAGAAGAAGAAGAAGAAGAAGAAGAAGAAGAAGAAGAACAAGAACAAGAGGAAAAAGAAATACTGGATGTTTATATGTTGAGGATCTTATTTTAAGAAATGTCTCATTTACCCAGCTTTAGCTACACTTATAGACTGTTGCTCCATGGCTTCATGGATGCTGATACGGTCGTGCTCCTTGATACTGTTGAACTCATCAATGCAGCACAAACCACCGTCTGACAGAACCAGAGCTCCTGCCTCCAGATGCCATTCCCCTCCATCTCTCACTGCTGCAACTGTGAGCCCTGAAGCAAAACACATTAATACTCTGTTAATCCAGAAATACACACAACTGATAAGGTGTGTTCGTGACCTCGTGGTTAATGAAAGATCTCTCAAAGGAAACTCCTGTAAACCGAGATCTGATGCAGAACAGAGTCTACCTGCACTTGTTGATCCAATCCCAGCTGTAAGAACAGAGCGAGGTATGATCTTTGCTGAATATTTCAGAAACTGAGACTTCCCTGTGCCTGGGTCACCAACCAGCAACATGTGACATTCCCCTAGAGAGAACAAAGATGTAATCAGCTGAGCTTACCTGCACTCTACGTAAAACCAGCCATTTTATCTGTACTGTCTGTGCAGTACATTGTTAACTGCAGGGGTAAAAGTCTGGCTGTGATTTTTTTGAAGTCTCCTTATAGCTCTCAAGTAATGAGAGACATACCTCTGATTTTGGTTCCAGAAGAATCTATTCTCTGCACTCCGCCAGCCAACACCATGGCAACAGCCAGTTTAACCACATACATGCCAAATACCTGAGGACATAGACTCAACAAGATCTGGTCCCTACCTGTAGAGAGGAGAGTGAATGATACCTTAGATCAAACTTTAATAAAACAAGAATTGATTTTTTTGAAGATAACAAACAAATTCTTACACACCAGCTATTGGATCATGTTTGTAGCTTTCCCAGAAGTCGTCAAACTCCCTTTGGGCATCCTTCATGAGCAGAGCGGCAGCAGCTTGCTGGTTGTTCACTTCTATGTTGTTGGCTTTGAGCACAAGCTCCACATCACATCGAGAGCCATCATAGAACGGCTTCCAGCGCTGACACATCACGCCGTACACAGTCACATCATCTCCTACAAACACAGAATTTATACGGCTCATCACTGACAGCTTCAAGGATTAAGGATGACTTTGAACATTTTCTCTGCTTGATATTCTGTACTGCTCATCTTATCTGTTTGTATCATATTTTTTACTGTTGAGTTTTACTGTAGAAATATCCTTATATATGTTGTTATAACGAGCTAACTGAGGAAACAGGCTCATTCTTCAAGCAAATTCCTGTTTTTAAACAACTGGAGTCTAGTGGTAATAAGGAGAGCTATAGTAAGTGTCCAGTTTAGATATTATTTAGCAAGTGTAATTGTGTACAAACAGTTCCCACCTGATTTACAGATATCAACCAAGTCATCTTCTAAAACCACCACCATCGACCGAGGAATACTGCCCACTGACAGCCTCTGCACCTGAGAGAGCACAATCTATATCATCTGAGGAAAACAATAATAAAACATTCAAGTAACTGGTTAGCAGAGGATCACATACAGATGTCCTACCTGCTCTTGTATCTTGATCTCCTGGTAGTCTCTGCAGGCGCCAGGCTCAGATCCATCAGACAGACAGGCAAATTTGTACGAGTTACAAGCATCAGGGTTAGGACAGGAGACAGGTGGGACAAATGTGTAGTGCTGATCGAAATCAGCCTGCACTGTGAAAACATGACGACATTTGTTGCACATGTAGTCTCGCTCATATTCCAGCACCTGTGAGAGATGGAGATGTATGACTTAAATATGAGGTTGCTCGTAAACTTTGTTTCCACAGTGACGACAAAAAGACAAAGTTTTTCTTTTGATTAAAAAAAAAAAAAAAGGGAATTCGAGACTCACACTGGTGAGACACAGGTATGTTGTTATCCACGGCTTGCCAGCCACTACGTATGTTTACATGGATTCATGTATCTAGATCAGGATTAAATTCAGGCTATGGTGTTGTGATTCCTGTGTGTGAACTAAATTCTGCTCGATTTCCACTGTGTTACGAATGTTTTCTTATCTTTAGACTAACGTATTTGACATTTAATTTCCTGTTTAATCAACAAAGTAATTAGTTGCCTCAGAACATCTATTTTCTGTATGTTAGAGGAGCACTTTCCAATTTAATGTCAGCAAGCTAAGCATGTCATGCTGTTACCTTGGCAACACTGGTGCGTATGACCGTGCCAGTGACAGACAGGAAGTGTCCCACATCTCTGGATCGGGGAATGGTATCTCTAGTAAGCTCTGGACACACTGGCAGACCTGATATCAGAAAACAGTCAATAAATACACAAAGAGACTGCAGGGGGCGCCACAGGACTTTTTGTTGCACCTACAAGCCCCAAATCCTCACAGCTTTACTTTTAATCCCATCTTTTTCAAACAATACGACTACCAAAATTGTCAAATACCGCCAACCTGTGAAAAAAAAGCTGCAAACATCTGCAACTAGTTCAGCCCATCATGGGCACATATTTACAACACACACAGGTTAAACCATTTGTGATATAACACTGATAACAAGAGGACTTCTTTTGGTGGTCTTCAAAGTGTGATTTAAATGTTCTTTTTTCAGGTCTAAAGCTCTAACTTGTTCTTGTTGTTTTTTTTACAACATCATGCACTTGAAAGAGAATCAAAGCTAATGCAGTAAAATTCTGAGACAAAGAAGACAACAGAATATACCACTGTAAAGAAAGGGGTTTACACAGAGAAGGTTTCATGTCTGACCTGTTATGCGGGCGTGAGGAGCATGTCTCAGCGTCTGCTTCAGGGAGGCTTTCTCTGATATCTGTATGGCTGTTTTGTGTAACACCTTATCAAATATAGCCAGTACGCTGTGGGGATATGCATTGAAATAGTCCCCAAGCTAGAAACACACACAAGAGAGAAGCAGTAAGGTCACTGAAAAATAAAATGACATTTATGGTTCGAGTTCATGTTTGATTTATCCAGAGTTTTAGATTCTGGTAGATGTAACATGTACTAAGTGAAAATGTACTGTTTGTATATTTTCACAGTTTATAAAAGTTCAGCAAAAGGCACATTAACAGGCATGAAAACAAAAGCATACTGGAAATAAAAATAAAAATGTCCCGCTGTAACCCTGTGTTTCATGTTTCCCCCACATTTCCTGTCTCTCTTCAGCTGCCCTGTCTAATAAAGAAAAAATGTCTTCAATGTTTTCAAGATGTCACTGTTTTTTTTATGGTATTGTCTCCATTACATTCATGACTGCACTGGTGGTTTGAGGAGTATGGGCCTCACCTCCATGTTGGCCTCAAACAGTGTCATGGCATTAACAATAACAGGATGCCGAGTCTCTTCATCAGTGTCTGCAAAAAGCTGGAGAATGTCGTCATGGTGATGCTCTGTCAGGTAGGTTTCAAACACCCGACCAATCAGAGCCTCCTGTTCCGGGCTTATTAACATGGTGAACACCTGGAACACAGACATAAACACAGTAATTAGTGATGGGCACAGCATTTTAAATGTGCTGAATCACTAGAATCAGTTTACTAAAAAGATTCGTTCAAAAGATTCGTTCACCAAATCACAGAGTCATGTAGCGCTTGGCTGGAGAAGCCTGCGACTCCGACCTCCTGAACTGATACACAGCTGAATGGTTTAGGATTCAGTTTCTGGGACTGGGAGACAAGAATGTTTGGCTGTGTTGCTTTAGCAAACAGGTTTGTAAAAATGAACTTGTTTATAAGTCATGATGTTTTAAGTGTACTGTCCTATGGTATGCTATTCATCAGGTCTGCTTTGTAAATTGGGGTCAGTGAGTGATTTGTTCACTTAACGTTTGGAAGAATTCACACTGAACATACACCATACCCTTGCAAACCGTTGCAAAGATAGGATGCTGTGGGTTTAATGCACTACTTGTTACATGTTGTGTCCTATTGTATGCAAAGGTAGTTTAGTCTGACAAACATGATTCCAGAGAGTGTAGTTCAATGCGTGTTTCGTTCACTATGTGATTAAGGTGTCGGTGCATGCAGTCCGTCATTTGCCGACTGCTCGACTGGCAATGCTGTTTCTCACTTCCGTTCTTCATTCTGTTCGGTACGTTCACTTAAAGGATCCGGTTCTTTTGAAAGAATCGTTTGCGAACGACAAAGCACTACACGTAACAGTCAGAGTTTGATATTTCAATGGACCTTTGTCATATGAATATCCTGTTCAAAACAAACATCAAATAGCCAATAAAATAAGTAAAACTACCTTTTATTATTAAAACAAGAACTGTGCTGACTATTATACATTACTTTTTTCAAACGTTAAGTAAGTGTAGCGTTGGGATGTGACTTATTTGAGGACTTCAAACACAGTTTTGACCACGAAGTTAATCAGGACACCTGCTGATAATTAAATTCACTCATATGACACCGTTTAAGGCTCTTTCCTTCTAAACCATGAGCTACGTTGTTTAAATACAAACAGAACCCAACCTACCTTCTCATTAACAAAGGTGTCAGGACACAGACTTTAGTTTAAATCTCTTCTGCTGTCATGAACGTAAACAAACGACTTTAATTTCGCGGGCACTGCGAAGTAGAACTTCCCTTTTTCCCCTTTTTCTCCGGGTGATACTCGGCTTCCAGGTGCATGACCGCCACCTACTGTGTTGGAGTGTGAACTACATCCAAAATATTTCAATGCTGTATGTTTGTAGATACATACAGAGACACAGATAGACAGAAAGATACATAAATATATAACACATGAGTAAAAGGGGGAATGTTCAAATGGATTTACAGTTTCTATTTAACAGAATCATAATGACAGATGTGTTGAAATTGGCAAGCTTCAAGGCAGAGCCCAAGCGTCAATGGGGTCCTGAGCCAAATTTGATTTTGGGGCCCTGTGTTTCTGCCAATAATAACTGTTGATCATTCACACCCCCTCACAAGTCTCTTTGATTAACATTCCATGACATGCAAACATACCTTTATCTTGACGTTTTTTCTCTTCTTCCTCTTTCTTTTTTCTGCTCCTGAAGGCGCAGGTATTGCAAGTAGCCGTCAAGCTCGTAGGCTGAGGTAGTGTGATAAAGTTTAAGATAGCAGACCCCTTTGCTCACTCCACTTTGAAAACAATGTGGGCATCCCCTTAGCATGTTTACTTGTGGATACCACTTACAGCGTGTTAAATAGAGTTAGACCAAATAGATCAGCCCCTATGCATCGGCCCATTGTCACGATATCTGATCTAGAATTTTCTTCAGTATCGGGACCGATACCGATATCAAATATCATAACAAGATCACGGATACAAGCAGCAGAAACGGGTTTCCTTTGCAGGGTGGCATGGCTCAGCCTTAAAGATAGGGTAAGGAGCGCGGACACTCAGGAGGCGCTCAGAGTAGACCCGCTGCTCCTCCACGCCGAGAGGAGTCAGCTGAGGTGGCTTGGGCATCTGGTTAGGATGCCCTCTGGACGCCTCCCTTGAGAGTTGTTCCGGACATGTCCCACCGGGAGGGGACCTCGTGCTGGCCCAGGACCAGGTGGAGGGATTTATATCTCTTGCCTGGCCTGGCAGAATCGGACCCTCGCGCCTTGAGTTTGACACCTGTGATTTAGAGTTAGTTTTGGGATTTAGATTTAGCATTTAGATTTAAATGTAACATTAAGATTTAGATTTAACATTTAGATTTAGCTTTATATCTACACATTGTGAACAAATAAAAAGAACATGCTGCTTTACATGAATTTTACAAATGAAAGTAAAACAAGCTAAATGTGAGTAAAGTGAGCTAAATCTTCACAAAATGTCGCCTCTCAAACAGTGACTGAATTTTTACATTCGGCGCCCCATACTTGATGAAAGGTGTAAAACATGTCATAGTAAAGCATGACATATATGCCATGTATAGCAGAACAAATGAGAAAGCTTTACGGAGACGCCAAGAAGAAATGATCTTCTATGTAGGCTATAAGGAGTACCCGAAAGAACAAATAAACAAACTGACAAACAAACAAAAATGCTGGACCACCACTTTTCTTCTGTCTGTATCAGTGGAAAGAAGGTCCAAAGGAATGACTTTAAGTACTGCAGGGGGCACCATTAACACACTGATCCAACAGAAAAGAAGGAAGAAATCACTTCCGGGTCAAGTTTGAAGCGAAACATTGCTACATCTGCCCATCCGACCTGTTTGTTTTTTTTAGACATGACTAAAATCCAGCTGCTGAGAGATTTTGTCAACCAGCGGCTAACTGTGGCTGCAGGAGAGATATGTGAACTGTTTGAAAACACGATTGCAGCTTACGAGGCTCAGCTTTGTCGATTAAGAGAGAAAAACGAACAGCAACAGAGACAACTGGACGCTTTTCTCAGTCCTGAATGTCGTCCAAACAGTGCAGGTTTGTTCATGAATCCTTAATGAAATTGCTGAAAACAGACCAATGATAAAACAGATTTATTTTATTTTATTATCAGGGCGCTGCTAGATAGAGATGCGGGAGTGGAGTCTGGAATGGACTCCTTGTATCGGATTGCTTATATCGGAGATTTTTAGGTGCAAGCCGATATAATCCAATATTCGTTTGTTTTTTTTTTCTGATTTGGGCCAATATCTATATCATATCGGGACACCCCTAATTATTACACGTTTTATTGATTCTGTCTACATGCACATCACAAGTGAAACAAAACGGCAGCACAGGTACCATAGTGACTTGACAGCTCGTCATATGCTGTGCCCATATATTTCTCTCTCCTTCTTGTTGGACTTTTTACATTGTTCGCAATGTTTTTTATGTTTTGGCTGCTCAGCTACAAACTAAATGCTAAACACTGTTTCATTTCTCAAATATGTTTTGTAAGTTGGGGAAAGTGGGGTTAGTTGAGCCAACCCCTGTTCCTTGGAAATGGTCAAAGAAATTGATCACATGTCCAAATATTTAGGACATAGGCACCAATTCATTAAGTCTGTGAAGGTTAGAAGCACTTGGGTGAAGAGGTTAGACATTTATTTCATAAGTTTTATTAGAATTGTATTCAGACCAAGAAAGATCATTTTAAAGTAGTTTTATACATCAGTTGTGGTATCTATGAGCTACAACATGAGGTCAACCGCTCAACTTACCCCGCTCCTATGGTCAACTTATCCCATGGGGTAAGTTGACAATAGGAGACAATAGGAGGCTATATTTTCAAGACAGTTATGTTTACACAACTTCTGTTGGTTTGCAGGGATGTACAACATCTTGAAATATATGCAGATACACTAGTTAGAGACAAAACTATGATTGCCTTGATGTAGTGATCCGAAATATGAAAAATGGCTCATCTCACCCCACTCTCCTCTATGTAGATCAATATCACCTCTGCGCGGTGTATGTTGGTGTAATTTCGATTTATGTTGGTGTAATCCACCAGTCACCCTAAAAAGAAATTTATGACCAATAAATGAATAAAAATCGGTCTGTTACGGGTGACTTAAAAGTATTCTTAAATGTAAGCATTAATTGTTGTTATCAAATAACCTTCTATTATTTTTTTGTTACTGTATCTTGCAGATGTCCCGCAGCTGCTGTTGAATAAAAATGAGTTTCTTCTTGAGCAGCAGGACTGTAGCCCCGGTCTGGACCATGAGGACACTGAACCCCCATCCACCAAAAAAGAACAGCAGGATTTATGGAGCAGTCAGGACGAAGAGCAGCTTGAAGTACAAGAGGAGGCTGACACCACCATGTTCCTGTTTATCCCTGTTCCTGTGAAGAGTGAAGATGTTGAAGAGAATCCACAGCCCTCACAGCTTCATGAAAGACAAACTGAACAAATGGAAACAGAAGCTGACAACCCGGTCAATGAGGGACCAGAGCCAGCCAAGCACACAGATCCAGTGAGACATTTACAAGCAGAGACTGAGGTCCAGACTGGAGACTCTTTTCAGTGTGAGACTCCAGAAAGTGTTGATTTTAATGGGACCAGGAAACAAAAACCACACTTAAAGTCTTTAGAAAACATAAAATGTAGAAGATCAAAGAAACCTTTTGGCTGCTTTGTGTGTGGCAAAAATTTAAAGACAAAACATCATCTGATCCAACACGTACGTACTCACACAGGAGAGAGACCCTTCAGCTGCTCTGTTTGCAGTAAAGAATTTAATCGAAAAGGAAATATGCAAAGACACATGTTAGTTCACTTAAGAAATAAAGTCTTCAGCTGCCCTTAATGTGCTAAAAGATTTAACAATTATTTTACACTGAAACATCACATGGCACGCTGTTCTTTTATTCATGTGTCAAAACTTCATCTAAGCCAAAACAAGAAAAAAAACCAACAAAATTAGGCCCTTTCGGTGTGTTATGTTACATAGTTTATATGAAAAGCACTTTGTAAATAAAGTTTTGATTGATTGATTGATTGATTGATTTAAGTCAACTCTCCCAAGATTTTGCACTGGTAAACAAATATGATCTACTGGGTGGTGGTAACGCAGCATTAAAGGCTACCAACTATAGTAAAAACCCACAAAAAAGAATGACAAAAAGTTACTGATGTCCAAACTGTTATACGGTAGATGACATTGGTGCACCCTATCACTATCAAAAAGCAGGCCAGCTCTGCCTCACTCTTACTCCTGAGAACCCAAGGGTGAGTGAAAGCCAATCTGAGGTTCATCCTTGACTAAGAACAAGCTTTGTTTGCTTGATGTTTCAGCTCATCTTGACTGTATTTCTTTTCTTTGCTGTTTTGCCCGCCATTGTTACTGTCTGAAAAGGGTTCAGTCATATTTATCAACTACCAAGGTCACTTGTGAACTGTGCACACCGTCATTGGCTTGAGTGACCACACTCCCAATCTCCCCAAAGAAACATCCATCTCCCGAAACAGAGGGTCTCTGAGCACAGGGTGACCACCACTCATATTTGGAAGCCCATAGATGACAGCGTCATTAACTACAAATAATTCAATATTTTATTTAACAGCAAAACTCCGTAGACTCCACCTTTAACCTTGTACAAAGTGCCTGAAATGCCTCAAATGTGTACATTTGAGATTCTGGCTGCGTTCACCACCTACACCATGCAGGTAAGTTTGTTGTGGAATAATCAAATATGTAAAAACACACGGCACTTTTGCATTTCCTGTTTATGTCTTTCTCAAAATGAAACCACATGATATGACAGCTTTTATTTTGAAGGGCACATAAACGTCCGCAGCGTTTTGGTTTCCGGGTCTTGGTTGCTGTTTCAGGAAGAGAACAGTTAGCAAGATGTGCTAACATTGTGAAAGACCGGAGTCATCAGAGTTTGGGTTCGTCGTCCTTCGTTGACTCTTGGATGTGTGGAAAATGTCCAGATATCAGGATCTAAAGCTGCAGAGAGCAGGTTGGTTTTCTTTTCACTGCTGAAAACGTGTTTTATTTTGCCATTGTTTCAAGTAGCTCAGCCGTTCACAGACACATAAAGTTCAAGTTTGTTCTCATATTTGACCAAGTATTATGAGAGTTGATGAAACTCTGACTGTGATCGATGGGCAGTTTGAGAGAATAATGCAGAGCAGTGAAGAATATGACGAATATGGAGGCGAATATGAGACCTAAGGCAGATATGTCTATGACTCCCTCAGGCTCCCTAACTTTGTTTTGAATTGATCCAAGCTGCTTATGATGGTCTGCTGTTGAGGAAGAGGGGAGTGGGCTGGGCTTCATTCACTGTACAGGACCTGGCAGGGGTAACTCAACAGGCAGATAAATAATCATCTCAATCATCATATTTTTATAATTAAGGGGAGCCAAATTTGTAGTCATAAACTGAGTGTTATTAATTAACATGAATTCCCTTTTGCTCTTGATGTGTTCTTCTATATTTCACTGTGTACTGCAGACATTCTGCTGCCATTGGTCAATAAAGACTTGGTTCCTGCCACACAGCATGAGAGGAGCCCCAGTCTGGACCATGAGGATTCTGGGCTGTCAAACGTTAAGGAGGAACCAGAGGAACTGTGGTGCAGTAAGGAGGGAGGGCAAGGGCTCGGGGAGGCTGGTACAACAAAGTTCACTTGCATTCCTACCTCTGTGAAGAGTGAAGATGATGAAGTAAACACAGAGTCCTCACAACTTCATCAGAGAAAAACTGAGCAAGTGCAAATTAACGGAGGGGACTGCAAAGGGTCAGAGCAAGCAACACACTCAGATCCATGGGAACATTTGCAACCAAAGACTGATGACAAAAATGTAGACTCTTCTGATGCTGAAACTGAAGACAGTGATGATTGGATGGAGACAAGAGAACAAAACTCCAGTTTAATCTCTGTAGAAAACACTGCAGAACTCAGACTGCAGAAAAATAGGATTTTACATACTTGCTCTGAGTGTGGTAAAACATTCAAGAAGAAACAGCATCTCACCACACACATAAGAATCCACACAGGAGAGAAACCCTACAGCTGCTCTGTGTGCAGTAAAAAATTCAATCGTGAAGGAAATCTAACAAGACACCTGTTGGTTCACACAGGTGAGAAAAAGTTTGGCTGCCCTGAATGTGATAAAAAATTTAACCTAAAAGAAAGACTTAATAGACACATGTTGATCCACACTCAAGAGAAACCCTATAGCTGCTCTGTTTGCGGCAAACGATTCAACCAGACAGCAAATCGGAACAAACACATGAGATTTCACACAGGTGAGAAACCGTTCGGCAGATATGTCTCTCTGTCAAGCTTTATTACTCTTTCAGTGTTGGACATGATTTTCCAGACTTCTTTGCACAGGCCTCTTAAAAACATGATGCACATCTCCACATACTGAGCTTAAAGATTGCTAGTGGTCACTGAAGACCGCATTGGAGATGTGCAATAAGACTTCTCTGATGCACTGCTTATGGCTTAACTCAAGATCAGCATTTCATATTGACATCACGATTATCAAGAGTGAATATACATGATTTTAAATCTGCATTTCACTCATTTATGACACTGAAAATCTCAGAAAAAAACAAACGAGAACCATAGGTGGGGAAAATGTTTACCTTCCCTTTTTGGTTTACTAAAGCATGTCTGCCAGAATGGATGATAGAAATTTGTACTTCCACTGATAGGGAACACGCATCTGTTCTATACTTGATTTAAATTTAATTTGGTGATAACACACACCAAATGTAATGACAGATTTCACCCAGTAAAGTATTTTTACCCTGTTGTTAAAAATTTAAGGGTTTGCTCTTTTACCACTTACAAATCATTCAGTCTTTAAAAGCTTCTGTATAATGTCCATAGACTGTATATGGACAACCTGGTTCGGCCCTCTGCCAGTAAACGGATTTGAAGCCAAAAAGCTTTTGGTAATTCTGCGGGGGTTTTTTTCTCCATTTCCTGAAACCAACAATGCGCAGCAGCGTTGTACGCACTCCACCACTGAGCAGAAGCGTAGTGCGCAATCCTTGTACGCCCATAGGCAGTACCAGGTGTCAATCATAGAAAACATGAATCTCCTCATAACTTTTTAAAATTGAGCTTCACAGAACAAAGAGGACTTGAGCACAAACCAGTCTTACACTAATTACATATCAACATCGCAAGCAGAGGGGGAAAAAAAATTCAGTGTAATAAATTTCTAAAGTTTGTTCACAGCCCCATAAGCTTTGCTGGTGGAGGCCAATTTATGACCTATACTGCAGCCCGTCACTAGAGTGTGCTGTTCTCGGAGTGGCTTCACCCAGCAAGGAGGCAGACGGCGTCCATTCTATATACAGTCCATGATAATGTCCTTTGCAAGACTTTGGCTTGTATCCTATGATGATTCAGAAGAATGTCCCTCACTTTATAGGCTGGCAGCCATTAGCTTGCTAGCACTTCCTAGCACTCACAGACACTCGTAATTGCTACAGCCTCTCTCTAATAAAGCTCACTCAGACACACAAAGAAACACACATCTGCCTCCTCCATCTCCTTTCCTTGCTCTCCTCTCTCCACCCGTGGCTGCCTGATAGTTTGTACCACGGTTTCACAGTGTTGAACAAACAGTGGTAAACTCCCTCAGGCTCCCTAACTTGTTTTTGAATTGATCCAAGCTGCTTATGATGGTCTGCTGTTGAGGAAGAGGGGGGTGGGCTGGGCTTCATTCACTGTACAGGACCTGGCAGGGGTAACTCAACAGGCAGATAATAATCACTGAGTCTCAATCATCATATTTTTATAATTAAGAGGAGCCAAATTTGTAGTCATAAACTGAGTGTTATTAATTAACATGAATTCCCTTTTGCTCTTGATGTGTTCTTCTATATTTCACTGTGTCCTGCAGACATTCTGCTGCCATTGGTCAATGAAGACTTGGTTCCTGCCACACAGCATGAGAGGAGCCCCAGTCTGGACCATGAGGATTCTGGGCCGTCAAACGTGACGGAGGAACCAGAGGAACTGTGGTGCAGTCAGGAGGGAGGGCAAGGGCTCGGGGAGGCTGGTACAACAAAGCTCGCTTGCATTCCTACCTCTGTGAAGAGTGAAGATGATGAAGTAAACGCAGAGTCCTCACAGCTTCATCAGAGACAAACTGAGCAAGAGCAAATTAACGGAGGGGACTGCAAAGGGTCAGAGCAAGCAACACACTCAGATCCATGGGAACATTTGCAACCAAAGACTGATGACAAAAATGTAGACTCTTCTGATGCTGAAACTGAAGACAGTGATGATTGGATGGAGACAAGAGAACAAAACTCCAGTTTAATCTCTGTTGAAAACACTGCAGAACTCAGACTGGAGACAAATAGGATTTTACATACTTGCTCTGAGTGCGGTAAAACATTCAAGAAGAAACAGCATCTCACCACACACATAAGAATCCACACAGGAGAGAAACCCTACAGCTGCTCTGTGTGCAGTAAAAAATTCAATCGTGAAGGAAATCTAAAAAGACACCTGTTGGTTCACACAGGTGAGAAAAAGTTTGGCTGCCTTGAATGTGATAAAAAATTTAACCTAAAAGAAAGACTTAATAGACACATGTTGATCCACACTCAAGAGAAACCCTATAGCTGCTCTGTTTGCAGCAAACGATTCAACCAGACAGCAAATCTGACCAAACACATGAGATTTCACACAGGTGAGAAACCGTTCGGCAGATATGTCTCTCTGTCAAGCTTTATTACTCATTCAGTGTTGGACATGATTTTCCAGACTTCTTTGCACAGTCCTCTTAAAAACATGATGCACATCTCCACATACTGAGCTCAAAGATTGCTAGTGGTCACTGAAGATCGCATTGGAGATGTGCAATAAGACTTCTCTGATGCACTGCTTATGGCTTAACTCAAGATCAGCATTTGATATTGACATCACGATTATCAAGAGTGAATATACATGATTTTAAATCTGCATTACACTCATTTATGACACTGAAAATCTCAGAAAAAAACAAACGAGAAACATAGGTGGGGAAAATGTTTACCTTCCCTTTTTGGTTTACTAAAGCATGTCTGCCAGTATGGATGATAGAAATTTGTACTTCCACTGATAGGGAACACGCATCTGTTCTATACTTGATTTAAATTTAATTTGGTGATAACAGACACCAAATGTAATGACAGATTTCACCCAGTAAAGTATTTTACCCTGTTGTCAAAAATTTAAGGGGTTTGTTCTTTTACCACTTACAAATCATTCAGTCTTTAAAAGCTTCTGTATAATGTCCATAGACTGTATATGGAAAACCTGGTTCGGCCCTCCGCCAGTATACGGATTTAAAGCCAAAAAGCTTTTGGTAATTCTGCAGGTTTTTTTTCTCCATTTCCTGAAACCAACAATCCGCAGTAGCGTTGTACGCACTCCACCACTGAGCAGTTGCATTGTGCACAATCCTTGTACGCCCATAGGCAGTATCAGGTGTCAATCATAGAAAACATGAATCTCCTAATAACTTTTAAAAACGGAGCTGTACAGAACAAAGAGGACTTGAGCACAAACCAGTCTTACACTAATTACATATCAATATCGCAGGCAGAGGGGGAAAAAAAATTCAGTGTAATAAATCTCTAAAGTTTGTTCACAGCCCCATAAGCTTTGCTAGTGGAGGCGGGATTTATGACCAATACTGCAGCCCGTCACTAGAGTGTGCTGTTCTCGGAGTGGCTTCACCCAGCAAGGAGGCAGACGGCGTCCATTCTATATACAGTCCATGATAATGTCCTTTGCAAGACTTTGGCTTGTATCCTATGATGATTCAGAAGGATGTCCCTCACTTTATAGGCTGGCAGCCATTAGCTTGCTAGTGCTTCCTAGCACTCACAGACACTTGTAATTGCTACAGCCTCTCTCTCATTAAGCTCACTCAGACACACAAAGAAACACACACCTGCCTCCTCCATCTCCTTTCCTTGCTCTCCTCTCTCCACCTGTGGCTGCCTGATAGTTTGTACCACGGTTTCACAGTGTTGAACAAAGAGTGGTAAACTCCCTCAGGCTCCCTAACTTGTTTTTGAATTGATCCAAGCTGCTTATGATGGTCTGCTGTTGAGGAAGAGGGGGGTGGGCTGGGCTTCATTCACTGTACAGGACCTGGCAGGGGTAACTCAACAGGCAGATAATAATCATTGAGTCTCAATCATCATATTTTTATAATTAAGAGGAGCCAAATTTGTAGTCATAAACTGAGTGTTATTAATTAACATGAATTCCCTTTTGCTCTTGATGTGTTCTTCTATATTTCACTGTGTCCTGCAGACATTCTGCTGCCATTGGTCAATGAAGACTTGGTTCCTGCCACACAGCATGAGAGGAGCCCCAGTCTGGACCATGAGGATTCTGGGCCGTCAAACGTGACGGAGGAACCAGAGGAACTGTGGTGCAGTCAGGAGGGAGGGCAAGGGCTCGAGGAGGCTGGTACAACAAAGTTTGCTTGCATTCCTACCTCTGTGAAGAGTGAAGATGATGAAGTAAACGCAGAGTCCTCACAGCTTCATCAGAGACAAACTGAGCAAGAGCAAATTAACGGAGGGGACTGCAAAGGGCCAGAGCAAGCAACACACTCAGATCCATGGGAACATTTGCAACCAAAGACTGATGACAAAAATGTAGACTCTTCTGATGCTGAGAATGAAGACAGTGATGATTGGATGGAGACAAGAGAACAAAACTCCAGTTTAATCTCTGTTGAAAACACTGCAGAACTCAGACTGGAGACAAATAGGATTTTACATACTTGCTCTGAGTGCGGTAAAACATTCAAGAAGAAACAGCATCTCACCACACACATAAGAATCCACACAGGAGAGAAACCCTACAGCTGCTCTGTGTGCAGTAAAAAATTCAATCGTGAAGGAAATCTAAAAAGACACCTGTTGGTTCACACAGGTGAGAAAAAGTTTGGCTGCCTTGAATGTGATAAAAAATTTAACCTAAAAGAAAGACTTAATAGACACATGTTGATCCACACTCAAGAGAAACCCTATAGCTGCTCTGTTTGCAGCAAACGATTCAACCAGACAGCAAATCTGACCAAACACATGAGATTTCACACAGGTGAGAAACCGTTCGGCAGATATGTCTCTCTGTCAAGCTTTATTACTCTTTCAGTGTTGGACATGATTTTCCAGAATTCTTTGCACAGTCCTCTTAAAAACATGATGCACATCTCCACATACTGAGCTCAAAGATTGCTAGTGGTCACTGAAGATCGCATTGGAGATGTGCAATAAGACTTCTCTGATGCACTGCTTATGGCTTAACTCAAGATCAGCATTTGATATTGACATCACGATTATCAAGAGTGAATATACATGATTTTAAATCTGCATTACACTCATTTATGACACTGAAAATCTCAGAAAAAAACAAACGAGAAACATAGGTGGGGAAAATGTTTACCTTCCCTTTTTGGTTTACTAAAGCATGTCTGCCAGTATGGATGATAGAAATTTGTACTTCCACTGATAGGGAACACGCATCTGTTCTATACTTGATTTAAATTTAATTTGGTGATAACACACACCAAATGTAATGACAGATTTCACCCAGTAAAGTATTTTTACTCTGTTGTTAAAAATTTAAGGGTTTGTTCTTTTACCACTTACAAATCATTCAGTCTTTAAAAGCTTCTGTATAATGTCCATAGACTGTATATGGAAAACCTGGTTCGGCCCTCCGCCAGTATACGGATTTAAAGCCAAAAAGCTTTTGGTAATTCTGCGTTTTTTTTCTCCATTTCCTGAAACCAACAATCCGCAGTAGCGTTGTACGCACTCCACCACTGAGCAGTAGCATTGTGCACAATCGTTGTACGCCCATAGGCAGTATCAGGTGTCAATCATAGAAAACATGAATCTCCTAATAACTTTTAAAAACGGAGCTGTACAGAACAAAGAGGACTTGAGCACAAACCAGTCTTACACTAATTACATATCAACATCGCAGGCAGAGGGGGAAAAAAAATTCAGTGTAATAAATCTCTAAAGTTTGTTCACAGCCCCATAAGCTTTGCTAGTGGAGGCGGGATTTATGACCAATGCTGCAGTCCGTCACTAGAGTGTGCTGTTCTCGGAGTGGCTTCACCCAGCAAGGAGGCAGACGGCGTCCATTCTATATACAGTCCATGATAATGTCCTTTGCAAGACTTTGGCTTGTATCCTATGATGATTCAGAAGGATGTCCCTCACTTTAACGGCTGGCAGCCATTAGCTTGCTAGTGCTTCCTAGCACTCACAGACACTTGTAATTGCTACAGCCTCTCTCTCATTAAGCTCACTCAGACACACAAAGAAACACACACCTGCCTCCTCCATCTCCTTTCCTTGCTCTCCTCTCTCCACCTGTGGCTGCCTGATAGTTTGTACCACGGTTTCACAGTGTTGAACAAAGAGTGGTAAACTCCCTCAGGCTCCCTAACTTTGTTTTGAATTGATCCAAGCTGCTTATGATGGTCTGCTGTTGAGGAAGAGGGGAGTGGGCTGGGCTTCATTCACTGTACAGGACCTGGCAGGGGTAACTCAACAGGCAGATAAATAATCATTGAGTCTCAATCATCATATTTTTATAGTTAATGGGAGCCAAATTTGTAGTCATAAACTGAGTGTTATTAATTAACATGAATTCCCTTTTGCTCTTGATGTGTTCTTCTATATTTCACTGTGTCCTGCAGACATTCTGCTGCCATTGGTCAATGAAGACTTGGTTCCTGCCACACAGCATGAGAGGAGCCCCAGTCTGGACCATGAGGATTCTGGGCCGTCAAACGTGAAGGAGGAACCAGAAGAACTGTGGTGTACTCAGGAGGGAGGGCAAGGGCTCGGGGAGGCTGGTACAAAAAAGTTCGCTTGCATTCCTACCTCTGTGAAGAGTGAAGATGATGAAGTAAACACAGAGTCCTCACAACTACATCAGAGACAAACTGAGCAAGAGCAAATTAACGGAGGGGACTGCAAAGGGCCAGAGCAAGCAACACACTCAGATCCATGGGAACATTTGCAACCAAAGACTGATGACAAAAATGTAGACTCTTCTGATGCTGAGACTGAAGACAGTGATGATTGGATGGAGACAAGAGAACAAAACTCCAGTTTAATCTCTGTAGAAAACACTGCAGAACTCAGACTGGAGACAAATAGGATTTTACATACTTGCTCTGAGTGCGGTAAAACATTCAAGAAGAAACAGCATCTCACCACACACATAAGAATCCACACAGGAGAGAAACCCTACAGCTGCTCTGTGTGCAGTAAAAAATTCAATCGTGAAGGAAATCTAAAAAGACACCTGTTGGTTCACACAGGTGAGAAAAAGTTTGGCTGCCTTGAATGTGATAAAAAATTTAACCTAAAAGAAAGACTTAATAGACACATGTTGATCCACACTCAAGAGAAACCCTATAGCTGCTCTGTTTGCAGCAAACGATTCAACCAGACAGCAAATCTGACCAAACACATGAGATTTCACACAGGTGAGAAACCGTTCGGCAGATATGTCTCTCTGCCAAGCTTTATTACTCTTTCAGTGTTGGACATGATTTTCCAGACTTCTTTGCACAGTCCTCTTAAAAACATGATGCACATCTCCACATACTGAGCTCAAAGATTGCTAGTGGTCACTGAAGATCACATTGGAGATGTGCAATAAGACTTCTCTGATGCACTGATTATGGCTTAACTCAAGATCAGCATTTGATATTGACATCACGATTATCAAGAGTGAATATACATGATTTTAAATCTGCATTACACTCATTTATGACACTGAAAATCTCAGAAAAAAACAAACGAGAAACATAGGTGGGGAAAATGTTTACCTTCCCTTTTTGGTTTACTAAAGCATGTCTGCCAGTATGGATGATAGAAATTTGTACTTCCACTGATAGGGAACACGCATCTGTTCTATACTTGATTTAAATTTAATTTGGTGATAACACACACCAAATGTAATGACAGATTTCACCCAGTAAAGTATTTTACCCTGTTGTTAAAAATTTAAGGGGTTTGCTCTTTTACCACTTACAAATCATTCAGTCTTTAAAAGCTTTTGTATAATGTCCATAGACTGTATATGGACAACCTGGTTCGGCCCTCCGCCAGTATACGGATTTAAAGCCAAAAAGCTTTTGGTAATTCTGCGTTTTTTTTTCTCCATTTCCTGAAACCAACAATCCGCAGTAGCGTTGTACGCACTCCACCACTGAGCAGTAGCATTGTGCACAATCCTTGTACGCCCATAGGCAGTATCAGGTGTCAATCATAGAAAACAGGAATCTCCTCATAACTTTTAAAAACGGAGCTGTACAGAACAAAGAGGACTTGAGCACAAACCAGTCTTACACTAATTACATATCAACATCGCAGGCAGAGGGGGAAAAAAATTCAGTGTAATAAATTTCTAAAGTTTGTTCACAGCCCCATAAGCTTTGCTGGTGGAGGCGGGATTTATGACCAATACTGCAGCCCGTCACTAGAGTGTGCTGTTCTCGGAGTGGCTTCACCCAGCAAGGAGGCAGACGGCGTCCATTCTATATACAGTCCATGATAATGTCCTTTGCAAGACTTTGGCTTGTATCCTATGATGATTCAGAAGGATGTCCCTCACTTTATAGGCTGGCAGCCATTAGCTTGCTAGTGCTTCCTAGCACTCACAGACACTTATAATTGCTACAGCCTCTCTCTCATTAAGCTCACTCAGATTAACAAAGAAACACACACCTGCCTCCTCCATCTCCTTTCCTTGCTCTCCTCTCTCCACCTGTGGCTGCCTGATAGTTTGTACCACGGTTTCACAGTGTTGAACAAAGAGTGGTAAACTCCCTCAGGCTCCCTAACTTGTTTTTGAATTGATCCAAGCTGCTTATGATGGTCTGCTGTTGAGGAAGAGGGGAGTGGGCAGGGCTTCATTCACTGTACAGGACCTGGCAGGGGTAACTCAACAGGCGGATAGATAATCATCTCAATCATCATATTTTTATAATTAAGGGGAGCCAAATTTGTAGTCATAAACTGAGTGTTATTAATCAATATGAATTCCCTTTTGCTCTTGATGTGTTCTTCTATATTTCACTGTGTCCTGCAGACATTCTGCTGCCATTGGTCAATAAAGACTTGGTTCCTGCCACACAGCATGAGAGGAGCCCCAGTCTGGACCATGAGGATTCTGGGCCGTCAAACGTTAAGGAGGAACCAGAGGAACTGTGGTGTACTCAGGAGGGAGGGCAAGGGCTCGAGGAGGCTGGTACAACAAAGTTCGCTTGCATTCCTACCTCTGTGAAGAGTGAAGATGATGAAGTAAACGCAGAGTCCTCACAACTTCATCAGAGACAAACTGAGCAAATGCAAATTAACGGAGGGGACTGCAAAGGGCCAGAGCAAGCAACACACTCAGATCCATGGGAACATTTGCAACCAAAGACTGATGACAAAAATGTAGACTCTTCTTATGCTGAGACTGAAGACAGTGATGATTGGATGGAGACAAGAGAACAAAACTCCAGTTTAATCTCTGTAGAAAACACTGCAGAACTCAGACTGGAGACAAATGGGATTTTACATACTTGCTCTGAGTGCGGTAAAACATTCAAGAAGAAACAGCATCTCACCACACACATAAGAATCCACACAGGAGAGAAACCCTACAGCTGCTCTGTGTGCAGTAAAAAATTCAATCATGTAGGAAATCTAAAAAGACACCTGTTGGTTCACACAGGTGAGAAAAAGTTTGGCTGCCCTGAATATGATAAAAAATTTAACCTAAAAGAAACACTTAATAGACACATGTTGATCCACACTCAAGAGAAACCCTATAGCTGCTCTGTTTGCAGCAAGCGGTTCAACCATACAGCAAATCGGACCAAACACATGAGGATTCACACGAGAGTAGACAGCTGTGGGGGACCAGAACCAAACTTGGATACAAAAGTACCTGTACAACCAGAGACTGAGGTCAAGACTGAAGACTCCCCTGACCCTGAGACTGAAGATAAGGCTGGTGTGAAGGGAACAGAAGACTGTCAGTCAGGTTCAAACTCTCTGAGGAATAATGATGTTGTCTTGAGTGCAGCAGCGTTGTACTCTTACAGTACAACCTTTTTTTACATTAAGTTTAATTAAGGTCAAGACTGAAGAGTCACCTGACACTGATGACAGTGTTGACATTGATTTTTGGAAAGAGAACAGAAAAAGGCCAGTTAAAAGGAATTCATATAGCTGCAGTGAATGTGACAAAAAAGTTTGAGAATGATGAGGATCCGACCAAGCACAGAAGAATTCACACCAGAGAGAAAACGTTAAGCTGCTCTGTTTGCAGTAAAACCTTTACTCAAAGGGGAAATCTGACCAGACACTTGTTGGTTCATATCGAAGACAAACCCTATAGCTGCAACATTTGCAATAAAGCATTTAATGAGAAAGGACGTCTGACCAATCATATGAGAATTCACACGGGAGAAAAACTTTTCAGCTGCTCTATTTGCAGTAAAAGATTTAACCTTAAATCAAGTCTGTCACTCCACATGGCATATCACATAGGTGAAAAACCCTTCAGTTGCTCTGTTTGCAGCAAAAGATTTTATCAGAAAGGGCACCTGAATTTCCTGAATTTCATTGTTTCACTTCTCTTATAGAAGTTGTTTTGTACTGGGTATGGATACAAAACTTTGCTGATATTTTACAAGGTTTTCTTTAAGTGCATTATATCATAATACAGAATGTTTGTGTATACTGTGTATGGATTAATAGTTTATATTCTTGTAATTAAGAAAGACATCATTGCCTTGCTTTAATCCTGTTAACATGGGATGGAATAAAAGAACTGAAAGATTCTATGATCATGTGTCCAGCTCATGCTAATTTAGTGTATTAGTCAGTATTGCCTCTATTACTGAAATGAATTACACAAATACTATATTGAGGTGATGTGGAGAACTTTTTTATTATATATTCTGACTGCACAGAAAGTATTAAACACTTTGTAATAATCAATTACAACCGAATCAGACTGTTTTCTGAACAGTTACTAAGTGTTTATATAGCAAAACAGACAGGTCTCCTCTGACAAAGTCATTGTCTGAATGGCAGCATATGTTGCTTCAGAATCTATGTATATTGTTCTGTTTTAACATAGCCTTCTCAGATGTGTTAGCCACATTTGGTGTGGATGTTTACTAATAATTCTGTATTTTATTTAACAGCAAAACTCTGTAGACTCCACCTTTAACCTTGTACAAAGTGCCTGAAATGCCTCAAATGTGTGTACATTTGAAGTACAGTACAAGTTTGTCGTGCAATAATTAAATATGTAAATCTACATGGCACTTTTGCATTTCCTGTTTATGTCTTTCTCAAAATGAAACCACGTGATATGACTGCTTTATTTTGAAGGGCACATAAACGTCCGCAGCATTTTGTTTTCCGGGTCTTGGTTGCTGTTTCTAGAATAGAACAGTTAGCAAGATGTGCTAACGCTGTGAAAGACCGGAGTCATCAGCATTGAAAAAAGGTCGGAGTTTGGTTTTATCGTCCTTCGTTGACTCTTGGATGTGTGGAAAAAGTCCAGATATCAGGATCTAAAGATGCAGAGAGCAGGTTGGTTTTCTTTTCACTGCTGAAAACGTGTTTTATTTTGCTATTGTTTCAAGTAGCTCAGCCGTTCACAGACACATCACGTTCAGGTTTGTTCTCATATTTGAGCAAGTATTTTGAGAGTTAATTAAAGTCTGACTGTGATCGCTGGGCAGTTTGAGAGAATAATGCAGAGCAGTGAAGAGTATGACGATTATGGAGGCGAATATGAGACCTAAGGTAGATATGTCTTTAATTTGGTGATAACACACACCAAATGTAATGACAGATTTCACCCAGTAAAGTATTTTTACCCTGTTGTTAAAAATTTAGGGATTTGCTCTTTTACCACTTACAAATCATTCAGTCTTTAAAAGCTCCTACACAATGTTCATAGACTGTATATGGACAACCTGGTTCGGCCCTCCGCCAGTATACGGATTTGAAGCCAAAAAGCTTTTGGTAATTCTGCGTTTTTTTTTTCTCCATTTCCTGAAACCAACAATGCATAGTAGCGTTGTACGCACTCCACCACTGAGCAGTAGCATTGTGCGCAATCCTTGTACGCCTTTGGGAATGATCAGGTGTCAATCATAGAAAACATGAACCCCCTAATAACTTTAAAAAACGGAGCTGTACAGAACAAAGAGGACTTGAGCACAAACCAGTCTTACACTGATTACATATCAACATCGCAGGGAGAGGGGAAAAAAATTCAGTGTAATAAATTTCTAAAGTTTGTTCATAGCTCCATAAGCTTTGCTGGTGGAGGCCAATTTATGACCTATACTGCAGCCCGTCACTAGAGTGTGCTGTTCTCGGAGTGGCTTCACCCAGCAAGGAGGCAGACGGCGTCCATTCTATATTCAGTCCATGATATCGTCCTTTGCAAGACTTTGGCTTGTATCCTATGATGATTCAGAAGGATGTCCCTCACTTTATAGGCTGGCAGCCATTAGCTTGCTAGCACTTCCTAGCACTCACAGACACTTGTAATTGCTACAGCCTCTCTCTCATCAAGCTCACTCAGACACACAAAGAAACACACACCTGCCTCCTCCATCTCCTTTCCTTGCTCTCCTTTCTCCATCCGTTGCTGCCTGATGGTTTGTACCACGGTTTCACAGTGTTGAACAAAGAGTGGTAAACTTCCTCAGGCTCCCTGACCTTGTTTTGAATTGATCCAAGCTGCTTATGATGGTCTGCTGTTGAGGAAGAGGGGGGTGGGCTGGGCTTCATTCACTGTACAGGACCTGGCAGGGGTAACTCAACAGGCAGATAAATAATTATTGAGTCTCAATCATTATATTTTTATAATTAAGGGGAGCCAAATTTGTAGTCATAAACTGAGTGTTATTAATTAACATGAATTCCCTTTTGCTCTTGATGTGTTCTTCTATATTTCACTGTGTCCTGCAGACATTCTGCTGCCGTTGGTCAATGAAGACTTGGTTCCTGCCACACAGCATGAGAGGAGCCCCAGTCTGGACCATGAGGATTCTGGGCCGTCAAACGTTAAGGAGGAACCAGAGGAACTGTGGTGCAGTCAGGAGGGAGGGCAAGGGCTCGAGGAGGCTGGTACAACAAAGTTCGCTTGCATTCCTACCTCTGTGAAGAGTGAAGATGATGAAGTAAACGCAGAGTCCTCACAGCTTCATCAGAGACAATCTGAGCAAGTGCAAATTAACGGAGGGGACTGCAAAGGGCCAGAGCAAGCAACACACTCAGATCCATGGGAACATTTGCAACCAAAGACTGATGACAAAAATGTAGACTCTTCTTATGCTGAGACTGAAGACAATGATGATTGGATGGAGACAAGAGAACAAAACTCCAGTTTAATCTCTGTAGAAAACACTGCAGAACTCAGACTGGAGACAAATGGGATTTTACATACTTGCTCTGAGTGCGGTAGAACATTCAAGAAGAGACATCATCTCACCATACACATAAGAATCCACACAGGAGAGAAACCCTACAGCTGCTCTGTGTGCAGTAAAAAATTCAGTCGTGTAGGAAATCGTAAAAGACACCTGTTGGTTCACACAGGTGAGAAAAAGTTTGGCTGCCCTGAATGTGATCAAAAATTTAACCTAAAAGGAACACTTAAAAGACACATGTTGATCCACACTCAAGAGAAACCCTATAGCTGCCCTGTTTGCAGCAAACGATTCAACCAGACAGCAAATCGGAACAAACACATGAGATTTCACACAGGTGAGAAACCGTTCGGCAGATATGTCTCTCTGTCAATCTTTATTACTCTTTCAGTGTTGGACATGATTTTCCAGACTTCTTTGCACAGTCCTCTTAAAAACATGATGCACATCTCCACATACTGAGCTCAAAGATTGCTAGTGGTCACTGAAGATCGCATTGGAGATGTGCAATAAGAATTCTCTGATGCACTGATTATGGCTTAACTCAAAATCAGCATTTGATATTGACATCACGATTATCAAGAGTGAATATACATGATTTTAAATCTGCATTACACTCATTTATAACATTGAAAATCTCAGAAAAAAACAAACGAGAAACATAGGTAGGGAAAATGTTTACCTTCCCTTTTTGGTTTACTAAAGCATGTCTGCCAGTATGGATGATAGAAATTTGTACTTCCACTGATAGGGAGCACGCATCTGTTCTATACTTGATTTAAATTTAATTTGGTGATAACACACACCAAATGTAATGACAGATTTCACCCAGTAAAGTATTTTACCCTGTTGTTAAAAATTTAAGGGTTTGCTCTTTTACCACTTACAAATCATTCAGTCTTTAAAAGCTTCTGTATAATGTCCATAGACTGTATATGGAAAACCTGGTTCGGCCCTCTGCCAGTAAACGGATTTAAAGCCAAAAAGCTTTTGGTAATTCTGCGTTATTTTTCTCCATTTCCTGAAACCAACAATGCGCAGTAGCGTAGTACACACTCCACCACTGAGCAGAAGCATTGAGTGCAATCCTTGTACGCCAAAAGGCAGTATCAGGTGTTAATCATAGAAAACATGAATCCCCTAATAACTTTTAAAAACGGAGCTGTACAGAACAAAGAGGACTTGAGCACAAACCAGTCTTACACTAATTACATATCAACATCACAGGCAGAGGGGGAAAAAAAAATCTGTGTAATAAATTTCTAAAGTTTGTTCACAGCCCCATAAGCTTTGCTGGCGGAGGCCAATTTATGACCTATACTGCAGCCCGTCACTAGAGTGTGCTGTTCTCGGAGTGGCTTCACCCAGCAAGGAGGCAGACAACGTCCATTCTATATTCAGTCCATGATATCGTCCTTTGCAAGACTTTGGCTTGTATCCTATGATGATTCAGAAGGATGTCCCTCACTTTATAGGCTGGCAGCCATTAGCTTGCTAGCACTTCCTTGCACTCACAGACACTTGTAATTGCTACAGCCTCTCTCTCATCAAGCTCACTCAGACACACAAAGAAACACACACCTGCCTCCTCCATCTCCTTTCCTTGCTCTCCTCTCTCCATCCGTTGCTGCCTGATAGTTTGTATCACTGTTTCACAGTGTTGAACAAAGAGTGGTAAACTCCCTCAGGCTCCCTAACTTTGTTTTGAATTGATCCAAGCTGCTTATGATGGTCTGCTGTTGAGGAAGAGGGGGGTGGGCTGGGCTTCATTCACTGTACAGGACCTGGCAGGGGTAACTCAACAGGCAGATAAATAATCATTGAGTCTCAATCATCATATTTTTATAGTTAAGAGGAGCCAAATTTGTAGTCATAAACTGAGTGTTATTAATTAACATGAATTCCCTTTTGCTCTTGATGTGTTCTTCTATATTTCACTGTGTCCTGCAGACATTCTGCTGCCGTTGGTCAATAAAGACTTGGTTCCTGCCACACAGCATGAGAGGAGCCCCAGTCTGGACCATGAGGATTCTGGGCCGTCAAACGTTAAGGAGGAACCAGAGGAACTGTGGTGCAGTCAGGAGGGAGGGCAAGGGCTCAGGGAGGCTGGTACAACAAAGTTCACTTGCATTCCTACCTCTGTGAAGAGTGAAGATGATGAAGTAAACGCAGAGTCCTCACAGCTTCATCAGAGACAAACTGAGCAAGTGCAAATTAACGGAGGGGACTGCAAAGAGCCAGAGCAAGCAACACACTCAGATCCATGGGAACATTTGCAACCAAAGACTGAGGACAAAAATGTAGACTCTTCTGATGCCGAGACTGAAGACAGTGATGATTGGATGGAGACAAGAGAACAAAACTCCAGTTTAATCTCTGTAGAAAACACTGCAGAACTCAGACTGGAGACAAATAGAATATTACATACTTGCTCTGAGTGCGGTAAAACATTCAAGAAGAGACATCATCTCACCATACACATAAGAATCCACACAGGAGAGAAACCCTACAGCTGCTCTGTGTGCAGTAAAAAATTCAATCATGTAGGAAATCGTAAAAGACACCTGATGGTTCACACAGGTGAGAAAAAGTTTGGCTGCCCTGAATGTGATCAAAAATTTAACCTAAAAGAAACACTTAATAGACACATGTTGATCCACACTCAAGAGAAACCCTATAGCTGCTCTGTTTGCAGCAAACGATTCAACAATAAATCAAATCTGAGGAAACACATGAGAATTCACACAGGTGAGAAACTGTTCTGCTGCCCTGAATGTGGTAAAAGAATTTACCTAAAGGGGCGTTTAAATTCTCATATGTGTGTTCATAAAAGAGAAAAACCCTTCATCTGCTCTGAGTGTGGTAAAAGATTCAATCGAAAGGGAAATCTAACTAAACACATGAGGATTCACACGAGAGTAGACAGCTGTGGGGGACCAGAACCAAACTTGGATACAAAAGTACCTGTACAACCAGAGACTGAGGTCAAGACTGAAGACTCCCCTGACCCTGAGACTGAAGATAAGGCTGGTGTGAAGGGAACAGAAGACTGTCAGTCAGGTTCAAACTCTCTGAGGAATAATATTGTTGTCTTGAGTGCAGCAGCGCTATACTCTTACAGTACAACCTTTTTTTACATTAAGTTTAATTAAGGTCAAGACTGAAGAGTCACCTGACACTGATGACAGTGTTGACAGTGATTTTTGGAAAGAGAACAGAAAAAGGCCAGTTAAAAGGAATTCATATAGCTGCAGTGAATGTGACAAAAAAATTGAGAATGATGAGGATCTGACCAAGCACAGAAGAATTCACACCAGAGAGAAAACTGCTCTGTTTGCAGTAAAACCTTTACTCAAAGGGGAAATCTGACCAGACACTTGTTGGTTCATATCGAAGACAAACCCTATAGCTGCAACATTTGCAATAAAGCATTCAATGAGAGGGGACGTCTGACCAATCATATGAGAATTCAAACGGGAGAAAAACCTTTAGGCTGCTCTGTCTGCAGTAAAAGATTCAACCTTAAATCAAGTCTGTCACTCCACATGGCATATCACATAGGTGAAAAACCCTTCAGTTGCTCTGTTTGCAGCAAAAGATTTTATCAGAAAGGGCACCTGAATTTCCTGAATTTCATTGTTTCACTTCTCTTATAGAAGTTGTTTTGTACTGGGTATGGATACAAAACTTTGATTGCTGATATTTTACAAGGTTTTCTTTAAGTGCATTATATCATAATACAGAATGTTTGTGTATACTGTGTATGGATTAATAGTTTATATTCTTGTAACTAAGAAAGACATCATTGCCCTGCTTTAATCCTGTTGACATGGGATGGAATAAAAGAACTGAAAGATACTATGATCATGTGTCCGGCTCATGCTAATGTGATGAATTATTCGGTATTGTCTCTATTACTCAAATGAATTACACAAATACTATATTGAGGTGATGTGGAGAACTTTTTTATTATATATTCTGACTGCACAGAAAGTATTAAACACTTTGTAATAATCAATTACAACCTAATCAGACTGTTTTCTGAACAGTTACCAAGTGTTGTAACATAGCACAGTTTCCTTGTATTTGGTTTACCAGAGACTCATATCCCTGATTGTCAGAATTATTCCCCTTTTAGATCATTTATTAGTAGCTAAACATCTCATAGTTGAACTGTGGTTGCTGGTTTTTGACAGTAAAGGACACCATGTGGAAGTTTATTATCAACAGTGATGGGTATCTGACCCCAATCACAGAAAAGTTTGGACATTAAGTAAAATGATGATAAAAAAAAGAAGAATTTAAAAATCCTTAAGCTCTTAATTTAACTGAAAATAATGCTAATGCACTATATCTGAGTTGAAATAGAAAATTCTGTTGTCTTACGAGTAAATTGATGCTCACTTTTAATTTGAAGCTAGCAACACATTTGGGAAATTTGTGTCAGATATGAGAATGTTAACCATTAAATTGTATCATCTCTTCTGTTGACAGCACTCTGTAAATGTCAGAGAACCCAGGAGAGCAGTTTCTGGAGTTTGGAAAGTAAATTGTTGTTCCATTCTTGCCTGATGTAGGATATCAGCTGCTCAACCATTCAGTTCAGAGTCTAGTTTCATGATGCACCAAATGTTTCAATGGGTGACGTGTCAAGACTGCAGGAAAATGAGTTTAGCAGCAGGCCTCTGCTACTACAGAGCCATGCTGTTGAAGTATACTGTATGCAGAATGTGGTTTATATAGCAAAACATACAGGTCTCCTCTGACAAAGTCATTGTCTGAATGGCAGCATATGTTGCTTTAGGATCTATGTATATTGTTCTGTTTTAACATAGCCTTCTCAGATGTGTTAGCCACATTTGGTGTGGATGTTTACTAATACTTCTGTATTTTATTTAACAGCAAAACTCTGTAGACTCCACCTTTAACCTTGTACAAAGTGCCTGAAATGCCTCAAATGTGTGTACATTTGAAGTACAGTACAAGTTTGTTGTGCAATAATTAAATATGTAAATCTACATGGCACTTTTGCATTTCCTGTTTATGTCCTTCTCAAAATGAAACCACGTGATATGACTGCTTTTATTTTGAAGGGCACATAAACGTCCGCAGCATTTTGGTTTCCGGGTCTTGGTTGCTGTTTCTAGAATAGAACAGTTAGCAAGATGTGCTAACGCTGTGAAAGACCGGAGTCATCAGCATTGAAAAAAGGTCGGAGTTTGGTTTTATCGTCCTTCGTTGACTCTTGGATGTGTGGAAAATGTCCAGATATCAGGATCTAAAGATGCAGAGAGCAGGTTGGTTTTCTTTTCGCTGCTGAAAACGTGTTTTATTTTGCTATTGTTTCAAGTAGCTCAGCCGTTCACAGACACATCACGTTCAGGTTTGTTCTCATATTTGAGCAAGTATTTTGAGAGTTGATGAAAGTCTGACTGTGATCGATGGGCAGTTTGAGAGAATAATGCAGAGCAGTGAAGAGTATGACGATTATGGAGGCGAATATGAGACCTAAGGCAGATATGTCTTTAATTTGGTGATAACACACACCAAATGTAATGACAGATTTCACCCAGTAAAGTATTTTTACCCTTTTGTTAAAAATTTAAGGGTTTGCTTTTTTACCACTTACAAATCATTCAGTCTTTAAAAGCTTCTGTATAATGTCCATAGATTGTATATGGACAACCTGGTTCGGCCCTCCGCCAGTATACGGATTTGAAGCCAAAAAGCTTTTGGTAATTCTGCAGGTTTTTTTTTTCTCCATTTCCTGAAACCAACAATGCGCAGTAGCATTGTACGCACTCCACCACTGAGCAGAAGCATTGTGTGCAATCCTTGTATGCCCATAGGCAGTATCAGGTGTCAATCATAGAAAACAGGAACTCCCTAATAACTTTTAAAAATGGAGCTTCACAGAACAAAGAGGACTTGAGCACAAACCAGTCTTACACTAATTACGTATCAACATCGCAGGCAGAGGGGAAAAAAAATTAAGTGTAATAAATTTCTAAAGTTTGTTCACAGCCCCATAAGCTTTGCTGGTGGAGGCGGGATTTATGACCTATACTGCAGCCCGTCACCAGAGTGTGCTGTTCTCGGAGTGACTTCACCCAGCAAGGAGGCAGACGGCGTCCATTCTATATACAGTCCATGATAACGTCCTTTGCAAGACTTTGGCTTGTATCCTATGATGATTCAGAAGGATGTCCCTCACTTTTTAGGCTGGCAGCCATTAGCTTGCTAGCGCTTCCTAGCACTCACAGACACTTGTAATTGCTGCAGCCTCTCTCTCATCAAGCTCACTCAGACACACAAAGAAACACACACCTGCCTCCCCCATCTCCTTTCCTTGCTCTCCTCTCTCCACCTGTTGCTGCCTGATAGTTTGTACCACGGTTTCACAGTGTTGAACAAAGAGTGGTAAACTTCCTTAGGCTCCCTAACTTTGTTTTGAATTGATCCAAGCTGCTTATGATGGTCTGCTGTTGAGGAAGAGGGGGGTGGGCTGGGCTTCATTCACTGTACAGGACCTGGCAGGGGTAACTCAACAGGCAGATAAATAATCATTGAGTCTCAATCATCATGTTTTTATACTTAAGGGGAGCCAAATTTGTAGTCATAAACTGAATGTTTTTAATCAACATGAATTCCCTTTTGCTCTTGATGTGTTCTTCTGTATTTCAGTGTGTCCTGCTGACATTCTGCTGCCGTTGGTCAATAAAGACTTGGTTCCTGCCACACAGCATGAGAGGAGCCCCAGTCTGGACCCTGAAGATTCTGGGCCGTCAAACGTTAAGGAGGAACCAGAGGAACTGTGGTGCAGTCAGGAGGGAGGGCATGGGCTCAGGGAGACTGGTACAACAAAGTTCACTTGCATTCCTACCTCTGTGAAGAGTGAAGATGATGAAGTAAACGCAGAGTCCTCACAGCTTCATCAGAGACAAACTGAGCAAGTGCAAATTAACGGAGGGGACTGCAAAGAGCCAGAGCAAGCCACACACTCAGATCCATGGGAACATTTGCAACCAAAGACTGAGGACAAAAATGTAGACTCTTCTGATGCTGAGACTGAAGACAGTGATGATTGGAAGGAGACAAGAGAACAAAACTCCAGTTTAATCTCTGTAGAAAACACTGCAGAACTCAGACTGGAGACAAATAGGATTTTACATACTTGCTCTGAGTGCGGTAAAACATTCAATAAGAAACAGCATCTCACCACACACATAAGAATCCACACAGGAGAGAAACCCTACAGCTGCTCTGTGTGCAGTAAAAAATTCAATCATGAAGGAAATCTTAATAGACACCTGTTGGTTCACACAGGTGAGAAAAAGTTTGGCTGCCCTGAATGTGATAAAAAATTTAACCTAAAAGAAATACTTAATAGACACATGTTGATCCACACTCAAGAGAAACCCTATAGCTGCTCTGTTTGCAGCAAACGATTCAACCATACAGCAAATCTGACCAAACACATGAGAATTCATACAGGTGAGAAACCGTTCTGCTGCCCTGAATGTGGTAAAAGATTTTACCTAAAGGGGCATCTAAATTCTCATATGTGTGTTCATAAAAGAGAAAAACCCTTCATCTGCTCTGAGTGTGGTAAAAGATTCAATCGAAAGGGAAATCTAACTAAACACATGAGGATTCACACGAGAGAGAAACCCTTCAGCTGCTCTGTTTGCGACGAAAGATTCAACAGTGAGTCCAGTCTCTCACGCCACATGGTTGATCACAATGGAATGAAACCCTTTAACTGCTCTGTTTGTAACAAGAGCTTTAACCAAAAAGGGCATTTGACTAGACACATGCTAGTTCACACTCAAGAAAAACCCTACATCTGCTCTGTTTGCAACAAGACATTTAACCAAAAATCAAGACTGACTTTTCACATGGCACATCATAATGGGGAGAAACCCTTCAGCTGCTCTGAGTGCGTAAAAACATTTAAGAATAAACCAGAACTGATCCAGCACATGAGAATTCACACAGGAGAGAAACCTTTCATCTGCCCAGACTGTGGGAAAACGTTTAATCACAAAGGAAACCTGAACAAGCACAGGAGAATTCACACAGGAGAGAAACCCTACAGCTGCTCTTTTTGTGGTAAAAGATACAGTCTAAAATCTAATCTGACGCATCACATGGCACATCACAGAGGTGAGAAACCCTTTCGCTGTAATCGTTGTGATCAAAGGTTTTCTTGGCATTCACAGTTAAAAAGACACAAATGTGTTGAGTGTGAAATAAGAGACGAAGAAACAGTAGCTGATGTAGACAGCTGTGGAGGACCAGAACCAGACTTGAACACAAAAGTACCTGTACAACCAGAGACTGAGGTCAAGACTGAAGACTCCCCTGACCCTGAGACTGAAGATAAGGCTGGTGTGAAGGGAGCAGAAGACTGTCAGTCAGGTTCAAACTCTCTGAGGAATAATGATGTTGTCTTGAGTGCAGCAGCGCTAGACTCTAACAGTACAACCTTTTTTTACATTAAGTTCAATGGAACGTTGGACAGCAATCAGTCGTCATGGACCCCAGGAATCATGCACACGGGAGAGGGACAAATCAGTGGCCCAAGATGTGAGAAACATAGGACAGAAACAGAGAGGCTTGACCAACATATCACAGTCAACAAAGAGGGGAAACAAGATGACCCAGAGCCCCTACCTGTGAAGGATGAACAGGAAGAAGTGTGTATCAGTCAGCCTGATACCATCACATTCCCATTCACCCCCTTCCCTGTGAAGAGTGAAGATACTGGAGAGAGCTCTGAGTCCCCACATCTTCAACAGATAAAGACTGAATACATGAAAGTAGAATCTGATGAGAAAGACTTTGGATTATCACAACCAGCCAGGACCTCAGATCCAGAGAGACATTTGCAACCAGAGACTGAGGTCAAGACGGAAGAGTCACCTGACACTGATGACAGTGTTGACAGTGATTTTTGGAAAGAGAACAGAAAAAGGCCAGTTAAAAGGAATTCATATAGCTGCAGTGAATGCGATAAAAAATTTGAGAATGATGAGGATCTGTCCAAGCACAGAAGAATTCACACCAGAGAGAAAACGTTAAGCTGCTCTGTTTGCAGTAAAACCTTTACTCAAAGGGGAAATCTGACCAGACACTTGTTGGTTCATATCGAAGATAAACCCTATAGCTGCACCATTTGCAATAAAGCATTTAATGAGAGGGGACGTCTGACCAATCATATGAGAATTCACACGGGAGAAAAACCTTTCAGCTGCTCTGTTTGCAGTAAAAGATTTAACCTTAAATCAAGTCTGTCACTCCACATGGCATATCACATAGGTGAAAAACCCTTCAGTTGCTCTGTTTGCAGCAAAAGATTTTACCAGAAAGGGCACCTGACCACACACATGTTAGTGCATACGGGAGACAAACCCTTCAACTGTTCTGTTTGCAAGAAAACATTTAACCAGAAAGGACATTTAACCACACACATGTTAGTTCACATAGGAAAGAAACCTTTCAGCTGCTCTGTTTGCTGTAAAAGATTCTACCAAAAAGGGCATCTGACAGCACACATGTTGGTTCACACTGGAAAGGAACCCTTCAGCTGCTCTGTTTGCAGTAAAAGATTTTTCCAAAAAGGGCATTTAAGCTCACACATGTTGGTTCACTCAGGAGAGAAACAATTTAGCTGCTCCGAGTGCGGTAAAAAGTTTAACCATAAGTGTAACTTGAAACTCCATATGGCACATCACAGAGGTGAGAAAAGCTGCAGTTGTAGTGTTTGTGGTCAAAGTTTCTCTTGGTTTTATCAGTTAAAAAAACACAAGCTTGTTCACAGTCAGAATACAAAACCAATCTGAATGTGATTTGTGAGTAACTGGAAAACTTGATTTGTTCGAAGCTGGAAAACATTTGTGTGTAACAAACACTGCACAACAGATTTCCTCAATATCATTGTTTCACTTCTCTTATAGTTTACGTTGTTTTGTACAGGGTATGGATACAAAACTTTGATTGCTGATATTTTACAAGGTTTTCTTTAAGTGCATTATACCATAATACAGAATGTTTGTGTATACTGTGTATGGATTAATAGTTTATATTCTTGTAATTAATAAAGACATCATTGCCTTGCTTTAATCCTGTTAACATGGGATGGAAAAAAAAAAACTGAAAGATACTATGATCATGTGTCCAGCTCATGCTAATTTAATGTATTATTCTGTGTTGTCTCTATTACTCAAATGAATTACACAAATACTATACTGAGGTGATGTGGCGAACTTTTTTATTATATATTCTGACTGCACAGAAAGTATTAAACACTTTGTAATAATCAATTACATTGTATATTGTTCTGTTTTAACATAGCCTTCTCAGATGTGTTAGCCACATTTGGTGTGGATGTTTATGCATACTCATTCTGTCATGGATTCTGGCTTTTGAACTGTGGGCTGAGAATAAGCTGGGAGGTCTCTCCTTTTTAGAATTGGGGACACAGTGTCCATAAAGTCAATCCAGAATATCAGATTTTGATTTGGCAAACTGCAGGCAGTTTTCAACTTTGCTTTAGTCCAGCTTTTTCCACTGTTGTAAGCGAGCACTCAGCTAGATTTATCACAATCCTTCAACATCACCACCAGTGTCATATATGCCCCAATGGCTCTACTTGCTGTGTCTGACAGAGACAGCATGACACTCTTTAAAATCTTACTTTTATTGACAAAATTTATAATCCAACCCAAGATTATGCATACCTATGGTGCAAAGAAGGAAAAGATCAGTATACCCTATATCAAAGACACAAAAGTAAACAATTAGATATCATCCAAGTAATATTTCTGAGTGCAAGCTGTTTGCTCTGTAAATACTAGGGGTGATCAATATATATAAAAAAAGATGCTGTCGGGGTAAGTGCTGCCAAATGGGACGCCGAGGTTCTTCAAATTTTAACGACACATTTTGTACTTGGCAATCTCTCCAGGTGGATAACTGAAACCTGTTGAAGCAACCTAGTGCAGAATCATGGTGGCACGGATGTCTTCTATGCCCAAACAGAGCTGTTTTCCATCTCTGTCATGAGAAAGTTTTCTCTGATAAATATATGAGAGGAGATGAAAATTCTTGACCAGAAATGATGAAATATTGAGTCATTATTTCAGATGTTAGTGGCGCTTGCGTAAAGTCCTACAGAAATGCAGTAAAGGGAGATTTTGACTTAAACATGTCTTTTGAGCAGAACACCCATGTGAGATCTCGTAGTTTAAATTTGGATTCATCTACTTTGTAAAGTTTTCCATGATTTATTTTGAAGGTCTCAAACCTAATGCACCGGAAGTGCTCTTTTCTATGAAGACGTGCCAATTTTGATCAAAATGGCAGCAGGTCCACACAATTTTATTCTCTGAGTTCCGTATTATAAGTGTCCAAGCGTCAGATATGATATCGCATTGTCTCCGTATATATCGGAAAAGACGCTTTTGTGTTCTTCATTTTCTCTCCTTTGAGTCAGCTGCAGGCGGACAAAACATCAAGTTAGCTTAGCATGCTAACTGGAGACAGCGACAGGGACGGACGTGGAGGAGTTGCTGACCAACAACAGAGACCGTGAGACACTGTTTTCAGTCCCTAGCAGGTTTGTCCATCTCCCAGTTCCAGCTCTTCTCCAATAACAGCTGTCTACCAAAGTCTTTCATATTTATACGAAGTCAGGGGCCCCTGAGCAGCTCTGACCAGGGGCCAAGGAGGCTCATGATTTTTAGCCAATTTGAGAAGTGCCTGTCTGAATCCCTGGTGGGTCTTATCCTGGTGTTTAAGTAGGGAGAAAAAGGTTCACTACATACCACTTGCCAAGCCTCATTGATAAACCAGTATAATTGCACCCTTGTCTGACAGGGGCCCCCGTAATGAGGGTCAGTGGAGACGTGGGTGTGTTAAATGACTGGCCCCAAGCTGGATAAATGTGACTGGACTGGATAAACAAGAACTTGAGACCCTGAAAAGGCTTTTTTCTATAGATTTTTGTTCACCAGCTATGACCTTGTTCTTAAAAAAAAAACAAAACAACTTTATGTATTTTCAACTAATGCACAAAACTCTTCTTCAGTGATGATCTGCTGTTATTCATGTGGAGAGTGGTGGGGCAGCTCCCGAGCGTCCTCTGTTGACCAGTCGTCTCTGGTGAGTTTGTATTCCCTCATTAAACTGGGTCTTTTCACAAATATGTGTTGTTGACAAATGGATGATCCTGTGCTGGATGTTATATGTTTCTTAATATGGATACCATACTGTATTTTATCAGTGTAGACATCCTCAGCTAACATTTTGATATTTCAATACAAATACAAATAGTACTGGATGTTGATCTAAAGGTTGATTGGCTGGCCAAACAGTCAACCCTATACAACCCAGATACCATAAGAGCTGGCACTCTTAATATAAACAGAACTTGAAGGTTTAAAAACCTATACATTATACAAAACAGCACAAACACAACATAATTTTGAAACTAAAAAAAATGTTTGTTTTAGAACAATGTTGAAAAAGTTGTGGAAAATGGAGGTTGATATTTTTTTTATATTTTCTGTCTTTTGCTGATGTGAAGTGTAGGTGCAACATGATAGGACAGAAGTTTAGTTTGCAGACCATGGTCTTTTTTTAGTTATTGCTTATGTGATTTTTATCATTTTAAAGATCCTCATTGACAAACTAAGCATTTGGATAAATAATAAAATTCCATTAACTGAAGCGCAGCATCATGACTGCTAAATATTGGCCTTTTTTTGTGTGTATGTAATTTGAAAATATGTTGATTAATATCTTTAGTTGAGGTATCGAAACAAGTGTAACTGCTAATGCCATGAGAAGATCTGTCACCCAGCTACAGACAGGAGTTTCATGTTGATATAAGAAGACTGTCACTACAGCTGAGCTTAAAGACAGCCATCAACTTCTGTTTTACATTTTTGTTTTTTTTTATTTGCATAATCATTTAGTGGTGTTTCCTATATCTTTTTAATGTCCTGCAGATTTCCAGCAGCTGTTGGTGATTGAAGAAGAGTCTCTCTATAAGTGGTAGAGTGAAACTTCAATATGGACCAGGAGGATACTGTGCCCAGACACATTAAAGAAGAGCGAGAAGAACTGTGGGACAATCAGGAGGGGGAGCTGCTTGAAGGACTGGAGGAGGATGATATCAGCAGTTTCCCTTTAAATATTGTTTATGTGAAGACTGAGGATGATGAAGAGGAATATCAGTCCATGCATCTTGATCAAAGCAAAAGTAAGCTGATGGAAACGGGCACTAATGGAGAGGACTGTGGAGAAGGAGAACCATTCAAGATCTCACATCTTGAGAAAGATTCACAAACTGAGTCTAAGGTCAAGACTGAAAATGGTTCTGAACTTGAGACTGAAGACAGCAGTTATTGGAGAGAGTTTGCAGAAAATCAGTCAGGCTTCAACTCTGTGGAAATCATGCAAAAGGAAATACCAAATAGTGACAAGAAATCACATAGCTGTGCTGAATGTGGTAAAATATTCACAGAGAAACGAAATCTGACCAGACACTTGAAGATCCACACCGGTGAGAAACCTTTCAGCTGCTCCGAGTGTGGTAAAAAATTTAACCAAAAAGTGGAACTGAGCTCGCACATGCTGGTTCACACAGAAGAAAAACCCTTCAGCTGCTCTGAGTGTGGTAAAAGATTTAAGCACAGAGGAAGTCTGAGCACACACATGCTCATTCATACAGGAGAGAAACCCTTCAGCTGCTCTGGATGCAGTAAAAAATTTCATCACATAGGGGATCTGAGTTCACACATGAGACGTCATAGTGGAGACAAACCCTTCAGCTGTTCTGTCTGTGGTAAAAGATTTAAACACAAAGGTAGTGTAACCATACACGAGTTAGTTCACACAGGTGAGAAACCTTTCCACTGTGCTCTTTGTAGTAAAAGATTTTACCGTATAGCATTTCTGAGATCACACATGTTGGTTCACACTGGAGAGAGGCCCTTTGGTTGCACTGAGTGTGGCAAAGAATTTAATCGCAAAGACACTCTGACCAGACACATGTTAGTTCACACAGGAGAGAAACCGTTCAATTGTAGAGTTTGTGGCCAAAGATTCTCCTGGTCATATCAGTTAAAGAAACATAAGTGTGTTAGCAATCAGGCTTCGGTGCATCATCAAAACCAAAATGAGGACACTCGAGAGGCAGAAACAGGAGCTGAAGGGGAGGACTGCGGAGAAGCTGAACCAGCTGGGAACTCAGATCCAGAAAAATATTTACAGCCAGTGATTGAGGTCAAGATTGAAGACTCTTCTGAACCTGGGTCTGAAAACAGTGATGAGGATGATGATGATGATGATGATGAGAAAGAGACAATCGAACATGAGTCAGATGTAAACTGAGAGAAAAGAGTGAAGGTTGGGATGCAGTAGCACTGAGTAACCACTCAGCTGCCCTGAATGCAGTAACACATCCAGTTAGTTTTCTTCTGTGGAAATTACACAAGCCCATCCTAGAGAGACACCATTTAGCTGTTATTTTGGTGGTTAAAAAAAGGATTTATGTGGAAGGGCTGATTTTTGTATGCAGTACTAAAAGATGAGGAGAATGCAAATCTATTATTGCTTTCTTGCTATGATCCAAGAGTGAGCAGATGTAATTGTTTAAAGGTCCTTACACACCGGGAGCATTTTTGTCATGCAATTATTTGTTAATATCAATACGTCAATATTTTTTTACGAACCCTTATCCTGTTAATACAAGGGTTCACATCAGCGACGTTTTCCCGTTCTGCGGTTTTGCGGCATTTATTTTTTCGGATCATGGTCGATTTTCTAAAGTTTCGCAAACTGTGTGTCCACTTCTGACCAATCAGATTGCGTGCTGTTGCGACGTCAGATTCACCGGTATATCCAACATATCCGTCCTGCTGATTGTCTACGTGTTGGAAACAGAGTGCACTTAAAAGACACAAATATTACAAAGATAACGACCTGAAGGACATCTTGTGGAAAGTCATAGTGTTGGATCTCTCATATGACGATGGTTTGTGTGCTTTAACAGTTTGCTAAACATCTTTGTTTTCAGTTGTGATTAGACACTAGTGTTGAGATGGCTTACATTAGCCATCATGAAAGTTAAAACAATCAGCGACAGTGGTACAGTTTCAGCTCCTGAATCAAGCAGTGAAACTCACCAAGTTCTCTTCTTTTTAGTAATATTGGATGCAACCATGTGCTATGTTTCTTTTTCTTTTGAGAAAGAAAAAAAAGAGTACCAATTTGCCATCACTTGAAGCTGAAGTAGACTCCATTTTTGTCCTCTCACTTCCACCCGGGACACTGGTTGTTAAGGGAAGGTCCCACCCTCCTTCACCTCTGATTGGCTATAAGTGCTGACCATTTGGCATGAGCGTGTGATGACAATTCCACCATTTGTTGCCAATCAGAGGCTTCTATATTCTATATTCTATATAGAATATATATATATCTATATATATCTATATATATTCTATGTTCTATATTCGTGTCGGCCACGTTGTGTAAGGACCTTAAAAGTCATTACTTAGATGGGAAGTACACAGATGCTAGTTACACTCCTAGTACCTAGTATGTTTGTTACAAAACACAAGGTTGTTGCTCTGCATGCTTTCTGTTAACATGAAACAGTTACAATGACCTGCATGGTACTCTGACAATGTATCTTGGTGATTTCATATAATTGTGACATGTACTATTTCTATCACAACATAAATGAAAAGTAAATTTATACAGATTTTGTTGCTGTTTTTAAAGTTGTCTTATGACAGAATTATACTAATGAAGTGTTAAAAGTTTTCAGTTTTATGACCATAACCCAATCTCACTGTTGCAGTTCTGCAGGAGAAGATGCTGAACTGTCTTACGCATCAAAAAGATTGTAGATATGTGACAAAATGCTTCCAAAATGATCTTTGAAAAAAAAAAATGCGTAACGAAACTTTTATTTTGAAGGGGCAAATGACGGTTTATGATATATAGTAATACTTTCCGGGTAGCAGGCTCTCTCCAGCTGAGCATAGTTAGCCTGTAGGCTAAATGTGCTAACATGGTAAAACAGTAGAGACGTCGTGACAAAGACGTCTTACTTTTTGCATTTAATTTTTCCTTCTTTGATTCGTTAATGTGAGGAAAATGTCCGGGTTTCAGGATGTGATGCTGCAGACAGCAGGTTGGTTTTCTGTCCTGGTGATATTTCAGGGAGCCGAGCTTTTAGCCACAGCTAGTTAATAAAATCACTGAGTTTACTAAACTGAAAGAGTCGTTAATGGTTGTGCTGTAACGATTATAAAGTGCCTGACGGGGCTTCACGTATAGATTTAATAAATATGTAGCCTGAAGCTCCGTTACAGCATGGCAAGTATAAAACACCATTCATTCACAGAGCTATTCAAACTGATCTATCTATCTATCTATCTATCTATCTATCTATTTTGACAGCTTTGGCAAGCATTTCATGCATTTAAATCTGCTACTTTTGACAATTAATATTTTTCCCAGATATCATTCTATCTTCCCCATCAGAAGTGTACTGCTCAACACAAGGAAGGGTAATGCAATATTCAAACAAAATAAAACTACAATATATAATTGAAATGACAAACTCTAAAATTCTCAAATTACAGATAGTGTAACATTTTAGAATAGCTTTATAGGCTGTCCTTTGAAGTATCAGGGTGTCTTTTGTCCTTTGACTTAAGTGTCCTTTAAGTCTGTAGGCTGGCAACTGTCTTGTTCTTGGCATGACCAAAAATAAATAAATAAATGAAAATCAAGTTAGAGCAGCTGCAAACAATTTCACACCTCAGTGAAATAAAACTGACAGGAGAATACCACTAAACATTTTGCTTCTGCTCAACTTAACAAAGAACCAACTCTCACATTCAATTACAGAACAATATGTCGAAGTGATTATAAAGTAGAGGAGAGTGGGGTAAGTTGGGCCAACTCCTGTTGCTTAAAAATGGTCAAAGAAATTGATCATGTGACCAAATATTTAGGAGATGAACATCAATTCATGGAGTCTGTGAAGGTTAGAAGCACATGGGTGAAGGGGTTAGACATTTATTTAAAAAAAAAACAAAAAAACATTTTTCACTCTTGAAAGGGAATTTAGTCTGTCATAAGTTTTAATAAAATTGTGTTCAGAACAAAAAAAGGTAATTTTAAATTTGTTTTATACATCAATTATGGTATCTATGAGCTACAACTTGAGGTCAACTTACCCCATGTGGTAAGTTGACCATAGGAGACCACTTTTTTGGCATGCTATATTATCAAGACAGTTATATTTACACTCATTCTGTTGGTTTGCAGGGATGCACAACATCTTGAAATATATGAAGATACACTAGTTAGAGACAAAACTATGATTGCCCTGATGTAGTGATCTGAAATATGAAAAATAGCTCATCACACCCCACTCTCCCCTGATGATCGGAACAGCACCAGTCTGCAGCTGCCTGTCGTAGCCAGGACAGTATTAAAAAAAAGTTCTGGAGCAATGCTTGAGAAAGTTTGATGTAAAATGTGAAAACTAAAACCGTTTAATTTTGATAACTTTGTCCTGCAGACATCCAGCAGGTATTGGTGATCAAGGAGGAGCTTTACGATGAGGAACAGGAGAGAAACCCCTCAGTGGATCAAGAGGACACTGAGCCCCCACTTATTAAAGAGGAACAGGAGGAACTGTGGAACAATCAGGAGAGTGAGCAGCATCAAAGCCTTGAGAGGGCCGATACATCCAAGTTCCTGTACATGCCAGTTTCTGTGAAGAATGAAGACAATGATGAGAAACCTCAGTACTTACGTCTTGATCAAAAACAAGCTAAACAAATGGAAACAGAAGCTGATGGAGAGTACTATGACAGAGCGGAATCAACCAGGACTTCAGATCCACAGAGGCATTTAACTGAGACTGAGGCCAAGACTGAAGAATTTTCTGAACCTGGTACTGGAGACACTGACAGTTATTGGCAGGAGACAGATGAGCATCAATCAGCAGTGAAAAATATGCAAAATAAAAGACCAAATACTGACAAGAAATCACACAGCTGTGCTGAGTGTGGTAAAACATTCACAGAGAAACGTAATCTGACCAGACACTTGAAGATTCACACAGGAGAGAAACCTTTCAGCTGCTCGGAGTGCAGTAAAAGATTTAGCCAGGAAGTGGAACTGAACTCACACATGTTAGTTCACACAGAAGAGAAACCTTTCAGCTGCTCTGTCTGTAGTAAAAGCTTCACAGAAAAATGGAATCTGACCAGACACTTGAGGATCCATACAGGGGAGAAACCTTTCAGCTGCTCTGAGTGTGGTAGAAAATTTAACCAGAAAGTTGAACTGACATCACACATATTAGCTCACACGGGAGAGAAACCTTTCAGCTGCACTGTATGTAGTAAAACATATTACCGAAAAGCAAATCTCAGATCACATATGAAAAATCACGGAGAAGAGAAACCCTTTAGCTGCTCTGAGTGTGGTAAGGGATTTAAACACAAAGTCAGTTTGACCACACACATGTTGGTTCACACAGGAGAGAAACCCTTCAGCTGCTCTGTCTGTAGTAAAAGATTTTACCAAAAATGGCATATGACCTCACACATGTGGGTTCATACAGGAGAGGAACCCTTCAGCTGCCCTTTCTGCAGTAAAAAGTTTTACCTTAAGGGACATTTCAGCTCTCATATTTTGATACACACTGGAGAGAAGCCCTTCCACTGTACTGAGTGCAGCAAAACCTTTAACAGGAAAGACAGCCTTACCAGACATATGCTGGTTCACACTGGGGAGAAACCCTTTAACTGCAGTTTTTGTGACCAGGGATTCTCTTTGTCCAATCAGTTAAAAAACCACAAGTGTCTTGGCAGTCGGGATTTAGAGCTTCACCACATCCAGACTGAGAGAAAAGACAGGGGTAAAAAGAAAAACAAGAAAGGGGAAGCAAAAACCAGAGCTGATGGAGAGGACTGTGGAGGACCAGAACCAGCCAGAGATTCAGATCTAGAGAGACATTTACAAAGTGGGACTGTTAAAACTGAAGACTCCTCAGAACCTGAGACTGAAGACAGTGATGATTGGAAAGAAACCAGAGAACTGCAGCCAGGTTTAGACTGAGTTATTGATGAGTTTCTGCTAATGATTTAAGATGGGTTAGATTCAACTAGAGCCACTTCCCAAAGAGACAAAAACCCCAGTATTTGCGACAAATGATTGTTTGGTATGTGGCATTGCAATATACAGATACAGATACAAATTGTGACATCTGATCCTTTTTGATGATATGGGGTTAAAATTCCAGAAACATGAGAGTAAAACACTGATTGCTCTTATTTTAATATCTTCAACTAATATTTCCTCTGCTACAACAACTTTGTTTTTGATGCTGTTGCACAGTAATTAACATGGGTTCAGCTGATACTGGATATTTTGTTGACATTTTAATTATAATTTTGTTTATTTGTTAAACTCATACAATTAACATGAAACAGTAACAAAAAGATATAAAATGATGCCTTGGCAGTTTGTCTTGCTGGTGTAAAACAAATGTATTAAAGTATTGTGGTTTTATAGTGTAGGGTCATGAATACAAGATGACAGGGCTCAAAGTTTTCTATTAAACAAGTCTTATCAGACTGTGGTAGTTCTGTAATGGGACCCGCTGAACTTGCCAAGAAGACCTTAGACATTTAACACAAAGTAAAGTTCATAGATGGTGTTCTGTCTCATTGTATTCTAATGGTTTATGTATATGGACTTTTTTAATGCAAGGTTACAAATAAGCTGTCCTAAGAACTTTTTGCTACCCAACCTACCCAGAGACGTTAAAGGAAACAGGTTTACAGAAGTTGGACACCTTTGCTGGTCCCAATGTGCTGGTCCAAAAGATAGATCTCAAAAACCAAAATATTAATATGAAAATTTTTTTTAGATAACTGAACCAGACATGAAGGTGGGACGATTTTGATATGGCCCGAACACAGCACAGTTAAGTCTCTGAACAGAATCAGAATCATAAGTCATTACACCTGCTTCCAAAAATACAAACGTTAATGAAAGAGAATAGAAGTACAGATGAAGTAAGGATTAATAAGAAATTACAATGGTTAATACAGGTGTGTAAAATATTAGAAATAAAGCTATTTACAAAGCAGAGTAAACCAACAGAATGAGTGTAAACATAACTGTCTTGATGATGTAGCATGTAAGTTGAGTCGTATCCCTACAACCCCCCACTCTCCACCCTAGCCCTCCCTAAATAACAGTCACTTCTTCACGTTCATGTGTATTTTTGTCTATTATACGCTATTCAACTGGCACAATAATTCTTATCATTATTGCATATAACTGCTGAAAAGCTGTTTGTAAAAAGCCATTTTAACATGAGACTGTCTTTAAGTGATTCAGAACATTCACAGCTGTATTTTTGAAAAGAAAAAGTAATACATTTCAACAATCTGAACTGAAACTCTGATCCTCTCATCAGACTCCTTTACTTTCTCAGTTTAGCCACTGGCTCAACTTACCCCAGAACTACTATGATGACTTTATTAGTCCTCTAAGCTATAATGGTGGACTTTTATGCTGGGTTTTTGACCTCATATTGTAGCTCATAGATACCACAATTCTAATTTAAAAAAACTAATTTAAGATTATCTTTTTTGGTCTGAACACAATTCTAATAAAACTTATGACAGACTAAATTCACTTTCAAGAGTGAAAAATGTTGTTTTGGAAATAAATGGATTTTTTTTTTATTTTTATCAAGCTCCGGTGTCACACTCCAATCCAGTTGGTGGCGGTAATGAGTTGGTTTACGCCGTTAAACACCAACGAAGAAGAAAAGCAGCCATAACATTATAGTTTCCGGGTTTCACGGACACTGCCCAGCAGAGCTATATAGGCCCAATTCCAAACTCCACCCTAAGCCCTCAAGCCCTGCACCCTCATTAGCTTAGGTTAAGTCAGCTGGTAAGTGCTTGAGTGTGGGAGGGTTTAAGGGCTCCAAAAGGGTATAAAAGCAATGGAACAGCCCTTTGTGACGTGCCACGTTACCTTGACGATAGACGACAACGTTGACAACCAAAGATGCGACTGACACTTGCCTCTCTGGGCTCTTAATTCTGCATTTATTTCGCGGCCAGCAACGTTGCAGAAGAAAGGCCAACATTGTTCCGCTCCTTTTGCACACACTTGCTCTTGAACATAGACAACAGGTAATTGGTAAATAATGATTAGATTGATAAATTATAAAACCAGCATTAATGATAGGTTAAGTGATATTGAATGGTTAAAAGGTTGAAGCACTAGATTCTGAAAGTAATCACTGCTTTAGAGTGTTAGTTCAGGATAAAATGTATTGATTCAGATAAAAGTTTGAAGTAAAAATCAATTTTCTTTGTTATAAGAATAACGCATGCGTGTGTGTGTATATATGTATGTATACACACACACACACACACACACACACACACACACACACATATATGTGTATATATATATATATATATATATATATATATATATATACAGTACAGGCCAAAAGTTTGGACACACCTTCTCATTCAATGTCTTTTCTTTATTTTTTTATATGACTGTTTACATTGTAGATCATTACTGAAGGCATTAAAACTATGAATGAACACATGTAGAATTTTGTACTAATAAAAAAAGTGTGAAATAACCGAAAACATGTTTTATATTCTAGTTTCTTTAAAATAGCCACCCTTTGCTCTTGATGACAGTAGTTCCTTGTCAGGGTTACTTCAGGCCCTCCTGTGAGGTAAAAACCATTTCAGGTGACTACCTCATGAAGCTCATTGAGAGAACAGCTTAAGTTTGCAGCGCTATCAAAAAAGTAAAGGGTGGCTACTTTGAGAAATCTAAAATATAAAACATGTTTTCAGTTATTTCACACTTTTTTCTTAAGCACATGATTCCACATGTGTTCATTCATAGTTTTGAGAATCTACAATTTAAATAGTAATGAAAACAAAGAAAATGCATTGAATGAAAAGGTGTGTCCAAACTTTTGGCCTGTACTATATATATATATATATATATATATATATATATATATATATATATATATAATATTATATCCATGTTAATGTAGTGCATTCTTGTTCATCTTGGCATTCCGGCGCCCACCATACACGATGCGGAACATCCATGTTAGAGTATTAAGGGTGCACCTAGATCCTAAATGAACTGCTTCTTCTTGAGCTTCTTCGCCATGATCTCCGTCATTTTTGGTGTCTGTCGCGGACGTTGAGACGCTTGTGGCCTCGTTCCTTTTTAAATCCTGGCCCCGGCTGCGTCGCTGTCCTCCAGTAACGCCCACAACGCAATGAATTGTGGGCAATTTCATAGCCAAAGTCCTCAACGGTACGGACTTACGGAAAGGGTGCAGAAAGGGGCGTTCCCGAGCCCTCGCTGACTTACCGATTTCATTTGGAACAACCCTCAAGCCCTTACAGAGCTCACATGAGCGCGCACCTAAGTCAATGAGTCAGTGAGGGGGTGGTTTGGAATTGGGCCTTAGAATACAGGAACACCGCCGTACAGACATGCCAGATGGGATTTCCAACAGCTGAAATCAAGCTGCAGAAAACAGGTTTGTCTTTTATCCACCGCTGGTAACATGTTTCCTGTCACATTTCGGAGGAGGCGAGCCTCGAGTTAAAGTTCATAGACGTAGAGCAGATGTTAGCCTCTGTTGGCCTTTAGCGGAGAAAAACGTTCATTTTACTGAAACTGAGGATTAAATTTCTGACGGCGCTACGTATTATTAGTTCATTATTATTATTATTAGTGAAATTGCATTGACTTTGAAAGATTATTACAAAGACTATTACAAAGCATGACTAGCAGTTCAAACTTGATCAAAATGAGTAGTTCTACAGTGGATATAAAAAATCTACACACCCCTGTTTAACTACCAGGTTTTTGTCATGTGAGAAAATGACAGCAAGAGAAATATTTTCACAACTTTTCCACCTTTGAATGTGACCAATAACCTGTACAATGCAATTGAAAAACAAACTGAAACCTTTAAGGGGGAAAATAAAAAATAGAAAAGTAAAAATAACCTGGTTGCATAAATATGCTCACCCTTAAACTAATACTTTGTTGCAGCACCTTTGGTTTCTATTACAGCACTCAGTCTTTTGGGGTAGGAGTCTATCAGCGTGGCACATCTTGATGTGGAAATATTTGCCCACTCTTCCTTGCAAAACCGCTCCAAATCTGTAGATTGTGAGGGCATCTCCTATGCACAGACCTCTTCAGATAACCTCACAAATGTTCGATGATTTAGATGTGTGCTTTGGGTCATTGTCATGCTGAAAAATGAAGTTCCTCTCCAGCTTTCTAGCAGAAGGCCGAAGGTTTTGTGCCAACACTAACTGGTATTTGGAAATGTTCATAATTCCCTCCACCCTGACTAAGACACCAGTTCCAGCTGAAGAAAAACAGCCCCAAAGCATGATGCTGCCACAACCATGCTTCACTGTGGGTATGGTGTTCTTTTGGTGATGAGCAGTGTTGATTTTGCGCCAAATATACCTTTTGCAAGGATGCCCAAAAAGTTCAACTTTGGTTTCATCAGACAATAGCACATTTTCCCACATGCATTTGGGAGATTTCAGATGTCTTTTTGCAAAATTAAGCCGGGCTTTGATGTTTTTCTTTGTAAGATAAGGTTTCCATCTTGCCACCCTACCCCATAGCCCAGACATGAAGACAGCAGGAGGTTGTTGTCACATGTACTACACAGCCAGTACTTGCCAGAAATTCCTGCAGCTCCTCAGTGTTGCTGTCGGCCTCTTGGTAGTCTCCCTGACCAGTTTTCCTCTTGTCTTATCATCAATTTTGGACGGACGTCCTGTTCTTGGTAATGTCACCGTTGTGCCATATTTTCTCCACTTGATAATGACGGTCTACACTGTGTTCCATGGTATATATAATTCCTTGAAAATTCTTTTGTAGCCCTCACCTGACTGATATCTTTTGAATAATACGATCCCTCTGATGCTTTGGAAGCTCTCTGTGGACCATGGCTTGTGCTGGAAGATGTGGCTACAAAAATGTCAGGAAAAGCTACTAGAACAGCTGAACTTTATTTGGGGTTGATCAGAGTCACTTTAATTGGTGACAGGTGTGTGCTGACTCCAGTTTAACCTGAGTTTGAATGTTATTGGTTAAATCTGAACGCAGCCACATCCCCAGATATTAAAGGGTGTGCACACTTATGCAACCACATGATCTCAGTTCTTTATTTTTATCTCACCTCCCTGAAAGATTTCTGTTTGTTTTTCAATTGCATTGTACAGGTTATAGGTCACATTCAAGGTGGAAAAAGTTGTGAAATTAATATAATACTGTCATTTGGCCAGTTTGTGATATTGACAAAGTACAGCTGACTGCAGTCAGCAGCCATAACAACATGACAATAAAGTTTCTGTCTCTCTTCAATTACTGATTTTGACTGATTTGCTTCTATTTGAAAGTATTTCTCTTAACTTCTGTTTAATTTTTATTTACTGTATTCTGCAGATGTCCAGCAGCTGTTGGTCAAAAACATTAGAGCCTTTCCCTGAGCAGCAGGAGTGTAGCCTTAATCCAAACCAGGAGGACTCAGATTCTCCAAACATTCAAGAAGGACAACACTGTGAAGGACCAGAACCTGCCAGAAACTCAAAACCAGAGAGACATTTACAACCAGAGGCTGAAGACCGCTCTGAAGAAGTTACTGAAAACTGTGGTAACAACTGTCAGGAGACTGGACTATTGAAGTCAGACTTGTTTTTTTTTTATGTTTTCCAAAAACTTCAAGAAACTCAATACACACATGCACGTGAGGATTCACACAGGAGAGAAACCTTTCAGCTGCATCAAGTGTGATCAGACAGTAAGGACAAAAGGAGTCTGACTTAGCGGTGTCAGTTCACACAACAGGAGAGACATCATTAAGGTGCCTTAATTGCAATAAAGGGTTTAACTAAGGTTTCATTTGATCTTCAAAATGTTGGTTCATACGAGGGAGAAACTCTTTTGTTGTTCTGAGTCCAGTGAGCGATTTTATCAGGAGTACAACTTGAAACATAACCGTGTAGATCAGAAAGAAGAGAAACCATTTATCTGCACTGTAGGCAGTAAAAAATTTGATGAGGATTTTCATCTAACCAAACACATGTCGATTCGTACGCAAGAAAAATGCTTCAGCTGTCCTGAATGTGGTAAAAAATTTAAACAGAAGTGTAATCTGACACGCCACATGTCACACCACAGAGGAGAGAGACCCTATAGCTGCTCAGAATGCAGTAAAATGTTTGTAGAAAAATCCAAACTGGCACGTCACATGTCACTTCACACAGGAGAGAAACTCTTTAACTGCTCCCATTGTGGTAAAAAATGTAACCGTAAAGAAAATCTTACGAGACACATGAAAGTTCACACAGGAGAGAAACCCTACTGTTGCTCTGAGTGTAGTAAGACCTTTAAACAAAAGGCCAGTCTGTTTTGTCACATGACACTTCACAGAGCAGAGAAACCCTTCAACTGCTCTCATTGTGGCAAAAGATTTAACCGAAAAGAAAACTTCACGAGACACATGAAAGCTCACACGGGAGAGAAACCCTACAGCTGCTTTGAATGTGGTAAAAGTTTTAACCAGAAAGTAAATCTTATTGCCCACATGAGAATTCACACCGGAGAGAAACCCTTTATCTGCTCTGTTTGCAGTAAAAGTTTTAATTATGAACCCAATCTGATCAAACACATGAGAATTCACACAGGAGATGAACTCTACAGCTGCTCTGACTGTGGCAAAAGTTTTAGAGAAAAATCTAGCCTGACCAGGCACACGTCACTTCACAGAGGTGAGAAACCCTTTAACTGCTCAGAGTGCGGCAAAAGATATAACCATGACAGCAGTCTGAAACGTCACATGGCACATCACAGACAGGAGAAACCCTTCAGCTCACTGTGTGTTGGAGATGAGACTTCACATCTTCATCCAAACCAAACCGAGTTGGCAGGAGAGACAGAAACAGGAGCCAGTGTGGGATATTGTGAAGCACGAGAACCAGCCAGAGATTTTGATGAGGTCAAGACAGAAGACTCTTTTGAACCTGAAATTGAAAATAACGATGATTATTGGAAGGAGACCGGAGAACATCATTAAGCTTTACACTGAAAAAAGGAACAGTTGTCGTCAATAATCATGATAATTACCTCCACCAAGGAGGTTATGTTTCCGGTAGCGTTTGTTTGTTTGTTTGTGAGTTTGTTTGTCTGTTAGCAGCTTTACGGAGAAAGTTACAGACGGATTGACCTGAAATTTTCACCAGGGGTGCGTCTCAGCCCCAGGAAGATCCCATTAAATTTTGGTGGTGATCCGGACAAAATTCTGGATATTGTGATCCAGAACACACAAAAATACGTGTGTCATTGGAATTTTCAATGCTGAAAGATAACCAATGGGCGGCACAGTGGTGTAGTGGTTAGCACTGTCATCTCACAACCAGAAGGTCCTGAGTTCGAATCCTGGTCAGGGCATTTCTTGTTTTAGGAACATCATGAACAGTGAACATACCAGTTTAAACACAAATAAACATTAATTAAAGACACGTAACAGTAAAAGTTTTGGTGTGAATCACAGTATAAGGGGGGACATGAGCTGCTTGCCGGAGGTCTGCGCTCTCTGAGTGCTTTTCTAGTTTTAATTATAATAATTATCAAGAGAAACTGTAAATGTGTTTTTTTGATCAACGATTTCCACAAAAAGGATGTGTTTGGTATACAACTCTACAAAATACAGAGTCTGGATGCCATCTTGATCTGATAGCTTCTGCGATACCTAGTATTCAGTATCATCTGGTTTGAAAAATAAAACAAAACAGACACAGCTGATTGTTAATATGCTTAGAGTTTTAATGAACCAACAATCTTCGGTGGCACTCCATTTTTGTTTGCTGCTCTCAAATCTCAAGTAGAATTCTCATGGGAGACTTTGACTTTGACGAGTCATTTTCTGGTAACTATACTTCAACTGAAGTATATTTGCTTAGTACTTCATACAACACTTAACCCGAGAGTGCACATCAAGACATGTATACTGTAGCTAACATTATTCCAGAGGAACATTTTTGGTGGTTGGTTGGTCAAATTAATTTTGATGAATTTTGTCCACTAGTTGAGTGAGTGAGTTCACTAGATAAGACTATTATAAATTTGCCTGTTTGTTGTCCTCAGCTGTGGATTCACTTTGAACCCTACCAGATGAGGAAAATATGAATTCTTTCTCACTTTGTAAAGCTTAGCCGACATTTCCCTGATCATCAACCATGAGCTCCTACTCCTGCTCCTAGTATTTCAAGGCTGGAAATGTAAATCCAGGGTTTTTCCTGCGTTCAAAATTGCGTGGCGGCCGCCTCCACCTAATTTTGTGCCGCCCCCAGCCAGAGCGATTGATTTCGCTCAACACAGCGTAAAGCTCCAGCTGTGTTGATCGAGCGTATGATGTCCCTCTGCAGCAGCAACGTATTTTAACTGCAGTTGCAGCGTTGCGCCACTATAGAGGCGCTATATCAACAGCAGTGCACCGGAAAGACCTGAAGCATCTACCGAAGAAGAAACGGATGGAATCATGTTTTTTCAAGTTTTTTTCCCGCTAGTTGGTGCTATCGGCGTCCTGATTTTCCCTGGCGGATGGTACAAACAGGTAAATACTGCTTGTCTTTTGTGCATCCAAGCATGTCGTGTTTATTTAAAAAAAAAGTTTCCTCCGTTTTTTAGCATTGCAGATATGACAGGCAAAATCAGCCAGTACTTTAAAAAGCGACCTCGCGAGGAGGAAAGTCACGAGTCCAGGTGAAACACAGCAGAGAAAAAACGTAACAGGCAGTTAAAATGCTATAATTCATGGTGGTGACAACATGTGGAAATTTGTGTCAGGTCTGAAAGTACTTCAGAAGGGACTGGTGATCGCGAGGGTCAGAATGCAGGACAGGACGAGTCGGCGAGGCGAGGGTAATTAATTAATTAATTAGTTTCCAATTAGGAGCATAACGCAAAGCCAACATGTACGTGGTTTTTATTCCTCTTTCCAGATCTTCTCAAAAACACAGAGCCAGTGGCTTTGACAAGCAGTGGCTCAATCAATTTACCTGGCTCAGGCATACTGAGGAAGGCATGCACTGCTATTTATGCCAAAAGCACTGTGCCCCAACACAGCAGGCGATCGCTGCCTCCTTAGTAAGACAGCCATCAACCAACTACAGGCTGGACACATTAAAAAGACATGAGGTGACAGCCGTTCACAAAGCAGCAGAAGAGAAGGAGAAGTATATTAAAGATGGTAGTACCTAAAAACACTCAACTAATAAAGTTACAAAAAATAAATAACATAGTTTAGATAGTTTAAGAAATAATTGGTTGTCGTTTTTTTTAGGGAGGACACTGCAGCGTATACATATAAATAATATATGATAGTCTGTTTCTAAACACTATCGCTCTTCATGTCTGTATCAGAATAAAAACAAAAATACTTAATGCATGATGAATTGTTTTGTTTAAGGTGAAGACACCTCTGCGGAACAGACTGAAGGAGAGGCACTTGGATGTCTGTTGTAAGGTGGCCGCTGATGGACCAGACCAGGAGGCCTTGGACTACAAGGAGTGCATGAGGAGGTTCTACAGAATGAAAAAGAGGAGGCTGAAATGTTCTGTCTGGTTGCGAGATGTGTGGATGAAGTGTACTTTCAATTTAAAGTTGCCAGCTGATTTGTGTATGTATATAGTTTTAATAAATGAATGCTTTAACATGATAATGGTCACACTCTTTTTTGAATTCTTAACTTAAAGTATGTTGCCTGTAAAAGAAAGTGAGTCAGTTGAATTTACAAATACATGCACGTCATGGCGCATGGTCAGGATGGTGCCACCTCTGCCTCAATTTGAGCCAGGAAAAACCCTGTAAATCAATAAATAACATAGCTGAACCTTAGCTTTTTAGTGTGCACATGAATGATGAAAATACAACGTTTTGTGATTTTCTGAAAAAGTAGTAAGAACACCTACTGTGAGTATTTTCAAAAGCAAATATTTTAGCACTTAAACATAAGTAATATTTTATCTGAGCAATTCTTACTTGTATTTAAGTATAAATTTACCAGGTTATACTTCAAACCAAGTAATTAAGTAATGTCTTTGTCTTCACGATCTACCCTCTCATTATGGGTTTTATTCTTGTCTCGGTCCTCTCTTCCTAAGTGTTCTCTTGTTGATTTGTTGTTTTTAACTTGCATCTTTGTTTGCCTGCATGCCAAAGCACTTTGTAAACCCTTGTTTTTAAAAAGTACTATATAAATAAAGTTATTATCACAATCTTCTTTAACAACAAATGGTTTTACTTAATACATTTTTCTGGCAATGTTGTTTAAGTTTAAAAAAAGGTCTAATGCGACATTTAAATTATACAAATATCTCCTGAATTCTAAAAAGTAAATACAAAAAAGTTAATAAAATGAATGTATGATTCTGGACTATAAAAAGCAAGGATAAAAAATAATATTAAAACTTTTTCCTAGTTAGGATGGGTTACCATCATTGAAAACATTTAGACGTCAGAGGACAGTATAAAATTAAAACTTCCTCAACACCTGAATATTTGTGCATTCTTTATTGTGTAAGAAGTATACAAAGAAATATAAAGGATTAAGAGTCAAAAAAAAAAAAAGTTAAGAGTCACATTAGACTTTTCTTTAAAAATTTCACTATAAAACAAAGCAGCTGAGGGGTTTTTCATCCATATCAACATGAGTCTTGTTAGATAAGACTTTGTGCTAAATCTCTTGCTGTAAAATGAGCAGATGGAGCCCCCACCCACCCACTCCTCTGATGAGCCATGTGACAGTTTTGGACTAGCCTAGTGTCAATATATTCCAATATACACAGAACAAAAATGTCTCTCTCTAGTATGAATCAACATTTGTAGGTTTGAAAAATGTCATGTTTAACTCCTTCACCACACAGTAAACAACTCAAAATCTACTCCCCAGCATAAACTAGAAAATGTGAAACCTGACTTCATTTTCCAAAGAGTACTTCCCTTCAAAAACAGCAGCCAGTGGACTGCTTCACCCACAGCTATAGGATCTTTCTCCAGTGTGAACTATCATGTGCTTATGCAGTGTTTGTTCAGTTTTGAATGTTTTCCCACATTCAGTGCAGCTGAAGGGTCTCTCCTTTAAGTGACATATCATGTGTTTTGCCAGATATCTTTTAGTTTTGAATTTTTTGCCACACTCTGAGCAGCTGAAGGGTATCTCCTCCGAGTGAACTGCCTTGTGTTGTCCCAGCTTATTTTTAGTTTTGAATGTTTTGCCACACTCTGTGCACCTGAAGGGTTTTTCATCTGAGTGAACTGCCATGTGTTTTCTCAATTCATCTTTAGATTTGAATGGTTTGCCACACTGCTTGCAGCTGAAGGGTCTCTCCTCTGTGTGAACTCTCATGTGGATTGCCAGTTCTTTTTTAGATTTGAATGATTTGCCACACTCTGTGCACCTGAAGGGTTTTTCATCTGAGTGAACTGCCATGTGTTTTCTCAGTTCATCTTTAGATTTGAATGTTTTGCCACAGTCCGGGCAGCTGAAGGGTTTCTCATCTGAGTGAACTCTCCTGTGAGATGCCCTACATTTTTTTGTTTTGAACAATTTACCACACTCTGGGCAGCTGAAGGGTCTCTCCTCTGAGTGAACTGTCATGTGTCGGGCCAGTTTATGTTTAGTTTTGAATGTTTTGCCACACTCTGAGCAGCTGAAGGGTCTCTCCTCTGAGTGAACTCTCATGTGTTGGGCCAGTTCAGGTTTAGATTTGAATGTTTTGCCACACTGCTTGCAGCTGAAGGGTCTCTCCTCTGAGTGAAATCTCATGTGAGATGCCCTACATTTTTTTGTTTTAAACAATTTACCACACTCTGGGCAGCTGAAGGGTGTCTCGTCTGAATGAACTTTCAGGTGTTTTGCTAGTTCTTGTCGTGTTTTGAATATTCTACAACACTTCAAGCAAACACATGATTTCTCAATCCTCTTCAGCATCTTCTTTCTCACTTTTTTCACAGACATTAGACTTGACCTTTGTGGCCTTGTATTCTCCAAGTTTTCATCACTGTCCTCAGTCTCAGGTTCCAAGGAGTCTTCAGTCTCTTGTTGTACATTTATCTCTGAATTTGAGTTCCTGGCCTGTTCTTGCGCTCTATAGTTCTTTGCCTTGCTAATGTTTGGGTGCTCAATGTTTCCCTGGTCCAGACTGGGATTCCTCTCCTGCTGCTCAGAGAGAAACTCTTCTTTTTTCACCAACAATTGCTGAATATCTGCAAGGCACAGTAAACAAAAATTCAGTTTGTGAAAAAAGCAGTAAATATGAAAACAGATTAAAAAACTCACTGATAGTCAAAAGAAAAAGGAGAGTTTGTGTGGGGATTATGAACTTATGTTTCCCCAAACTCTAACTAAACCAGTGCAAATGACTTAAGTTATTTTTTTTCATGGACCGTATCCCAGCATCTTTGGGCAAAAGTAGGGGACACCCTGGACAAGTCACCAGTTCATTGCAGGGCTGATATATAGAGCCAAACAACCATCCACTCACATTCACACTTACAGGCAATTTGAAAGTGACCAATTAACCTATCCCCACTTCTGCATGTTTTAAGGATATGGGAGGAAACCAGAGTAACCGAATTCAAAACCAGGACCTTCTTGCTGTAAGGTGACAGTGCTAACCACTACACTACTGTGCCGGCCCAAGTAAATCAATAAAGGACAAAATTATGAAGGATAAACTATGTAGCTTTAGATTTAAGACAATCACTGAAGACACAGTGGAGGATTTTCTGCGAGCAGGAAGAGAAACACCCTCAGGTATTGACAACCTGGAGGTAAAGTTACCTAAGCCTACAGCAGGTGTGATTGCTTTACCTATTGCTTTTATGATTAATTTAAGTTTTAAAAAATGTGTTTGTCCTTCAGATTTGAAAATTGACAAGATTATTTTGTTACCTAAAGACAGTAAAGGAACATTCTCAGGAAAAAATAAACAACCACAAAGTTTACTACCTGCTCTAGGTAAAATCCATTGGCGGCTGCTGGTCTTTCAAGGAGGGGAAGCTCATTTTTCTGGCCTACATCATAATTGTGTTTGTTTATTTGTGTGTGTGTGTGTGTGTGTGTGTGTGTGTGTGAGTGAGTGAGTGAGTGAGTGAGTGAGTGAGTGAGTGAGTGAGTGAGTGAGAGAGAGAGAGAGAGAGAGAGAGAGAGAGAGAGAGAGAGAGAGAGAGAGAGAGAGAGAGAGAGAGAGAGAGAGAGTGACGGGGGAGAAGCTCTGCAGCTGCTGCTGTTCTTTGGGGAAAGAAACCACAGAGTGACAGAACAGAGTCCCCAAACACAACGGCATTCGTTTTTAACAAAGACAAAAGTCGCTGAGGATCGGTAAAGTCTCTGGAGCAGTTAAGAACAACGGAATGAATAACTTCGAAAATGCTCTGGTAGATGTTTTATTCTTCAAGATCGCTGATTTGCTTGTTTAGCTGTCAATCAAAAAAGGATTTCACCTCAGACAGCTCATCCAATCATGAATCATGAGTTCTCTCTCTTTGTTAAGCTCAGCTGACCTTTCCCTGATCATCAGTGATAAGGTTTTCTATAAATTTCTTCATTTTCTGTCTCTTTGCGGAGGCAGTAATGCAGGTTATGGATATTCTACATATTGTTCTATGGTTTCAGACTGAGACGGTTGAAGACAACACAAAATGATTGTAGGCTTTAAAAGATGACTTTCGTCAGGTGGCAGCTTGCCTTTTCTCCAAGGGATAAACATTTCTGGCACTTTTGTGTTTCTAATACAATATTATTCTAAAATCAATATATATGATATTTCTTTAAAACACCATGTATAAGTACCAGATAATAAGAAACAGTTTTCTGGGGGAGCAGACCTCCAGACCATCTGCTTTTATCTATCAAAATATATCAGTCCTGCAAATGTCCTCTCTTTTTTGTGTTTACTGATAACTTCATACTTATGCCACAAATTCAACAGTGTGATCCAAATAAGTTCAAATACTGTAATAGAGTACATGTCATTAAAATTTCACTCTTGCCTGACAACTAAAGATGGCTACCCTGGAGCTATAATTGTACACACATTAGTTAAAACTTCAGAAACAAAAGAGCTAGAGAGATGGAGTGTGACCCACAGTTTGAGCAGGAGCTGAAAAGCGACACCATCCAGCAGTTAATCAACTGGATAGGACAGCTGTTGTCTTTGTTTTTGCGGTTGTGCAGTACTTTATGTATTCAGAAGAAAACAAATTCATTGAAGTAAATTTTTTCATGTAGGCTACTTGAAGATAGAGTCACACAGAGGCTTTTTTCCTATAATATTTCTGTTGCTCCTGTAAAGAAATTGTACTTAAAGGTAAGAAATGTATTCATAATGAAAACCACACATTCTTTGCACATGAATATAACTGTCTTGACACAACACATACTGTTTTTTGTGAAGTTTTGGTAGGATTTTAGCTCCGTGTGAAAAGCAATACTTTTTTTGCCCTTAAGTCATTTCAGGTTTAATCATATTATTTTGACATTTTATTAATATGGTTTATTGCAGCCTGTGTGTGGCGCTTGCTTCAGTAAAGGCATTGAAACATGTATCCAGAAGTGTAAGGAAAACTGACCTGCTCTGTGCAGCTTGATTTCGGGTGTTAAAATCACAGCCAGCAGTTTTTTCTGGCGGCGGAGCTCCTCTTCGTATCCAGACTCTGTTCTATATTCGACCAGGTCCGTGATATCCGCAGCCAGCAGCCGCCGATTAAATAAATCATCGAGATCCTGAAACCCGGACATTTGTGGTTACCGCGGTACCACGTGGACGACTTCTTCCTCCTCTTTTTTCTTTATGAGCGTTTTCTGGAAACAAGGCTGGATCGGTTGTTGGGAGCGGAAGTCGGCGCGTTTTGGAGCGAAAACTGAAATCTCGGTATCGGATCACCAGAGGCCTGTACTAGGAAACTGGACTTGGTTTTAGCGAGATAACTCCTGGGTTTCCCTACCTGCTTTCAGCGGGTGTAACAGACCGCCCACTGACCAATCGGATCTCTTGGAAAATGTCTTGCCCACTTTTGCCGGATCACGTAGACATCGCTGCACGGATGGCGAGAGGAACGCTTTGCCGAGAGCGTTATATTCGTGATCGATCAAATTGATTTACCTGATTAAGTTCTCCATGAACGTTACAGGTTTTCCTCGGACGGCCTCAATATTCAGGTAGCATGAAGTCAAAGCAATGAACTAATATTTGTCAAGTTCCAGTTTCATGCCGCATATCATCATTCATCATTTGAAATAATGAGGTCAATTATGATGGTTAACACACACACTGCATAAAACATATTAGGGGACCATAAATTTATGAACGCACAAATGTAATTTAAACAATCGGCGATCTCCATTGTGGAGATAAGTCAGGTGGCACTGACCCCGCCCCCTTTACTTGTGCGCGCACAGATCTAGACTGGCCACAATTGAGGGAATTCACATGACGTCATCACCCTTTACGGTTTTACCGATAGCAGAGCATCCCCTGCTCAACGCCATTGGGTTTACCTGGACCTTCACAATCTCTAGATCTACAACGTGAGATTCTGAAAGTTACAGTGAAGAATAATTTTAGCTACCAATTGGCAATAAGTTCTCTTGCTAATGTTATCTGCATTTTAAGTTTTCCTATTACGAAATTCTCTACGAGTTGGGAATAGAAGCTAACTCATGCTCATGATACTGGCGACCTCCCTGTGTTTATTTAGCATCATTTCATTTAGCATTTCCTTTTTAATTCAATGTATAATCACTCGCCATACCTCTGACTCTTGGCCAAGGAATTTATTCTAATCTAATGTAATCTAATAAAAGCTAAAATTGAAACTACAAGGGCCACTGGATGTTATGAGTGTTGTTTTGGATATTTGGTTTCCAAGTAGGCAATAACTAAGCCAGGAACCTCTGTTGTTATGTTAACATGGTTAACTACTTTGAAACCGCAGTAGCCAGTGGTCGTTATCAGCTACAAAGGCTGATTCACGTTCAAATTCTTTGGATGTGTCCTTAGATTGATTTAAACATGCTAGCAATGTTGTATCTATAAAATACCTGGCTGTTGAAATACATGAAGACTTCTTTTTGCATTTCCTTTTTACACCAATGTAGACTCACCTTTTTATGTTCAAGTTATCAATTACCATGGAGATTAAACATTGTTGCTATTCTTCTTTCTCACAACAGTATGTCACAAGCTTGGTGTAGTGTCCCTTGTTGCTCCAACAGCAAAAAGAAATCCCCTCATTTAAACTTCCACGGCCTCCCAGTCGATAAACCTGCACATGCCAACTGGGTGAGGGAAATCAGGAGAAACAAGGGACCAAGTTTTATAATAACATGTGGAAGCACCTTTGTGTGCAGTGAACATTTTAAACCTGAGGATCTGCACAAGCCAACCCAAGCCAGTAGAAAAACTTGCATTGAATACAGAGCTGTGCCTTCAAAATTCCACTGGAATGACTGGGGAAACCTAAACCTGTTGTATTTGATGCACACATGAATGATGAGTAAACAACATTGTTTTGAGATTTTCTCAAAAAGTCATATGAGAGGGTCTATCAAGGCATTTTCAAAAGCAAATATTTTAGTACTCAAACAAAAGTAACATTTTACTGAGCCAATTTTACTTGTACCGAAGTATCAATTGACTGGATGTCTCTATACTTTGAACTGAATAATGTCTTTGTCCTCACTATCTTCCCTCTCTGTCACCCTTATCCACTTCATAATCTTATAAACAATCTGTCTTGGTCATAAAGCTTACACATTTTCAGGACTCAATACAAATATCTCTGGAATTCTAATAAGTGAATAAAAAAAAAAACACCTCACCTCACTGCATTGCATAATTGTAGAGCACAGGACAGAATACACAAGATCATTTGTTGCTCAAGAAGAGGGTCCTCATGTCACAAACCTCAAGGCTCCTATGAGAAGCTTTCTGACTGTGTTGACTTTTGTACCCCCTACTGATGAAGTGGTATATATACACTTTATTTTAGGCCCAATAAGTCTATACCCAACATAAAACAAAAGATACAAGAGATAAGAATAAGAATAACTTTATTGATCCCCGAAGGGATATTCAATTTTCTGTTGTCGCATTTGTCACGTCTCAAAAGTCATCGAATATTTATAGAAGAGTTGTAAAGTCTGATGGCTGTGGGTACAAAAGATCTTCTGAATCTTTCTGTCCTGCAGTGAAGAGAGAGGAGCCGTCCACCACCATTGGCCCTTTGGTCCATTAAGGTGTTGTTAAGTGGTTGATCCATGTTCTTTAAAATAGCCTCCACCTTCCAAGTGTACATTTCTCCACCACATCCTCCAGTGAGTCCAACTTGAATCCAACCACAGAGCCAGCCTTTTTCACCAGTATGTTCAGACGTCTTGCATCTTTGTGTTTGATGCTTCCTCCCCAGCAGACTGCAGCACAGAACACAACATTTGCCACCACAGACTGATAAAACATCTGCAGCATCTTACTACACATGTCTATTTATTGGAGTCTTCTCAGGCAAAAGAGGCGGCTCTGCCCCTTTCTACAGATGAAGTCTATGTTCTTAGACCAGTCCACTCTACATGCTTGTTTTTTTCTGCAGTTGTAGACACACTTGTTCTGTCTCTGACTATGTGTTCATCTAAGCAGAGAGGCTCACAGATTTTAAATACTTAGACTTTAAGTGTTGCAATGTCTCTCTCTGCTCCTCATTGATGTTAATACAAATATTTTCTGAGAGAAGCAGGAGGGACTCCTGTCTATAACTTGCAAGTACATCCAAACTTCCTACTGTAAAAACACCAAAATCACATTAACATGTTCAGGAGGTCCTCATGATGACTATGGTCTACTTTTTTTTATAGGGCTTCTGTTTTGTCAGAATGAGCCCAAATGAAAGACAGGCTCAAAGGTAAAAACTGCTCTTTATTTCTATTATCATTGTTGTTGCTATTTGTTACTGCAATTATATTTCAGTTTAAATCTTCATCCTCTCTGTGAATTGATATGTGATATGTAGGACAAGACTTTTACTTAGATGTCTTACTGCACTGAGAGCAGCTTTATAGTTTCTCTTTGATGTACTATGTAAAGAGTCACATTAGACTATTCTTTAAAAATTTCACTATAAAACAAAGCAGCCGGGGGGGTTTTCTTCTTTATCAACATGAGTCTTGTCAGCCAAGACATTGTACTAAATCTCTTGCTGTAAAGTGAGCAGATGGAGTCCCCCCCCCCACACACACACACACCTCTGAAGAGCCATGTGACAGTTTGGACTAGACTAGTGTCAATTAATTCCAATATACACAGAACAAAAATGTCTCTCTCTAGTATGAACCACCATTTGTAGGTTTGAAAAATGTCATGTTTAACTCCTTCACCACACTGTAATCAACTCAAAATCTTCTCCCCAGCATATACCTGACTTTTTTGACTATTTTCCATAGAGTACTTCCCGTCACAGCAGCTAGTGGACTTCTTCACCCTTTGAGATTTAATGTGTCTATTCAGCGCTTCTGTAGTTCTAAAAAGTTGATCACATCCAGGGCAGCTATAGAGTCTTTCTCCAGTGTGAACTCTCATGTGTTTATGCAGCATTTGTTCAGTTTTAAATGTTGTACCACATTCAGTGCAGCTGAAGGGTCTCTCCTTTAAGTGACATATCATGTGTCTTGCCAGATAATTTTTTGTTTTGAATTTGTTTCCACACTCTGAGCAGCTGAAGGGTCTCTCCTCTGAGTGAACTGCCATGTGGGTTGCCAGTACTTTTTTAGTTTTGAATGTTTTGCCACACTGTGTGCACCTGAAGGGTTTTTCATCTGAGTGAACTGCCATGTGTGGTTCCAAGTCATTTTTAGTTTTGAATGTTTTGCCACACTCTAGGCAGCTGAAGGATCTCTCCTTTAAGTGACATATCATGTGTCTTGCCAGATAATTTTTTGTTTTGAATTTGTTTCCACACTCTGAGCAGCTGAAGGGTCTCTCCTCTGAGTGAACTGCCATGTGGGTTGTCAGTACTTTTTTAGTTTTGAATGTTTTGCCACACTGCGTGCACCTGAAGGGTTTTTCATCTGAGTGAACTGCCATGTGTGGTCCCAAGTCATTTTTAGTTTTAAATGTTTTGCCACATTCTTGGCAGCTGAAGGGTCTCTCCTCTGAATGAACTGCCATGTGTGGTCCCAGTTCATTTTTAGTTTTGAATGATTTGCCACATTCTGAGCAGCTGAAGGGTCTCTCCTCTGAGTGATAGAGCATGTGTCTTGCCAGTTCATTTTTAATTTTAAATGTTTTGACACACTCTAAGCAGCTGAAGGGTCTCTCGTCTGAGTGAACTCTCGTGTGTTTTGCCAGGTCTCCTTTAGTTTTGAATGTTTTGCCACACTGCTTGCACCTGAAGGGTCGCTCCTCTGAGTGAACTGCCTTGTGGCTTGCCAGATTTTTTTTAGTTTTAAATGTTTTGCCACATTCTGAGCAGTTGAAGGGTCTCTCCTCTGAGGGAACTTTCAGGTGGATTGCCAGTTCTTGTTGTGTTCTGAATATTTGACAACAGTTTGAGAAAACACGTGATTTCTCAATCCTCTTTAGCATCTTCTTTCTCACTTTTTTCACAGACATTAGACTTGACTTTTGTGGTCTTGTATCCTTCCAATTCTTATCACTGCCCTCAGTCTCAGGTTCAGGGGAGTCTTGAGTCTTTCGTTGTATATTTATCTCTGAGTTACTGGCTGGTTCTTGTCCTCCATAGTTCTGTTCCTTGCAAATGTTCGGGGGCTCAGTGTATCCCTGGTCCAGACTGGGACTCCTCTCCTGCTGCTCAGAGAGAAACTCTTCATTTTTCACCAACAGCTGCTGGATATCTGCAAGGCACAGAAAAACAATAACATTACAGAAGTTGATGAAAACATCAGTAGATATAAAAGCAGATTTAAAAACCCAATGATAGTCTAAAGAAAGACAAGAGTTAGTGTAGGGATTACTAACTAATGTTACCCCCTCTGGAAAAACTCCTCCACAGTTTTGTGACTTTATTCACAAGAGGAAATGACTGAGAAAAATATTTGAACTCTTTAAAATAAATTTTGAATAACTAAAAACATTTTTTTATTGAGACCCAAATACCCGGTTATAGTGGGCGAGAGGGTCATCAGGCCCTCTAAAATAAAGGGGCTAAGGGTACAGAAACACTGAAGAGACAAACATGAAAGTTAACTATAGTTAACTACTAAGTTTTCCTCTCTGAATCAGACAGGATTTTAGCCTGCTGGGCAGAACAAAAGCTAAAAATGCAGACTGACTGTACAAAGTCAAGGATTTACATTTTCAAGTAGGCAACAGAGATAAATCTGGAACATGTGCTTTTCTTGTGCCTTTTCAGAATTAATACCAATTCCAATTTTTTTAAATAATTGTTTTCACTTCTGTCTCTTTGAGGAGGCAGTAATGCAAGTTATGGATATTCTACAAGTTCTTCTATGGTTTCAGACTGAGATAGACAGTTGAAGAATAACACAAAATGATTGTAGGTTTTATAAGATGACTTTCATCAGGCAGCTCACCTTTTTTGCAAGGGATGAACATTGTTTCTTACATTTTTATGTTTCTAATACAATGTTATTCCAAAATCACCAAGCACCAGATAATAAGAAACAGTTTCCTGGGGGAGCAGCCCTCTAGACCACCTTGGGTTTTGGCCGAGCCCCCATTGTTCAGAACATAAGGCTGAGTCCCTGCATTCTAGCACTTTGCCTTTTGGGAGGTAGTTTCTGTTTTTACTTACCCGATTATTATGATATATCATTAGATGATAGTCAAAATATATGAGTCTTTCAAATGTCCTCTCGTTTTTGTGTTTCCTGACAACTTCATACTTATGCCACAAATTCAACAGTGTGATCCAAATAAGTTCAAATACTGTAATAGAGTACATCAAAATTTCACTCTAGCCTGACACTCTACTTGCAGATAACGAGTCACACAGAGGCTTTTTTCACATTTTTTGTTGCTCCTGTAAAGAAATACGTTTTGTACTTAAAGGTAAGAAATGTATTCATAATGGAAACCACACATTCTTTGCACATGAATATAACTGTCTTTGTAAAACACATTCTCTTTCTTTGTGAAGTTTTGGTAGGATTTTAGCTCCGTGTGAAAATAAATACTTTGTTGCCCTAAAGTCATTCCAGGTTTAATCATATTATTTTGCCATTTTGTTAATATGGTTTATTGCAGCCTGTGTGTGGCGCTTGCTTCAGTAAAGGCATTGAAACATGTATCCAGAAGTGTAAGGAAAACTGACCTGCTCTGTGCAGCTTGATTTCGGGTGTTAAAATCACAGCCAGCAGTTTTTTCTGGCGGCGGAGCTCCTCTTCGTATCCAGACTCTGTTCTATTTTCGACCAGGTCCGTCATTACCGCAGCCAGCAGCCGCCGATTAAATAAATCATCAAGATCCTGAAACCCGGACATTTTCCACAAACGCAAGAGCGAAAGCAGTGAAAACAGAACTTTGTGGTTACCGCGGTACCACGTGGACGACTTCTTCCTCTTCTTTTTCCCTTGTGATCAATCTCTGGTGTGGAAACAGAGCTGAATCGGTTGTTGGGAGCGGGTGTCGGCGGGTTTTGGAGCGAAAACTGAAATTTCGGTTCTTCTTCTTCTTCTTTTTCATTGGCAAACCAACTTGAAGGTGCATTACCGCCACCTACTGGACTGGAGTGTGAAACAGTAAATTGGTAGACAAAATAATATATATACATATTTTAAAAAAAAGGGAATTTGATCCTCTCCAGTAGCCCAGAGTTCTTCAAATATGCCATTAGATGATTAATTACAATTTCTGATTCTGATCCTAGTAGGTTCCCCATGCTAAGTGCCATTCCAGTATCCTCCTTTCCTCCACATATCCTCCACAATCTAACAACACATGCTGGACCGTCTCAGCCTGTCCACATTTATCACAACTGCCATCTGGGTGTTTTCCTATTTTATACAGTGTGTTGTTTAGCCCTGTGTGTCCTATCCTCAGACGTGTGATGATTGTTTCTTCCCTCCGGTTCCTGCTCCTCCTTCTTCCCAACCCAACTTTTTCCTGTATGTTATAAAGGTGTCTTCCCGTATCTTTAATGTCCCAGTATTCTTGCCACACTTTCTCTATATGTTTTTTGATAAGTGATTTACCCTCTGCCTTACTTAACGGAATTTCTGTATCTCTCTATTGTGTGATTTAAGTGCTTGTTTGGCCAGAAAATCAACTCATCCATTCCCCTCTATACCTACATGGGCAGGAACCCAAATAAAGCAAACTGTTAAACCCCTCTTGTGCATTGATCATTGATCACCATCATCACTGACCTCATTATTTCAGATGATGAATGATGATATGCGGCATGAAACTGGAACTTGACGAACATTGGTGCATTGCTTTGACTTCATGCTACCTGAACATTGAGGCCGTCCGAGGAAAACCTGTAACGTTCATGGAGAACTTGATCAGCTAAATCATTTTGATCGATCACGAATATAACGCTCTCGGCGAAGCGCTCCTCTTGCCAACCGTGCAGCGATGTCCACGTGATCCGGCAAAAGTGGGCAAGCCATTTTCCAAGAGATCCGATTGGTCAGTGGGCGGTCGACTTCCGCTCACAACAACCGATCCGGCTCTGTTTCTACACCAGGAAACGCTCACAAAAGAAGAGGAGGAATAAGTCGTCCACGTGGTACCGCGGTAACCACAAAGTTCTGTTTTCACTGCTTTCGCTCTTGCGTTTGTGGAAAATGTCCGGGTTTCAGGATCTTGATGATTTATTTAATCGGCGGCTGCTGGCTGCGGTAATGACGGACCTGGTCGAAAATAGAACAGAGTCTGGATACGAAGAGGAGCTCCGCCGCCAGAAAAAACTGCTGGCTGTGATTTTAACACCCGAAATCAAGCTGCACAGAGCAGGTCAGTTTTCCTTATACTTCTGGATACATGTTTCAATGCCTTTACTGAAGCAAGCGCCACACACAGGCTGAAATAAACCATATTAACAGTACTGTACTTAACTTAACAGTGAAGTACTGTATAACCGCAACAACAAAGACAACAGCTATCCTATCCTGTTGGTTCACTGCTGGACGGTTTCGCACTTCAGCCCCTGCTCAAACTGTGGGTCACACTTCAACTCTTTTGTTTGTGAAGTTTTAACTAATGTGTGTTCGATTATAACTCCAGAGTAGCCATCTTTAGTTGTCAGGCTAGAGCGAAATTTTGATGACATGCACTCCATTACAGTATTTGAACTTATTTGGATCACACTGTTGAATTTGTGGCATAAATATGAAGTTATCAGTAAACACAAAAAAGAGAGGACATTTGCAGGACTGATATATTTTGACCAGCATCAAATGATATATCATAATAATTGTGTAGATAAAGACAGAAACTACTTCACAAAAGGCAAAGTGCTAGAATGCAGGGACTCAGCCATATGTTGTAAACAATGGGGGCTCGGCCCAAACCCAAGGTGGTCTGGAGGTCTGCTCCCCCAGGAAACTGTTTCTTATTATCTGGTACTTATACATGGTGATTAAAAAAAAAATTATATATTGTGATTTTAGAATAATATTGTTTTAGAAACATAAAAATGTCAGAAATGGTGTTCATCCCATGCAAAAAAGGTGAGCTGCCACCTAATGAAACTCATCTTATAAAACTTTAAATCGTTTTGTGTTTTTCTTCAACTGTCTATCTCATTCTGAAACCAAGAGTTCCAATATTTTTCTCAGTCATTTCCTCTTGTGAAAAAGTAATGTCACAAAACTGTGGAGGAGTTTTTCCTGTGAACCGGTGAAAATCACTGAAATTTTCTTTTTTTTTTTTTGTAACACCAGAGGGGGTAACATTAGTTCATACTCCCCACACTAACTCTTATCTTTCTTTAGACTATCATTTAGTTTTTAAATCTGCTTTTATATCTACTGATGTTTTCATTACCTTCTGTTTAGTTATTGTTTTTCTGTGCCTTGCAGATATCCAGCAGCTGTTGGTGGAAAAAGAAGAGTTTCCCTCTGAGCAGCAGCAGAGGAGTCCCAGTCTGGACCAGGGATACACTGAGACACTAAACATTTGCAAGGAACAGAATTATGGAGGACAAGAACCAGCCAGTAACTCAGATTCAGAGATAAATATACAACAAAAGACTCAAGACTCCCCTGAACCTGAGACTGAGGGCAGTGATGACAGTTGGAAGGATACAAGACCACAAAAGTCAAGTCTAATGTCTGTGAAGAAAGTAAGAAAGAAGATGCTAAAGAGGCTTGAGAAAACAAACGTTTGCTCAAAGTGTTGTCGAATATTCAGAACACGACAAGAACTAGCAAAACACCTGAAAGTTCACTCAGAGGAGAGACCCTTCAGCTGCCCAGAGTGTGGCAAAACATTCAAAACTAAACATAAACTGGCAAGCCACAAGGCAGTTCACCCAGAGGAGAGACCCTTCAGCTGCAGACAATGTGGCAAAACATTTAAGACTAAAAAGGAAGTGGCAAGACACATGCTATGTCACTCAGAGGAGAGACCCTTCAGCTGCCTACAGTGTGGTAAATTGTTTAAAACAAAAGAGCTGAGGACCAGTCACATGAGAGTTCATTCAGAGAAGAGACCTTTCAGCTGCACGCAGTGTGGCAAATCATTCAAAACAAAACATGAAGTGACAATCCACATGAGAGTTCATTCAGAGGAGAGACCCTTCAGCTGCAAGCAGTGTGGCAAATCGTTCAAAACAAAACATGAAGTGACAATCCACATGGCAGTTCATTCAGATGAAAGACCCTTCAGCTGCCCAGAATGTGGCAAAACATTTAAAACTAAAAACAATCTAGTGCACCACAAGGCAGTTCACTCAGAGGAGAGACCCTTCAGCTGCACACAGTGTGGAAAATCATTCAAAACTAAAGGAGACCTGGCAATCCACATGAATGTTCACTCAGGGGAGAGACCCTTCGGCTGCTCAGAGTGTGGCAAAACATTCAAAACTAAAAATGAACTGGCACAACACAAGCCAGTTCACTCAGACGAAAAAGCCTTCGGCTGCTCAGAGTGTAGCAAAACATTCAAAACTAAACGAGAACTGGCAATTCACATGAGAGTTCACTCAGAGGAGAGACCCTTCAGCTGCCTAGAGTGTGGCAAAACATTCAAAACTAAAAATGAACTCGGACAACACATGGTAGTTCACTCAGATGAAAAACCCTTCAGGTGCACGCAGTGTAGCAAAACATCCAAAACTAAAGGCAACCTGTTAATCCACATGAGAGTTCACACACAGGAGAGGCCCTTTATCTGCTCGCAGTGTGGCAAAACATTCAAAACTAACGGGAAACTGGCAATCCACAGAAGAGTTCACACAGAGGAGAGACCCTTCAGCTGCTCAGAGTGTGGCAAAAAATTTAAAACTAAAAATGAACTGGGACAACACATGATATGTCACTTAAAGGAGAGACCCTTCAGCTGCACTGAATGTGGCAAAACATTTAAAACTGAACAAACACTGCATAAGCACATGAGAGTTCACACTGGAGAAAGACCCTATAGCTGCCCTGGATGTGATAAACTGTATAAAACTAAAAAAGCGCTGAATACACACATTAAATCTCAAAGGGTGAAGAAGTCCACTGGCTGCTCTGTTTGAAGGGAAGTACTCTTTGGAAAATGAAGTCAGGTTTCACGTTTTCTAGTTTATGCTGGGGAGTAGATTTTGAGTTGTTTACTGTGTGGTGAAGGAGTTAAACATAACATTTTTCAAAGCTACAAATGTTGTTTCATACTAGAGAGAGACATTTTTGTTCTGTGTATAATAGAATATATTGACACTAGACTAGTTCAAGAATGTCACAGAAAAAAATTGCAGTAATAATAATAGAAAATAAAGAGCAGTGTTTGCCTGAGCGCTGTAAACACATTTCGCTCATTCTGACAAAACAATAGCCCCTATCAAAAAAAAAGTAGACCATGGTCATCATAAGGACTTCCTGAACACGTTAATATGATTTTGGTGTTTTTACAGGAAAATAGTTTGGACATACTTGCAAGTTATGGACAGGAGTACCTCCTGCTTCTCTCAGAAAATATTTGTATTATCATCAATGAGGAGCAGAGAGAGACATTGCAACACTTAAAGTCTAAGTATTTAAAATCTGTGAGCCTCTCTGTTTAGATGAACACATAGTCAGAGACAGAACAAGTGTGTCTACAACTGCAGAAAAAAACAAGCATGTAGAGTGGACTGGTCTAAGAGCATAGACTTCACCTACAGAAAGGGGCAGAGCCGCCTCTTTTGCCTGAGAAGACTTGGATCAACAGACATGTGTAGTAAGATGCTGCAGATGTTTTATCAGTCTGTGGTGGCAAGTGTGTTCTGTGCTGCAGTCTGCTGGGGAGGAAGCATCAAACACAAAGATGCAAAACGTCTTAACAAACTGGTGAAAAAGACTGGCTCTGTGGTTGGATTCAAGTTGGACTCACTGGAGGATGTGGTGGAGAAATGTACACTTGGAAGGTGGGGGCTATTTTAAAGAACATGGATCAGCCACTTCACAACACCTTAAGGGACCAAAGGGCCAATGGTGGTGGACGGCTCCTCTCTTCACTGCAGGACAGAAAGATTCTGAAGAGCTTTTGTACCCACAGCCATCAGACTTTACAACTCTTATAAATAGTAGATGACTTGAGACTTGAGACATGACAAATGAGACGACAATTGGATTTCCCTTCAGGAATCAATAAAGTTATTCTTATCCTTTGTATCTTTTGTAATTTTTTTTTGTATGATCTGGACTTATTGGGTCTGAAATAACCCTCTGCTAGGGCAGCAACCAATCTTCTGTATCCTGTCCTGTGCTTTACAATTATGCAATGCAGTGGGGCGAGGTGTGTGTGGTTTTTTTAATTTCACTTATCAACTACTACCTAAGTAAAAGTTGCTGGATGAAATGTTACCTTTGTTTGAATACTAAAATTTGGCTTTTTAAAATACCTAGATAGACCTACTCATGTGACTTTTTGAGAAAATCTCAAAACAATGTTGTTTTCTCATCATTCATGTGCACAGTAAAGAAAAAAAACAGGTTCAACTATGTTATTTATGAATTTACGTTTTTAAACTCATATGTTTTACATTTCCAGCCTTGAAATATTAGGAACAAGAGTACGTGCTTATGACTGATGATCAGGGAACGGTCAGCTGAGCTTTACAAAGTGCGAAAGAATTCATACATTCCTCATCTGGCACGGTTCAAAGTGAATCCACAGCTAATCTAATCTAATCTAGTGAACTCACTCACTTAGCCAGTGGACAAAAGAAACACGTGGCGTAAAACTAGGAAAAGGTGGGGAAAAATGAGTGGAGTAGAAGAGGACAAGTAAAAAGTAAGGTGTAAGGAAGTAAGATAAAACCAAGAGCATCAGATTAAGCACAAGACCATGATCACTCCAACTTTATTGGTTTCATGTGCTTCAAACTGGGAGTGTCTCTGGGGTGTGTGCAGAGAGAGGAGGGGTCGCTGTTGTCCTGCAAGATCTTCAAGATACATGGTTATTTGATCCAACTTACACTTTTGACTGGTAAAGGAGTAAGATCTAATAGTCATCCACTGTGATTAATGTTATTGAATGCTGATGATTGAATGTCGAATCACATGAAGCATTGTCATTATGCTGTATCACTTTCAAAAGAGTGCTGATAAAATAACTGATGTCCTTTGACATCCTTGCCTATGGCTGCTGTTTTAATTACTGTTGTTTTAGCCCATGAAAACTTTTGCCTCTCCTCTGCTTTCTTCTTTCTGTACTCCAGAAAGGTCTGAAGAGTAGGGGTTTGAATAGTCTGTGATGCTGCAGGAAAACAAAGAAATAAATATGTTAAATTTTGGGTCTCTTATTTCTGTATAACAGACTGCTGCTAAGGAGGCCGCTATGATCAGAGGAGGAGAACCGCACGGGATATTTTACTAATGGGTTACTTTTATATGGAGCTTTAACCTTAATAGAACAGCTTTAATAATAACAAATAATGAACTTTGACAACCATGATGAATTACAAAAATGTGCCCACTGATGTTTCTTTAGTTACTGTGTTTAAAAGCTTTGAAAACACCAAGTTAGTCTAAACTGTGGCAAAAAAGAGATTCCCTATATTCCACCTTTGTGAAGTTGGCCACCCACATTCAATAAAAACGTTTCGAAAGATCGTGTTTTCTCTTTTGCGGTTGTATTTTGTACATCCAGGCCACTGTAATGTTGCACCATCACGCCGTAAAAAATTCCTAGTCTGTGAATCCTGTTCATTGACAATGGCAATAAAACCCCTTCTGATTCTGATTCTATGACACCTATGACAGGTAAGAGCTCAGTCATAATCATCAGTATATGCCTTGTACAGCGTGCATTTAACACCAGTCCGACGCTGTCTTTTTTTGTAGGCACTGGTCTACACACCTCCATTTTATTAGTGGCCTCTGGTGCAATCCCTTGTAATAAAAACAAGATGAATAATGTTTTGATACGACAATACAAATTTTGAACTTGTTGAACATCGAACAAACATTAATATCTGCCCTGTGTCCTTGGCTGGTGCTAGGTTTGCAGAAAGCTGGTGCATGCCAGGGGCTGGGCACCCACTTCACTCCTAAAGTGCTATACAGGTGCTGGCCAGTAAATTAGAATATCATCAAAAAGTTGAATTATTTCAGTAATTCCATTCAAAACGTGAAACTTGTATACTGTATACTTTCCTTCCACACATAGTGATATATTTCAAGTGTTTATTAATTTTCATTTTTATTATTACAACTGACAGCTAATGAAAACACCAAATTCAGTATCTCAGAAAATTAGAATATTCTGAAAAGGCTCAATATAGAAGACACCTGGTGCCACACTAATCAGCTGATTAACTCAAAACACCTGCAAAGGCCTTTAAAAGGTCCCTCAGTCTTGTTCTGAAGGCTCCACAATCATGGGGAAGACTTCTGACTTAACAGTTGTCCAAAAGACGACCATTGACACCTTGTACAAGGAGGGCAAGACACAAAAGGTGATTGCTACAGAAGCTGGCTGTTCGCAGAGCTCTGTGTCCAAGCACATTAACAGACAGGCGAAGGGACGGAAAAAATGTGGTAGAAAAAAAAGTACAAGCTCTAGGGATAACCGCACCCTGCAGAGAATTGTGACGACAAACCCATTCAAAAATGTAGGGGAGATCCACAAAGAGTGGACTGTAGCTGGAGTCAGCGCTTCAAGAACCACCACGAAGAGACGCATGAAAGACATGGGATTCAGCTGTCGCATTCCGTGTGTCAAGCCACTCTTGAACAAGAAACAGCTTAAGAAGCGTCTCGCCTGGGCCAAGGACAAAAAGGACTGGACTGCTGCTGAGTGGTCCAAAGTTATGTTTTCTGATGAAAGCAAATTTTGCATTTCCTTTGGAAATCAAGGACCCAGAGTCTGGAGGAAGAGCGGAGAAGCACAGAATCCACGTTGCATGAGGTCCAGTGTAAAGTTTCCACCGTCAGTGATGGTGTGGGGTGCCATGTCATCTGCCGGTGTTGGCCCACTCTGTTTCCTGAGGTCCAAGGTCAATGCAGCCGTCTACCAGGAAGTTTTAGAGCACTTCATGCTTCCTGCTGCTGACCAACTTTATGGAGATGCAGATTTCACTTTTCAACAGGACTTGGCACCTGCACACAGTGCCAAAACCACCAGTACCTGGTTCAAGGACCATGGTATCCCTGTCCTTGATTGGCCAGCAAACTCGCCTGACCTTAACCCCATAGAAAATCTATGGGGTATTGTGAAGCGGAAGATGCAATACGCTAGACCCAACAATGCAGAGGAGCTGAAGACGACTATCAGAGCGACCTGGGCTCTCATAACACTTGAGCAGTGCCACAGACTAATCGAGTCCATGCCACGCCGCATTAATGAAGTGATTGAGGCAAAAGGAGCCCCGACTAAGTATTGAGTGCTATACATGGGCATTCTTTTCATGTTCATTCTTTTCAGTTGGCCAACATTTCAAAAAAAACATTTTTTTTCATTGGCCTTTTCAATATTCTAATTTTTTGAGATACCAAATTTGGAGTTTTCATTAGTTGTCACTTATAAATATCAAAATTAAAAGAAATAAACATTGGAAATACATCGGTCTGTGTGCATTGCATGAATATAATGTACAAGTTTCACTTTTTGAATGGAATTACTGAGATAAATCAAGTTTTTGATGGTATTCTAATTTACTGGCCAGCACCTGTATAGGTAAATCCCCCAAAATTAGAATATTGTGGAATTGTGATAATTTATCTCCATAATATATAATTTTTTAATCTGCATTTACATATACTAGCTACACTACAAAAGTTTGGAAGCAAGGCCATTGTTCACAATGATTTTTTTAAAATCCAGCATGAGTTTTATGTATTTACTCCATGTTTAGGTGTTGTTTTCATGGAAATGCACCATTTTACTCCATTTACCTTTAGATATACATTGATGTTAACAGATCATTGCTAAATATATTTCAGCAAAAGATAATAAGGGCTTAGTTTTAGGGTTGAAAACATTTGCAAGAGTCACAACTTCAGTGGAAAAGCAAAAAAAAGCATTCACGTCAACTTTTTGGCTTTTGAGAGTCTGCATACAAAAATCCTAATAAATCCCAACTGTGTTCAAAATACTGCAGAAATGGTTAGAAAGAAGCAACTGAGCAAAGAAACAAAAGTACAGATTTGTACATTGAGGAAAGAAGGATACACAGAAAGAGAAATTGCAAAACGCCTAAAGGTGTTTAACAAAGTAGTCCACTACACTCTGAAGAGAATAGAGGAACCTGAAAGTTATGATGATAGAAAAAGACCTGGATGAAAGAGAGTTAGTACAAAAGCAGAGGATAAACATAGCATTGTCACCAGTAAGCGAGATCGGCGAAAGACAGCACCACAAAGATTGTGGTGCTGTCTTTCGAATGTTTGGTTCAAAACGCAGGGTCTATGTCAGCAGACAAACTGGTCTGAAAGCACCATGTGTTACACCCACAATTCAGCATGGAGGTGGTAGTTCCATGGTATGGAGATTTGTAGGTAATGGAGCAGGAGATCTGTTTGAAGTAAAGGGTATCATGAAGAAGGAACAGTACCACTCCATCCTCCAGCACCATGCTGTTCCATCTGGACTCAGACTTGTGGCTCATAAGTTTGTTTTGCAGCAAGACAATGACCCTAAGCACTCTGCCAAGCTCTGTCAGGGTTACCTAGACCAAAAAGAAGAGGAAGGTGTTCTTCAAAAGATGGTTTGGCCCCCTCAGTCTCCAGACCTTTCTCCAATTAAGCTTGTGCGGGATGAATTGGATCTATCGGTCAGAAAAACCAGCAGTCAATCAGCAGTCTCTTTTTAATGAATTTAAGAAAGCTTGGAATGCAATCCCTGAAACATACCTTAAAAAACCTGGTTTATGCCAAGCTGTTGTTAAAGCCAGAGGAGGTTACTTTAAAGAAAGCAAAGTCTAAGCTAGAAAAACTCAAATACCTAATAATTATAGTCAAAATGTCTTCTGATAAGTTACTCTTTACACAATAGTCATGTTTATTGTGTTGTAAGTTATATTTACGAAACTATGATCTTTTTTTATACAAATCTAATCTTGCTTCCAAACTTTTGGCCTGCAGTGTGCATATAAAAAACAAACAAACATACCTGTGGCATGCAGTTTGAAACAGAAGCGCCACTATGTGGTTACGTAACACCTTCCCAGCACTGCAAGAGCACAAAGTGCTCTTAAGTTTCACTGGACCCTTTTTAGAATGAAATGTCACCTGTTAATAGGGACATAATAATGAGTGTTGATGATATACATGGACTGCTAAGCCAAGAACTGGGCAGAACATATGAATACATGTATTTTGATCAAACAGAATCTCTCAGTTTCCATTTGTCTACCCAAAATAACATCTTTAGTAGTTTTTAACTCACAAATAATAGATAGACTGAGAAATACACTGAAGTACACTTTATCATGACTGACACTTGTTTTACAGAAAACAAATTATTTGTCATTCTCCAGTGCAGAGCCTTTACTTTTATTTATACAGCCGCTTTATTTCATTTAAGTTTGTTTGTTCAAGGTTTTCAAAAATGTGAATAAGGTTCGCAAAACTAAAAGAGAGCTTTCTTGAAAGCCACGTGTTTAAGCTCTCAAATACTTTTTGAATTTTGTTTCGATCTACTACAGAGGCCGAGATAGCAACTTTTTTGTAAACCTTAACACGTCAGAAAACCTCAGGATCTGGGGGCCCTTCTCAAAATGGCCCTCAGGATTGTGTTTTTTCTATTGAAGGATTTCTGCAATTGAGAAATATTTTATTTTTGTTGTTAAAATAATAATACTACATAGTAATACAAAACTATCTGTTCAAAATTCTATCTCTTTTTGTGTTTGTGTGTGTGTGTGTGTGTGTGTGTGTGTGGGGGGGGGGGGGGCACTTGGAGGGGTGCTCGCCCGGGGAGTAATTTGGTCTAGAACCGCCACTGGTCTCAGTCTCCAAAAAAATTCTTTGCCTGTTTGTTCTTTCTGTCTTAAATGAAGGCAGGAATCGTTCAGGGAGATTTTGGACACATCTGTGATGTGATGCACACAGACAGACAGAAGTCGAGTGACATCAGCGTGAATTCCCTCTATTGAATTCAGTTATTGAGTTGATATCCTGCCTCGTAGTACAGCTGATCGGGATTACGGAGATCTGGTGAAGTTAAGTGAGTTTTGGCAGTTATCCTGGGTGTGTTAATCCAACTGCATAGTACAGGCCTCAGGTTTGACAAAGTTACAGTTTATTTGGCTCTGATCTTTTGATGCTGGATTTGGTTGATTATGGGAGGTCGGTAAAGGTCCGGTATGGGGGGAATATACCTTGATGTCACTCAGCTTCCGATTCACTTCCCGGTTAGCAGTAGGGGAACTTTTTATTTGTATCAAAAACTGGCAACTTCATGACCAAGTACAACCCCAACATTTCAGACAAAGGAACATTGAACAAATAACATGGGAGATAATAAAATAATACTATAGTAAAAAAAGAATAAACACATACATAATTTCTTTGGAGAAATATAAATTGGGGTCTTGTAGCAGAGATGCCCGCTTTCTCACCCTAAGTACCCCCAAAAGAATGTAATGCTTGACCTGGTCACTGGAGATGAGATGGGGTGACCCCACCAAACCAAATCATGTTCTTATTGCTCTCCACTTTTGCCTTAAAGTCAGCTTAAATCATGTTTTTAAGTTTTAAAAACATTATTTCAGTTTGTGGAATCCAATCAGACAGACAAACATTATTCCAGATGAACATTTAATCCAAGCTGTTTGGGTTTGTGGTTTCTTGATTGCTGTTTTTATTCAGTGGTTGGTTGGTCAAATTAATTCTGATGAATTTGGTCTGCTGGCTAAGTGAGTAAATTAAGTAGATTAGACTATTTTAAATTTGCCTGTTTGTTGTCCTTGTTTGATGTCACTTTGAACCCTACCAGATGAGGAAAATATGAATTCTTTCTCACTTTGTAAAGCTTAGCTGACACTTCACTGATCATCAACCATGAGCTCCTACTCCTGCTCCTAGTATTTCAAGGCTGGAAATGTAAAACATGTGAGTTTAAAAATGTAAATAATTAAAATAGCCTCCACCTCCCTCAGTGTACATTTCTCCACCACATCCTCCAACACAGCCAGCCTTTTTCACCAGTATGTTCAGACGTCTTGCATCTTTGTGTTTGATGCTTTCTCCCCAGCAGACTGCAGCGCAGAACACAACACTTGCCACCACAGACTGATAAAACATCTGCAGCATCTTTCTACAGATGTCTGTTGAGCAGCTCCTTCAGCAGCAGACTTAGACTTCCACCTTGCAGGACGGAGCACTACTGCAGGCCATTCCTCCCCTCTGCAATACGACTTTAATACCAACTGTAATAATAACTGGATTTATACCACCACTTTTTTCTGGCATTTAAATTGTGTATATTGTAGATAGTTTTATTTTTCTTCTCCCTTTTTCTATTTTTTTTCTTAATTATTACATTTATTTAAGTTCTTTATATTAGGATCTTTATTTTTATAACTGCAATTTTGCACTCTTTGTCTGTGATGCTGCTGTGACAAGAAAATCCCCCCATTGGGGATCAATAAAGGAATATTCTATTCCATTCTTCTAATCGCAGTCTTCCTTCGGAGGCGGCTCTGCCACTTTCTGTAGGTGAAGTCTATGCTCTTAGACCAGTCCACTCTACATGCTTGTTTTTTTCTGCAGTTGTAGACACACTTGTTCTGTCTCTAACTATGTGTTCACTTTAGCAGAGAGGCTAACAGAATTTAAATACTGAGACTGAGAGGGTTTATTACATCCAGGGCAGCTCTAGGGTCTTTCTCCAGTGCAAACTCTCATGTGTTTTATCAATGCAGGTTCTCTTTGGAAAGTTGTGCCACACTCTGAGCAGCTGTGGGGTCTCTCCCCTGAATGAACTCTCATGTGTTGTCCCAGTTCTCCTTCTCTTTTGAATGTTTTGCCACATTCTGAGCAGCTGAAGGGTCTCTCCTCTGAATGAACGCTCATGTGTTGTCCCAGTTCTCCTTTAGTTTTGAATGTTTTACCACATTCTGAGCAGCTGAAGGGTCTCTCCTCTGAGTGAACTCTCATGTGTTGTGCCAGGTCGTATTTAGTTTTGAATGTTTTGCCACAGTCTGAGCAGCCGAAGGGTCTCTCATCTGAGTGAACTCTCATGTGTCTTGCCAGTTCTCTTTCAGTTGTGAATGTTTTGCCACAGTCCGGGCAGCTGAAGGGTCTCTCATCTGAATGAACTCTCATGTGTTTTGCCAGTTCTCTTTCAGTTTTGAATGTTTTGCCACATTCTAAGCAGCTGAAGGGTCTCTCCTCTGAATGAACTCTCATGTGTTGTCCCAGTTCTCCTTTAGTTATGAATGTTTTGTCACACTCTAAGCAGCTGAAGGGTCTCTCCTCTGAGTGATAGAGGATGTGTCTTGCCAGGTCGTATTTAGTTTTGAATGTTTTGCCACAGTCTGAGCAGCTGAAGGGTTTCTCATCTGAGTGAACTGTCATGTGTCTTGCCAGTTCTCTTTCAGTTTTGAATGTTTTGCCACAGTCTGGGCAGCTAAAGGGTCTCTCATCTGAGTGAACTGCCATGTGTTGTTTCAGATGAGTTTTAGTTTTGAATGTTTTGCCACAGTCCGGGCAGCTGAAGGGTCTCTCCTCTGAATGAACTCTCATGTGATTTGCCAGTTCTCTTTCAGTTTTGAATGTTTTGCCACAGTCGTGGCAGCTGAAGGGTCTCTCCTCTGAATGAACTCCCATGTGTTGTCCCAGTTCTCCTTTAGTTTTGAATGTTTTGCCACATTCTGTGCAGCTGAAGAGTTTCTCATCTGAGTGAACTGTCATGTGTCTTGCCAGGTCGTATTTAGTTTTGAATTTTTTGCCACAGTCTGAGCAGCTGAAGGGTCTCTTCTCTGAGTGGACCCTCATGTGGCTTGCAAGTTGTTTTTTAGTTTTGAATCTTTTGCCACATTCTGAGCAGCTGAAGGGTTTCTCATCGGAGTTAACTCTCATGTGTTGTCCCAGTTCTCCTTTAGTTTTGAATGTTTCGCCACACTCTGGGCAGTTGAAGGGTCTCTCCTCAGAGTGAACCCTCATGTGGCTTGCCAGGTCGTATTTAGTTTTGAATGTTTTGCCACATTCTGAGCAGCTAAAGGGTCTCTCATCTGAGTGAACTGCCATGTGTTGTTCCAGAGGAGTTTTAGTTTTGAATGTTTTGCCACATTCTAAGCAGCTGAAGGGTCTCTCATTGGAGTGAACTCTCATGTGGCTTGCCAGGTCTCCTTTAGTTTTGAATGTTTTGCCACATTCTGAGCAGCTGAAGGGTCTCTCCTCTGAGTGAACCCTCATGTGGCTTGCCAGGTCGTATTTAGTTTTGAATGTTTTGCCACATTCTGAGCAGCTAAAGGGTCTCTCATCTGAGTGAACTCTCATGTGTTGTTCCAGATGAGTTTTAGTTTTGAATGTTTTGCCACATTCTAAGCAGCTGAAGGGTCTCTCATCGGAGTGAACTCTCATGTGGATTGCTAGATCTTGTCGTGTTTTGAATATTCGACAACACTTTGAGCAAACACGTGATTTCTCTAGCCTCTTTAGCATCTTCTGTCTCACTTTTTTCACAGACATTAGACTTGACTTTTGTGGTTTTGTATCCTCCCAATTCTCATCACTGCCCTCGGTCTCAGGTTCAGGGGAGTCTTGAGTCTTTCGTTGTATATTTATCCCTGAGTAGTTACTGGCTGGATCTTGTCCTCCATAATTCTGTTCCTTGCAAATGTTCGGGGGCTCAGTGTATCCCTGGTCCAGAGTGGGACTCCTCCCCTGCTGCTCAGAGAGAAACTCTTCTTTTTTCACCAACACCTTCTGGATATCTGCAAGGCACAGAAAAACAACAACTAAACAGAAGTTGATGAAAACATCTGTAGATATGAAAGCAGATTTAAAAACTCAATGATAGTCTCAAGAAAGATAAGAGTTAGTGTGGGGATTATGGACTAATGTTGCCCCCTCTAGTGTTGGACTTAATTAGCTCACCAGCTATGTATGTGCTGTCTCGGAGCAGCAGACTACTTGTCAACAGTCCTGCCAAGAACTGAACAATGTCAGCAACATGGATTTAGTTGAAGAGGCACCACTAAATCTGTTGTTATTCTCAAATCAGTTTCAGCATTTGTTATGATGCTCATTGTTGTGCTCCTGAAACTTCTCGGGCAAAACTGAATGGATGCAGCCTGGTGCAAAAAGCTGCTGCACCATAGTTCCAGGCAACCAATCACAGTGTTGATAAAACACTTAACCCAGGTAACCAAGAGCAGCATTGTGAGAGTTCACACTAAGAGCTCAGAATTCAGCTCACATTTAGTTCCCATGGATCGAAATCAACTAGGTTGCAGTGATAGTTTGTGTGTCTGTCAGCAGAGCCTCCCAAACTTCAATTTCTAATCCCCTCACTGACATTTATTGACATTTAAGAGTATAGAAACACTGAAGAGACAAACATGAAAGTTGACTATTCTATCTGAAAAAGTTTTACCCCTCTGAATCAGACAGGATTTTAGCTCTCTAAACTCTTAAACTACAAGTACTTGATTTTTTCCCCTTTCCCAGCAGTTAATAGGATAAAACAGTATAGGATAGCTGTTGTATTTGTTGTTGCGGTTGTGTAGTACTTCATATATTCGAATTAAAAAACTTTTCCTTGAAAATAACTACTTTTTTGCCCTAAAGTAATTTCAGGTTTAATCATATTATTTTGCCATTTCATTAATATGGTTTATTGCAGCCTGTGTGTGGCGCTTGCTTCAGTAAAGGCATTGAAACATGTATCCAGAAGTGGAAGGAAAACTGACCTGCTCTGTGCAGCTTGATTTCGGGTGTTAAAATCACAGCCAGCAGTTTTTTCTGGCGGCGGAGCTCCTCTTTGTATCCAGACTCTGTTCTATTTTCGACCAGGTCCGTCATTACCGCAGCCAGCAGCCGCCGATTAAATAAATCATCAAGATCCTGAAACCCGGACCTTTTCCACAAACGCAAGAGCGAAAGAAGCGAAAACCGAACTCTGTGGTTACCGCGGTACCACGTGGACGACTTCTTCCTCTTCTTTTTCTTTATGAGCGTTTGGAAACAGAGCTGAATCCGTTTTGGAGCGGAAATTTAAACCTCGGTTTCGGATCACCAGGTTTGAAAAAGTCGCGGTGGATTTGGCTCCGATCTTTTGTTTGCAGAATCTGGATTTGGTCGATTATGGAGGTCGAGCAGTAATGTGTACTTCTTTATCTTCTTCTTCTTAGTTAACGGCTGATGGCAACTAGAAGTACTGATTACGGTCGACCATAGACATAATAAAGGGTAGACCCCGCTGGGGGTGCTGCGCAGCGAGAAATGCGGCCGCCATCTTGGTCAGGTCAAGCCTCCCATACGCTCCGGTCAATCATATTCATTCATTCATTCATTCAGCGATGCCGGAGCACTGTGCGGCGTATTCCTGTGCCAACAGGCGGACAGCAGAGAACAGGGCTCAAGGAATAACTTTTCACAGTTATGATTAAACCTTTTTTCAACATTACACTTGACTGTAGAGTCATTTGTAGGCCAAAGAGGAAGACTATCGGTCAACTCCAAAAAGGAAAAAACATTTGCGAACAGCTAGCTTATTCACAATAATAGCAACTTGCTCTGTTATCAACAGATTTGCATTAGATTTAAAAACTTTTGTTTGAGAGAGGTTCTAAGAAACGTTAAGAAATAAAATAGAAAGAAGAAGGAAGAAAGTGAGGTCTGTTTTATTATTTGTTTTATTAAAGATTTCTTTGTGGTGATCTCCTGTTTCATTTTGAAGATTTCCTGAGGACAAAAACTTGAGGAAGAAGTGGGAGATTGCTGTTAGAGGGAGAAATTCACAGCAAGTGATTCCTCTGTGCTATGTAGCCAACAAGCAAATTGATATGTAGCTTAGATGCTGTCCTGTCATGCTGTTCTTGTGTTTAAATTGTTTTGATATGTAGGCTATATATTTGTGTGTATTTCTTTGTGTGTATTTTCCAGTTATTAAAATAGTGCTTCTATATGACATTATTTGTGTGTCTACAAATGGATAAATAAAATTAAACTAAATAAAATATAATCAAATCAATATATATTGAATTGGCCTATTAAAACCGCCAGTTATTAATAATTATTGAGACATAGCAGGAACCTAGCTCTAAACCTAGATATATCCTTGATTAATTGTTATACTATAATACAGCCACTGCTGCCATGTTCTAAAATATCATTTTATTCATTCTGAGTATTTGAAAACGCCCAAAAAAATATGGCCTCTATCATGCCTCTTTGAATGGCGTTTGCAGAAAAGAAAATTACGTAGTATTGAGCGAACTATGATTCATTTAATGCGCTCAGACTTCATTCCGCCGGTTAAACAGCGGTGCAGAGTAAGGCGGATGACCGGACCAAGATGGCGGCCGCATTTTTCGACCGCACCCATTCGTGGTAGCGGCCGATGCGGGGTCTATCTTTTATTATGTCTATGCGGTCGACGACCTATAGGGAACCGAAGCCACGCCCACTTCCGCGTTAGCGCTATAGGTCCTATTGGGATAATAGGAGTGAATGGACAGGTCTATGGTATTTTCTGGTCCGCTTTGTTTTACACCCTGAGTCACAAATATGTTGTATTTTAACTTAAATGATAACCATTAAGGTAAATAAAGGCTATGTTTGTTGTGTAATTGTTGATCTATTTGTCTTTGAAAACACGTAAATGGAGAGACTACAGACCTCAAGAAGTCGCGTAAATGACGTCACGTCAGTATTTCTACTTCTAGCTAGCTGACAACTCCTGTCAACTCGTTATCATTGCCAAAATGCCTGTGTGTTTTGTGCCAGAATGTCACCATAATAGTTCAGCAGGATGTTCCTTTCGCCGTTTCACCGCCATCGTCGTCTGTCAAAGCTTAGACAGTGACGCAAAAATAGTGCGACGAGCGGTGTAGTTCATTACGTGGTCTCACTCTAAATTAAACTGTAGTTATAGCAACATGTCTAAAATCACGGCTTTTTCGAGGTTAAAATGTAAATTTAAACATGATAAACATTATTTGTGAAATGTGTAGGGGCTTCGGTTCCCTATACCAAAGCGGACCAGTAGTTATATATATCTGTCCATTCATTTTGATGGGCTCCATAGGACCGTATGCTAACCCGGAAGTTAGCATGACTTCGGTTCCCTATAAAGAACTGGCATGGGGGGAGTAGTGGGACTTCATACGACGTCATCTCCGCTTCCGGTTTTACCGATAGCAGGGTTTTTTTTTTTTTATTATTATTTTTTTTTTTATTGAACAAGACAGCCAGTACAATCAACGAGAAACACATTACAACAACAACGACAAAAACAGAAAACAAAACACAGACATACAACAGCCAGAGGACTTACAGTTCAATGGTACAGAATTTCTTCATTATAGAGTATGTTTTGGTAGCTTTCTTGTTCTTAATATCCTTGATCGTGGCAGCATAACGGAGCAGTTCATTTTTGAAGGGTGCAATGTTTGGCTTTGGCTTAGATTTGGCCCATTTGTTTTTGTGGATATGGAATTTCCCCAAGCTCAAGATCAACTGACAAAAAGAGCACAGATCTTTGTCCTGGTCATCATGATAAATAAAAATATGTTTTTCCTGGAAACTGATCGTTCTTCCTGTTTTCTCGTGCACAAATTGTTGGACATCAATCTAAAGGTTTTACTGTAGGTACAATGACAGAATAAATGAGAGATGGTTTCATCTTCAAGTCCACAGAAATCACATAAATATTCAATGTCCAGTTTGTATCTTTCAAGAGTTTTCTTTGCAGGGTAAATCTGATGTAATATTTTAAAAGAGACTTCTTTGACCTTGTTATTGAGACAGAATTTTTCACCAACCAGCCATGCATTGCTCCAGTTAATTTCTCCCAATTGTACAGACCAGTTAGTTTGACCTCTAGGCAGTGTCTTTGGTTGTAGGCAGATTCTCAACAGTCTATTCGAGCAGGGTCTTTTTGTAATGTCTATTCCGCCCACAAATATATCACAGGTGTAATTTCCTGGAGTAGCAGCCGTTCTTTCAGACCCTTTAAGAAGTTGTAGCACCCCCTGAGGTAATGCATCAAAAACCACAGCATATTGTTTTGGGGTGACTAGGAGTTGAAATTTTAACATAAATTCTTCATAAGAAAGTAAAAAGCCATGGTCGTTAAGAAGTTGGTCGACTAGTAAAATGTTGTGCTCCATCCAGTCCTTGTAAAACAGAGATCGGTTTTTGTAAACGATGTCTTCATTGTTCCGGATATAATAGCTGGTTGGTGAGAAATTATGTTTGTAGATCAATTTCCAGGACAGCAAGGCTTGTTTGTGAAAGTTAGAGAGTTTAACGAAGCTTCTCAATTTTGTAATTACATTTCAACATAAAGCGTATACCACCAAGTGAGTTGAATACATGTGTAGCAAAAGAGTGCTAGAGGTTATTCTTCTCTCTACATAACTTACTCAGCCAGTTGATCTTGAAAGAGTGATTCAATATTTCGAAGGTTAGCCCATCCAAACCACCATCCCTCTTGGTATAACATAAGATAACTTTTTTTAAATAATGGCGTCTGTTCTTCCAGATAAACCTGAATAAGATTCGATCTAATTTCTTGGAGACTACAGCAGGCATTTCTAGTGCTAGTGATAGATATACAGATCTTGATATTCCTTCAGCTTTGGATAACAGAATCCGTTATCCGTGTAAAGATAGATCCCTCATAAACCACATATTGAATTTTCTTTGTATCTGTTGAGTTATTGGTTCAAAGTTTAACTCAGAGCGCCTCTTCTCATTTTTGTCAAGTACAACACCCAAATATGTCACAGTTTGTTTAATGGGAATACCATTTAAATCTGCCAGATCACAGTGTTTGAGGGGGAAAAAGCATAGATTTATTAAGGTTCATTGTCAGCCCAGAAACCTCCGAAAACTCTCTGATACACTGCACAGCTTTAACAAGTTCATTTTGGTTGGACAAAAAAATAGCTGTATCATCCGCTAACTGAGCTAGTTTGAATTCTCTACCTACGGCTGTCATACCCTGAAAGTTGCTTTTTTTAATATGTGTTGCCATAACCTGTGTAACCAGCAAAAACAAAAAGGGGCTTAGGGGACAACCTTGTCTGATTCCACGACCAATATTAAATCTGGGTGTTGTGCCATTTGTTATCTCAATTGAACTGTTACTTCCTTTATAAAGTGTTTGAACTGCCTTCAAAAACCTATTTCCTAGGTAAACCTAGGTATTTACTCCATGTTTAGGTGTTGTTTTCATGGAAATGCACCATTTTACTCCATTTACCTTTAAATATACATTGATGTTAACAGACCATTGCTAAATATATGTCAGCAAAAGATAATAAGGGCTTTGTTTTAGGGTTGAAAACATTTGCAAGAGTCACAACTTCAGTGGAAAAGCAATCAAAAAGCAAATCACAGTTGGATTATTCACTTCAACTTTTTGGCTTTTGAGAGTCTGCATACAAAAATCCTAATAAATCCCAACTGTGTTCAAAATACTGCAGAAATGGTTAGAAAAAAGCAACTGAGCAAAGAAACAAAAGTACAGATTTGTACATTGAGGAAAGAAGGATACACAGAAAGGCTGGTCTGAAGGGTTGTGTATCTGCAAAAAAACACTACTTCATCCACAGAACAAGAAAGAGAGATATGAGTGGGCAAAAGCTCACAAAAATTGGACTTATGATGACTAGAAACAAGTTTGCACTGTTTGGTTCAAAACGCAGGGTCTATGTCCGCAGACAAACTGGTGAAAATCTGAAAGCACCATGTGTTACACCCACAATTCAGCATGGAGGTGGTAGTTCCATGGTGTGGAGATTTGCAGGTAATGGAGTAGGAGATCTGTTTGAAGTAAAGGGTATCATGAAGAAGGAACAGTACCACTCCATCCTCCAGCACCATGCTGTTCCATCTGGACTCAGACTTGTGGCTCATAAGTTTGTTTTGCAGCAAGACAATGACCCTAAGCACTCTACCAAGCTCTGTCAGGGTTACCTAGACAAAAAAGAAGAGGAAGGTGTTCTTCAAAAGATGGTTTGGCCCCCTCAGTCTCCAGACCTTTCTCCAATTAAGCTTGTGCGGGATGAATTGGATCTATCGGTCAGAAAAACGCATCTCACGAATCAGCAGTCTCTTTTTAATGAACTTAAGAAAGCTTGGAATGCAATCCCTGAAACATACCTTAAAAAACCTGGTTTATGCCAAGCTGTTGTTAAAGCCAGAGGAGGTTACTTTAAAGAAAGCAAAGTCTAAGCTAGAAAAACTCAAATACCTAATAATTATAGTCAAAATGTCTTCTGATAAGTTACTCTTTACACAATAGTCATGTTTATTGTGTTGTAAGTTATATTTACGAAACTATGATCTTTTTTTATACAAATCTGATCTTGCTTCCAAACTTTTGGCCTGTAGTGTGCATATAAAAAACAAACAAACATACCTGTGGCATGCCGTTTGAAACAGAAGCACCACTATGTAGTTACGTAACACCTTCCCAGCACTGCAAGAGCACAAAGTGCTCTTAAGTTTCACTGGACCCTTTTTAGAATGAAATGTCACCTGTTAATAGGGACATAATAATGAGTGTTGATGATAGACATGGACTTCTAAGCCAAGAACTGGGCAGAACATATGAATACATGTATTTTGATCAAACAGAATCTCTCAGTTTCCATTTGTCTACCCAAAATAACATCTTTAGTAGTTTTTAACTCACAAATAATAGATAGACTGAGAAATACACTGAAGTACATCTTGCAAATTTGCTGGAACTGGTAACACCGCAGTCTCTCATGCAACTGCAGGAAAACAGTCTGCAACAGCAGCGGGATAACAACTATTCATTTTGAGAAACCTGAAGTGAGTGAGCTTCCTCATTTTTATTTTTTTTAATAGGATATAGAAATGTCTAAGTCTCCAAAAAAATTCTTTGCCTGTTTGTTCTTTCTGTCTTAAATGAAGGCAGGAATCGTTCAGGGAGATTTTGGACACATCTGTGATGTGATGCACACAGACAGACAGAAGTCGAGTGACATCAGCGTGAATTCCCTCTATTGAATTCAGTTATTGAGTTGATACTCAATAACTCCCACCCTGCAGGACGGAGCGCTACCGCAGATCATTTCTCCCCTCTGCAATAAGACTTTACAATGAACAGTAACAAATCTGATTTTACACCACCACTTTTTTTTTATGGCATTTAAATTGTGTATATTGTAGAAAGTTTTATTTTTTCTTCTCCCTTTTCTAATTTTTTTCTTAATTATTACATTTATTTAAGTTCTTAATATTAGGACCCTTGTTGTTATAACTGCATTTTTGCACTTGTTGGCTTGTCTGTGATGCTGCTGTGCCAAAAAAATTTCCCCCATGGGGGATCAATAAAGGAATATTCTATTCTATATTCTATTCTATGATATCCTGCCTCGTAGTACAGCTGATCGGGATTACGGAGATCTGGTGAAGTTAAGTGAGTTTTGGCAGTTATCCTGGGTGTGTTAATCCAGCTGCATAGTACAGGCCTCAGGTTTGACAAAGTTACAGTTTATTTGGCTCTGATCTTTTGATGCTGGATTTGGTTGATTATGGGAGGTCGGTAAAGGTCCGGTATGGGGGGAATATACCTTGATGTCACTCAGCTTCCGATTCACTTCCCGGTTAGCAGTAGGGGAACTTTTTATTTGTATCAAAAACTGGCAACTTCATGACCAAGTACAACCCCAACATTTCAGACAAAGGAACATTGAACAAATAACATGGGACGGGAGATAATAAAATAATACTATAGTAAAAAAAAAAAAAAAAAAAACAATAAACACATACATAATTTCTTTAGAGAAATATAAATTGGGGTCTTGTAGCAGAGATGCCCGCTTTCTCACCCTAAGTACCCCAAAAAGAATGTAATGCTTGACCTGGTCACTGGAGATGAGATGGGGTGACCCCACCAAACCAAATCATGTTCTTATTGCTCTCCACTTTTGCCTTAAAGTCGGCTTAAATCATGTTTTTAAGTTTTTAAAAACATTATTTCAGTTTGTGGAATCCAATCAGACAGACAAACATTATTCCAGATGAACATTTAATCCAAGCTGTTTGGGTTTGTGGTTTCTTGATTGCTGTTTTTATTCAGTGGTTGGTTGGTCAAATTAATTCTGATGAATTTGGTCTGCTGGCTAAGTGAGTAAGTTAAGAAGATTAGACTATTTTAAATTTGCCTGTTTGTTGTCCTTGTTTGATGTCACTTTGAACCCTACCAGATGAGGAAAATATTAATTCTTTCTCACTTTGTAAAGGTTAGCTGACACTTCACTGATCATCAACCATGAGATCCTACTCCGGCTCCTAGGATTTCAAGGCTGGAAATGTAAAACATATGAGTTTAAAAATGTAAATAATTAAATAACATAGCTGAACCTGTTGTGTTTAATGCGCACATGAATGATGAGAAAACAACATTGTTTTGAGATTTTCTCAAAAAGTCATATGAGTGGGTCTATATAGGCATTTTCAAAAGCAAATATTTTATTACTCAAACAAAAGTAACAGTTTAGTTAGCAAAAATGACTAGATGTCTCTATACTTTGAAGTAGTCATGTCTTTGTCCTCACTATCTACCCTCTCTGTCCCTATTATCTAGTTCATAATCTTCTAAACAATCAATTTTGGTCATAAATTTAATACATTTTACTGTTAATATTATTGAAGTTTAAGAGAGGTCTAATGTGACAACAAAAGACCAGGACTCAATACAAGTATCTCCGGCATTCTAATAAGTGAATTTAAAAAAAAAAACACACCTCACCCCACTACATTGCAGAATAGGAGAGCACAGGACAAGATACAGAAGATTAAGTGTTGCCCCAGCAGAGGGTTATTTCAGACCCATTAAGTCCAGATCATACAAAAAAAAAAAGAAAAATACAAGGGATAAGAATAAGAATAACTTTATTGATCCCTGAAGGGAAATCCAATTGTCTGTCGTCTCACTGGTCATGTCTCAAAAGTCATGTCTCAAAAGTCATCTACTATTTATAAAAGAGTTGTAAAGTCTGATGGCTGTGGGTACAAAAGATCTTCTCAATCTTTCTGTCCTGCAGTAAAGAGAGAAGAGCCGTCCACCACCATTGGCCCTTTGGTCCATTAAGGTGTTGTGAAGTGGTTGATCCATGTTCTTTAAAAAAGCCTCCACCTCCCTCAGTCTACATTTCTCCACCACATCCTCCAACACAGCCAGCCTTTTTCACCAGTATGTTCAGACGTTTTGCATCTTTGTGTTTGATGCTTTCTCCCCAGCAGACTGCAGCGCAGAACACAACACTTGCCACCACAGACTGATAAAACATCTGCAGCATCTTACTACAGATGTCTGTTGATCGGAGTCTTCTCAGGGGTCTGCCACTTTCTGTGGGTGAAGTCTATGCTCTTAGACCAGTCCACTCTACATGCTTGTTTTTTTCTGCAGTTGTAGACACACTTGTTCTATCTCCAACTATGTGTTCATTTTAGCAGAGAGGCTAACAGAATTTAAATACTGAGACTGAGAGGTTTATTACATCCAGGGCAGCTCTAGGGTCTTTCTCCAGTGCAAACTCTCATGTGTTTTATCAATGCAGGTTCTCTTTGGAAAGTTGTGCCGCACTCTGAGCAGCTGTGGGGTCTCTCCCCTGAATGAACTCTCATGTGTTGTCCCAGTTCTCCTTCTCTTTTGAATGTTTTGCCACATTCTGAGCAGCTGAAGGGTCTCTCCTCTGAATGAACGCTCATGTGTTGTCCCAGTTCTCCTTTAGTTTTGAATGTTTTACCACATTCTGAGCAGCTGAAGGGTCTCTCCTCTGAGTGAACTCTCATGTGTTGTGCCAGGTCGTATTTAGTTTTGAATGTTTTGCCACAGTCTGAGCAGCCGAAGGGTCTCTCATCTGAGTGAACTCTCATGTGTCTTGCCAGTTCTCTTTCAGTTGTGAATGTTTTGCCACAGTCCGGGCAGCTGAAGGGTCTCTCCTCTGAATGAACTCTCATGTGTTTTGCCAGTTCTCTTTCAGTTTTGAATGTTTTGCCACATTCTAAGCAGCTGAAGGGTCTCTCCTCTGAATGAACTCTCATGTGTTGTCCCAGTTCTCCTTTAGTTTTGAATGTTTTGCCACACTCTGAGCAGCTGAAGGGTCTCTCCTCTGAGTGATAGAGGATGTGTCTTGCCAGGTCGTATTTAGTTTTGAATGTTTTGCCACAGTCTGAGCAGCTGAAAGGTTTCTCATCTGAGTGAACTGTCATGTGTCTTGCCAGTTCTCTTTCAGTTTTGAATGTTTTGCCACAGTCTGGGCAGCTAAAGGGTCTCTCATCTGAGTGAACTGCCATGTGTTGTTTCAGGTGAGTTTTAGTTTTGAATGTTTTGCCACAGTCCGGGCAGCTGAAGGGTCTCTCCTCTGAATGAACTCCCATGTGTTGTCCCAGTTCTCCTTTAGTTTTGAATGTTTTACCACATTCTGGGCAGCTGAAGAGTTTCTCATCTGAGTGAACTGTCATGTGTCTTGCCAGGTCGTATTTAGTTTTGAATTTTTTGCCACAGTCTGAGCAGCTGAAGGGTCTCTCCTCTGAGTGAACCCTCATGTGGCTTGCAAGAAGTTTTTTAGTTTTGAATGTTTTGCCACATTCTGAGCAGCTGAAGGGTCTCTCATCGGAGTGAACCCTCATGTGGCTTGCCAGGTCTCCTTTAGTTTTGAATGTTTTGCCACATTCTGAGCAGCTGAAGGGTCTCTCCTCTGAGTGAACCCTCATGTGGCTTGCCAGGTCGTATTTAGTTTTGAATGTTTTGCCACATTCTGAGCAGCTAAAGGGTCTCTCATCTGAGTGAACTGCCATGTGTTGTTCCAGATGAGTTTTAGTTTTGAATGATTTGCCACATTCTAAGCAGCTGAAGGGTCTCTCATCGGAGTGAACTCTCATGTGGATTGCTAGTTCTTGTCGTGTTATGAATATTCGACAACACTTTGAGCAAACATGTGATTTCTCAAGCCTCTTTAGCATCTTCTGTCTCACTTTTTTCACAGACATTAGACTTGACTTTTGTGGTTTTGTATCCTCCCAATTCTCATCACTGCCCTCGGTCTCAGGTTCAGGGGAGTCTTGAGTCTTTCGTTGTATATTTATCCCTGAGTAGTTACTGGCTGGATCTTGTCCTCCATAATTCTGTTCCTTGCAAATGTTCGGGGGCTCAGTGTATCCCTGGTCCAGAGTGGGACTCCTCCCCTGCTGCTCAGAGAGAAACTCTTCTTTTTTCACCAATACCTTCTGGATATCTGCAAGGCACAGAAAAACAATAACTAAACAGAAGTTGATGAAAACATCAGGAGATATGAAAGCAGATTTAAAAACTCAATGATAGTCTCAAGAAAGATAAGAGTTAGTGTGGGGATTATGGACTAATGTTGCCCCCTCTAGTGTTGGACTTAATTAGCTCACCAGCTATGTATGTGCTGTCTCGGAGCAGCAGACTACTTGTCAACAGTCCTGCCAAGAACTGAACAATGTCAGCAGCATGGATTTAGTTGAAGAGGCACCACTAAATCTGTTGTTATTCTCAAATCAGTTTCAGCATTTGTTATGATGCTCATTGATGTGCTCCTGAAACTTCTCGGGCAAAACTGAATGGATGCAGCCTGGTGCAAAAAGCTGCTGCACCATAGTTCCAGGTATCCAATCACAGTGTTGATAAAACACTTAATCCAGGTAACCAAGAGCAGCATTGTGAGAGTTCACACTAAGAGCTCAGAATTCAGCTCACATTTAGTTCACATGGATCCAAATCAACTAGGTTGCAGTGATAGTTTGTGTGTCTGTCAGCAGAGCCTCCCAAACTTCAATATCTAATCCCCTCACTGACATTTATTGAACTAAATTATTATTCAATTGTACATCACAATTGGAGACAGACATGTACTTTGAAAAAACAAGGACATTTCAGTGTTTTAAACAGTTTTTTTTCTTCCCGCCCCAATACCCTGCTATAGTGGGTGAGATGTTTATCAAGCCCTCTCAAATAAAGGGGCTAAGGGTATAGAAACACTGACGAGACAAACATGAAAGTTGACTATTCTATCTGAAAAAGGTTTACCCCTCTGAATCAGACAGGATTTTAGCCTGCTGGGCAGCACAAAAACTAAAAATGCAGACTGACAATACAGATTTACATTTTCAAGTAGGCCACAGAGATAAATCTGGAACATGTGCTTTTCTTGTGCCTTTTCAGAATCATCATCAAACCAATGTGTGACTCTTAAACTACAAATACTTGACACAGTCCAGCAGTTAATAGGATAAAACAGTATAGGATAGCTGTTGTATTTGTTGTTGCGGTTGTGTAGTACTTCAGATATCCGTAATAAAAAACTTTTTCCTTGAAAAGAAAAACTTTTTTTGCCTTAAAGTCATTCCAGGTTTAATCATATTATTTTGCCATTTTGTTAATATGGTTTGTTGCAGCCTGTGTGTGGCGCTTGCTTCAGTAAAGGCATTGAAACATGTATCCAGAAGTGTAAGGAAAACTGACCTGCTCTGTGCAGCTTGATTTCGGGTGTTAAAATCACAGCCAGCAGTTTTTTCTGGCGGCGGAGCTCCTCTTCGTATCCAGACTCTATTCTATTTTCGACTAGGTCCGTCATTACCGCAGCCAGCAGCCGCCGATTAAATAAATCATCGAGATCCTGAAACCCGGACCTTTTCCACAAACGCAAGAGCGAAAGCAGCGAAAACAGAACTTTGTGGTTACCGCGGTACCACGTGGACGACTTCTTCCTCTTGTTTTTCTTTATGAGCGTTTGGAAACAGAGCTGAATCCGTTTTGGAGCGGAAATTTAAACCCCGGTATCGGATCACCAGGTTTGAAAAAGTCGCGGTGGATTTGGCTCCGATCTTTTGTTTGCAGAATCTGGATTTGGTCGATTATGGAGGTCGAGCAGTAATGTGTACTTCTTTATCTTCCTCTTCTTAGTTAACGGCGGATGGCAACTAGAAGTACTGATTACGGTCGACGACCTACAAAGAACTGGCATGGGGGGAGTAGTGGGACTTCATACGACGTCATCTCCGCTTCCGGTTTTACCGATAGCAGGGTTTTTTGTTTTTTTTTAGTTTTTTTTTATTGAACAAGACAGCCAGTACAATCAACGAGAAACACATTACAACAACAATGACAAAAACAGAAAACAAAACACAGACATACAACAGCCAGAGGACTTACAGTTCAATGGTACAGAATTTCTTCTTTATAGAGTATGTTTTGGTAGCTTTCTTGTTCTTAATATCCTTGATCGTGGCAGCATAACGGAGCAGTTCATTTTTGAAGGGTGCAACGTTTGGCTTAGATTTGGCCCATTTGTTTTTGTGGATATGGAATTTCCCCAAGCTCAAGATCAACTGACAAAAAGAGCACAGATCTTTGTCCTGGTCATCATGATAAATAAAAATATGTTTTTCCTGGAAACTGATCGTTCTTCCTGTTTTCTCGTGCACAAATTGTTGGACATCAATCCAAAAGGTTTTACTGTAGGTACAATGATAGAATAAATGAGAGATGGTTTCATCTTCAAGTCCACAGAAATCACATAAATATTCAATGTCCAGTTTGAATCTTTCAAGAGTTTTCTTTGCAGGGTAAATCTGATGTAATATTTTAAAAGAGACTTCTTTGACCTTGTTATTGAGACAGAATTTTTCACCAACCAGCCATGCATTGCTCCAGTTAATTTCTCCAAATTGTACAGACCAGTTAGTTTGACCTCTAGGCAGTGTCTTTGGTTGTAGGCAGATTCTCAACAGTATATTCGAGCAGGGTCTTTTTGTAATGTCTATTCAGCCCACAAATATATCACAGGTGTAATTTCCTGGAGTAGCAGCTGTTCTTTCAGACCCTTTAAGAAGTTGTAGCACCCCCTGAGGTAATGCATCAAAAACCACTGCATATTGTTTTGGGGTGACTAGGAGTTGAAATTTTAACATAAATTCTTCATAAGAAAGTAAAAAGCCATGGTCGTTAAGAAGTTGGTCGACTAGTAAAATGTTGTGCTCCATCCAGTCCTCGTAAAACAGAGATCGGTTTTTGTAAACGATGTCTTCATTGTTCCGAATATAATAGCTGGTTGGTGAGAAATTATGTTTGTAGATCAGTTTCCAGGACAGCAAGGCTTGTTTGTGAAAGTTAGAGAGTTTAACAGGAAGCTTCTCAATTTTGTAATTACATTTCAACATAAAGCGTATACCACCAAGTGAGTTGAATACATGTGTAGCAAAGGAGTTCCAGAGGTTATTCTTCTCTCTACATAACTTACTCAGCCAGTTGATCTTGAAAGAGTGATTCAATATTTCGAAGGTTAGCCCATCCAAACCACCATCCCTCTTGGTATAACATAAGATAACTTTTTTTAAATAATGGCGTCTGTTCTTCCAGATAAACCTGAATAAGATTCGATCTAATTTCTTGGAGACTACAGCAGGCATTTCTAGTGCTAGTGATAGATATACAGATCTTGATATTCCTTCAGCTTTGGATAACAGAATCCGTTATCCGTGTAAAGATAGATCCCTCATAAACCACATATTGAATTTTCTTTGTATCTGTTGAGTTATTGGTTCAAAGTTTAACTCAGAGCGCCTCTTCTCATTTTTGTCAAGTACAACACCCAAATATGTCACAGTTTGTTTAATGGGAATACCATTTAATTCTGCCAGATCACAGTGTTTGAAGGGAAAAAGCATAGATTTATTAAGGTTCATTGTCAGCCCAGAAACCTCCGAAAACTCTCTGATACACTGCACAGCTTTAACAAGTTCATTTTGGTTGGACAAAAAAATAGCTGTATCATCCGCTAACTGAGCTAGTTTGAATTCTCTACCTACGGCTGTCATACCCTGAAAGTTGCTTTTTTTAATATGTGTTGCCATATCCTGTGTAACCAGCAAAAACAAAAAGGGGCTTAGGAGACAACCTTGTCTGATTCCACGACCAATATTAAATCTGGGTGTTGTGCCATTTGTTATCTTAATTGAACTGTTACTTCCTTTATAAAGTGTTTGAACTGCCTTCAAAAACCTATTTCCTAGGTAAACCTAGGTATTTACTCCATGTTTAGGTTTTGTTTTCATGGAAATGCACCATTTTACTCCATTTACCTTTAAATATACATTGATGTTAACAGACCATTGCTAAATATATGTCAGCAAAAGATAATAAGGGCTTTGTTTTAGGGTTGAAAACATTTGCAAGAGTCACAACTTCAGTGGAAAAGCAATCAAAAAGCAAATCACAGTTGGATTATTCACTTCAACTTTTTGGCTTTTGAGAGTCTGCATACAAAAATCCTAATAAATCCCAACTGCGTTCAAAATACTGCAGAAATGGTTAGAAAGAAGCAACTGAGCAAAGAAACAAAAGTACAGATTTGTACATTGAGGAAAGAAGGATACACAGAAAGAGAAATTGCAAAACGCCTAAAGGTGTTTAACAAAGGAGTCCACTACACTCTGAAGAGACTAGAGGAACCTGAAAGTTATGATGATGGAAAAAGACCTGGATGAAAGAGAGTTAGTACAAAAGCAGAGGATAAACATAGCATTGTCACCAGTAAGAGAGATCAGCGAAAGACAGCACCACAAAGAAGGGAGGAAATCAACATGACAAGGTCGAAACCAATATCTGTGACAACCGTGAAAAGACGTTTGAGAAAGGCTGGTCTGAAGGGTTGTGTATCTGCAAAAAAAACACTACTTCATCCACAGAACAAGAAAAAGAGATATGAGTGGGCAAAAGCTCACAAAAATTGGACTTATGATGACTAGAAACAAGTTTGCACTGTTTGGTTCAAAACACAGGGTCTATGTCCGCAGACAAACTGGTGAACATCTGAAAGCACCATGTGTTACACCCACAATTCAGCATGGAGGTGGTAGTTCCATGGTATGGAGATTTGCAGGTAATGGAGTAGGAGATTTGTTTGAAGTAAAGGGTATCATGAAGAAGGAACAGTACCACTCCATCCTCCAGCACCATGCTGTTCCATCTGGACTCAGACTTGTGGCTCATAAGTTTGTTTTGCAGCAAGACAATGACCCTAAGCACTCTGCCAAGCTCTGTCAGGGTTACCTAGACAAAAAAGAAGAGGAAGGTGTTAACTCACAAATAATAGATAGACTGAGAAATACACTGAAGTACATCTTGCAAATTTGCTGGAACTGGTAACACCACAGTCTCTCATGCAACTGCAGGAAAACAGTCTGCAACAGCAGCGGGATAACAACTATTCATTTTGAGAAACCTGAAGTGAGTGAGCTTCCTCATTTTTATTTTTTTTAATAGGATATAGAAATGTCTCAGTCTCCAAAAAAATTCTTTGCCTGTTTGTTCTTTCTGTCTTAAATGAAGGCAGGAATCGTTCAGGGAGATTTTGGACACATCTGTGATGTGATGCACACAGACAGACAGAAGTCGAGTGACATCAGCGTGAATTCCCTCTATTGAATTCAGTTATTGAGTTGATACTCAATAACTCCCACCCTGCAGGACGGAGCGCTACCGTAGATCATTTCTCCCCTCTGCAATAAGACTTTACAATGAACAGTAACAAATCTGATTTTACACCACCACTTTTTTTTATGGCATTTAAATTGTGTATATTGTAGAAAGTTTTATTTTTTCTTCTCCCTTTTCTAATTTTTTTCTTAATTATTACATTTATTTAAGTTCTTAATATTAGGACCCTTATTGTTATAACTGCATTTTTGCACTTGTTGGCTTGTCTGTGATGCTGCTGTGACAAAAAAATTTCCCCCATGGGGGATCAATAAAGGAATATTCTATTCTATATTCTATTCTATGATATCCTGCCTCGTAGTACAGCTGATCGGGATTACGGAGATCTGGTGAAGTTAAGTGAGTTTTGGCAGTTATCCTGGGTGTGTTAATCCAGCTGCATAGTACAGGCCTCAGGTTTGACAAAGTTACAGTTTATTTGGCTCTGATCTTTTGATGCTGGATTTGGTTGATTATGGGAGGTCGGTAAAGGTCCGGTATGGGGGGAATATATCTTGATGTCACTCAGCTTCCGATTCACTTCCCAGTTAGCAGTAGAGGAACTTTTTATTTGTATCAAAAACTGGCAACTTCATGACCAAGTACAACCCCAACATTTCAGACAAAGGAACATTGAACAAATAACATGGGAGATAATAAAATAATACTATAGTAAAAAAAAAAAAAAACAATAAACACATACATAATTTCTTTGGAGAAATATAAATTGGGGTCTTGTAGCAGAGATGCCCGCTTTCTCACCCTAAGTACCCCCAAAAGAATGTAATGCTTGACCTGGTCACTGGAGATGAGATGGGGTGACCCCACCAAACCAAATCATGTTCTTATTGCTCTCCACTTTTGCCTTAAAGTCAGCTTAAATTATGTTTTTAAGTTTTAAAAACATTATTTCAGTTTGTGGAATCCAATCAGACAGACAAACATTATTCCAGATGAACATTTAATCCAAGCTGTTTGGGTTTGTGGTTTCTTGATTGCTGTTTTTATTCAGTGGTTGGTTGGTCAAATTAATTCTGATGAATTTGGTCTGCTGGCTAAGTGAGTAAGTTAAGAAGATTAGACTATTTTAAATTTGCCTGTTTGTTGTCCTTGTTTGATGTCACTTTGAACCCTACCAGATGAGGAAAATATTAATTCTTTCTCACTTTGTAAAGCTTAGCTGACACTTCACTGATCATCAACCATGAGCTCCTACTCCTGCTCCTAGTATTTCAAGGCTGGAAATTTAAAACATGTGAGTTTAAAAATGTAAATAATTAAATAATGTAGCTGAACCTGTTGTGTTTAGTGCGCACATGAATGATGAGAAAACGACATTGTTTTGAGATTTTCTCAAAAAGTCATATGAGTGGGTCAATATATGCATTTTCAAAAGCAAATATTTTAGTACTCAAACAAAAGTAACAGTTTAGTTAGCAAATTTCCTTGTATCTCAGTATTTATTGACTAGATGTCTCTATACTTTGAAGTAGTCATGTCTTTGTCCTTACTATCTACCCTCTCTGTCCCTATTATCTACTTCATAATCTTCTAAACTATCAATTTTGGTCATAAACCTAATACATTTTACTGTTAATATTATTGAATTTAGAAAAAAAAAAACACACCTCACCCCACTGCATTGCAGAATAGGAGAGCACAGGACAAGATACAGAAGATTAAGTGTTGCCCCAGCAGAGGGTTATTTCAGACCCATTAAGTCCAGATCATACAAAAAAAAAAAAGAAAAATACAAGGGATAAGAATAAGAATAACTTCATTGATCCCTGAAGGGAAATCCAATTGTCTGTCATCTCACTGGTCATGTCTCAAAAGTCATCTACTATTTATAAAAGAGTTGTAAAGTCTGATGGCTGTGGGTACAAAAGATCTTCTCAATCTTTCTGTCCTGCAGTAAAGAGAGAGGAGCTGTCCACCACCATTGGCCCTTTGGTCCATTGGTCCATGTGAAGTGGTTGATCCATGTTCTTTAAAATAGCCTCCACCTCCCTCAGTCTACATTTCTCCACCACATCCTCCAACACAGCCAGCCTTTTTCACCAGTATGTTCAGACGTTTTGCATCTTTGTGTTTGATGCTTTCTCCCCAGCAGACTGCAGCGCAGAACACAACACTTGCCACCACAGACTGATAAAAAATCTGCAGCATCTTACTACAGATGTCTGCTGATCGGAGTCTTCTCAGGGGAAAAGAGGCGGCTCTGCCACTTTCTGTGGGTGAAGTCTATGTTCTTAGACCAGTCCACTCTACATGCTTGTTTTTTTCTGCAGTTGTAGACACACTTGTTCTGTCTCTAACTATGTGTTCATTTTAGCAGAGAGGCTTACAGAATTTAAATACTGAGACTGAGAGAGTTTATTTCATCCAGGGCAGCTCTAGGGTCTTTCTCCAGTGCAAACTCTCATGTGTTTTATCAATGCAGGTTCTCTTTGGAATGTTTTGCCACAGTCTGAGCAGCTGAAGGGTCTCTCCTCTGAGTGAACCCTCATGTGGCTTGCAAGAAGTTTTTTAGTTTTTAATGTTTTGCCACATTCTGAGCAGCTGAAGGGTCTCTCCTCTGAGTGAACCCTCATGTGGCTTGCCAGGTCGTATTTAGTTTTGAATGTTTTGCCACATTCTAAGCAGCTGAAGGGTCTCTCCCCTGAATGAACTCTCAAGTGGCTTGCCAGGTCATATCTAGTTGTGAATGTTTTGCCACATTCTGAGCAGCTGAAGGGTTTCTCATCTGAGTGAAATGCCATGTGTCTTGCCAGTTGAGTTTTAGTTTTGAATGTTTTGCCACAGTCTGGACAGCTGAAGGGTCTCTCCTCTGAGTGAAATGCCATGTGTCTTGCCAGGTCGTATTTAGTTTTGAATGTTTTGCCACATTCTAAGCAGCTGAAGGGTCTCTCCCCTGAATGAACTCTCATGTGTTGTCCCAGTTCTCCTTCTCTTTTGAATGTTTTGCCACATTCTGAGCAGCTGAAGGGTCTCTCGCCTGTGTGAACTCTCAAGTGGCTTGCCAGGTCGTATTTAGTTTTGAATGTTTTGCCACATTCTGGGCAGCTGAAGGGTCTCTCCTCTGAGTGAACCCTCATGTGGCTTGCCAGGTCGTATTTAGTTTTGAATGTTTTGCCACAGTCTGAGCAGCTGAAGGGTCTCTCATCTGAGTGAACTCTCATGTGTCTTGCCAGTTGTCCTTCAGTTGTGAATGTTTTGCCACAGTCTAAGCAGCTGAAGGGTCTCTCCTCTGAGTGATAGAGCATGTGTCTTGCCAGTTTTCCTTTAGTTTTGAATGTTTTGCCACAGTCTGAGCAGTTGAAGGGTCTCTCCTCTGAGTGAACTCTCATGTGTTTTGCCAGTTCTCCTTTAGTTCTGAATGTTTTGCCACACTCTAAGCAGCTGAAGGGTCTCTCCTCTGAGTGACAGATCATGTGTCTTGCCAGGTCGTATTTAGTTTGTAATGTTTTGCCACAGTCTGAGCAGCTGAAGGGTTTTTCATCTGAGTGAACTGTCATGTGTCTTGCCAGGTCGTATTTAGTTTTGAATGTTTTGCCACAGTCTGAGCAGCTGAAGGGTCTCTCATCTGAGTGAACTCTCATGTGTCTTGCCAGTTCTCTTTCAGTTTTGAATGTTTTGCCACAGTCTGGGCAGCTAAAGGGTTTCTCATCTGAGTGAACTGTCATGTGTCTTGCCAGGTCGTATTTAGTTTTGAATGTTTTGCCACAGTCTGAGCAGTTGAAGGGTCTCTCCTCTGAGTGAACTCTCATGTGTTTTGCCAGTTCTCCTTTAGTTCTGAATGTTTTGCCACACTCTAAGCAGCTGAAGGGTCTCTCATCTGAGTGAACTCTCATGTGTCTGGACAGTTCTCCTTTAGTTTTGAATGTTTTGCCACATTCTAAGCAGCTGAAGGTTCTCTCCTCTGAGTGAACTCTCATGTGGATTGCTAGTTCTTGTCGTGTTTTGAATATTCGACAACACTTTGAGCAAACACGTGATTTCTCAAGCCTCTTTAGCATCTTCTTTCTCACTTTTTTCACAGACATTAGACTTGACTTTTGTGGTCTTGTATCCTCCCAATTCTCATCACTGCCCTCGGTCTCAGGTTCAGGGGAGTCTTGAGTCTTTCGTTGTATATTTATCCCTGAGTTGTTACTGGCTGGATCTTGTCCTCCATAATTCTGTTCCTTGCAAATGTTCGGGGGCTCAGTGTATCCCTGGTCCAGACTGGGACTCCTCCCCTGCTGCTCAGAGAGAAACTCTTCTTTTTTCACCAACACCTTCTGGATATCTGCAAGGCACAGAAAAACAATAACTAAACAGAAGTTGATGAAAACATCAGGAGATATGAAAGCAGATTTAAAAACTCAATGATAGTCTCAAGAAAGATAAGAGTTAGTGTGGGGATTATGGACTAATGTTGCCCCCTCTAGTGTTGGACTTAATTAGCTCACCAGCTATGTATGTGCTGTCTCGGAGCAGCAGACTATTTGTCAACAGTCCTGACAAGAACTGAACAATGTCAGCAGCATGGATTTACTCGAAGAGGCACCACTAAATCTGTTGTTATTCTCAAATCAGTTTCAGCATTTGTTATGATGCTCATTGTTGTGCTCCTGAAACTTCTCGGGCAAAACTGAATGGATGCAGCCTGGTGCAAAAAGCTGCTGCACCATAGTTCCAGGTAACCAATCACAGTGTTGATAAAACACTTAACCCAGGTAACCAAGAGCAGCATTGTGAGAGTTCACACTAAGAGCTCAGAATTCAGCTCACATTTAGTTCCCATGGATCGAAAACAACTAGTTTGCACTGATAGTTTGTGTGTCTGTCAGCAGAGCCTCCCAAACTTCAATTTCTAATCCCCTCACTGACATTTATTGAAGTAAATAATTATTCAATTGTACATCACAATTGGAGACAGACATGTACTTTGAAAAAACAAGGAAATTTCAGTGTTTAAAACAGTTTTTTTTCTTCCCGCCCCAATACCCTGCTATAGTGGGTGAGATGTTTATCAAGCCCTCTCAAATAAAGGGGCTAAGGGTATAGAAACACTGAAGAGACAAACATGAAAGTTGACTATTCTATCTGAAAAAGTTTTACCCCTCTGAATCAGACAGGATTTTAGCCTGCTGGGCAGCACAAAAACTAAAAATGCAGACTGACAATACAGATTTACATTTTCAAGTAGGCCACAGAGATAAATCTGGAACATGTGCTTTTCTTGTGCCTTTTCAGAATCATCATCAAACCAATGTGTGACTCTTAAACTACAAATACTTGACACAGTCCAGCAGTTAATAGGATAAAACATGATAGGATAGCTGTTGTATTTGTTGTTGCGGTTGTGTAGTACTTCATATATTCGTAATAAAAACCTTTTCCTTGAAAGGCAAAACTTTTTTTTGCCTTAAAATCATTCCAGGTTTAATCATATTATTTTGCCATTTCATTAATATGGTTTATTACAGCCTGTGTGTGGCGCTTGCTTCAGTTAAGGCATTGAAACATGTATCCAGAAGTGTAAGGAAAACTGACCTGCTCTGTGCAGCTTGATTTCGGGTGTTAAAATCACAGCCAGCAGTTTTTTCTGGCGGCGGAGCTCCTCTTCGTATCCAGACTCTGTTCTATTTTCGACCAGGTCCGTGATTACCGCAGCCAGCAGCCGCCGATTAAATAAATCATCAAGATCCTGAAATCGGGACATTTTCCACAAACGCAAGAGCGAAAGAAGCGAAAACAGAACTTTGTGGTTACCGCGGTACCACGTGGACGACTTCTTCCTCTTCTTTTTCTTTATGAGCGTTTGGAAACAGAGCTGAATCCGTTTTGGAGCGGAAATTTAAACCTCGGTTTCGGATCACCAGGTTTGAAAAAGTCGCGGTGGATTTGGCTCCGATCTTTTGTTTGCAGAATCTGGATTTGGTCGATTATGGAGGTCAAGCAGTAATGTGTACTTCTTTATCTTCTTCTTCTTACTTAACGGCGGATGGAAACTAGTAGTACTGATTACGGTCGACGACCTATAAAGAACTGGCATAGGGGGAGTAGTGGGACTTCATACGACGTCATCTCCGCTTCCGGTTTTTCCGATAGCAGGGTCTCACCAAAGGTGCATTTATCCGTTCTCGAGCCAAATGGCTAGAGGAGGGAGAAATGAATACGAGCTTTTTTTCGCCCTGGAAAAAAGGAATTATAGAAGAAATAATATAACATCTTTGAAAATAGATAACTCAACCAGCTCTGATCCTTCTGATATTGCCAATTATACTCTAAAATTTTATTCTGATCTGTACAGTTCTGTTCATAATCAAACTGAATGTGAAAAATTTATAAACAATGTTAAAGAATTTACGCCACAAATATCCAACGAATTTAAGCTGGACTGTGATAATTAATTATTATTACTCTCTATACATATTTTACACTGCCATACCTTTCAAGGCTAAAGAGTTTTTGAGAAAGAAATCAAAATAACTCAACTGGCGGATGACACAGTCTAGCCAATATTAATGGTTCTAGATTCACTTATAATGATGCCTATGTGTAATTTTGTGTTCCTCACGATGCCTATATTTCTGCTTTTCTTTTTTTTTTTTTTTTTTGTAAAATGTTGAATTTGAAAATGACCCCACCACACCAAATCGTGGCCTTTCACAACCTCCTCTTTTTTTTTTTTTTTTTTGTAAAACAACCAAAAATTACTCTCCCAGAAAGGTAGACAGTCAGCCTTTTCCATTTCAAAGAGACAAAGATGTTAATTACCAGCAGGACCCCCAGACTGAACAAACATTCACCCTTTCTCCTTGGCTGGAGAGTGTCGAAATTGTCACTTCAGGCTTAAGGATGGCTGAAGAGAGCATGTGAACTCAACTCAAGAGGGCGCTAGAAGCACTCATCCTTGAAATAGACCCCAGCCATAAACCCTCAGAGTGGCTGATTCTTCCTGTAATTCTCTTTACATGCAGAGTAAAGAGAATAACTGCTAATGATTTAATTTCAGTTTTAATGATCACTTCACAAGGATTTTCTGTCTGAACACAACACATCTTTGAGCCAGCTGATTTTTCAGGGTATGGATGTTCTTATTACTTTCTTCTTTTGCTTTTAAGTCAGCTGGAATTATGTTTTTAAGTTTTAAAATCCAACCAGACAGACAATAAAAAATGTGTCAGTCTATGCGTGGCTCGTCTTAGTGGTGGTGTTCCTGTAAAATTAGGAGTCTCTAATAATTCAGATGAACATTTAATCCAAGCTGTTTGGGTTTGTGGTTTCTTGATTGCTGTTTTTATTCAGTGGTTGGTTGGTCAAATTAATTCTGATGAATTTGGTCTGCTGGCTAAGTGAGTAAGTTAAGAAGATTAGACTATTTTAAATTTGCCTGTTTGTTGTCCTTGTTTGATGTCACTTTGAACCCTACCAGATGAAGAAAATATTAATTCTTTCTCACTTTGTAAAGCTTAGCTGACACTTCACTGATCATCAACCATGAGCTCCTACTCCTGCTCCTAGTATATCAAGGCTGGAAATGTAAAACATGTGAGTTTAAAAATGTGAGTAATTAAATAATGTAGCTGAACCTGTTGTGTTCAGTGCGCACATAAATGATGAGAGAACAACATTGTTTTGAGATTTTCTTAAAAAGTCATATGAGTGGGTCTATCTAGGCATTTTCAAAAGCAAATATTTTAGTACTCAAACAAAAGTAACAGTTTAGTTAGCAAATGTCCTTGTATCTCAGTATTTATTGACTAGAGGTCTCTATATTTTGAAGTAGTCATGTCTTTGTCCTCACTATCTACCCTCTCTGTCCCTATTATCTTCTTCATAATCTTCTAAACAATCAATTTTGGTCATAAACCTAATACATTTTACTGTTAATATTATTGAAGTTTAAGAGAGGTCTAATGTGACAACAAAAGACCAGGACTCAATACAAGTATCTTCGGCATTCTAATAAGTGAATTTAGAAAAAAAAAAAAACCTCGCCCCACTGCATTGCATAATAGGAGAGCACAGGACAAGATACAGAAGATTAAGTGTTGCCCCAGCACAGGGTTATTTCAGACCCATTAAGTCCAGATCATACAAAAAAAAAGAAAAATACAAGGGATAAGAATAAGAATAAGAATAACTTTATTGATCCCTGAAGGGAAATCCAATTGTCTGTCGTCTCACTGGTCATGTCTCAAAAGTCATCTACTATTTATAAAAGAGTTGTAAAGTCTGATGGCTGTGGGTACAAAAGATCTTCTCAATCTTTCTGTCCTGCAGTAAAGAGAGAGGAGCTGTCCACCACCATTGGCCCTTTGGTCCATTAAGGTGTTGTGAAGTGGTTGATCCATGTTCTTTAAAATAGCCTCCACCTCCCTCAGTCTACATTTCTCCACCACATCCTCCAACACAGCCAGCCTTTTTCACCAGTATGTTCAGACGTTTTGCATCTTTGTGTTTGATGCTTTCTCCCCTGCAGACTGCAGCGCAGAACACAACACTTGCCACCACAGACTGATAAAACATCTGCAGCATCTTACTACAGATGTCTGTTGAGCAGCTCCTTCAGCAGCAGATTTAGACTTCCACCTTGCAGGATGGAGCACTACTGCAGGCCATTCCTCCCCTCTGCAATACGACTTTACAACCAACTGTAATAATAACTGGATTTATACCACCACTTTTTTCTGGCATTTAAATTGTGTATATTGTAGATAGTTTTATTTTTCTCCCTTTTTCCTTTTTCTATTTTTTTCTTAATTATTACATTTATTGAAGTTCTTAATATTAGGATCTTTATTTTTATAACTGCATTTTTGCACTCTTTGTCTGTGATGCTGCTGTGACAAGAAAATTTCCCCCATTGGGGAATATTCTATTCTATTCTTCTAATCGGAGTCTTCTCAGGCAAAAGAGGCGGCTCTGCCACTTTCTGTAGGTGAAGTCTATGCTCTTAGACCAGTCCACTCTACATGCTTGTTTTTTTCTGCAGTTGTAGACACACTTGTTCTGTCTCTAACTATGTGTTCATTTTAGCAGAGAGGCTTACAGAATTTAAATACTGAGACTGAGAGGTTTATTACATCCAGGGCAGCTCTAGGGTCTTTCTCCAGTGCAAACTCTCATGTGTTTTATCAATGCAGGTTCTCTTTGGAAAGTTGTGCCACACTCTGAGCAGCTGTGGGGTCTCTCCTCTGAGTGAACTCTCATGTGGCTTGCCAGATCTCCTTCTCTTTTGAATGTTTTGCCACATTCTGAGCAGCTGAAGGGTCTCTCCTCTGAGTGAACCCTCATGTGCCTTGCCAGTTCTCTTTCAGTTTTGAATGTTTTGCCACAGTCTGAGCAGCTGAAGGGTCTCTCCTCTGAGTGAACCCTCATGTGCCTTGCCAGGTCGTATTTAGTTTTGAATGTTTTGCCACAGTCTGAGCAGCTGAAGGGTCTCTCCTCTGAGTGAACTCTCATGTGTTGTCCCAGGTCGTATTTAGTTTGTAATGTTTTGCCACAGTCTGAGCAGCTGAAGGGTCTCTCCTCTGAGTGAACCCTCATGTGCCTTGCCAGGTCGTTTTTAGTTTTGAATGTTTTGCCACAGTCTGGGCAGCTGAAGTGTTTCTCATCTGAGTGAACTCTCATGTGTCTAGACAGTTCTCCTTTAGTTTTAAATGTTTTGCCACATTCTGAGCAGCTAAAGGGTCTCTCATCTGAGTGAACCCTCATGTGCCTTGCCAGGTGGTATTTAGTTTTGAATGTTTTGCCACAGTCTGAGCAGCTGAAGGGTTTCTCATCTGAGTGAACTGTCATGTGTCTTGCCAATTTGCCTTTAGTTTTGAATGTTTTGCCACATTCTGAGCAGCTGAAGGGTCTCTCCTCTG